AATAAACTTGAACTAATTATAAACGAATTAAACAATCCTAGTTGAAATTGGCCTAGGAAGCTGAGTGCAAATATTACCTGCATTCTAAAAAGTGTAATTTTTTGACCGGCAGCCTGATGTTATGATAAAGAGGTTATCGGAATATGATTCAAATTACGTAAAATGGAAATGGAAGGCTGAATTTTTGGATCCTAGAAGTGAAATATAATTTACTGGAGCTTTTTGAAATTGGGAATATGGTGCTGATCTAAATAATTAATGAATTTTAAATAAATAAATATACTACGTAAAACAATCTAAGTATAATTTCAATATGGATAGTAATAATAAAATTACAGTTGGGGTAGGAAGGGGGAAATGAGGACAAAATATTCTGCTAAAGGCAGGGGTTATCTTTTACCAGGACAGGAGACACAATCACTCCAAGATTTTAGCTCTCGACCGGGATCCGCTCTCTCCAGTTCTACTGTAATATCTCCCTCTGAAAGACTAAAAGCAGTTACTGATGAATTAGCGGAAAACGTACTGGGTGCGGAGAAAAGAAGAATAAGGTTTTGGACTGAGGATATGATGGAAACTTTTCAGGGAAGTAAAAGAGATATCTCGACTTACAGCTCTCATCACAGATCACCAACATTCAAGCAAATCAGACATACAAGGGAGCGTATAAAGAAAATAACACAACGAGTAAATAGTGATGGCAATAATAACAACAACAGTAACTATAACAACGGAAAGGGAAAGCGCCGAAGAGATGTTTCTATTGTCAACATTTTGGGCATGTAATGACACAATGTAGATCTGGACATCGGAATTTTGAATTTTGTGCAGAGAGACATTATACGAAAAAATGCACCAACCCAAGACCAGGGAATATTTATTATAATTGCTCAGAGGATCATAAGGCGTCATCAAGGGACTGCCCGGTGTTTAAATATGAATTCCAGGTGATGAAGGAGAAACTTTACGCAATTTTTCAGGTTTTAAAATACGTCCTTGAGTTGGAAGGTCGTTTGACTGTTATTTGCACAGTTTCCCAGGCAGCTCTTATCAAGATCAGGGATAGAATGAGGGATTTTGCACAGGATAAGATTCTTCATGAAATTACTCGTTGCATAACTCTTATCAATAAAGGGGAGCTTAAAGTTAAATTCCTGTGGATACCAGCCCACTTTAAGATTGAAGGGAATGAGAAAGCGGACCAGTTAGCAAAAACAGCATTGGGATTGAATATAGGTTTATGTGTCCTACCCTTGAAGGAAGAAAATTTTGCAAATTTCATTCACTAAATGAAAGAAAGATAAATCATTAGAATAAATAAAATCTAACCAAATATAAAGTACCTGTGGTACTTGGAAAAAACAGCTTGGAAGTGGTTAATGTCTAATTTATCCTTTAGTGAAAAGCCCTGCCACCAGGGTAAGGTCTGCCGAACATGTACATGATGCCAGTCGTGTCTGGCAGCGGGACCATTTCTCCCAGCACATCAAAGATATCAATGATGTTTGGCATAGGATTTAAAAAAATAAATTGAGAAATTAACCACTTCCAAGCTCCATTTCATAAGTAAGCCATTTGTTTTGTTTTGTAATTGAAGGTTAATTTTTAAAAAAGTGTAAATTTCGAATGGAACTCTGTGCAACCACTGAAATAATTTTAAATATCATTTGAACCCTAAAGAACACCACTTTGACATAAATGGGAAAAATTTCTTTATTTATCAGTGATTGTAACAAAAGAAAAAAAATTATCTTTTGGTATAATAGAAAAAAAGAGTTTCGAATGTCCTCTGCTTCTGAAGACGTTAAATGTAAAAAAATCATAACTTCCATAATTTTGATAAAATAAAAAATAGGTATTTACTTTTTTTTCGTATAGAGTTCGAGAAAAATAGTTATGACGAAAAAAAAATTTTGAGTGGAAATTTCACGGAGAATGCCCCTTATATTAAAAAATGTTCAATTACATAAAAAGTAACATATTGAAATTGCTTTGAATTTGAGAGGCTAAAAGTGAATCGAAGAATTTAGAAATATGAAAAATATTAATTAATAAAATAATCGTTTTTTAAATTGTTACTAATAATTATTTATAACAATTTAAATTAAACAATTATTGTTATATACAAAAAAAAACTATTCTTGATAAATATTTTAAAGAAGCGGAGGATTTTTCAAAGTCTTCGAAAGTGGCCCTGAGAGGCTAAAAATGAATCAAAGAATTTGGAAACCTGAAAAATATTATTTATTTTCAGTATTAAATTTAAAAAAGAAATTACAGAAAAAATTAGTTAATTACGACAAAACATTTTTTATCATAGAGTAAAAAAACGCGTCAACCGCAGGCTTCACAGCAACCCTAAAAAGTATTTTAGGGGAAATAGGGGACTGAAAATTAAAAAATAGGGGAAACTTTTAGAGGACTTTAAAAATTGGTTAAATAAAGATAAAAATATAATTTATTTATACAGGGTTGCCACAAAAATTTAACTTCATTTTTCCCTCATTTCCAAACACAACTTTGACTTTTTTCCTGATCCTAAAAAATATTCTTATTCACTTCAAAAATTATTAGACACTCTAAAAAAATGTTCTATTAAATTTATTTACAAATTTTTTCAAAAGTAAAATTATTCGAAAACATCAATAGTTTTATTTAAAATAAATATTTAATCATTTTTTTTCATTGGAATTAAGGTGTTCAAAAAAATCAAATTCAAACGTTTTCAAATTAAACAACGCATAAGAATATTATTATAAAATATAAAGAAATCGATCACTCCGAGTCGAAGTTTTATAATAATTGAAGATGACCGACTGACAAAATCATTATTTTATTATCATAAGAATATTGTTACTGTAATTTCTTCAAAATTATTTGTGTAATTTCAATTCAATTTACATTTTCTAGAATTTTTAACTAAAATTCTACTTTAAATCAATAACAACAATTATTATTCAATTAAATTTTTTCAAAAAAATTAATTCTACAGAATTGTTAGTTAAAAGTACGAAAAATAATAATTTAATTCTACGAGAAATCAATTATTTAAATACAAAAATAAATAATATTGAATGTTCCTTAAAATTTAATTTTTACGAAGAATTTTATTAACAACTTTTGGAAATATTTAATTTCTTTTAAGGAATTTAATTAAAATTGTAATGAAATTTATTCTATTAAAGAATTTTATAACAATTTTTGAAAATAATTGAAAACTTTTTAAAGAATTTTATTAAAGTTTTTAAAAATAATTGAATTCCTGAGAAGAATTTAAATAATAATTTTTGAAAACAATTGAATTCATGAGAAGAATTTTATTAAAAATTTTGAAAATAATTGACTTATTGAGAAGAATTTTTAAAAAGTTTTTGACAATAATTTAATTCTTGAGAAGAATTTCCCTATCTATTTATAAAGATAATTTAATTCTTGACGAGAATTTTTAAAAAATTTTGAAAATAATTTAATTTCTGCAAAGTATTTCATTACTTTTCAAAAGAATTGAATTCTTTTCGTAAATTTTGATATTTATCAAAATAATTGAATTTTGGAAAAGAGATATTATGCGAAGAATTTATGCGATTTTGTTCTTTATCAAGCTAATTGAATTCATTTGCAAAATTACTTAAAACATTTTGAAAATAATTGATTTTCTGCGACGAATTAAATGTTATTTATGAAAATAATTTGAATTATTGCAACGAATTTTATTCTTTTATTGAACAATTGAATGTTTCTTAAAATTGAATTCTTTCCTCAAGTTTTAATAAAATTTTTAATAATAATTGCATTTTTCAAGGAATTTATTTAAAATTTGTATTAAAAATATTTGAAATTCTGCGATGAAAATAATTGAATTCGTAAATGAAAATTATGAATTGAATGAATTATTCGATCCATTTAGAAAAAATAAATTTTTCAGTAATAAAGTTCCCCACATATTTTTAAACATTTCAGTAGTTTAAGTCAACGTGTGTCAAACAAAAAAAAATTCACATTCTTCAATTTTAATTAAACTCTTTTTTTTTTAATTAAACTTAAATTTTTTACTTCGTGGCATATTTTCCTCTTTTTAATTTACTCACATTGGTGGTTTATTATTATTTCAACCTATTTCTGTTTGCCATACAAAACTCATTACGTAACAAATTAAAAATCATTTTTTTTTACTCGAAAAATCATAATTTTTCTTTTAAATGCAACTTTTTTTTTAGAATAAAACGAAAAAAAACTGAAATAATATTAATAATGAAAAAAAAGCAGAATGAGTTTGTGAATATTTCACATCTCAGTTTCTCTAGTTGGGAGTTTATTTGAGAGATTTAAAAAATTTCGTTTCACCCTCCTCCTCGTTAGTCGCGTGTTATGGAGAGAGAGAAAAAAAGAATAATAAGAAACTTAGGGAAATTCTTGTGGACAATACATGTTAACCATATTTTTCCGGGTAGTTTTTCAGGGCATGGATGTGCATTCAAATGATATTACGTGAGCGGGATTTTTCTGTTATTAATTTAATTCAGCGATAAATGCAAGGCGTCTGTCAGGCGTCGCGACGTCAACTCATCAACCCAGTCAACTTGATTTAATATTTTTCTTGATTTTTTCCATACCGATACATTTTTTTTTATTCTCTCTAAATATTTGAATTAGTAAATATTTAAACTAATAAATAATTAGAATTAGAATAAATTAAATAGAGAATTAAATAAGTAATTAGGATAAAATTAATATAAATAATAAAATAACTGAATAATAGAAAATAAAATAATAATAAAATAATAAAGAATAAAATAATAAAATATTAATAAAAATAAAATAAATAATAAAAATAAGTAAATAATAAGAAAAAATAAAATAAACAAAAAGTAAAAAAAGAGATAAATAATGAATCGTATTAATTTACTATTATCACTTCATTATTTATTGCAAACAGAAGTTTATTTATTTCATAGAAAAAGAAAATTGTTACAGAATCTAAGGTTAAATATTAATCCATCTTTGCAATATTTTATTTAGAGGAACTTTTTTTTCGGACTTTAAATAAATAAATTCTTTTTACGAAAATTCTCTTTTTTTCGCTCATCATTTTAACAAATTCGACGAAGTGAAAACTCACACGAAAAAGTTGGAGGAGAATTAAGAAAACTTTCGATTATTGCAAAAAGTGAAAGAACCAAAAAAAAATACTAAATTTAATCCTTAGATGGGCGAGAATTTAATGTTCCACTTTTGGTGAAAATAAAACTTGAACCGGAATTTTTTTCCTTGACCTCATTTGTTTCCAAATTTGATGAACAATCGAGTTCTGAATTTTGAGAATCTTGTGAGGTTTGTGTATTTTTATCCAGAACTGTTACGGCAGAAATAGTATTACAACCAATGTCGCAACGTGCTTCGTGCTTATTACACCGATGATGATGAATTAAAGTCTTTTGGATTTTTTTCAACGGTTCAACATCGTCATCATCGTCGTCATTATTCTCCTCAACATGCAAGGGAGAATGATTTCTTTTTCCTGATGTCGAGGGCATATTGTGATCTTCATTATTATCAATTATTATTGAATTCTCCTCTGTTTGATGACAATCATTCTTTTCTTCTGTAAATGAATGTAAATTGACAATTAAGTGAAAAAAAAATTTTAACAATTTTTATTTTGTAATAAATTTTTTTTTATAATAAATTATGAAAAAAATAACTGATGAAAAGACTGCAAATATTGACAGCTAGCAACAATTATCGCGCGAATGACTTTTTGCACACTATTTTTAAATAAAATTAGCAATTTTAAAAATAATAGAACGTAAAAATTTTTAATACAAATTTTTTTTTTATAAAAATAAAATATCAATTGGAATATATATAGTTTTAATATTATTATAATTATAATAATCATATATTCTGACATAGGGAATTCAGGGAAAAGTCAGAAACTTTTATTAAAAGTTCTGACAAAAATTAAATTTTTAAAATTCATAAGAAAATTCTAAATTTTTGTGTCTTTTTCCGTTTGACTCAAAAACTATAAAATTACCACGAATTCTAATACAAAACTTCTTCAATTTTTCAATTTCTGACAAAAATTTCTTTTTAAATAACTTAAACCTTGAACAATCATAAAATAAATAAATTATTTAATAAATAATTTTACTTAAATATTTCAAAATTAATTCAATTTTAAAAGAGTTGCGTTTACAATTCTCAATAAATAAATGAACTTCAAATGAATTCAATCTGAAATTTTATAAAATTTCAATTTTGAATGAATTTAATTAGAAAGAACTTGGATTTTTGCAAAAAAAAATTTAATAATTTAAATTCTTCTGAAATTCTGAAATTAGTTAAATTTTTAAAACCTTATTTAATTAATTATTAAAAATAATGCATTTCTAGAAGAATTTTAGTTAAAAACGCTAAAAAATTGAATTTTGAAGAAGTTACAAATGATTGCAGAATAATTCAATTATTTTTAAAAGTAATAAAATTCTTATCACAAAATACAATTATGTTTAAAATTTACAAAACAATCTCAACAAAATCCCAATTATTATCTTTATAAATAAAAAAATTCTTCTTCAAAATTCAATTATTTTCAAAAATTTTAATAAAATTCGTGTCAAAATTTCCATTATTTTCAAAAAATTTCCTCATATCAATGATTTTTAATATCTACTATTTTAATAAATTTACCCAAAAGAATTGAATTATTTATAAACAATTTTAATAAATTTGTACGCAAACATTTAATTATTTTCATAAATAATAAAAATTCCACAGGAATTCAAATATTTGTAAATTTTTTATAAGTTTCTTCTGAATAATTCAATTATTTTCAGAAAGAAGAAAACTCATCGCAGAATTTCAATTATTTTTAATACAATTTTAATCGAATTCTTTGAAAAATGAAATTGATTTTAAGAAACATTCAATTACTCAATAAATAATTTACTTTTGTATTTTAAATAATTGAATTCTCGTAGAATTTTCTAATAAAAATTGATATAAATATGAATTTCAGTTTAAATTTGATATAATAATAGAATATGAAAATAATTTTTAAGAAGTTACAATAACAATATTCTTATAATATAAAATAATAATTTTAATACTCGGTTCTCTTTAAATTATTATAAAACATGAAGAAATGTTTGAATTTGAAATTTTTTGAAAATCTTAATTCCTAAGGAAAAATAATAATAATTAAATATTTAAAAAATTATTGTATTCGATTTAATAAATTTATTATATTATTTGATTTTTTTATATTTTTAAAAATTAAAAAAAAAAAACCTATTATTACATAGTAAAAATTAAATTCATTTGAAAGAATTCAATTATAAAAATTTTACTAAAATTCGTGGCTAGAATTGAATTATTTTATTCTTAATTTGTAAAATTCTCAGGAGGAATTCAATTATTTTTAATTTCAATTTTAATAAAATTTTCTGCTAGAATTCAATTATTTTAAAAAATGTTCATATTGCTTGAATTTTGAAACTTTTTTGCTGTTTGAAATTGAATATTCCTTGTGAAATTTTCATTATTTTAGAGAATAATTGAATATTCGTGCGTAGCACTTTGTCAAAATTTTTTTTTAAATAATTGAATTCTTTTGGGAAATTTTATTAAAATAATAGATCTACAAATTATTGAATTAAAAGAAAGGGTATAGCCGGATAAGTATGCAAAAAGTGCCCCCGCATGTATTTTATTCATAATTTATCCATACATTCCTACCCACTTAAAGATAACATTCTGAAATTTTGAACTCAAAATTCGCTTTTTTGGGGGAGTTATGGAGGGGGAAAGAAAAATCAAAAAATGCGTTTTTCTCGAAAACTACTGAACCGATTTTAATGAAATTTAAATATGTTATAAATGTCAACAAAACAGTTTTAAAAAAAAATTTTTTAATTTTTTTTTCAAAAAAATCCAAAAAAAATTTTTTTTTGAAATTTTCAAAAAAAAATTTTTTTTCTTTTTTTAAGAGCGACACCCGCCATTTTTTTACTATTTACTCGTTAAAGTGTTTTTTTTCAGAAAAAAATTTTTCCCAATTTTTTTTTGAGGTGCGTGATAGTGAAAAAAAATAAAAACCGCAAGTGGGTACAATGTACAGCTTAAAAAATCTTTTCAAATTTTAAAAAATTTTTTTCAGGGTTATTTTTTTAAGTGACCACTTTCTCCTTTATTGTAAAAAGTACCTTATAATGTCCCCTTTAACATATATTTTTTCTAAATTTTTAAAAAATACAGTTTTTGATTAAATGGCAAAAACCATGGTCATGCTATTTGTCACGTACGGTAATGCACATATATGCATATGGGCAATTTCATGTGTTAGGGTATAGCCGGATAACTATGGAAAAAGTGACCCAAATATATTTTTCCTATTCATTCCTACCCACAAAATAACTTTTTGAAATTTTTAACTCAAAATTTTGAGTTTTTTGAACTTATGGAGGAAAAAAATCAAAAAACGCATTTTTTTTAAAACTATTGTATGCATTTTTATCAGCTTTGGATTTGTTGAAAAGGCAATTAAAGAGATCAAAAAAAAATTTCAAAATTTTTTTTAAAAAATTCCAAAAACTGTTTTTTAAAAAATTAAAAAAAAATTTTTTTGGTTCTATTAAAGTGACATTTTTATGTATTTTCTCATTTCAGTCTCTTATGTGATCTACTTAATGAAAAAATTTTGCCTGACATGATTTCAGTGTGTGTCACAGTAAATAACTCAAAAACCCTACCCGGTACATTTTTATCTGGTTTTTCACCGTGACACACACTGAAATCATGTCAGGCAAAATTTTTTTATTAAGTAGATCACATAAGAGACTGAAATGAGAAAATACATAAAAATGTCACTTTAATAGAACCAAAAAAATTTTTTTTAATTTTTTAAAAAACAGTTTTTTTGGATTTTTTGAAAAAAATTTTGAAATTTTTTTTTTTGATCTCTTTAATTGTCTTTTCAACAAATCCAAAGCTGATAAAAATGCATACAATAGTTTTAGAGAAAAATGCGTTTTTTGATTTTTTCTCTCCATAAGTTCAAAAAACTCAAAATTTTGAGTTAAAAATTTCAAAAAGTTATTTTGTGGGTAGAATGAATAGGAAAAATATATTTGGGTCACTTTTTCTATACTTTTTCGGCTATACCCTATCACATAAAAATGCCCATATGCATATATGTGCATTACCGTACGTGACAAATAGCATGACCATGGTTTTTGACATTTTACTCAAAAACTATATTTCTTAAAAATTTAATAAAAATATATGTTAAAGGGGACATTATAAGGTACTTTTTACAATAAAAAAAAAAGTGTTCACTTCAAAAAATAACCCTGAAAAAAATTTTTGAAAATATCAAAAAGAAAATTTTTTTGACTTTTTTTGAAGAAAAAATTTTGATTTTTTTTACTAAAATCGTCTTATCTATATTTACAACCTCTTAAAATTTTATTAAAATCGATTCAGTAGTTTTCGAGAAAAATAAGTTTTTTGTTTTTTCGTTCCCCCTCTATAACTCCATAACCCACTTGTGGTTTTTATATTTTTTGACTATCACGCACCTCAAAAAAAAATTGAGGAAAATTTTTTTCTGAAAATACACACTTTAACAAGTAAATAGTACAAAAATGGCAGGTGTCGCTCTTAAAAAAAGAAAAAAAAATTTTTTTTGAAAATTTCAAAAAAAAATTTTTTTGGATTTTTTTGAAAAAAAAATTTGAAAATTTTTTTTTAAAACTGTTTTGTTGACATTTATAACATATTTAAATTTCATTGAAATCGGTTCAGTAGTTTTCGAGAAAAACGCATTTTTTGATTTTTCTTTCCCCCTCCATAACTCCCCCAAAAAAGCGAATTTTGAGTTCAAACTTTCAGAATGTTATCTTTAAGTGGGTAGGAATGTATGGATAAATTATGAATAAAATACATGCGGAGGCACTTTTTGCATACTTATCCGGCTATACCCTTTTTGAAAATAATTGAAATTTTTGCAAGAATTTTATTATAGTTATTTTGAAAATCAATTGCTTCAAACTTTTTCATAAAATTCTTCGCAATAATTCACACATTGTGGAATTTCAATTATTTTTAAGACAATTTTAATCGAATTTCTCGAAAAATGTAATTATTCTTAAAAATTTAATTAAAATTTGTCAAAAGAATTCAAGTTATTCAAAAATTTGTTAATAAAAATTTATGAGAATTCAATTTTAAGAAATATTCAATTATTCAATAAATTATCTATGATGTTTGTATATTTAAATAATTGAATTCTAGTAGAATTTTCTAATAAAAATTGATTTTCATTTCATAAAAATGAATTTCATTTACAATTTTAGATAATAATTGAATATTAAAAGCAATATAGCAAGAATTTTTAGAAATAATTGAATTTTGGAAATTATTTTTTTTTTGAGAAAGTTTAATTGCGCATTTTTTTTTGAAATTATTTCAAGTTTTTATTTTCTAATAAATATTTAATTGAAGAATTTTCGAATAATTGAAATTTGTAAAATTGAATATTGCAAATAGATGGATTTGAAAATTGTCAAAGAACTTTTTCGAAAATTAATTGATTTAAAGAAGAATTTTAGTTAAAAATTCTTAAAAATAATAATTGAATTCAAATGATGAAAATAATTTTGAAGAAGTACAATATTCTTATAATATAAAATAATGAGTTTATCAATTTTCAATCTTTAATTATTAGAAAACATGAAGAAATCGATCACTCCGAGTCGAAGACTCAGAGTTATCGATTTTCTCATGTTTTATAACAATTTTTTTAAAATTGTTTAATTTCAAAAAGATTTGAATTTGAAATATTTTTTAAAATCTTAATTCCTATGGAAAAATAATAATAATTAAATATTTAAAATATTTAAATTAGAAATTATTGTTTTCGAATAATTTTACAATTAAAGATATTTCTAAATAAATTTTTAATTTGAAATTTTGAATTTGAAATTTTGAAATTTTTGAAAAACCGAATTTAAAAAAAAAATGAAAACAAAAAATACAATTATAAAAAATAAAAATAGAAAATAAGAAAAATTAAAAATATAGAAATAAGTAAAAGAAACTAAAAGAGATTAAATTTAATCACCTGAATTTTCAACAGTAGTTTTTGTTTCTATCGTTATTACCTCCAACGAATTAATTTCTTCAATAATATCAACATTAGTTTTACTAATTACATTTCCCTTTTCTAATTCAAATTTCAATTTTTTTTCCATTCCCAAAAATTCACAAAATTCAATTATTTCATCTTTATTTTTCATTTCAGTGTTTTTTCCCAAATCTTGAAAATTATCCTCCATCATATTTTTTCTCGAATTACTCTCCATTGTATTGAAATGATTTTCATTCAAATTCTCCGGTATTTTAGATTTTAATTCCTCCACTCTATCCTCGTGAATATTTTCCCCTTTCTTCTCATTTTTCCCATCATTCGAAAAATTCTCCCTATTTTTCTCTTGTCCCTCATTTGAAAAATTTGTCGTCGATTTTTTTTCCTCCAAATTCATCGTCACCTCATCAATCATCGAATCTTTCGATACATTCATTTCAATATCTTCACTAAAATCTGTTTTCAATGTTTTCTTCTTCGAACTTTCACCAAAATTTAAAATATTTTCCTCATTTTTGCCATTATTTTCCAAATTAATTGGTTTTTGGGAAATGTTTTCAATTTCGTCGATAGGATTTATTTTTGTTTTGGTATTTTTATCAATAGTGTTTTGTATTTTTTTTTCACTTTTGAAAATTTCATTCTTCATTTCATGAAATTCGTCACACTCATCAATTTGAAATATCTGATTAGTCGTTCTTAGATTATATTTATGTTTCTCGCGATTAATGACTTTTTGATCATTTGTATTATTTTGATCGTAACAATAATTGTTGATAATCGTGTCGGATAAATGATCGTCGAATGTAATTAATTTTTTGAAACTCACACCCGTATTTAATTTCTCCCATTCATCGTTATTTATGTCAATTAATTTATCGTCAGATCGAAATTTTGTTCGTTGAAAACTTGAGACAATCAATTCCCTTGGCACTTGTGACCAAGATTGTAAAATTGCCATTATCATTTCATTAAATTCCCATTTGCAATTGCCTCGATGAATTTTCTCCGCATAATTTAATCGATAATTCATTTTTGTCGAGTGAAAAACATCGCGTCTTAGTGGTCTTAAATGTGGGGGGAAATTTGTTGGGAAAAATATTAATTTCACATTACTTAATTGACGATTATTGCCGAGGGCACAAATTTTATGACGATGAAGAAGAAGGAGAATTTGTCGTTGTTTCTGTGACATTATTTCATTTAAATTCATAATCCACTCGATGAATAGTTGATCGTTTATTGTGGAATTTTCATTGTAGTGATAAATACAGTCGTCACGTGTGAGATTACATTTGTAGGGTCCAGTTATTAGTAGGGGGAGTTTATCGGTTCCAGATGAATTGCAACAGAGAAGAATTGAAATGAGATTTGTGGCGTTTATTAAATCTTGATTTGAGGCTTTTGCATTTTTGGGAATTTTCAGTGGACACACGTTCGAGTACATTGTCAATTCGTCGACATTGAATATATCTTTGTATTTGTATTGTGTGAGGATTGGTCGCATTAAATCGATCCAAATTCGATAGTCTTTGAAATAGGGACCGGCGCACGTTGTCAGCGATGTTGAGAAACCGTAGCGCTTCAGGAAAACTGTTATCCATTGCTCTGAACATTTGAAATCTGTGGGGAAAAAAGAATTTTAATTAGAAAAAAGAGAAATTTTTAAAAATAAAAATTAAATTTTATTTAAAATGAAAATAAATTAAAATGAAGATAAAATTTTTCTTCTCAATTTTCTAAATTGAGAAAAAAAATTCAAGAAAGAAAAATTCAAAGCAAAAACAAATAAAATTGATCCGAACATTTGAAATCTGCGGGAAAAAAGAATTTAATTAGAAAAAAGACGAATTTTTAAAAATAAAAATTAAATTGCATTTAAAATGAAAATAAATTAAAATGAAGATAAAATTTTTGTTCTCAATTTTCTAAATTGAGAAAAAAAATTCAAGAAAGAAAAATTCAAAGCAAAAACAAATAAAATTGATCCGAACATTTGAAATCTGTGGGGGAAAAAAATTTTATTAGGAAAAAATGAATTTTTTTTTTTAAATTAAATTGTATTTAAAATGAAAATAAATTAAAATGAAAATAAAATTTTTGTTCTCAATTTTCTAAATTTAGAAAAAAAATTCAAGAAAGAAAAATTCAAAGCAGAAACAAAAAAAATTAATCCGAACATTTGAAATATAATTAAAAAATAATTTTAAAAATTATGATTAAGAAGTAGGAAATACATCACTTTTATGCATAATTATTTTTATTTATCAATAACAATATTGTTTACAAACTCATTATTTTCTTTTGGGAATAAAAACATTAGATATTCCCGTTTCTTAATATTTTGTAGAAAATTCTCAATTTTTATTAAGTAAGGAAATAATTTGCATAAATTCTATTTCTTAATTTCAATTGTTTTAATAAAATTCAAAGTTTTTTAAAAATAAAGAAAAAAAAATGTTTATAATTTATATTTGTCAATTAGAAAATTTAATTGAAAATGAAACAGAAAATATTTGAATTTTTAGAAAATAAAGAAAAAAATTTTATTCACAAAAATGTTCTGTTAAATTTATTTACGAAACTAAATTTACAACTAAATTTATTGAATTGTAAAATTATTCAAACACAATAATTTCTTCTTTTAATATTTAAAATATTTAATTATTATTTTTCCATAGGAATTAAGATTTTAAAAAATTTCAAACTTCAAACCTTTTTGAAATTAATCAACTTTAAAAATATTGTTATAAAACATAAAGAAAACGATTACTCCTAGTCGAAGACTCAGAGTTCATGTTTCATAATAATTAAAGAAGACCGAATATTAAAATTCTTCTTTAAATTCCTTTTTAAATCAATTTTTATTAGAAAATTCTACGAGAATTCGATTATTTAAATACAAAAGTAAATTATTTATTGAGTAATTGAATGTTTCTTGAAATCAATTTCAATTTTCAAGGAATTTTATTAAAATTGTATTAAAAATAATTGAAATTCTGCGATGAGTTTTATTATTTATAAAAATAATAATTGAATTATTGAGAAGAAACTTATAAGAAATTTGTCAATAATTGAAATCCTGTAAAATTTTTATTATTTATGAAAATTATTAAATGCTTGCGTACAATTTTATTAAAATTGTTTTTAAATAATTAAATTCTTTTGGGTAATTTTATTAAAATTTTGGAAAATAATTGAATTTTGAAGTAGAATTTTTTTATTTCTAAAGATAATTGAAATTTTGACGACATTTTTTTTTTTAATTTTTCAACATAATTGAATTTCTGCGAAGAATTTTATTACTTTTGAAAATAATTGAATTTATTGAATGATTGAATGATTCTTAAAAATTAATTCTTTTGAAAAATTGTATTAACCAATTTTTAAGTAATTGAATTCTTTTGACGAATTTTAATGACATTTTTTAGAACAGTTACATTTTTGAAGGTGTTCGATTAAAATTTTATTAAAAATAATTGAAATTCTGCGATGAGTTTTATTATTTCTGAAAATAATTGAATTATTAAGATGAAACTTATAAAAAATTTGTCAATAATTGAAATCCTGTAAAATTTTTATTATTTATGAAAATTATTAAATGCTTGCGTACAATTTTATTAAAATTGTTTTTAAATAATTGAATTCTTTTGGGTAAATTTATTAAAATAGTAGATATTGAAAATTATTGAAATGAGGATAATTTTTTAAAATAATTGAAAGTTTTACAAGAATTTTATTAAAATTTTTGAAAATAATTGAATTTTGAGGAAGAATATTTTTATTTATAAAGATAGATAATAATTGGGATTTTGTCGAGATTTTTTTGTAAATTTTTAACATAATTGAATTTTGTGATAAGAATTTTATTAATTTTGGAAATAATTGAATTTATTGAATAATTGAATGATTCTTGAAATTTAATTCTTATAAAGAATTTTATGAACAAATTTTTAAAGAATTGAATTCTTTTGACGAATTTTAATGACATTTTTTAGAATAGTTACAATTTTGAAGGAATATGCGATTAAAATTGTATTAAAAATAATTGAAATTCTGCAATCATTTGTAACTTCTTTAAAATTCAATTTTTTTAGTGTTTTTAACTAAAATTCTTCTATAAATCCATTATTTTTAATAATTAATTAAATATATATTAACAAAAACTAATTTTAAAAGATTTTGAGTTATTAAAATTTTTTTTATTCAAAAATAAAACAACATTTTCATAAATTTTTGTTATAATTTTTAAAGAAGAAATGAGATAAAAAAATTTCTAAAGAGAAACAATAAAAATACTCTTAGAATTTCGAGATATCGAATCAGGAATGAAAGAGAAATTTAATTAGCAAAAAACAATATTTTTGTTCTAAAAGAAAAGAAAATTGTGAAAAATAATTCAATATTACAGAAAAATAAAATTCTAATAAATTTTTTATTATTCTTTGCAGAAACGAGAAAGAAAATTTCAGATAAATAAATTTAATAAAATCTTAAAAATAGGAATTTAATTAGCAAAAATAATTTTTTTTGTTCTAAAAAATTTGAAAATATTAATAAAGAATTCAAAATGATAGAAAAATGAAATTTTAATAAATTTCTTTATAAATTTTTTTTTCGAAAATAAAAGAAAATTTCAATGGAAAAAACAAAAATATTAATTATTTTTCTAAATTCCAAATTATAAATTTTTCATTAAAAAATATTCAAAAATACCTAAAAAGAAAATTTTCATAAATTTTTTTGTTACTTTTCTAAAAAGAAATGAAAATATATTTCTAAGAGGAAAGAAAAGAAATCTGGAATGAAAAAGAAATTTTATTAGCAAAGAATTTTTTTTTTCTAAAAAAATTGAAAATAAAAATAAATTATTTTTCTGAACATTTAATTAACATTTTAATTATCAAATAATTATTTTATTAAATTGTGTACAAAAAAATAAACTTTTTTACCTTTTTTTCTTATTAGAAAAAAATTTGTTTAATAGAATCGAGAGAGGAAATTTAAGAAAAAAAATTATACCAAACATTTGAAATGTTCCGAAAAAGAATTTAAATAGGAAAAAATAATTTTTTTATAAAAATATTAATTAGTATTCAAAGTAAAATTCAATTTTTATAATTTTTTTTTCTACAATTTCTAAATAAAATTGAGAAAGAAAAATTGCTCCGAACTCCAAACATTTAAAGATTTCTTATCTTAAAAGAAAAATTGAAAAAAATTAATTTTTTCCGAATTAATAAATTATTATTAGAAGTAAAATAAAATTACATACAAAAATTTTTGCGAAATTTAAATTCTCGTTTAAAATAGAAATGTGTTTATAATAATTATTTTTCTTTTCAATTAATATTAATGATAATAATAATAATACTGATTAGTTCGAGTGTTTGAGAAAGTTGAAGGGCTTTCTGTCGCAAAAGTTTCCTGTCCAATGGACTGTTGGTGGCATGTTTCTCGCAAATCCATTTAAGAAGATCATCCTTGAAATTCTTTCTCAAAACTCTCTGTTGTTGAACTTGTTTCTTTTGCAATTTGTGACTGGGCATTTCTTCTTTATCTCTCTCTCTCTCTCTTTTTTTTAATAACTTTTTTTTCACTCTCCAAACAAAACCAAAAAAAAAAAAACAAACAAATCTTTTTCACTTAAATTGATCTTTTCATTAATAAAAATGCGAATGTAAAAAAACAATAAACGAAAATTATGACAGAAAATTCGAATGAAACAAATCTTATTCGAGTTTCATTCCAATGAAGATATCAACAATTTTTCCTTTGTCTTGAAAACAAAAATTATTCACTTCACACTGAACGAAAAAAAAATTCCATGTCGTGATAAAATAAAAATTATATAATTTTTATTTTATCACGACATGGAATTTTTTTTCGTTTTTTTATAAATAAAAAATTATAAATAATAAAATTGTAAGTAAATTATAATTAAAAAAAAAGAAAATAGATAAATTCATAAATAAATTAAAAAGAAAATAAGAAAATAATAAATAAATTAGTAAATAAAATCATAAATAAAATAAATATTAATATTGATTGAACTATTATTAATATTTATTAATATTAAAATAAAAATAGAAAAAAATCGAAAAAGGGAAAAATGAGAAAAAAATTATTTTTGTTATTGTTATTATTATTATTACATAATATGCATATCAGAAGTGACAATGATTGCAAGATTAATAATATACAGTAGAGATTGTTATAATTATCACTTACAGATACCCTTAAACGTACATGAAAACTTTTATGCTTTAAATAAAGATCATCAAATATTTTAATTATCAATTATTATGTTACATCTGAAACCGATTCACATGATTTACATTATAAACTATTTTTTTTCCTTTCTCGCATATATAACATGCATTTTCATTTATATAATACTTTCCATCAACGTTAACATCATGGATTCTTCTAATTATTTAAAACTGACTCATTATCCAGATATTATTTCCATATCAATTTTCTTTTCTTCTTTTCTTTAAAAAGCATACACTACAAATTTCTATCTAGTCACTTGTCTTTTTATTTCATTCCAAGCAATTTCTTTTACACAATTAAACCAGCGTGCTTCTTTATTTTATTTACAACACACCATTATTAACATATTATAACAAATTCGAGAAAAAAAATTTAATTAAAAAAAAACTACTCTCACAGAAATTTTTTTTTTTTTTTTTTGCTTTTCTACATTCGGAGAAAAAAAATTTATTTGTACCAAATATAATTTAAATATTTGTCTCACAGTCGAGTATTTATTTGAAAAATTGTATTTTTTTGACGAAATCACAAAAATTTTTGAGAAAAATACAATTTTTTGACTGAAGCAATTTTTTTTTGGTTTAGAAAAAATTTATTTGGTTTCGAAAAAATTTATCTGCTTTCAATAAAATTTATTCGGTTTAAATAAAATTTATTTGGAATTGAAAAAGATTTTTTGAACTAGAAGAATTATTTGAAGCAAATAAAAAATATTTTGATCAAAATGAATTCGAATCGAAGTAAATAAATTTATTTCGAGCCAAACGGAAATTATTTAAATCAAATAAACAATATTTTTTGCTCAAAAAAATTTTCTTCGCTTTGAATATAATTTATTTGGTTTAAATAAAATTCATTTGGTCTAAATAAAATTTATTTGGTTTAAATATAATTTATTTGTTTTGAATAAAATTTATTTAAACCAAAAAAAAATCATTTGAACTAAAAGAATTATTTAAATCAAATAAAAAATATTTTTATCTAAATAAATTAAATTGGAGCAAAAAAAAAACATTATTTTAAACTAAATTGAATTATTTAAATAGAAAAAAAATATTTTTATCTAAATTCAAAAATTATTTGTACGAAACAAAAATTATTTGAATCAAATAAAAAAAAATTTTTTGAACTAAACAGAAATTATTTGAACCAAATAAAAAATATTTTGAAGCGAACAAAAATTGTTAGAACCAAATAAAAGATATTTTGAATCGAACAAAAATTATTTGAACCAAATAAAAAATATTCTGAATCAAACAAAAAATTATCTGACTCTGAGACAAATATTTTCTCTCCCTAAAGCACTTGTTGAATAATAAATGGAGTCCAGTTATGATAAATTATTTATAAAAACCAATTAAATAGGACAAAAAACTAAAACAAATATCGAAGAAAAAACACTGACACTAACAGACAAAAAAATGATTTGATTTTTTTTTCTAAAATAATCGATTTAAAAAAATTTTTCTAAAAATATTCACTGACTTGTGATAATTTTCCATCTAGACGAACAAAAATACACACACTCCATATGTTATTCACCAACAAAATTACAATAATTACTTTTCTCTCTAAAAACTAAGTCTACGTATAAACAAGCAAATTTACAATTATAAATCGACGAAAAAAAATTTGATTAACAAATTATCAACGAAAAAAACACTAAATTTACGAAGAAAAAAAATTATTTTTCTTTCGTCTTTTGTATATAGATTTTGTAAATATAAGATTCTAATATACAATATAAACTTTCCTTATACGATGTATTTTATCGAATATAATATAATGCAAATCTAAAAAGAATATATATAACAAGGCAGTAATGCACAGAAAATATTGGGGATAAAATCGGGTTTAAACAATGTTCGATACTGAAGAATATTGTACTTGTCGTTTCCATTTTCATTTTTCAACAATTCGGTGTAACCATCGCAACGATGAAGAAAAGAAATTATCAATTTTTTTTTTACACATTACAAAAACACTTTCTCATTAAACGATTATTATCATCGTATATTGTTCTGGTCATCGTATAAAATCAGACTTTTATGTTTTTAAGCACGCATCGAGGCCATTTTTATTTTAACTTGGGCGTATTTAAATATTTTCGTTATGTAATATTTTCATTATCATCATCATTATCATTATTCTAATCATCAGTACCAGTGGAAAATTTATAGCATTACTGGAATGCACCTCTAACGAGAATTTACTGGAAAATATTTATTTGATTCAAATAATCCTCTACTTCACTGAATTATTATTACTTGAAAAATATTTCGAACAATTTTGTTTCAATTAAAAATTAACGAAAAAAAAAAATGTTTCGAACAATTTTTTTTTTTTATTTAAAAATTAACGAGAAAAAAATATTTAAGAGACAATATTTTTCTATTTTAATCAGGAAATCAAATTTTACTCAATAATTTATTGATTGCAATTAAAATTTAACTGAGACAAATAATTGTGACAAATATTTAACTGAGACAATTAAATAAATTGTGCCAAATATTTAACTGAGACAATTAAATAATTTTGACAAATATTCAACTGAGACAATTAAAAAATTGAGACAAATATTTAATTGGAACAAATAAATTTTTGACACAAATAATAATTTTTTTTCATCAAAATAATTATTCGTAGCAAATATTTAATTGTCTGCGATAATTCTGAGACATTTTCGAAGGAAAATTCGAATCAAATATTTTTTTCGTCAGTGGAACATTTTTTTTTTTTTGGTAATGATATTTGATTAATGGGATAAAGTTCACAAAAAAAATGTACCTAATGTAATAGAATAATTTTTTTTTTGTTGCATTTTTCAATCGTCGCCTAATCGATTTCCATTTTTTTCCCCGACTGGTAAATTGTCCAGCAGCTAAATCAGTCGGCGTAACAATTTTTTTTTATCAACACTTCACGTTTTTCACTTTTCTTTTTCGACGACAAAGACTGAAAAAAGAGTGACAAGAAAAAAGAGCGAAATTTGAAAGAAAAATGAAGAAACAAAGAAAAGGGGAAAAATAATAAGGAATTATTAAGAGAGTAAATAATTGATTTTAATCAAATTTCTGATTTTTTGTTCAATAATAAATTAATTGCAAACAATTTAATTAATTCAATGGATTTAATTTAATAAATTTAGAGAATTTAATTTAATTATATTAATGAATTTAATTCAAAGAATTTAATTTAATTAATTTAATTAATTTAACGAATTTAATTTAATTAATTTAATGAATTTAACGAATTTATTTTTGTTAATAAATTTCATTTTGTTAATTTTTGATAAAATTCCTGTACTAATTTTTATTGACGAAATAAACAAACACTTTTTTTCATTTTGATTAATTAATCACCAGGAAATTAATTAAAAAAGAAAAATAATTGCAGAAAATGGAAAATTTTCCAATCATTCTTCTCCTCAGTCTTCGTCTTTATATGGAACCAAGTAAAACGTGATTACAGTGTGAATATAATATATCTATAATATATGTTATGCAATTATATTATCAACAATCCTAGAATAAAATTGTAGATAGAAATATGACTTTTTTTTTATTAATCGATTGCACTGATTTTTCTCTAAATCTCGAAAAATTTCGAGTTTCCTTAAATTTCAATAGTACATTGAAAATTTTACTATTAAATACAAATTGAAAAATTTGTCTTTTTTTTCTCTCCCAAAAAAAAGGCTTGACAAAAAAGACATACGGTCTACAATTTTTCGATTATAATATTTTTGTTTTCTGTTTTTTTCATAATCGTTGCATAGATTTTTTTTGTATAAAAAAAAAATCTTTATCGCGAGTGGAAAAACATTTTTTTTTGTTTCTAAATTAATATCCTAATTCTCTCGTCGCTGATGTTAAATGTGAAATTGTTTCTTGAATTTCTCGAATTCCCAGGAGGAGGAAATTTCTTTTTTCATCGTTCCTATCGAGGTGGATATCGACTGCGTTGTGCAATTTTTTGAGGACGATCCTTCATATCCATGGGATTAAACATCATTGGTCCCTGTGAAAATTTACAAGAAAATAATTAATTTCCAATTTATAATTCAAATAATTTGAAAATATTTATTTTATCAGATTTTATTCTCAAATAAAATAAATTTGAATTATTTATTTTATGCTTCAATAAATAAATAAAAGTAAATTTGAAAATATTTATTTTATGCTTCAAGACAAAAATGAAGTAAATTTGTAAAAATAATTAGCCAATTTTGAAAAAATAATTTGCAAATCAATTATTGGAAAAATAATTTGAAAATAAATTTGAAAAAATAATTTGTCAATGAATTTGGAAAAATAATTTGAAAATAAATAAAAGAAATAATAATTTGCAAATAAATTTGAAAAAATAATTCGAAAACAATTTCAATTTTCAATGTTATTTGAAATATAAAAATAAATTCTTTAATAACTTTTTTAAAAATTCAATTTTTCATAATAGAAAAAAAATTCTTTTAGTGATTAAAAAAAAATTCTATTCTTTTTATTTATTTATTGTCGATATTATTTTGAAAAAAAAATAAATGAGGCGTGTCGATGACAAGAAAAAAAGCTGAAGTAATGAATATGGCAAAAAAAATGTAACAAATAAACCAGAAGCACTAGAAATGAAGAAAGTGGAAAAAAATAGTATTACAAAGTCAAATTATTTAAATATGATTATTCATCGCGCTTTACCTTGTTCTATTTTTGTTATTTGTTTTAGTAAAAAGAGAGAGAGAAAAAAAATGTTAAATTCTAGACAAAAAGCATTTTCCTAAATCTATGGTAATACAAAGAGAGGATTTTTTTTCGTAAATTAATGTCTCGAATTTAAATTTTAATACATTTTAAAAAGAACGTAATAATCCTCTTTTCATAAAAACCAAGGCTTTTAGTGCATTCGGTAGTAAAAAAAAAGTTGGAAACAAAAACTAAAGCATATTAAAAATCCTCTTTTTAAAAAAGTCCTCTTTTTTTCTAAAAACCCTTTTTCTTCATTATTAATTCAATTTTTATTTTGTTTTTTTTTATTATTAATTTTTACTGTTAATTTTTATTACTAATTTTTATTATTAATTTCTATTACTAATTTTTATTAATTTTTATTACTAATTTCCAGTGTTATTTTTTATTGTCACATTTTATTATTTTCCGTCCGAATAAATTTACAATTTCTTTGCAATTTTTGGTCGAAAAATTTCTCTATTATTTTTGGTCCGAATAATTTATTTCTTTAATTTATTTTCGATCCGAGTTTATTCCTGTCTTATTTTCAGTCCAAATAAATTATTTCTTTACTATTTTCGGTCCGAATTTATTTCTTTATTATTTTCGGTCCGAATAATTTATTTCTTTATTTTTTTTCAGTCCGAATAAATTATTATTTTATTATAAGCGGAATAAATTAATATTTTTATTTTTTTTAAAAAATTTTTATTATTAATTTTTTTCTCTATCATATCAACAATTAATTTATGAAAATTAATTTCACTTACGACGATTTTTCTTTTCGTTAAGGCAAATTGTATTAGTTAAAAAAAGAAAAAAAAGAAATACTAATTTTTTGAGAGAAAAAAAAATTAAGAGCACTAAATTTTAAAGGTTTACCTTGTCCCGTTGAAGGAGGCGCGGATCTCTCATTGTGTAGCTTTGCACTTCTCGTGATAATGAGCTGGTTGAGCTCCAGCGAGAGAGCTAAATTCCATATACAACACAACAATTTTCTCTCACAAAAAAATTTTCACCCAAAAAAGCTTAATAAATAAATTAATTTCTCCATAGCGCTCACAATATCAATTGCATTTTTTTTTAACTCAAAAAAAAATTAAATCAATTCTTCTCTTTAAAAAAAAACTCTTTTCGAACTCGAAAAAAAAATCAAATCAATTTTTCCTCTCATAAAAAAGAGAAAAAAAAATTATTTCGTTTAATAAAATTAAAAAATTCAATTTATGTACCATTATTTAATTAAATTTTCTGCTAATTATTTAGTTCAATTTTTTTATTAATTATTTAATTTCTTTCTAGTAATTTAATTAATTTCATTTAATTAATTTTATTTACAGAAATTAATTTCTAATAATTTACAATTTTTTCAGTAATTAATTAATTAGAAAATGAAACTTAAATTGAAATAACAAAATAATTACAAATTGATATTGCGAATGCTCTGGAGAATTTTTTTTACCTATTTGATAACTAAAGTGTTTCTTAAAAAAATAATTTTGTGTAAATTTCATGCAAATAAAATTATAAAGCGAACTTTTTTCCTTCTGGTAAAATATAAAGTCGCTTTTGCATTTTGTTTGTTAATCGCGATAGTGTTAAATTGAACAATGGAAAAAAAAATTTTCAGGCCAGAAAAAATACCATAAAGCCAAAAGCATTTTAAGACACTGTACACCATTGTTTTTAATGGAAAACCATAAAATGCCAAACATACAATTTTCTACCTTTCTCATGCGACGGAGAAATTCGTTTAAAAAAAATAATCTACCACTAAAAAAAAAAATTAAAATAATATCAGAAAAATATATTCTCCAAAAATCGAGTTTAATTTTCTCGATCGAAAAAGACGGAAATAATTTGAATGAGTAGAAAAATTTTTCTCTGCAAAAAAAGAAATGGGAAAATCGAGGAGAATTATTTTACAAAAGAAAATTATAATTGCAATCGATTGAAAGCATTGAATAAAAAAGTGGCCAAAGCGAAAAGAAAGCAATATGTATACATTTAGATATATATGAAATTAATAGAAATATTCTTACAATTGGAAACTTTTTTGTTATTTGGCTACATCATTCTGCTTCCCCGACTGCTTGTAAAGAAGAAAACAAACGGAAGTCATTCATTAATTGTAATAAATTAGTTTTTCTTTTTTTTTAGTCTAAATTACTCTAAAACAAATATTAATTGGAAAATAATCACTTTTAAAAGGAAATTAATTATTAGATTGTTAAAACATTCAAAAACAAACAATTATTATTGTCATTCACTGTAAGTAATTAATTAAATTAGCTATTAATTAAATTAACTTGTGAAAATTGTTAATTCATAGATTAAAATATTAAATTAACAAGAAAATTAATTTTTTCCTAGAAAATATTAATTTATTGCTAAAAATAAATTATTTTTAATCAAATAAGAAATTCGTAAATAAAATAAAAATGCGAAAATAAAAAAAGTTCAAAGGTAATTCCGAAAGTAAAATACCTACGAAAATAAAAGGAAATTCGAAAATTAAAACTCGAGGTAAAAATAAGATAAATTTCTTTCTTCCTATTTTTTGCTCTCTGTCCGTGGAATTTGTCTCTTTATCGAAATGGAAAATTTCTCAAAAGCAGAATTTCCACCAAATAGAATTTCGTTTCAATTTATAAACAAAAAAAAGGAGAAAAATTAAAATCGACAAGACTTGCAGACTAAAATTCTCAGCTGACGATCGACAAATTAAAACAAACCATTTAAAGCATCTCGAATCGAGATAACATTGCACAATATTACCAAGAAAAAAAATTTATGTTTACAATTTGAAAAACAAAACAAAAATATTTCTCGATGCATTGAAAATGGAGAGAAAAAAAAATTTTTTTTTAAACATTATTCACTTCTAATAAAAAAAACGGTATAAGAAAGAAAATAATAAAAATGAAGCGTACTGCAAAAAAAGAACTACAGTCGCGAGAAATAGACGTATTTTACAAAAATTTGTGTCTCGTCTATTTTTGTAAAAAAAAAAATACTGTAGAACGTTTCCTACTGTAAATATGTGTGAATAAAATATGTTGAGAGTTGATAATGATTAATGAGTAAAAATTAATTTTACTTATGAATGAAAACTCACCTCTTGAGGAGGGTTTTCGGCAGTTTGTTGCGTTGGGATCGACGATGAAGACAAAAAGTCCATGGGAGCGTTGGGATCATTCACTAAAAAAAAAGAAAATATTTTATCATCGAATCCAAAATCAATTTCAATTTATCGAAAAATTTAATTATTGAGAGACAAAAATATTAAAAACTCTTTTAAATATTTAAATACGAAAACTTTTTCAAATATTTCCACTTTTCAAGTATTTAATTACTACAAATTTTTTTTATTTAATTATTTCAAAAATATCAGACTTCGCACTCGATAATTAATTCAAAATTTTACTTTTCAATTTTGATTCCAAATTTTATCTCTTATTTTATTTTATTTCTATCAAAATTATTTCAGAATTTTATAAAATTTTTTAAATAATTGATTACTTTCGACTTATTTTATGCAAATTCTAATTTAAATAATTAAATTCCTGAGAAATTTTTATTATTCATGAAAAGAATTAAATTTTTACGAAGATTTTTTAAAAAATATTTTTTAAATAATTGAATTCTGTTTGAAAATTTTATGAAAATAGTAAATATTGAAAATCATTGAATTGCGAAAAGTTTTTAAAAATAATTAAATTTTACAAAGAATTCTATTAAAATTTTTGAGAATAATTAATGTCTGTGTGGCATTTTATTAAATTTGTTTGAAAATAATTGAATTCCTATAAAAAGAATTTTATTATTCATGAAAATAATTGAATTTCCAAGAAGGAATTTATCACTTTTAAAAATAATTGAATTCTTGTGATGAAAATTGTTATTTATGAAAATAATTGAATTCCACATATGAATTTAATTATTTATGAAAATAATTCAATCATTGCGACAAATTTTATTAAAATGTTTAAAGAGAATTGAATTTCTGTGAAAAATTTTGTTATTTTTAAAAATAATTGAATTCTTGCGAACGATTTTACAAGAATTTTTTTAAATAATTGAATTCCAAAGAAAAAATTTATTAGTTTTAAAAATAATGGAATTCTTGAGGTATTATTTATGAAAATAATTGAATTTTGAAAAGAATTTTATTAAAATGCCTCAAAATAATTGAATTTTCAGCAATAATTTTGTTATTTATCGACATAATTGAATTCTTTCGAAGAATTATTTATGTAAATAATTGAATTCTTGGAAAGAATTTTATTAAAATTGTATTTAAGATAATTCATTTCTTTCGAACCATTTTATTAAAATATTTTAAAATATAATTGAATTCCTGTGAAAAATTCTAATATTTTTGTAAATAATTGAATTCTTTTCCAAACAATTTAAAAAAAATTTTTTTTAAATAAATGATTTTTTCGAGGAATCGAAATTGAATTTTTAAAAATAATTATACAAAACATGAAATTACATGTTTTGAGCAATTCCTTTAAAATTTTATTAAAAATAATTGAAATTCTGCAATGAATTTTATTATTTATGAAAATAATTGAATAGTTGCTAAGAATTTTATTCAAAATTTTCAAAAAATAATTGAATTCCAGAGGAAACTTTTATTATTTTTGCGATAATAATTGAATTATTGCGAAAAATTTTATTAAGATGTTTAAAAAGAATTGAATTTCTGTGAAATATTTCGTGTTTTTTGAAAATAATTGAATTCTTCATAAGATTTATTTATAAGAATTATTTATGAAAATAATTGAATTTTGGATGAATTTTATCAATTTTATTTTTTATATAATTGAATTCTTTTGCGAAATTTTATGAAAATACTAAATATTAAAAATAATTGACTTTCGAATATTTTTTGAAAATAATCGAATATGGTTTTAAAGAATTTGATTATAATTTTTGAGAATAGTTTTTTGATTTTCTACTATTAGCGAATTTAAAGTAGTGGAAATTTTCAAAATAAAAATAGAAATAGTAACTTTTAGTTGCTGAAATCTAAAAAAAGTATCGAAATAGTAGCATAAGGTAAAAAAAGTAGTAAATAGTAGGTTTTAGTAGATGAGTGCGAAGTCTAAAATATTTAAATAATAAAATTGTTTCGAATATTGAAATATTTGCAATTTTTTTTTTGAATATTGAAATTTTGAAAAAGGATAATTTTTTTCAACTAACCGGGAGCGGGAACAAAAACTTGAGGCGAGGAAGATGCGATGGGCGCCATTGGTGAATTTGCTGGCGTTTGTAAATTGGATGAAACTCCAGAACTTTTCCCTCCATTTGGATTCATTACATCGATATAATTAGCTCGCATACTTCGACCCTTTTGCAATTTGTAAACATTGCTGCCAGTGATTAATTTCGAACTATTCACAGCCATCGATTCATCATTTTGACCACTTGGCGGTAGCAAGTGTTGTTGAGTCACATTTCGTTCCGGTTGTAAATTCTTGAATCCCAAATCACTAGCTTTTGGTGGCGGTCCAACCGTTCCACTCACACTGTCTTCGCCGTCCTCTTTATTCATCCATTTGCCAGCCACTGAATCCCAAACAATCTGCAATTTATTTATTTCATTATTAATTAATTGCGTCTCAAATAAATAGAAAAATTCAATAGAAAAAAAAATTAATTTGTTTAGAACTAGATTTTAAAAAAATAATTTCGTTTCGAAAACAATATTTCTTTTTTATTTTTCGTACTTTTTTCCAAAAATAATTTACGATTTAATTTTCAAAGGGAAAATTCTTCCTCCATCAGGAAGCAAAAATCAAAAAAAAAAATGTTAGGCGCATGGAAAAATTTTGTTAGTTGAAAAACACATTTTAAAAAACGTATTTAACGCTCAAATTGGTTAAATTCAATCCTCTCGCCTCAATTTTTTTTGGAAAGAAAAAAGTTTTTTTCTATAAATAAATATTTATAATAAACAATAAAGAAAATATTAAATAAAAATATAATTGAATAAGAAAGAAAATTAAGAAACAAATAAAATTAAATAAAAGATCGAATTAAGAAAGAAATAAAATTAAAAAGAAGATAAAATTAAGAAGGAAGTAAAATTAAATAATAGACGAAATTAGAAAAACAATAAAATTAAATAATAGATAAAATTAAGAAAGAAAGAAAATTAATTAAAAAAACTAAAATTAATAAAGAAAGAAAATTAACAAAAGACTAAAATGAATAAAAAACGAAAATTAATAAAGAAAGAAAATTAACAAAAGACTAAAATTAATAAAAAACGAAAATTAATAAAGAATGAAAATTAACAAAAGACTAAAATTAATAAAAAAAGAAAATTAATAAAGTAATAAAGTTACTATAAAAAAGCGAAATGAAATAAAAAACCCCAAGTGAAAAAAAAGTGAATTAAAAAAAAAAATGAATAACAATAAAAAATTGAAACAAAAATTTTCAAAATTCACAAAAGAAAAAAAAAATTCCTCGCTTGCACACAATTTTTTAAACTTACGATTAAATTCTCTGGCTACCAATAGAATCTTCCCGTGCCCTTTAATGACAAAAAGAAAGAGAAACGAAACAGAAAGCTATTTTCTCAACTACACGTGAAAAAAAAGAATTTTTGAGAATTTTGAAAATCAAATTTTTTAATAAACAAAAATCTCACCGATGGATTATTGTCGTCGGGTAGAATCATTTGATTTTTTGGTTTTGGCGCAAGTTTACTGAAAAGTCCACCAAACCACGAACTCCCTGAATTCGCATTTTTCTTCTCCGACAATTTATCCGTTGATTTTTTATTTTCCACTGATTGCGCTGCTTTCGCCACTTGTTTCGGTGAATCCAATGCGTCCAATTCCTCTAGTGGATCATATTGTTTCGTTGCCGATGGACCCAATGAAATTTGCGGTTGTTGCTGCTATAATTTAGAAACAAAAAAACAGAAAAAAATCCGTCAATGCAGATTCACTTTAAATCGCTTTTATTATTCACTTTAATAAATAATAAATTAACAATAATAACAATAATAATAACAACAATAATAATAATAAAAATATTAATAATGATAATAATTATAATTATTATTGTAATTATTTAATAATTACAATACTAATAATTATTTACTTATAAGAATTCACAAATCTGAAAATTTCAATCTAAATTAATTTTTATTCGACTTGTAAATTCTGTAATTTAAACAAATTTCTATTTCTATCAAAACTAATTTTCGTTTTACAAAAAAAAAATAGTAAATTATCTTGATTTAATTTCTCATTCATCAAAAATTAATTTTTACTTGCTTAAATAATTAAATATTGATATATTGAAATTTTAGGAATCGAATTTCATTTTCAGTTTTTAATTTCCAAATTTTATTTTCATCTGAAGAATTGAGTAGAAAAACAATGGAGCAAACTTTGCATGCAATATAGTGAATTTTTTTTTCCAAACTTCAATCTGTTAATTATATCGTCAACAAATTTTAATCTACAAAAGGAAACTAATAAACTAGAATAAAAAACAAAAATACACACGGGGATTTTTATCGGATTTTCACAAGCAAAGGCCCTTTTTTTGTTGTCGAGAATTGAAAGTCATTTTTTGCGTTATTATATCCTTTATTTCGTATCATATAATTATATCATTGCTGTATTATATATTTATTATATGCATTATATCAACATTAAAATTAAAAATATTTTGTAAAATTGACAGTAACTCGACGACTGCAAATTCTCGTTATAAACAATTAAATATTTTCAAATCAAAGTCTATAAATTGTTTTTTTTTTAATTTATATGTACAAAAATGTCTCGCTTTCAATTTTTTTATTTCCTTTGGAGAAAAATTGCAAAATTATTTTTTTTAACTCTGTTTTCGATTAAATTTGCAAAAAAAATTTTTTGTCAATAAAATTAATTAATAATAATTATTTTAATAATTATTAATTAATAATTAATTAAAATTAAAAACTAAAATAGTTTTATAAAAACCAATTAAAAATTACCAATTAATTAAAAAAAAGAGAGTTAAGAGAATAAAATTAAATATTTCAAAGAAACTGGCTCCAAATTTACAGAAAAAATAAGATTGCAATTGAAATATAATTAAAAAGCAAAAAAAAAATGCTTTGTTGAAAATTATTAAAGTTCCTCCGATACGTAATGTTCGGGGGCGTCAATTTGAAATGTTTTCGGCGTATAAATTGTGCCCCTGTGATTATTTCTTAGTGGAAAATCAATGGGGTAGGTGCCACCGAAAATAAGTGGTTTACTACGCGATAAATCCGTCTCGGGACCACGACTCCATGCATCGACAGTGTCGCAAATAACATCTTTTCGACGAATGTGCGGTGCAACTTTCACTATTTTTTTCTCATCAAAATTGCAATATTGCGTCAATGATTGACCGACATTATTATCAATTGTTAAACTCGAACGTCTCTCGCTGTCTGACGATGAACTGGACATTGAAAATGATTTAAATTTAAGACGCCTTAATTGAATATCCAAATCAGTTGTTGGACTATCATTATTATTATCTCTCGGTGACAATTTTTTCTTAATATTACATTTTAAAAAAACTGGCCCCTTCGCTAGTGGCGGTTTTGAATTTAAATTTGTCAATTTTTTTGCCCTCGGCAATTCTTCATGTGGATGAATTTTATTGTTGCTCGACAATAATTTTGGATACGAGGACATTATTTTTGGATATTTCATTGTTTTTGGTGATTTCTCAGAATTTTTTTGCGATGATGTATTATTGAGACGGATTTTATTATTATCCAAATAATGAAATGAGGAGAATTCTGTTTTGCTTTCATTAATAATTCGTCGACGTCGCAGTGAATTTTCAGCAAAGACATCCAAGTGTTCAGGATTACTATTCGAATGGTTGAGCGTTTCAATACTTACTTCCTGTGTTGATGATGATTTTTCATCCTTTTCCGACTGTCCAGCCAGCATTCAAAGAAATAGCATCGATATTACAATTGTTAATTATTTAGAGAGAAAAAAAAACAAAATCTTATTAATGAAACTATTTTTCGAAAAATTTTTCAAAAATTTGACTCGAATTTTGGAAATTTTTTTTGGTCGCAAAATTCGATTTAAAATATTTATTGACTGATTTCATTTTTAATTTAGAAAAAAAATAGAATTTTCTACAATTCCTTGCAAAATTTGATTTTTCTAAAAATTCATTAACAAGGAAATAGTGAGAATATATGTGAAAAAATTATAATCGAAAATTTTCAACAATTTTCTTTGAAACAAAAATAAAAGAGGAAAAAAATATTGAAAATCAAAGCTGTCTGGAAAATAATCAGGGTGGTCACAATTTTCAGTTTATCAATTTCCCTGACAATTTACTGACATTAAAATTATTTTCCCTGACAAAATTCTTTTTACAAAAAAAATATGAAAGTTTACAGATAATAAGTAAAATTTATGATTATATCTTAAAAAAGTGATTTAAAAATAATTTTTGAAAGATTTGTTTATAGTTATTTTTTGCACTTTAAAAATTCGATGTAAGTTGCATTTCATACTAAAAAATGTGATATTTTGTTGCAATATTTGAAAGAACAGTTGCAATTTTTAAAATAAGTCGAAAAAACTCTCAATTTCGTTAATTTTCCTGACAAAAAATTTTTTTCCTTTAATTTCCCTGACTTTACTGATAAAAATTTTGTTTTCCTGACATTACTGACTTTTCTGACATGTGACCACCCTGATAATGAATTTTGATTAGTGAGTAAAAATTTTAATTAAAAAAAATCAAAATTAAATTAAAATAGAAGTAAACTAGAATTAAATGGAATCAAAATAGAATCAAAATAGAATCAAAATAAAATTAAAATGGAATCAAAATAAAATTAGAATAGAATTAGAATAGAATTAGAATAGCATTAAAATATAATCAAAATAGAATCAAAACAGAACCAAAATAGAACAAAAATAAAATTAGAACAGAATTAAAATAGAATTCGAATAAAAAGAATAAAATTCGATTAAATAGAAAGGAAAATTACTTTACCTCATAACCCCAATTTCCCTGTTGCTTATTATCGACTTCGGTCTGATCCGTCGAATACTGAGGAGATTGTTGCCAATCCTGAGCAGTGTATTCCTGTTGATTATAATTTTGTTGATTCCAATAATCCTGTTGTGTTTGCTGATAATGAGAGGAATCGAGATTTGTTCCAGAATATTGATCAGTATGTTCCGTTAAACTGTAAGGTTCCTGAATATTCGAATGTTGAACCTGCCAGTCCGAGTGCTGTTGTTGTTGTTGTTGTTGTTGCTGCTGCTGCTGTTGTTGCTCCATTGGTACATCCAACATCGAAATTGGCGCCTCATATTCCCCCTGAATTTGTTGTTGACTCCAATTTTGCTGCTGAGCCTCATAATGACTCTGATTCATCCCCTGCAATTCTGGCGTCGCTTGCGAAACGTAACCAGTTTCTTGAACAATTTCTCCACTCTGAAATATCATTTAAAAAATGACCCTATTTTCTCAAAAACTTAAAATTTCTCCAAAAAATTAAAATATGTAAATTTATTAAATTAAATAAATAAATAATTTAAAATAATTAATCAGGATTGCCACGCTTTTGCTTATTTGAAATTCCCTGACTTTTCCAGGTTAGAAAACGGAATTCGCCAAAGGCGAATTTTTCCAAGGTTTTTAAAACGAAAATTATTCGAAAACATCAATAACTTCATTTTTAAATAAATAATCATTTTTTTAAAGAAATTAAGATATTCAAAAATTTGAAATTCAACAATAAGAATATTATTATAAAACTTGCTACTTTGTTATTTTAACTTCTTCAAAAATTATTTTCATCATTACGATTATTCATTTCTAGAATTTTCAACTGAAATTCTTCAATTTTTTAAAAATAATTTTTGAAAAAGTTCTTTATGAATTTTCAAATTCTTTTGTTTACAATTTAATTTTACGAAATTTCGATTATTCTGACAATTTTCAATTAAATATTTATTAGGGATTAAAAACTTCAAATAATTAAAAAAAATTACATTAAATTTACTGAAAACAATTAATTCTATAGAATTCTTAATTAAAAGTATGAAAAGTTAAAATTTTCAAAGATTTTAATTTGAAATTCATTTTTAAATCAATATTTATTAGAAAATTCTACGAAAATTCAATTATTTAACTATAAAAATAAATATTTTATTAAACAATTGAATGTTTTTTAAAATTGAATTTTCATACAGAATTTTATCAACAAATTTTTAAATGATTGAATTCTCTTGACGAATTTTAATAGAATTTTTAACAATAATTGCATTTTTCGAGAAATTTCATGTAAATTGTATTAAAAATAATTGAAATTCTGCCAAGAATTTTATTAAAAGTTATGAAAATAATTGAGTTTCGGAGAAAAATTTTATTATTTATAAAGATAATTGAAGAATTGAATTATTTTGGAAAATTTACAAAAATTCTTCTCTAAAATTCAATTATTTTCCTAAATAATAAAACTCATCGCAGAATTTCAATTATTTAAAAAAAATTTTATAAAATTTTTCGCAAAAATGTACCTAATTATTTTCATATATAATAAAATCCATTCGCTGAAATTCAATTATTTTCATAACTTATAAAATTCTGCACTAAAATTTAATTACTTTCGTAAATAAATACAATTCTTTTCAATAATAGTTGTCAATTATTTTCATAAATAATGAAATTCTTTCTAGGAAATTTATTATTTTAAAAAAATGTCAATAGAATTTTTTAAAACAATTTATTTATTTTCAATTAAAATTAAATTCCTCGGAAGAATTAAATTAGTTTGAAAAAATTACAAAAATTCTTTTGCAGAAATTCAATTATTTTCATAAATAATAAAACCCATCGCAGAATTTCAATTATTATTAAAAATTTTTGATAATATTCTTTGTCACGAATTCAATTAATTCTATAGAATTCTTAATTAAAAGTATAAAAAGTTCAAATTTTCAAAGATTCTAATTTGAGATTCATTTTTAAATCAATATTTATTAGAAAATTCTACGAGAATTCAATTATTTAACTATAAAAATAAATATTTTATTAATTGAATTTTCATAAAGAATTTTATCAACAAATTTTTAAATAAATGAATTCTCCTGATAAATTTTAATAAAATTTTTAAGAATAATTGCAAGAAATTGAATAAAAATTGTATTAAAAATAATTGAAATTCTGAAAAGAATTTTATTAAATGTTTTAAAAATAATTGAATTTCGGAAAAAAATTTTATTATCTATAATGATAATTGGAATTTTGACGATAATTTTTGTTAATTTTTAAACCTAATTGGATTTCTGTGAAGAATTTTATTAAAATTATTTTTAAAAAAATTGAATTGTTACGCAAAGAATTTCATTAAAAATTTTTGAAAATAATTTTATTCTTTAAAGAAATTTAATTAAAAATTTATTGAAAATCATACTTAAATTCTAATAAATAAATTTTACTAAAGGTTATTAAAATAATTAAATTTCTTTAATAATTTTTAATAAAATTTTGAAGAATAAGAACTTTTTTCGAGGAATTCCATTAAAATTGTATTAAAAATAATTGAAATTCAGCATTGAGTCTTATTATTTATGAAAATAATTGAATCCCAGCAAAAAATGTTATTATTCATGAAAATAATTGAACAATATATGAAAATAATTTGTAAATAATTGAATTTTTGAGAAATTTTTATTATTTATAAAAATAATTAAATGTTTGCGTAGAATTTTATTAAAATTTTTTTTAACTAATTGAATTCCTTTAGGAATTTTTATTAAAGTAGTAGATATTAAAAATCATTGAATTGAGGAAAGTTTTTGAAAAGAATTAAAATTTTGCCAAGAATTTTATTAAAATTTTTGATAATAATTGAATTTCTGAAAAGAATTTTACTACTTTTGAAAATAATTGAATTTCTGCAATTATTTGTAATTTTGCTTTAAAATTCAATTTGTTTTAGTGTTTTTAACTAAAATGCTTCTATAAATCCATTATTTTTAATAAAACTAATTAAATATATATTAAATATTTTTACTAATTTCAGAAGAATTTTAGTTTAATAATATTTCTAATTAAATTCATTTAAAATTGAAATTTTACAAAATTTTAAATCAAAATCTTTTAAAGTTCATCTACTTATGAAAATTGTAAACACAATTCTTTTAAAATTGAATTAATTTTGAAATATTTAAGTGAAATTAGATTTCAAGAATAAACTTTAGAAAACAACAATTTTCCAGGATTTCGATCAAAATTCCCTGACTTTTCCAAGTTTTTTCAAGGTTTATAAAATTCCCTGAAATTTCCAGGTTTTCCAGGTTGCGTAGCAACCCTGTAATTAATTAACAAATTACCTGATATTTGTTGACAATCTCCTCGAGTTTATTGAGCCAAACAAGATTAGCGACGTCCTCGACAGAATCCTTACAAACAGGATCGTGAAATTTAATTCTATTGCCCAAAGTATAAATTTCATTGATAAATGATATTTTATATTTTGCTGGTTCATTGGCAATATTCACCGCAATTTGTTCAATATAAAGTAATGCCTTCTCGATTAATCCATAGTCAACCATTTTCAATGCGAGGTGAAATTTGAAATTTTGCAAATCAACAATTGTAAAGCCAGGTTCACTTAAATTACGAGCGTACTCATAAATTTCCGTCAACATTATTGCATCATTGTTGATAAATTCAGAATATGATTTATGATGATTCGAACCAATGAGAACTAATTTCACTCCATTCGTGCCGTACGGTCCAAAATCGCTTTGCGCTAAAATATAGCAAAAATGCGCGGCATTTATGTCGCCTCTTGCTGCCAATGTATCGCCGAGAATTGTTATTGATCGATGATTCACTTCTGGATTTTGTGAGGCATTTGAAATTATCATTGCCAAATGGGGTCGCCAATCGTCCCAATTTGCGTCCGCAACACACTGAAAAAAATTTATAGAGAATATTTTTAGAGAGAATATTTATTTTTTTAATTCTACAATTACCTTTTTCGTGTATTTACTTATTTTTTGATATTTTAATTAATTATAGATTGATATTAATTAATCGAAACTTACAGTAACGCTCGCTGGAACTCGACCAGAATGAAGTTGATATAAAGTTTGGAGAGGATCGTTTGATGGTAAACTGTTTGCAAAACGGGTCATAACTGAGGCGTGAGTTCGTTTATCCAATTTACTAGCGAGGAAAAGAGCGTGTCCCCAAAGTCCCTCATCCATCGCGAATTCTATTTTTCAAAAAAATGATAAATTAATTAGTTACAAAAAAGTAATTAATAACAGAATATAAAAACAGACAAGAAAATTTGATAAAATTGTTACAAAAAAATAGTTAATAAAAAATAAAATTAAATAGTCAACAGGAAAATTTAAAAAAATTACTTTTAAAATTACTTTTATTTATTTGAATAAATAACATTTATTAAAATTAATAAAATTTTATTAAAATTGATAATAAAAAATAAAAGAGAATTTAATGAAATGGAAACAAATAAATAATTGATAATAAAAAGTAAAAATAAATAGTCAACGAGAGAAATCAATGAAATGGTTACAAATAATAAAAAATTGAATAGTTGACAAATTTTGAGCGATAAATATTCGGGAATAGAACAAACCTAAAGCTTCCTGTACGAGACCGTAGAGTAAAGTATTTCGAAATTCGTCCGTCAATTGATTTATTGTTTTTCGTTGTTTCGCAGTGTCTTCCTTCTCATTCGGTGTGAGTGTATCGCGAACATTTCCATCTTCCCCTGAGCCGGCAGATCTTTGCGATATGGTCGATTCACGTCTCACTGGTTCACGAAGATTTTTATTGTAGGGATATGCGTCTTTATTTCGTAGCAAAAGCGCTGCAATATCAACTCCAACGACATTCTAGAAAAAACAAATAAATAAACGTAAATTATAAATAAAAGAGAATGAAATACAAATAATAAAACGTAAATAAACAAAAATATTTTTTGCAAACAATGTCTCTGAAGTTTTTTAAATTCAAAATAAACGATAATATTTCTTTACTTCTTCTAATTTGTATCTTTTTTTGCAAAAAAATATTATTTTTTATATTAATAAAGAAAAATTAATTCTCAACAAATGTAAATGTTTAATTTTAATTATTTTTCCGTTTTGGATAGTAATATTTGTAAATATTTAAACAGAAAAAAAATTCGTTCAAAACTTTAGAAATATTGCAAACAAAAAACGTAAGAAGCAATAATAATAAATATTTTTACGAATAAAAAACGAGCGAAACAATAAAAAGAAATATTTTGCGAATGAAAAACGTGAGAAACAATAACAGGGTTTTGTTTAATTTTTAAAAAATTAATTTTGTTTTTCCCTGATTACTCCCTGATTCCCAGACAAAATTTCGACTTTCTCCCTGACCCTAAAGAATATTCTGATTCACTCTAAAAATTATTCGATATACTCAAAAAAAATGTTCTATTACATTTATTTAAGAACTTCTGTAATTATAAAATTATTCAAAAACATTCGAATAATTTCTTTTTTAAATAAATGTTTAATCATTATTATTTTTCCATAGGAATTAAGATTTTAAAACAATTTTTTAAACCTTTTGAAATTCAATAATTTTTAAGAATATTATTATAAAACATAAAGATAGCTCGATATCTTCCTGTTTTATAATAATTTAAACTTCCAAAAAAATTTTCAAGAAAAACTAAATTATTTAGAAAAATTTTAATAAAATCCTTCGCAAGAATTCAATTACTTTTATAAGTATTACAATTTTTGACATCAATTCAATTATTTAAAAGAAATGTAATAAAATTCGTTGTAAGAATTTACAGAAAAATAATAAAATTTTTCCCAGGATTTAAATCATTTTTAATACAATTTTAAATGAATTCCTCGAAAAATGTAATTATTTTCAAACATTTTTGGCAAGAATTCAATTACATTTCACAAATATTGGAATTCTTCGCTGACATTCAAATATTTTCGAAATCTACTATTTTAATAAAAATTCTCAAAAGAATTCAATTATTTTCATAAATAATAATATTCTTCACAGGATTTCAATTATTTTAAAAAAATATAATAAAAATTCGTTGCAAGACTTCAATTATTTTCCTAAATAATAAAATTCCTCACATGATTTCAATTATTTTTAATACAATTTTTAAGTAAATTCTTCGAAAAATGTAATTAATTTCAAAAATTTTTATTAAAATTCTTCAAAAAGAAATAAATGAACAATTATCAATTATTATTTTTAATAAATTTTTGCAAAAGTTTCTAGAGAATTTTCAAATCCATTTGTTTACAATTCAATTTTACAAAATTTTGATTATTCAGAAATTATTCAAATAAATATTTAAAAAATCAAAACGAAGTAATTTAAAAAAAGTCAATTAATTTTTTTCAAAATTTTTATTAGAAAATTCTACGAGAATTCAATTATTTTAATACATAAATGAAAAAATTATTGAATAAATGAATGTTTCTCAAAATTTAATTCTCATAAAGAATTTTATCAACAAATTTTTAAATAATTGAATTTTTTGACGAATTTTAATAAAAATTTACAAGAACAGACAAGAATAATTACACTTTTTTTTGAAGCATTGAATTAAAATTGTATTAAAAATAATTGAAATTCTATGACGAGTTTTATTTTTACATGGAAGTAATTGAATCTCTGTAAAACGATTTTTTTATTTATGAAAATAATTGAATTATTGCGAAGAAATTTATAAAAAAAATTTATAAATTGTTGAATTCCTGTGAAATATTTATTATTCATGAAAAGAATTAAATTCTTGCGAAGATTTTTACAAAAACTTTGTTAAATAATTGAATTCTGATTGGGAATATTATGAAAATAGTAGATATTGAAAATCATTGAATTGCGAAAAGTTTTTAAAAATAATTAAATTTCACAAAGAATTCAATTAAATTTTTTGAAAATAATTGAATGTCTGTGTGGCATTTTGTTAAATTTTTTTTTAAAATAATTGAATTCCTAAAAAGCATTTTATTATTTATGAAAATAATTGAATTCTTGCGAACGATTTTATAACATTTTTTAAAAATAATTGAATTTCCAAGAATAAATTTATTACTTTTAAAAAGAATTGAATTCTTGAGATGAAAACAATTGAATTTTGCATAGAATTTTATTAAAATGCCGCAAAATAATTGAATTTTCGGGAATAATGTTGTTATTTATCTTTAATAATTGAATTCTTTAGAAGAATTATTTATTTAAATAATTTAATTCTTGGGAAGAATTTTATTAAAATCTAAAAGAATAATTGAATTATTTAAAAAAAAACTAATTAAAATTGTATTTAAAAAAAATTGGTTTCTTTCGAACAATTTTATTAAAATATTTGAAAATAATTGAATTCCTGTGAAAAATTCTAATATTTTTGTAATTTGTAAATAGTTGAATTCCTGTGAAATTTTTATTATTTATTTATGATAATAATTGAATTTTGAAGAAAAATTTTATAATTTTTAAAGATAATTGAATTTTGACGAGAATTTTTTTAAAACTTTTGAAAATAATTAAATTTATGTAAACATTTGTAAATTCTCTAAAATTCAATTTTTCTAGTGTTTTTAATTAAAATTCTTCTACAAATCCAAGATTTAAAAAAATTATTTAAATATATATTAAACAATTAAATCAAACTAATTATAAATCCTGCAAATTTAATTTTTTCCAGCACTTTAATAAAAATCCCTGACTTTTTCCAGACATGTGGCAACTCGGAATAAAATTAAATATTTTTACGAACAAAAAACGAGAAAAATAATAAAAATAAATATTTTTGCAAACAAAGAACGTTAAATAAGTAAAATTGTATTTTATCAAATAAAAATTTAAAGTAGGCGAAAAATTACCCCATTTTGTTGAATGAGCATGATCATAAGTTCATAAAGAAGAATATAGGAAGCCCGATCCATCATGTCATTATTGCTCGCCGCTTTTTTTATTTTATTCTCGCAGTATTCGATGATGGTCTTCTTGTGTGTCACACCTCTGTAATTTAAAAAAGAAAATTTGCATATTTTAATTTCAAAAGTGAACATTATATTTTTCTATTGTATTAAAATTGCACAGTCTACTTAAGCAAGCGTACGTAGGATATCATTTTTAAAATATTATTATTTCAAATTTCAATTTCAACTACATAAAGTAATTTGAAACTTACAAAAATTGTTTTTATTTTTAATTAAAAATAAGTCATAGTTAGTTTCATTTTTAATCAATAAATTAATTTCATTAATTTAAATAATTAAAATTCTTTACAATTAGTAAACTATTAATAATTTATTTTCAAAATTCATTTAGAATTTAAATTGTATTTTTCAACAAAAATTTTTTTTTCTATAATCGAAGAATTAATTCTTGACTAAATAAGTGTTTAATTTTATTTTTCTATTTTTTATAGTAACTCTAAAAAATATTTGAATAGAAAAAAATGTCTTTAAACTTTCAAACCTTGGAAAATAGTATAAATTGAATAAATAAGTAAATAAATAAATTAGTAAAACTGATTAATTACTCTGCTAATTATTTATAATTAAATTATGATAATTGTTAATTATTATTAGTCTGATTATCTATTGGTACGAAACAAAAATTAAATTCTAGGAAAGAAATTTCACCATTTAACCCAAGAGTTTTTTTTTCTAAAAGAAAAAATAATACGCATGCTTAAATGTTCAAATGCTAATTACACTTGCTTAATTAATGGTCCAGGATAGGTTCGCAGTTCACGGGCAACTGGATCATTTTGCAAGAGATTATCAACTCTGAAAATGTCCAATTTCGCCCGTTCTCCATCAGCTGGATAAGCTGGATGCACATGAAGCAAACATCCAATTGAAAATGAGCCTAAAATGAAAAAATTATAATGTAAAAATTTTTCTCTTTTAGTCTTACTAAAGTGTTAATTGTTAAATTTATACTAATAGTAATTTCCAAAAAAAAAATGTAATTTTATTACTCTCATTTTTGAGTTAGTTTGGAATTCAATTTTTGAAAATCTATATTATTAAAAATAGAAAATAAACATAAAAATACCCTTCACGTGAGCCGTGGAAAATTTAGTTGGTGTCATGCGAGATGTTGCAATGATAGAATCATCGAATGTCGTTACTTCGCCTAAATTACGCTTTTCACTGGTGGTTCTAAAATAAAAAAAGTGTAAATTAAAATTTCAGAAAATAAATAAAATTCGACAATACTGTAACAAGCGATAAATAATTTTTTAATAATTTTAAATTTTTCAATATTTTTTTGTTTCAATTATTTTAAAAAATAATTTTAGTACCTAACATTCGAAATTAGTGGTAATTTAGTTCTTTTTAGTAAAATTTTTGAAAGAAAAGCCTTTTACACTAAAAATCTAGCGTTTCTACTTAAAAAAAGAATAATCGTAACAATTTTTTTTTTGGATTTGAAATTTTAGCCCCTTGGCTTTTCACCTATTCAAATTACGAAATAATCGCCTCCTTAAGGGATTTTTCGCGCTTTTCGCCCATCCGGCACATCCAAAACACGGCACGTACAATGCTTTATTCGGCGTTTGGAAGTAAACGCTTGGTTTCGTGAAAAATCTAATATTCAATTTAAATTAATTTAATTAACTAAAAATTGTAAATTTTTCATTTTTTAATAATTTTCATTAATTCAAAACATAATTTTACAAAATAAATTTTACAAATCAAATTACAATAATATTATAACTGTAGAAATTATTATATTTTTTTAGGAATGAATAAATGTTATTCAACTAATTATTAACTGATTATTAATGATAAATTATTAATGATAAACTAATTATAAACTAATAATTAATTAATTATCAATTATTAATTTAATAATTAATTGAATAAAATTTAGTCATTTCGATAATAAATATTTACTTATTTAAATATTTTTTTATTTAAATAATTACCTATTTATTTAAATATTCCTTTAAATGTGCATTTAATTTTTGATTTTTACTAACCTATCATCGCATGAGCTTCGACCTGAATGAACACTTGCTCTGTCCTCTGGATAAGTGGTACTGACACTGGCAGGATGCTGTTGCTGTCGTTGACTCGCATAATATTTGTGATACCATTCCATATAGGCAGTTGGATTAGTGCGACGCAAATTTTCCAAATAAAGATAGTAATTATTGTTATAATTCGATCCGTAATCATAACCCGCTCCGTAACCTGAAAATGTATCCTCCATTAATGCTCCATTCATTTTGCATTGAATTTTACTTTCATTTACTTTTTATTCAATTTAATTTCTAATTTATTGTTTATTCAATTTTATTTTGTTTTATATTTTATTATTATATTTATTAAGAAGCTATTTGATTTTAATATTTATTGTCAGACAAAAAAAATCAATATTTAATATTTACTTCTCTTTGTTGGTAAATTAAACAATTAAATTATTTACTATTTATTATTTACAGAAAAAAATTACCGTTGTAACCATAATAGGGATCTCTTGATCGCATGTAGTATTCTCGATCTCTGTCATTATAGGAAGATCTGCTTGATGGCCGTGAACTGAAACAAATAATAGTAATTTTAAAAATTTGTAAATCAATTATTATTAGTTGTAAATAGTAAATTAATCAATGGACATAAAGTTTTCTCCGCTCTCATTTTATTCGTTAGAGAATTTTATTAAAATTCTTCAAAAACAATAATTGAATTATTCGACAAAATTTATTCGAATTTTTCGAAAATAATTAAATTTTCTAGAAGAATTAAATTAAAATTGTATTGAAAATAATTGAATTGCTGTAAAAAGTTTACTATTTATAAAAATAATTGAATTCTTGATAAGAATTTTATAAAATTTTTGAAAATAATTTTTGTTAAAGAACTTAATTAAAATTGTATTGAAAATAATTGAATTCATGCAAAGAATTTTTTTACTCATTAAAATAATTATATTATTTCTAAGAGTTGTAATATTTATAAAAATAATTGAATTCTTAGGAAAATTTGTTTTTAAATTGTAAATTTAATTCAATTTTATTAAAATTGGATTAAAAATAATTAAATTCCTGACAAAAATTTTACGATTTATAAAAAAAATTGAATTCCTGCAAAAAATTTTACAAGAATTTAATTAAAATTGTATTAACAATAATTGAATTCCTGCAAAGAATTTTTTATTCTTTAAAATAATTGAATTGTTTCTGAAAATTTTAATTTAAAAAAAAAATAATTGAATTAGTACGAAGAAATTTATTTTTTATTAAAATAATTGAATTCTCAAAAAGATTTTTATTTTACTTGTAAATTTAATCCAATTTCATTAAAATTTGATTGAAAATAATTGAATTCCTGCCAAGAATTTAACAATTTTGAAAATTAATTCCATTGTTGAGAAGAGTTTAATAAAATTTTTGAAAATAATTTGTTTAAGAATTTAATTAAAATTGTATTGAAAATAATTGAATTCCTGCAAAAAATTTTTTTATTCGTTAAAATAATAGAATTTTTTCTAAAAATTTTTTTATTCATTAAAATAATAGAATTTTTTCTAAACATTTTAATTCTTAAAAAAAATAATTGAATTAGTGAGAAGAAGTTTATTTTTTATGAAAATAATTAAATTCTTAGAAAGAGTTTTTTTTAAATTGTAAATTTAAATTAAGTTTTATTTAAATTGAATTGAAAATAATAGAATTCTTTCGAGAAATTGTATTTGAAATAAGTGGATTTTAACGAAGAATTTTTTTTATTTATGGAAATAATTGAATTTCTACGAAGTATTTTATTATTTATAAAAATAATTGAATTGTTTGAAGTATTTTAATTTTTTGAAAATAATTAAATTTTGGCAAAGAATTTTGTTAATATTTTTGAAAACAATTGAAGTTTATCGAAAGATTTAATTAAAGTTTCTGAAAATAATTGAATTGTTTCGAAAATAGTTAAATTTTGTATAGGAGACCAATTAATCTTGTATTGAAAATAATTGAACTTCTGCGAATTTTTTTTTTCAATTATAAAAATATTTGAATTTTTTCGAAGTATTTTATTATTTATAGAAATTATTTGAATTGTTCAGAAATATTTCATTTTTTTGAGAATAATTAAATTTTGGCAAAAAATTTTGTTAATATTTTTGAAAATAATTGAATTGTTCGAAAAAGTTTATGAAAATTTTCGAAAATAATTGAATTTTATAGAAGAATATAATTAAAATTATTTTGAAAATACAATTCTTGCGAGAAATTATATTGGAAACAATTGAATTCCTGTGAGGAAATTTTTTTATTTATAAAAATAATTGAATTGTTTTGAAGAATTTTAATTTTTATCAAAACAATTGAATTGGTTTAGAAGTATTTTATTTTTTAGAAAATAATTAAATTTTGGCAAAGAATAATGTTAAAAGTGTATTTAAAATAATTGAATTCCTCCAAAGAATTTTTCGCGGATGATATCTCTGAAAATTTATGAAAATAATTAGAAAAACTTTTGTAATCACATACGTTCTATTGTAAGGATCATCATAATATTCCCGTCTGTAAGGATCTCTAGGATCGTAATCATCAAATTTCCTCATTGAATCAAATCTCGGTCTTCTATCGTCACGCCGTCTATCGCGATCAGGAAATTCTCTTTCCCGCGAATAACGTGGATCATAATCCCTTCCCTGACGATCACGACGTCTTAATTCCTCACGTTCACGACGATGATCTTCAATTCTTCTCCTGCCATCGCGCTCCTCAGCATCGCTTTTTGGTCTCATTCTTCTATCCGCTTCCTCACGTCCATGTCGATCCAAATCGTCACGACTCCCATGTCTGCGTTCTTCATCGCGAAAAGATGCGTTTTGACGATCCAAATCCTCCCGTGAATTGTAGGGACGATCGTAATCTCCCCGACGACGCTCATAATAATAATCGTCCTCATATTCCCGTTCACGGTCATAGCTGAAATTTAAAATTTCGATTAAATTTTCAAAATTAATTATTGACTCATAGCCATTACAGTAGTAATTAAATTTCAATTTTACTAATTGGGAGGAGTTTCAATAGTTTTCGAAATTTGGAAATCATTCTGTTTTTTAATATCTTTTTAATAGTAAATTTTTTCTATTTATTTCTTCTTTTCTTCCTCGTTTTCTTTCTTTCTTTTTTTCTTGCTTTTCTATTTTTCTCTTTTTCCTTTTTATTTTTTTTTTACTTTTCATTTTATTTCTTTTTCTTTCTCTTTTTTAGTTTAGTTCTTTTTCTTTCCTTTTTCGTGTTATTTATTTATTCATTTCTTTTTTTTTTTAAATTGAAAAATACAGAATATTGTAAATTTGAAAAGTATTTTTTCTACTTTCTGTTTTTCATTTCGTAAATTAAATTAATATTAGAAGAGTATTTTAATTTTGGAAAAGTATTTTTTTTCCTACTTACTAGGGTCGATTTGATTCGAATCGTTTGTGTTCGGTGCTTCCTTCTCTCAATCTTTCTCTACTTTCATCTCGACCGTTCGTCGAGTGCTCATCGTCACCATCCTCGAAGGAATCTCTTCGATTTTGGGATCTAGTCGGTCCTTTTCCCTCTATTGAAGCACCAACTGCCTCTTCTCGTTTGCTTCGACTTTCAGCGACCGATTCTTGCATGATTGCCAAAGCTGCGGAAAAAAATAAGAGTTAATTAAAAAGTTAAAAATAATTATGAATCTAAATATTAAAAAGCTAAAAACAATTACAGTCTTTGCACTCGATAAATAATTACATTTAAAAAAAGTAGCAAAAAGTAACTTTAAAAACAATTGAATTCTTGCAAAGAATTTATTAAAATTTTCAAAAAAAAAAAAATTAAATAATTGAAACAATTAAATTATTTCAAATACAATGTCTCGAAAGAATTCTATTATTTTCAATAAAATTTTAATGAAAATTGAATTAAATTTAGAATTTACATAAAAATCTTCCTAAGAATTCAATTATTTTTATAAAAAATAAACTTATTGCAATAATTCAATTATTTTTATAAAAATTTTAATTCTTTGAAACAATTCAATAATTGTAATGAGTAAAAAAAATTCTTTGCAAGATTCAATTACATTCAATAAAATTTTTCATTTTTTTTTTTCCTAAATTTTTATAAACTTTTTGCAGAAATTCAATTATATTCAAAAAATTAAAAGAATACAATTACTTTTAACACAATTATAACTTTAATCTTCCATCTATTCGAAAATAAACTATTTTCGAAAATTTTAATAAACATTTATGAAAAAATATTGAAACAATTCAATTATTTTTTAAATAATTTAACAAAATTTTTTGCCAAAATTTAATAATTGGCAAAAAAGTAAAATACATCGAAACTATATTTTGGAGAAAAATTGAATTCACTTAAAATTGTATTAAAAATAATGGAAATCTTGCAATGAGTTTTATTATTTATAAAAATAATTGAATACTTGCAATTAATTATATAAAATTGTATGAGAAATAATTGAATTGTTTTGAATTTTTTATTATTTATGAAAATAATTCAGTTCTTGTGAAGAATTTAAAAAAATTTTTTAAATCATTCAATTCTTGTGTAGAATTTTTAAAAAAATAATTGAATTCCCGTGAAAAATGTTATTGTTTATGAAAATAATTTAATGTTTCCAAGAAATGTTATCAAAATTTCTAAGTTGTATAAAAATAATTAAATGATCGCAAAGAATAAATAAATCAAAATCTTAGGAAGATTTTTATTTAGATAGTAATTGAATTTAATTTTATTAAAATTGGATTGAAAATAATAGAATTATTTTTAGAAATTTTATTTAAAATAATTGAATTCCTGTCACAAATTTTTTTTTATTTATGAAAATAATTGAATTTCAACGAAGAATTTTATTATTTATAAAAATAATTTTATTTTGGTTAAGAATTTTGTTGAATTTTTTTAAAAATATGTACATAATTTAATTGCTTCAAAAAAGTTTATTAAAATTTTCGAAAATATTAAATTTTTGTCGAAGATTTAAATTTTATTTGTATTAAAATTTAAAAATAATTAAATTCCTGCGAAAAATTTATTTATTTCTGAAAATAATTGAATTTCTACCAAGAATTTTATTATTTATAGAAATAATTTAATTATTTTGATTTTATTTTTTTTTGAAAATAAAAATTAAATTTTGGCAAAGAATTTTATTATATTTATGAAAACAATTGCATTTTTTCGATGGATGTAATTAAAGTTACTGAAAATAATTGAATTTCTCTCAATAATGTTATTAAATGATTTAAAAAAATTGATTTATTTTCTACAAATTGAATTAAAACTGAATTGAAAATGAAGAATTTTTTTGTTTATTAAAATAATTGAATTGTTTCTAAGAGTTTTAATTTTTATAAAAATAATTGAATTATTGCGAAGAAGTTTATTTTTTATAAAAATAATTGAATTCTCAAGAAGATTTTTATGTAAATTGTAAAATTCAATTTTTAAAATTGGATTGAAAATAATAGAATTCTTTTTAGAAATTTTATTTGAAATAATTGAATTCCTGCGACAAATTTTTTTTATTTATGAAAATTATTGAATTTCTACTAAGAATTTTATTATTTATAGAAATAATAATTTAATTATTTTGATTTAATTTATTTTTTTAAAGTAATTGAATTTCTACCAAGAATTTTATTAATTATAAAAATAATAATTGAATTATTTTGATTTAATTCATTTTTTTGAAAATAATTAAATTTTGGCAAAGAATTTTATTTTTATTTTTGAAAATAATTTAATTTTATTGATGGATATAATTAAAGGTTTTGAAAGTAATTGAATTTCTACCAAGAATTTTATTATTTCAAAGGATTTTATTTTTTATGAAAATAATTGAATTGTTTAAAAAAATAGTTAAATTTTGTAGAAGAATTCAATTAATCTTATATTAAAAATAATTGAATTCTTGTGAACAAATATCAAATTGTTTGAAAATAATTGGATTTTTTCCATGGATGTAATTAAAATTTTGGAAAATAATTGAATATCCTGCGTAGATTTTTTTCTATTTATAAAAATATCTACTTGAATTCTTTCGAAAAATGTTATTAAAAGATTTTAAATAATTTTTAACTAATTAATTATTGTTATTAATGTAAATAAATAATTAACTAATTAATATTAATTGTTCTTTATTTACAGAAATAACAATTTTTTAAAACTTAATTTTTTTCAAAAATATAAGTTAGTATTTAAAAATAAATAATTTGCAATTTGCATATTAAGAATAATGAAATATTAAAGAGTTTTTAACTCTTTAATATTTAATTATTATTAATATGCAAATTGCAAATTATTTCTTCTTCTTTTTTTTTTGCAATTTGAAAAAGCCAAAAACAAATGTAGGGAAAAATGATATTAAACTCACGAGCAGAATTCATAACTTCCTGTGATCCAGTAATAACCCGAGATCTATCATTAACCGTCTGGATCGATTCATTAGGCGATGAGCCGCCAAGAATTTGCCTGAGATCACTGTCGCTCTGCTGAATTGCCTCCTCGATTTCGTTTCCCCTGCCGGGTATTTCGCGCGATTCACTCGACTCAAGTGGAACTTGAATTGGAATTTGTTGCAGTGATGATCGTTCCTCGCCCGATGGATCGTTTCGCGGCTGTTGCGGCGGTGGTGGTGGCGGCGGCAGTGATCTCTCTCTACCCGATGGATCGTTTCTTCGCTCCATTATGTCCGTATTATCGACTCTCTGCAATAATGGAGTGATTCTCTCTTGACCCGGTGGAACGTCACGTCTCTCAGCACGATCGACAACACTTCTGACTTGCGTCTGCTCCTGTCCCGAAGGATCATTCCTCCTTGGATCAGTGATACGCGCCTGTCCGTATTGCTCCTGACCAGTTGGATCATTTCTTCGCGGATCCACTGAACTCTGACCTGGTACTTCCCTCAGGAATGGAATATCGTTCGGTACCTCGTCATTTTCATCCTCCTGGCTCGGTGGCGTTGGCTCGTGCTCCTCATGCGAATCCGTTAATTCGCCAGTCTCCAAGAATGTATTCCGATCGTTTGATGCAAATTCGTAATTGTCCGGCGCCTGGAAAGGAAGAAAAATTAATTTCCACTCTAAGAAAATATATATTCGCACTTATCTACTAAAAACTACTATTTACTACTTTTTTAGGAACTTGTTTATTTATTTATTGAAAATAAGTCCCCAGGTCTTAAATTATATTTCTATATAAGCATAATTTAATTTCTACAATTGGATAATTTTCTTAGACTTGTGACACTAAGAAACATTTTTTTCTTTATTGAGAATTTTAGTCGATTCAAATTTTCCTCGATGCAGATTTTAAACTATTCTTAATATTGCACTTTGCAAATTATTTATTTTTAAATACCAACTTCAATTTTTGAATAATTTCAAATTCAAATTTTCAAAAATTGATATTTATGTAAAGAAATAATAATAATTAATTATTTATTTACATAAATAACAATTATTAATTCGTTAAAAGTTATATAAAAAAAATGTTAATAAATTTAGTCGAAAGAATTCAAATAGATATTTTTATAAATAAATAGTAAAATTCTTGATAGGAATTCAATTATATTCAAAAATTTTAATTACTGCAATCGAAAAATTCAATTATTTTCAAACAATTTGATATTTGTTCACAAGAATTCAATTATTTTTAATACAAGATTAATTAAATTCTTCTACAAAATTGAACTATTTTCGAAATAATTCAATTATTTTCAATATAAAATTAATTGAACTCTTCTATAAAATTTAACTATTTTCGAAACAATTCAATTATTTTCATAAAAAATTTAACTATATTCGAAACAATTCAATTATTTTTATAAAAATTTTAACTATTTTCGAAACAATTCAATTATTTTCATAAAAAATAAAATTCTTTTAAAACAATTCAATTATTTTCATAAATAATAAAATTCTTTGTAGAAATTCAATTATTTTGAAAAATAAAAAATTTTTCGAAACAATTTAATCATTTTCATAAAAAAATAAAATTCTTTTGAAACATTCGAATCATTTTTGTAAATAATTAAATTCTATGTAGAAATTAAATTATTTTAATAAATAAAAATATTCTTTGCAGATTTAATAAAATTTGTTAAAAAATATTCAAATATTTATAAATACTTTAGTAACAATTTTCGCAGAAATTCAATTATTTTCAAAAACTTTATTTAAATCCTTCGAAAAAATTCAATTATTTCAAAAATATTAACAAATTTTTTTGCCAAAATTTAATTTATTTTCAAAACAAGAAAATTCCTTTTAAACCAATGCAATTATTTCAACAAATAATAAAATTATTCGTAAAAATTCAATTATTTTCGGAAATAAAAAAATTTATCGCAGGAATTCAATTATTTTTAAATTTTAATTCAAATTAAATTTAAATTATTCGACAAAAATGTAATATTTTCGAAAATTTTAATAAACTTTTTTGAAACAATTTAATTATGTATTTTAATAAATTTTAACAAAATTCTTTACCAACATTAAATTATTTTTGTAAATAATAAAATTCTTGGTATAAATTCAATTATTTTCGTAAATAAAAAAATTCTTCTACAAAATTTAATTATTTCATATACAATTTCTCGAAAAAATTCTATTATTTTCAATAAAATTGAATTGAATTTACAATTTACATAAAAATCTTCTTGAGAATTCAATTACTTTCATAAAAAATAAACTTCTTTGCAATAATTCAATTTTTTTAGAATTAAAATTTTTAGAAACAATTGAGCTGCCGGATCAAAGAAGGGCACATAACCAATGTAATTCAAATGGGTTATGTGCCCTTCTTTGATCCGGCAGCTCAATTTAATTATTTTAATGAATAAAAATACTTTGCAGAAATTCAGTTATTTTCAATACAATTTTAATTAAATTTTTCCACAAAATTTAATTATTTTCAAAAATGTCATAACATTCTTTTCAAGAATTAAATTATTTTTCTAAATTGTAAAATTCTTTGCAGGAATTCAATTATTTTCAACACAATTTTAATTAAATTCTTCCACGAAATTCAATTATTTTCAAAAATTTCATAAAATTCTTCTCAATAATTAAATTAATTTTCTAAATTGTAAAATTCTTTGCAGGAATTCAATTTTTTCAATATAATTTTAATTAAAATCTTCAACAAAATTTAATTATATTCAAAATTTGTATAAATTTCTTCTCAAGAATTCAATTATTTTTCTAAATTGTTAAAATTCTTTGCAGTAATTCAATTACTTTCAATACAATTTTAATTAAATTCTTCCACAAAATTCAATTATTTTCGAAGATTGTAATAAATTTTGTCGAACAATTCAATTATTTCAATAATTTTAAGAAATTCTTTCCACGAATTCAATTAATTTCAAAAATTTTGAAAAAATTCTTTACAAGAATTCAAATAATTTCAATACAATTTTAATTAAATTTCCGAGAAAAGAAGATAATTTTTTTCAATAAGTAGTTGTAAAAAAAATTCTATAAAAATAATTGAATTTGTAAAGAATTGGAGTTATAATTTTTAGAAATAATTAAATTTCAAAAAGTTTTAAATTAAATGGATTAAAATTTTTAATTCCTCTGCAGAAAAATAAATAAGAAACAAGTATTTAAGTATTTTTTTTACAAAAACTATTGAAAATTTTGAATATATGTAATTTTTTCGAAATTCTGAAAAAATACGAGATAGTTGAATTCCTGAATATAATTTTTAAAAATTGCAAAACAATTTTTCAATAATAAAATGTAATTCAATATTTCAATTCAATTCAATATTTGAAAGAACATTTTTTCACTTTTAAAAATAATTTTCAAGTTGTATTCTTAAAATGAATAAAAATTATAATCTTAATGAAAATTTGAAAAATAATTGAATTTCCAAAAAATAAGAATTGAAATAAAAAATAAGAATTAGCAGAATGCTTATTCTGCTAATTCTTATTTTTTATTTCAATTTATTTTATTGAATTGACTAAAACGTGTTTTTTTAATTGTCAAATTAATTTTTTCGATGAAGAAAGGTAAAAAAATTACCAATTTTCTTTTGTCTCTTTTTTCAATTTTGCAATTAATTTAATTTTAATTTTTCCACTATTTTTTTTTAAATTTAATTTTCTTACCAAATGCGAAATATATTTAAGAATTTACCTGTTCTGGTTGATTGATCAACGAAGGAACCTCGACATTATTAAACTCCCTAACCGTCTCCTTTGGCGAAGCGATTTTCTGATCATTATCCAACGTCTCCTGATTAATCGATTCCCTCGATCCATAAATATCCTTAACTTGCATTTCCGGAGCGACAACTTCCAAATTCATGAAATCCGCCGCCTGTTGTTGAATATTCTCATAATTCTCCACATTCTGCTCAGCCGACCATTTTTGACTCCGAATATTCGTGAATCTCATCGAACTACTCTGATTACTCTGATTATACCATTGATCATAGCCAGTTTCCCCTTGATCTTGAATTTCCCTCTCACTCTCATCAATTGAATTTTCCCCTTCGGCAGGGGAATCAATTTTTGTTTTTTGATTATCTTGGGAATTTTTCGACGAGATATTCATTTGATTGAGTCCAGTCGCAAGTTCGGTTGTTTGCCATTCACTGTCGGCATTCCAATCGAGTTCGATATTCTCCTGATCTTGAAGACTGTCCTGAGCGCTGAAGGTGGCTTTCGCTTTAGTTTGTGGACCGGATGATAGATTTGTTGAATCGTTCAGGGAAGTTGAACTAGTGGCTGGTGTTAGTTTCTTTCTCTCCTCGGTCTGCTCGGTGATATTGGAAATATTCGCGGTTGATCCTGAGGTAGTGGAGGCGTTTGATGAGGCAAAATGTGCTGAGGGGCGAATTGTCTGCCATTCGGTGGAGGAAATTCGATTCGATTCATTGTCGGGGGAATTTTCTTTGATGGGATGATCAGTTTGTTGGGATTGCCAAGAGTTTGAAATCTCTTGACTTGGTTCCTGTTGCCATTGTTGGGGATTTGATGACCATTGGGGGTTTTGACCAGAGAAGGCTTCGGAATTTTGATTCTGCCATTGATCGGAATTGTTCGACCAGCCTCGTTGCTCCTGTTGTTCCACGGGCCAATTTTGTGATTGTGGTGATTGTGGGAAATTGGGAATTTGTTGGAAAGTTTGAGCGGGAATTTGGGAATTTTGTTGAATCGGAGGAGTTTGCTGGTGGATTTGAATTGGAGTTTGGGGAGGAACGGGCGTTTGTTGATGAGCAGTTGGCAAAGGAGGCGTTTGCTGATGAGCAGTTGGCAAAAGAGGCGTTTGCTGATGAAGATTTTGCAAAGGCGAAGTCTGCTGATGAATATTTTGCAAAGGCGAAGTCTGCTGCTGCGGAGTCTGAGGCGAGGGAATCGGTTGCTGTTGACTCCACTGATTCCCAGTTTCATTGGCCGCCTCCTGCCAATATCCGGGATTTTTCGGCTGCTCCTGCCAATTTTGCAGCGAAACTGCCTGCCGTTCGTTCCAATTGAAATTCCCAACTGGCGGCTGTGACGAATGCGTTTGCGGCGGTAAACTTTGTGGCGAGAAGGAAAATTGTTGTTGATCACTCGCCCAATGTTCTGATGAATTCGATTTTGTCGAACTTGGTCTCTGCGCTGGTGGTAATTGCTGATTAAATGTATAATTCTGATACGAAAAATATGGGTCCGCGTGATTTGGAGTTGATTCACGACTGAGATTTGTTCGCGGAGTATTTCTACCTGATGTGGAATGCTGATTTGTTAATGGTCTATTATTTCCGTTTAAACTCTTGTAGTAATTATCCTGAGCTGGTGGCGTTTGTTTCTGGTAGGGAATGAACTGATTTTGTTGTTGTTGTTGTTGCTGCTGCTGTTGCTGAGGTTGTTGCGGTGAATAATGAGCTTCCGGTTGTTGATCAACGCTCCAATTCCATGAATCGTTGCCGTTATTTCCATTGTCTGTGCCCCAGTCCCATGGATCGGTGGATTTCGGTTGATTTACTCCAGTTGCTTGAGTATGGAAGACATTGCCCTGCGGTACGTTCGATGGCACTTGACCCGGCATTGAATTCCAAGAATTTTGATTTTGCAATCCATAGCCAGTTGTTGTGTCCACTCTCGATCGAGTCGGTCGTCCACGATATGGATTCTAAAATTAAAGCGCAATAAATAAAAAATTCATGTCTTCTTATCTATTCACTTGCTTTCAGACCAGAAATATAAATTATACTCACACTCATACTACTGCTGATAAAGCACCTTTCAATTTATAAATCTATCGAGTACCTGAAAAAAATTTTTTATCAACCACAAATCGAAAATACACGCTTTAAATCCAATAGAAATAATTTACCTAAAATTGAAAAAATTTGCATATAATTTAATTCATTAAAACGAATTCGTAATTAAAAAAAAGATTTTTTTTACTACCTAGATTTACCAATCAAAAAGAGATAAGTACTTTTCCATCAGCTCTAAAAAGATTTTTCTCGAAACAAAAACTGCAAAATAATTTCCCCCTTTAGGAAAAATTTCGAATAGAGATTAAAAAAGAAAAAGAATGTAAAAAAAATAGATAAAAGGTATCAATGAGGTCAAAAACGTCAAGAGTGAAGTAACACTTATTTACAAACAATCTGTCGAAAAAGAATTAGAAAATTCCCCTGCAATAATGTCAATAACCTCAATATTCTATTATACTAATTTTAACAGATGGAAAATTGAGAATTAAGATTGAAAAAAAAATCCAAATTCAAAAGGCGTTTCAATTTTATAAGCTCATTGAACGCTTTTTTTTTTTTTTTTTTTTTTTACCTCAAGACAAAGTAAATAATTTAGAAATAATTATGTAATCGGAACAGTGAGGATGCACTTTTACATTGAAACCTCAGGTTCAAGTGCCGGGGAAAATTATTGAAAAAAGAAACTTTCTAAATTGACAGTGTTAAAAGATTTTCTACCAGCTGTGTGAAAAGTCTGTAAGAGTGTAGTAACTATAATACTCACCAAGCTATCGTTTCTTGTATTCACATTCGAGCACTAATAAAAGCATTATTATTTCTACCAGCACCAATTTTCCTTTCACTATATATTCAAAAACCACTAAATTTTGCTTGTAAACAGTTCGCTTGGAATTTCAGGGATATTAAAAAAAAAATCGGCACAACATTTTACACATTAGGGAAAGGGAATTGCGGTTTAGCCACAGCAGCATAAACGTCACAAATTTTTCACAATCTCCTGCCTGTGTGTCGGAGTGTCGGCAGAGCAAGAGTGACACAGACATTTTTTAAAGAGGGTTCGAGTTGACACCAACCGGTGGCACTGACAGCCATTGCCAGTGGTTCACAATTATTCACAATCTTCACAATCAAAATTTATAATTTCTTTCTCATTAATATTGTTGTCGACAAATTAAATATTCAAATAACTTGTTATTTATTTATCTATCATGTTATTTATTACAACTTGTAAGTATTTGACATTTCGTCTCGAAATAAAATCGAAAAAGTAGTTCTCGAATGACAGTCACTGACTATTTTGATAATTAGTTCAAAACCAAGTCGACAGGTGGCTCTGTCTGTCATTACCAACAGTGGTTTACAATTTACAAATATTTACAAATCAATATAAGTATAAATTAATCATTTTTTTAATGAAATCTATTATAATTTATAATTCGTAAAAATGACAAATAGGATTTTAGGACTGCTTTTAAATTTTAATTTTATTTATTATGAAAAATAATTTCTTATTTTGTTTCAATGGGTTCAAACTTATTTAAAACAGAAAAAACCCCCGTGGATGTTTTTTTTATTAATTTTATTCATTTTATTATCGAATTATTGAATTTTGATTTATAAAATTAGAAATTGGAGAATTAAAAATAATGATGAGTTGGAAGTAGAGAAAGGATCTGACGTGGTGCGCTTTGAATGGAGTAGTGGAGAATTAACGAAATTCATGCGTGTCAGGCTCGGTCGGTTTTTCCGACAATACGAAGAAGAATTGTCATTGCAAATGTGATTTTTTGTGAATTAAGAGTGATTTTTACAAGAATTCTATTGTGTTCGATAATTAAAACTGTAAATAATATATAGAAAAAATGATTTTATTAACAATGATAGCGAGGATAGGTGATGGTTTACCACTGGCTGCCACTATCCAGGACGATGAACAGGTTAGAAAACCTGATGAAATGTCACTTTACATTTGAACAATATGTTATTTTATTTAAATTAGAAATTTGTAATAACAGTTTTCTATTAATTCTCAAACATTTTCTTGAGACTAATATCTTGAATTTTTTATTTCGAATAATTGTTTTTAAAGTATTATTTTTCTTGTTTTGTTAACAATATTGTTACAAACTAACAATATTGTTATAATCTTGTAAAAAGTATTAACAATACATGTTAATTTGTTTTAATACTATTAGAAGAAAATTTAAAAAAATAGAAAATTGCTTTTTCTTTCAGAGTGGAAGAAATATTCTAGAATTTCAAAATCAGGCAAAGATGTTATTTAGAAAACTTGGACCACAATCTCCTTCTAGATGTTCAATCGAAACTGGACAATATCTTTTTCAGTAATTAATTATAAATTTTAGTAAAATAATAATACTATGTTGTGAAAATTATGTATATAGAATTGATTATTTATGTTTTCTTTTTAGTTATTTAATAGAAAATGACGTCTGCTATTTGGTTCTCTGTGAAAGACATTACAGCAAACGTTTAGCTTACAGTTATCTCGAAGATATAGCACAAGAATTCCACTCTCAGTACGGAAGAAGAGTAAACACTGTTACTAGACCTTACACATTTATAGAATTTGGTAAAACTTTTCTCTATTTTCAAGAGTATTTTCTATTCAAACGGTTTTTTATTCTCACTACAATTTTAAATATTTTTTTTAATTATTTAAAACATTGAACTGTTTTTTTGTTTTGAGAAAAATTATTTAAAAAATTGAATTGTTTTTTTTTTGTTTTCAGAAAAATTAGTTAAAAAATTGAATTGTTTTTTTTTCGTTTTGAGAAATTGAACTGTTTTATGATATAAATTTAATCTGTAGTTAATAATTAGTTAATTAATTCGTTAATAATAATTAATTCTTATCTTTTTAGACACATACATTCAAAAAGCAAAAAAGACATTTTCAGACAGTAGATCAAGAAGAAATATGAGCGCATTGAACAATCAACTTCAAGATGTACAAAGGATAATGGTTCAAAATATAGACGATGTACTGCAAAGAGGAACTGTTCTCTCGGGTATTTTAATAATTCTTTTCATAATTCAGGATGGTCACAATTCACAATTTTTAGTTTATTAATTTCCCTGACAATTTACTGACATTAAAATTATTTTCCCTAACAAAATTCTTTTTAAAAAAAAATATGAAAGTTTACTGATAATGAGTAAAATTTATAAATTTTAATAATTTTTAAAAATTATAATTGTAACTTTACGTGAATTCAATTATTTTCTACAATTTTCAACTAAACATAATTTCTAAATCAATTATATTTTAAATAATATTTCGAAAATATTGAATTTTTAGAAATTATAAGCTAATTTTCATTCATTTTTATTTTTTAATTTTTAATTTAAATTGATTTTTTATTAACATTTTTGATAATTCAATTATTTTCAAAATTTACAATTAAAATTCTTCAAAAGTTGATTTTCCAAAATTGTAATAAAATACTTGAAAAAATTAATTATTTTCATTAAAAAAAAGAAACTTTAATAAAAATTTTCTTTTCTAGAATTGGACTCAAAGACGCAGAATTTATCGATGCTTTCACAAAAATACAGAAAAGACGCAGCGCATTTAAACAGTAAATCAATGTACATAAAAGCAGTTGCCGGAATTGTCGCATTACTCGTCTTCCTATTATATTTCTTTATTCTTTAGTTCAACATTCACACCAAAGGCCTAAAAATTTCATTTAAAAAAAAAAATATTGTCTCAAAAATATGTAATAGCCTTTAAAAGCAACAATATCGAATTGTGTATTCTCTAAATACATATTTCCAAACACGTTCAAAAATAGGAGAAAAGAAGAAAAAAAGACGAACGAAAAAACAAAGAATTTTTCAAAAAAAACTTATTTTTCCCAATTTTATTTCGAAATTTTAAGACTGTAAATCTAGTGATAATTGTGACAATTTTCGTAACATTCTCATGATTTTAGAAATTAATAATAATCACACATTTCAAATTCTTAAACGCTTTTTTTCTCAGTGAACAAAATTTTTTAAACCGAATGTTTCAGTTTAAAATCAATTTTCACAAAAAAGTGTTTTTAATTCGGTAGATAATCGTCTTTTTTTTTGCAAAAAGCAATTTGATAATTTTCCTGTATTAAAATTAATGATTGTATTCGATTTTCTTTTACAATTCATTAAATCGATGTCAAATGATAATTTAATGTAATAGTAATTAAACTTGTTATGTATTTAATTATTGTGGGGCTTTAGTTAGTTTACACCGGTTGCAAATCTATGTTAGAACAATTTTTTTTTTAATTTCAGGGAAGAAAGGAGGGAATTTGTATTATGTTATTTTTGTGTATATCTGTATTAATTCAATTAAATATTTACAATAAAAAAAAAATAGAAAATGCTAAAGTTCATTAACAGGGTTGCCACGCTTTTGTTCTTTTCAAATTCCCTGACTTTTCCAGGTTGAAAAACGGAATTTTTCCAGGTTTTTAAAATGAAAATTATTCGAAAACATCAATAACTTCATTTTTAAATAAATATTTAATCCATATTTTTTTTATAGAAATTAAGATATTCAAAAATTTTAAATTCAATAACATTTAAGAATATTATTATAAAACATGAAGAAAACGATCACTCCGAAACGAAGACTCGGAGTGATCGCTTTTATTATTTATGAAAATAATTAACATCTTGGGAAGAATATTATTAAAATTGTTTTTAAATAATTGAATTCTTTTGGAAAATTTCATTAAAGTAGTAGATATTAAAAATCATTGAGTTGAGGAAAGTTTTTGAAAATAATTAAAATTTTGCGAAGAATTTTAATAAAATTTTTGAAAATAATTGAATTTCTGAAAAGAATTTTACTACTTTTGAAAATAATTTAATTTCGGCAATCATTTGTAATTGCTTCAAAATTCAATTTGTTTTAGTGTTTTTAACTAAAATTCTTCTATAAATCTATTATTTTTAATAATCAATTAAATATATATTAAAAAATTTAATTAATTTCAGGAGAGTCTTTTAAAATTGAATTAAATTCGAAATATTTAAGTGATATTAGATTTTAAGAATAAACACAATAACTTTAGAAAACAATTTTCCAGGATTTCGATCGAAATTCCTTCACTTTTCCAAGTTTTTTCAAGGTTTCTAAAATTCCCTGACATTTTCAGGTTTTTCTGGAAAATTAACTTATCAAAGAAGAAGAAATGGAAAGTTTTATTTATAAAAAAATATATATTTACTTCAACGATTACAATATACATTTTTTCTGTAATATTGTAATACATTTTAATTATTCATTTTAACAAGTACGTTATAATCGGGAATTTGTAATCCTGAATTTTTCGACTCTTCCGTCTGTTCAGGAATTGTTTCCTCCTCTGATTCGGACATGTAGGCGCTAAAATAATTCATTGCAATATTTTTAATTGAAGAATTTGCACAGTTTTCGTTTTTATTTACATTCTCTATTTTTGCTTCGTCTTGAATTTTGTTCTCCAAATGTCTCTCGATTGGTTTCTCCTCAGGTGCTTCATTTTCCGAGTCTGTTATCTGAGAATTGAAAAATTCACTAGGTTTTTCTGTTGCTTCAGGTTCATTTGATTTTTTCTCAACTATAACCGAAGAATTAATTGAAATTGATTTAATCTTTGTAATCTCATCTTCAGAATCGGACATACAAATTCCCGTGAATTCTTTTATGGAATCTCGTGTTTTTGGCATTTTTTTCGGTATAATTAATTGTTGTTTTGGATTTTTTTCAAATTTTCTCTTTTTCTCAGGGAATTTTGTATTTTTTTCCCTTGTCATTTTTCCCTTCTCGTCCTCTGAGTCAGTGAATTCGGTATGAAAGAGAAAATTTATTCCTTCTTGCTTTTCTGTTTCGTTTGATTTTGAAAGATTTTGTGGTTTATTTGGTGGATGTGCAAAATTTTCTTGTCTTCCTTTAAATTTCTTCTTGTGTCGGAAATTTTTCGCTTCACAATCTTCACGCTCGTCATCTAAAATGGTTAAATCTTCATTTATTTTCCATTTGAAACAAATTGATTAGAAAAGAAAAAAGTTAATTTTTTTAAATTCGTATCATTGCGAAAATTACTTACCAGAATCGATCATTTCGTACATATCCGAATGATCCTTTAAAATAACGTAAAATGTCGGGAACTCGATAATTAATTTTTGTTCCAAATTTTCTGCGAGCGTTAAATTCAAATCCAATTCGTAGAATCTGGAAAAAAATTTTAATTATTTTTTCTATTAAATAGTTTTATTTAATTTCTTACACACCTGGAACTTGAATTTTGTACTTTCTCAGCCTTCATGAGAACTTTGATTCCATTTAAACCGACGGAACGATAGAATTGTAATTTATTTCGTAAAATTGATTTCAAATTATTTTGTTCTTGATCTTCGTTTACTTTTATATCCGGTTCGAGAACATTTTCTAATAAAACGGACAATCTCGCCTTTTCGGAAGCTCTGTAAATATAATTTGCTATTTTATAAGTTAACATAAAGAATGTTGAAATAAATAAATTTCATTTCTAATTAAATTATTTTCGAAAAAGAAAATTAAATTAATGTATAATAATGTCATTATTACTTTTCCGTGGTCCATTTGACATTTTCTCCCTGTGGAAAAATCCAATCAATTCGCCATAGTAATTCATTTTTATTCCAAATAAAACGCGTTGTATTTTCTTTGTTACGACTAAAACTGCGAGGTAAAAATTCTAAAGTAACTCCTCTTTTGAAAGCAGCATATTTCAATTTACGAAGAAACTGAAAATGTCATAATTCAATTAAACATTTTTGTCAATACTTAAATATTATTTAAAAATAATACTTTTAATATATAATAAATTCAATTTTTCGTTTACTTACCGTTGGAAGAAAATTATTTAACGATGTACGTTTAATAGGATCTCGTCCGTATTTATCAACGCATCTGCCAACTTCTTGAAGTAAACAATAATCTGTGAATTATTATTATAATAATTTTACGATTCTTAGAAAGTAAAGAAAATAACAATTGTAAACAAAAGAAATCAAATGCTAATCATAGTTAAGTTATAAGGATCAAAGAATTTCGTATTTTCTACGATTGATAATAATTACCACTCGCTAATTCTAATTCTGTTATTGCTTTAATTGGCAAATATTTTGTTTTATCACGAATTCCATCACAATTAAGTTCCTTTTTGTGAATATTCGAACACGTGAGACTGCAAGACCTAACCTCACATTTTGGACACGTGTACTTCGCCGCCTCTTTTCCGCAAACTTCGCAATTCTCTAATCTGTAAATTTTTCGAATAGATTAAAAAACACTTAGTAGACACGATTTTTATTTGCAACAATTGAATATTATAGAGAAAAATCATTAATAATCGTACTTTTCTTGAGAAGTGCCAGAAGTACTCATTGTTGACAGGTCGAAAACAATTTTCGATAATTATCGATTTCTTTCGATTCTTCGACTACGAAATCCTGATCGAGATTCATTTCTTTCTTTTTCCTTAGATCTTCTAAGCTTTTTCATAAGCGATGTTTTTATAAATAAAAATATACTTCGTTAATAATAGAGAACATAACTTTATTTTCTAGAAATATTTGTAACAATTAACTATTGTTAATAAATATTAGTCCATTCAACTTTCAAATTTGTGCGGGGTTTTAGTTAAGCCAATAGGCGATGAGTATTGCAAAACCTAAAGGCGCATTCACACCGTTCGTCGCCTGCTCCAAGAGGAAAAATCCGGAACCTCCGGAACTAACATTTTGACATTCAAAATATAAACAATTATATTTTGTTATTGTAAATTTGTAATCCTGTACTATATAAATATATATTACTATAATACGTGTAATATAATGTATATTTTTACATCAATATTAAAAGAACTTTAGGAGCTATACCAACAATGTGGATTTAAGACGTATTTAAAAATAGTATTCGCAAAACAATGATTTATAATGCAGTTAGTTATTTTCAAATAAATTGTTTATTTGTCAGATTTAGTTAACATGCCGTCTGCGTAGGTTAAGTTATGAATTCTAATATCATGACAGAAAGTTTCCTAAACACCGATTCATTATGAAACATGAGTTTTTTATTCGATCTAATTAGAAGTGTTTTTTTAAGAATGTTAGAATTAATTTGGTCAAGTAAAACCCGTATTTCAAATACTCTAAGTATTTACGTGAAGACAAACACTGGAAAAACTGTGCACATTGATTTAAATCCAAAATGGGACATCAAGAATGTCAAGGAAATTGTTGCCAAAAAATTGGACATGCCTGCAGAGGAGTTAAAAATTATTTTCGCCGGTAAAGAACTTCACAATTCAACAATAATTGAGGTATCAATAGTTTTGTTCTTATTTATCGAGTCGAAATTCGTTTTTTTAACAAAAAATTATTATTAACATAACCTATAAAACCGAGAAGAATATTTATTTTTCTTCTTCTAGGAATGCGATTTGGGACAACAAAGTGTTTTACATGCAGTTCGAACTCATCATAAAGTTAAAAAAATTAATAAAACCACAATAGAGGAATCAATATCAGAAAATTCGGAATATAATGACAGTGGAAGTAAACCTCTCAATGAAACTTTGTCCGATTTACCCTTGGACGAATCCAGTGAATTAGAATCGACTTCGGAAGGTTTTTATTATATCTAATTGTATATAATTGAATTGCTATTTGAGAAAAATTATTTTTTAATTAAATATTGTAATATTAATGTGTTTAATAGAAATAAATTTTTCGTAGAACAAAAAAATCGAGCGCACTTTTATATTTATTGCTCGGCTCCATGCAAATCTGTTGAGGCTGGAAAATTGCGAGTTAGATGTGCAACTTGTAAACATGGTGCAGTCACTGTCGATAGAGATCCACAATGTTGGCCAGATGTCTTACTGCCGCAAAGAATAACAGTTCATTGTGAAAATGAATTTTGTCAATTCTCCATTTCACCGAATGACGAGATTGAATCGCAAGTTCATTATGCACAATTTTATTTCAAGTGCGCAAAACATCCCAGTTTGGGAGAAACTGACGAAGCAGTGCCTTTATATCTCGTGAAACCGAATTTAGCGAAAATTCCCTGCCTCGCTTGCACTGACATTAGGTTTGTTTCTAGAAATATTTCCTTTTGAGATCTTATTTTCTCTTTTTTTTTAGAAAATAAGATTTTTTCTAAATAAAATTTGCGATATTTAAAATATCGATTGTGGTAAAAAATATGTTTATAATTACAATAATTGTTTATATTTCCAAAAAATCCAAAAAATTTTATAAATAGTACAATTTTTTGCAAAAGTTGAATTACTTTTAAAAAAATTATGCAAAAAATTTCACAAAAGAATTTAATTATTTTCTAAAATTTTAATAAATCCTAAAAAATTTAATTATTTTTTTAAATAGTAAAATTTTTGCAAAAATTCAATTATTTTCATTAAAATTTCACGAAATAATTTAATTTTTTTCTTAATTACTAAAATTTTAATAAATTCTTCGAAGCAATTCAATTATTTTTATAAATAGTAAAATCTTTGCACAAACTCAATTATTTTCGAAATAATTTTAATTAAATTTTTTAGAAGAATTCGACTTTTAAAAAAAAATTTAACACATTTCGAAAAAATTCCATTTTTTTCTAAAATTTTAATAAATCCTTCGAAACAATTCAATAATTTTTATAAATATTAAATAGTAAAATTCTTTGCAAGAATTCAATTATTTTTATAAATAGTAAAATTCTTTGCGGGAATTCAATTATTTTCAAAAAAATTTTTAATTGAATCCCTCGGATGAATTCAAATATTTTTAAATATTTCCATTTTCAATTATTTCCTAAAATTTTAATAAATTTTTCGAAACAATTCAATTAATTTTATAAATACTAAAAATCTTTGCAGGAATTAAATAATTTTTAATCCAATTTACATAAAATTACACGAAAGAATTTAATTATTTTCAAAATATTTAAAAAAAATTCTATTTAAAAATTAAATTACTTTTAATGCAATTTTTTAAGTATATTCGTTAAAAAAATTGAAAGAATTCAATTAGTTTCAAAAAATAATAAAATTCTTGTGATGAATTCAATTATTTTGAATATACTTAATTTTAATAAAATTCTTTAAAGAAATTCAATTATTTTCGAAACAACTTTAATTGAATTTCTCGAAAAAATTTCTTTATTTTTAAATATTTCTATAAAATTCTTCATAACAATTTAATTATTTCTTAAACTTTTAATAAAATCTTCGAAACATTTCAATTATTTTCATAAATAGTATAATTTTTTACAAGAATTCAATTAATTTTATAAATCATAAAATTCTTTGCAGAAATTCAATTCTTTTTTAAAACAATTTTAATAGAATTCATCGAAAGAATTTAATTATATTTTCAAGTATTTACATAAAATTCATTTTTCCCCTAAAATTTTAATAAATTCTTCGGAACAATTCAATTATTTTTATAAATGGCAAAAATTCTTCGCGACAATTGAATTATTTTCATAAATAAAAAAATTCTTCGAAGGAATTCAATTATTCTCTTCAAATTTTTTGATAAGATTTTTTCGCAAGAATTCGATGATTTTCAATACATTAATTTTAAAATTGAAAATATTTAAAAAGAAATTTTTTTTTAAAAAGTTAGGAAACAAAAAAGGAATCAACATTATAGATTATAAATATTTCTTTTTTATAAATTTCTATTTATTTGTTTTTCGGTTTTTATTTCGATTTATTGTTTTTTTTTATAGAGAAACTGTATTGGTTTTTCCATGTGAAGCGGGTCATGTCACTTGCTTGGATTGCTTTCGTGATTATTGTTCGTCGAGATTACGCGAAAGGCAATTTCAATTTGACGACACACGTGGATATTACACTTTACCTTGTCCTGCTGGTTGTCCAAATTCATTTATTCCCGAAATTCACCATTTTCATCTTCTACCCTCACAGCAAGTAATAATTTGAAAATTTATTTAATATTTCAAAATTAATTGAATTTGGAGAAAAGTTATTAATAAATTATTTTTCTCCTTTCTTTCAGTACGAACAATATCAACGTTTTGGTACAGAAGAATATGTTCTTCGTGAGGGAGGAATTTTATGTCCGCAGCCCGATTGTGGAATGGGAATAATACCACCAAAAGTTGAAAATGGATATACGGAGGAAGATTGTCGTAAAGTGCAATGCATCGGTGGTTGTGGAGTAAGTTTCAAATTACTTTTTTTCAAATGTTTAAAAAAAAGAGGAAAAAAAGGGATAAAAGGATAAAAGCGTAAAAGAGACCGTTTTAAGTATGTTTAACAAAATTCTTGTTATTTATTTATTTTTCCAGTTCGTATTCTGCAAAAAATGTTTACAAGGATATCATGTTGGCGATTGTGAACCTCAGGCTCAATCTTATGGCAATTCGAGCTTTGGATCTGGATACGTTGTAGATCCTTTAAAAGCAAAGGATGTGAGTCGTTTAATTTAATTTTAATTAATTATTTTTTCACTTTGCATTCCAATTTATTTTATATATTCAATTTGAATGGGAAATAATTTACAGCCATTGGATATTAAGACTTTTTCGACTTTTTTCGATTATTTTCTAATAACGCGACTTTTATCGACTTATATTAAAAAATTGCGACTTTTACTACTTTTCTTCCAAATTTTGCATCAAAATACCACATTTTTAGTATAAAATGCAACTTATTTCGATTTTTATAGTGTGAAAAGTGCAACTATAAACAAATCTTTGAAAACTTATTAATTATTTATTTTCACGCATTTTATTACAATTTTTGAAAAAAAAACTTTTAAAGAATTTTAATCGAAAATATTGAAAATAATCTTTAGAAAGAAAAATGGACAGTTTCAATTATTATAAAAAATTGAATTTTTGTATTGAAATAATTGAATTCTCGAAGAACTTTTGGAAAGTTATTAAAAATTAAAATAGATAATTGATTTAGAGATGAAATTTAGTTCAAAATTGTAGAAAATAATTGAATTTTGACGCAGGGTTACAGTTGTAATTTTTAGAAATTAATAAATTTGAGAAGTTGAAATTTTTTAAATTTTATTTCCCGTGAAAAAAGAAATAAGAAGTATTTAAATATTTATTTATCATGAAATTATTCGAGTTTTAATTAATTGAATTTAGAAATCAGTGAAGAATCAGGGAAATACAAAATAAAATTTTTTGTTACAACTAAATTAAATCATCGACTTTTTCGACATTTTTCTATTTTTAATCGACTAACGCGATTTTTTTGGTTCGTTAAAGTGGATCCGAGGTCTAAATTTATTTATTTAATAAATAAATAATTAAAGTACAGAAAGAAGATAATTTTTTTTTCATTTTAGGCAAAATGGGAAGAAGCAAGTAAAAAGACGATAAAAATTTCCACAAAGCCGTGTCCTAAATGCCGAACACCAACAGAAAGAGATGGTAACAAATTTTTTTTACTAAAAAACTAAAATTAAAAATTTTATTCAAAGAAATTAGAAAAAAAAACTTGAGTGTTAAATAAAGATTTAACACTCAAGATTTTTTTTTTTGATAATTTTTCTGAATTATTTAAAATGATTAGACGGAAAATTTCATTATGCAATGAAAGTTGATTTAATTGAAATAAATTTCGATTAATTTAGGAGGATGTATGCACATGGTGTGTACAAGAGCTGGTTGTGGATACCAGTGGTGTTGGGTGTGCCAAACCACTTGGACAAGAGACTGTATGGGCAATCACTGGTTTGGTTAAATTTACCAAATGAAATTTAATTTATTCCCTTTAAATTGAATTCACATTAATTCACTAATTAATTCTTTAATTTAATATACCTTCTTTATTTAATATTTAAGTTTCTCTTCTACGAAAATGACATTTGTGATACTTATATAACTTTTTCCAAAAAAGAACATTTTTTAAATATGTAAACATTATATCTATTTGTAACGAGAACTTAATAGATAATAAATTTGAATTCTTTACAATTTTGAATTTTGAATTTTTACAATATTGCAAATTATTGAAAATAAGTTGATTATCCTGCGATCATATTCTTTAATCGATGTAATTTATATAAATCAAATATTTCTTTAGAAAAAACTATATTTTATTAAACAACAATTTTATTAAAAACAACAATTTAAAAAATAGAACTTTTTGTTTTGATCAATAGGAATAAAAAATAAAGTAAGTGGGAGGTTACCGTTATTCTAAGACAATTATGATAAGTGATAATTTACCTGCGTGTCAGAATTGTTTTGAATTTCGTTTCCATAGTTACGCGGGCAAAATAAAACTTTTTACTATTGTTACCAATATTGTTGACGTGTTTTGAACTACAAACGCATTAGAAAATATTTTTAAATTTAAATACAAGTAAAATAAATATTTGTTAGTTGACAAATTTTGTTTATAAAAGAACTGTTTCAAAAAACTGCTTAAAAAACTGTTTAAGAAAACTGTTTAAAAAAAACTGTTTTAATTATAAAAATAATAATAATAAAAAACTTAATAATTTAATAATGCAGGAGAAAGATGACAGTGCTTGGGTTTTTGATTCCTTAATTGGCTTTTTACAAGGACCAATTTGGTCTGCACCGCTTATGACATTTATAGAAGAAAATTCTCTGAGTAAGAAAATATTTTACATTTTTATTATTTATCAATATTTTTAGAAGAAAAAATAATTTTTGTTTCATTCGTTTCATTGCAGTTTTCGAACCTGACACTGAGGATTGCAAGGAATATCGAGAAGTTTATCAGGAGTATAAAAATTTAGTCGATCTACTCCTTGGATGTTACATGGAGGACATGGGAATAACTTCTGAACAATTTGAAATGGCTTGTGCTGTTAACAGTAATACGAGGATTCCGATTCAATTTCAACAAGTACTAGTTCCAAAAAAAATTCTAATTCTTGCAAATTTTTTCTTTTATTCGAAATTAATTTTTTTTTTCAAATTCGATTTCTATTTATTTTAATTTTAAATGTTCGATTTAAATTTATTTTAGATATTGGATTTGAATTTAATTTAAATTTTCGATTTAAATTTAATTTAAATATTCGATTTTAATTTAACTTAAATATTCGATTTTAATTTAATTTAAAGTTTCGGTTTAAATTTCCGATTTAAATTTAATTTAAATATTCGATTTAAATTTAATTTAAAGATTCGGTTTAAATTTAATTTAAAGATTCGATTTTAATTTAATTTAAAGATTCGTTTTGAATTTAATTTAAATGCAATTTAAATATTCGGATTAAATTTTATTTAAATATTCGATTTAAATTTAAAAAAAAAGTAAATATCGGAACGAAATTAATTCTTTAGTGGTCCGTTAAGGAATTTTTTCTCGCTAACTGAAACTAGGCTATTTTGCAGAGTTTATTCGAACAAATCTGGGCGGCCAACGAATTTGAAATATTTAAGCGAATGATGATTCAAAAGAATTTGGAACTTCAACTGCAAGCACTGAATATGATCGAACAAAAATATGGCCTGACACCTGCGTCGTTAACCTGTGGCAATGACAATTTTCCCGACGATGAAATCGTTATGGAGCAAATTCTCAAGTACTGAAAAAATTTTCTATTATTTTTCCCCTCATTTTCCGAAAATCTTTTTTCTCAATCTTTTCTCAATCTTTTCTTAATCCTTTTTCAATCTTTTTTTAATCCTTTCTCTATCTTTTCTTAATCTTTATTTCTTAATCTAAAAAAAAGTATTTAAAAAAATGAAAAACAAGTATTAAAAAGAATTTTTAAAAAATAATTATTTTTACTAAAACTGAACTAATTGGAAATGAAAAAATTTCAGTCGACGGGATAATAAAGAAGAAATACAGGAAAATTCAGTGGCTTCCGAAGAGGAGGTTCCATTGAAGGAGGAACGAGAACGTTTAGCTCAGGAATATCAGAATGAACGCATTCGAATGGCAGAGGCTATTAAAACATCGGGAAATTCTCCATTAAACACAAGTCTTGATAAAGAGAGAAAATTCTTGGAAACTTTGCCTGAAACTTCTGTTGACGAGGCGGATATTCCCGAGGAGCAATCTTCAGTTTCTTCAAAATCAGAAGAATCACTTGAAGCCAAAGAAAATGTGAATATCATTTCATTTTCCCTTTACTATTAGTTATTTTATTTTAAATTTTATTTCTACAAAAACAAAATAATAGTAATTATTTCAAATTTTATTTTTAAATTTCCATTTCAAATTTTATTTCCTAATTTTTATTTTCAAAATTTTACGTTTCAATTTTTATTTCAAATTTTATCTCTTATTTTATTTTATTTCTATCAAAATTATTTCCGACTTCGCACTCGATAATTAATTTTAGAAAAATAGTAAAAAGTATTTTTCAAACTAAAAAAAGTAGTAAAAAAGTTGCTATCGAAAAATTAAACTTGACCAAAAAAACTCGATTTAGACACTTCACAAAACTGATAAAAATTCCATTCTATATTTTATTTTCCTGACTTTTTTCTAATTTTCATCAAAAATATTTACATCTTTCTTATCCTGCTAATAAATTAAATTTTGCAAAGAATTTTATTAAAATGCCTTAAAGTAATTGAATTTTCTGGAATAATTTTGTTATTTATTGACATTATTGAATTCTTTTGAAGAATTATTTATGTAAATAATTGAATTTTTGGGAAGAATTTTATAAAAATGTTTAAATAATCCATTTCTTTCGACTAATTTTATGCAAATTCTAATTCAAATAATTGAATTCCGGTGAAATTTGCATTATTCATGAAAAGAGTTAAATTCTTGCGAAGATTTTTACAAAACATTTGTTAAATATTTTTTGAAAATAATTGAATTCCTAGAAAAGATTTTATTATTTATAAAAATATTTGAATTCTTGCGAACGATTTTATTTGAATTTTTTTTTAAATTATTGAATTCTTGTGATGAATATTGTAATTTTATGAAAATAATTGAATTTTGCATAGAATTTTATTAAAATGCCTAAAAATCATTGAATTTTAGGGAATAATTTTGTTATTTATCGACATAATATTATTATTATTATTATTATTATTATTATTATTATAATATTTTTCTAAATAATTGAATTCTTCCAAAGAATATTAAAAAAAACATTTTTATAAATAATTAATTTTTTCGAGTAATTGAAATTAAATTTTTAAGAATAATTACATTTTTTGAGCAATTCCTGTAAAATTATATTAATAAAAATAATTGTAATCCTGCGATGAATTCTAGTATTTATAAAAATAATTGAATAGTTGCAAAGTATTTTACTAAAATTTTCAAAAATAATTGAATTCCTGAGAAGAATTTTATTATTTTTTATGAAAATAATTGAATTATTGCGAAAAAAATTAATTAGAATTGTATTTAAAATAATTGATTTCTTTCGAACAATTTCATTAAAATTTCGAGGAATTGAAATTAAATTTTTAAGAATTACATTGAATTATTGTGAAAAATTTTATTAAAATATTAAAAAAAGAATTGAATTTCTGTAAAAAGTTTTGCTATTTTTGAAAATAATTTGAATTCTTTATAAGAATTTTATAAACATTATTTTAAATAATTAAATTTTTCGAAATATAATAAATATTATGAAATTTTTATTTTCAAATAATTGAATTTTTACAAAGAATATTATTATTTGTTCAAAAAATTGAATTCTTGATAAGAATTCTATTAAAATTTTTGAAAATAATTAAATTCTCCAGGGAAATTTCATAACAAGATTTGAAAATAATTGAATTGTTTTAAAGAATTTATGGAAATTTAAAACAAATAATTCAATTCTTTCGAGAAATTAAATTGAAATTTTTATTGAAAATAATTGATTTTTTGCATTATTTTATGAAAATAATGGAATTTTTCAAATTTTTTCTACTAATTTCACAAAAATTGCATTAAAAATTATTCAATTTCAGTAAAGAATAATATTAACATTTTTGAAACCAATTGAATTTTTTAGAAAAATTTTATTAAAATTGTATTGAAAGTAATTGAAATCCTGCGATGAATTTTATGATTTATCAAAATAATTGAATTGTTGCTAAGAATTTTATTAAAATTTTCAAAAAAAAATTGAATTCCTGAGAAGAGTTTTTCCATTTTTGAAAATAATTTAATTATTGAGAAAATTTTTATTTAAGTGTTTAAAAAGAATTGAATTTCTGTGAAAAATTTTGTTATTCTTTTAAAATAATTGAATTTTTTTAAATAATTAATTTTTTCGAAATATAATAAATATTATGAAATTTTTATTTTAAATAATTGAATTCTCGTGGAAAACTTTATTTGTGAAAATAATTGGATTTTTTTCGATTTATTAATTTAAAATAGTATTAAAAATAATTGAAATTTTTCGATGAGTTTTATTATTTATGAAAATAATTGAATTCTTGCTTAGAATTTTATCAAAAAGTTTTTTTTTAAAATTGAATTTCTATAAAAAAATGTTATTATTAGTGAATTATTATTATTATTATTTATTATTGAATTATTGTAAAGAATTGTATAAAAATTTTGTTAAATAATTGATTTTTTCGAAATTTTTTTTGAAAATGCTATTCTAAATTAATTGAATTCATGTAGAAATTTTATTATTCACAAAAATAATTGAATTTTAGATATTTATCAATTTTTTTTTTTAAATAATTGAATTCTTTTGCAAAATTTGATGAAAATACTAGTTTATTGAAATTAATTGAATTTCGAATATTTTTTGAAAATAATTGAATCCTTTTGCAGAATTTGATTATATTTTTTGAGAATAGTTTTTTTGATTTCTAGTATTAGCGAATTTAAAGTAGTGGAAATTATTTAAATTATTTTTATTCCAATTTATTTAATTTAAGACTGTGAGAGACGAGGACATAAAAAAGCGGCAGAAATACCTAAAAGCCCAACGAGATAAATTGGTGATCCTGAAAAAGAAGGCTCGAAGTGAAAGACTGGAGAAAAACGCAACTCGTCCAAGTTCTGCTCGAGTTGTCGCCGAAGCTGCAATGAAAGGAGGAAGTGACCTGGATCTTCCACAATCATCAGAGTCATCAATACTCCAACTAAGAAAAGCACTTGCTGCTCGACTCAAAGCCGAAGTCGTCAATAAATAAATTTCAACAAACTAGAAAAGAAAAATAATATAATATAAAAAAATAAAAAAATGTGTTAAGAAAAATTCTTGAAAAATTTGCTAACAAATTTTCCAATTAATACACAGAAAAGAAAAATGAAACAAAAATATTTTAAATATAAAGAAAATTCGAAAATTTTTGAGTTTCAAACTTTTCCGATTGAATTAAAATATTTGAATTAAAAATAAAAAAATGTTTTTAGAAAAAAAATCTAGTGTGATTAAACTAAATAAATAAAATGATAAAATATGTAAGTGGGACAATTTCAACTTCCTTTTTTTTTAATCGTTTTATCGTATTTAATGCTAAGAAAATTGCTTTTACAGAAGTATAATTAAAAATATCAGTGGATATTGTTTCTCGCTCTAGCCTGTTATTCGGTTTTTTGTTTCTTTGTTTCTTTGTTTTTTCCAAAAAGTATTCCCAAAAAAATTCCTGCTTGCACATTGATTTGTCTAGCTACAATAAAAACTTTGTACAGCTGTCCTTATTTCCTGTTGAAAGAATTTCTTCGAAAAAACTTTTATTTTTTATATTTTTTTTTTTAATTTTTTTTTTCCCAACAATTTTAAAATAGATATTTTAAATATAAAAATCTACATTTCTTTCTCTCTCTCTCTCTTTCTTTCTCTCTTTTTCTCCGCGAAAATTCATAATCAGCTAAACATTTTTTCTCTGTGTGATTATTGCATTTTTATAAAAATGTACAATGAATTTTTAATCTACTGGACAATCGATTTTCATTTTTTTTTTGTTTTTACTTTTAAAAATTCGGAGAAATTCTTTTCTTTGGATTGAGGAGGCTTCACATTCAATTACCATTTTGTTGTTGTTGTTTTAAAAATTGGTGATTGACAATCAAATAATGCCCTTGTTTACTGTAAAGCAAAGTCGGGTTTTTGTGATGTGTCCGAAAATAGTCGTTTTTTTCTAAATTTATGTTTTATTTAATTAAATATTCTTTTTCGCTCTACAACACACTTTTATTCATAATAGCACTCACTCCATCATTCTTAACAGTTCTGCTTCAGATTCAAACTTTTTTTTTTTTTTTTATTCGCCGATTTGCAGCAGGAAACTGTCGTTAATAATTGAACGTGAGAATAAAAAAAAAATAGAAAATAGAAAAAAATATTATTTCTAAATGAATTATCGTTTCAAAAATTTCTCTTAAATAACAGTAGGTAAATTGGTAATACATTAATAAAAAAAATATGCTACTTATAATTAAAATCACATTTTTCGTGCTAAAAAAAACTCATTTTTACCTTAAATTTTAAGTATCGCTGATGAAAGACTTACACTCTGACTCAGAAAAGAAATATTCAAAGAAAAATATTATTGCATTAAATTTATATTGTATTTAATTTTTTAGTTAATCAATAAATAATTACTAAGTTGATAATAAATAATAATTAAAAAGTATCTTTTTTGAGTAAAAAAAAATTCTAGTCTTCTTTGAATATTCAAATATTTTTGAATACAAATTAATAAAAAATACAAAATAATTCAAAGGGAATTTTCTTTTCTGAGTTATTCGTAATGTAATAAAAATGAGAGATAATCCTTGACACAGCCCAACTTCTTAAAATCTATAATATTTGAATATTAAAAAAGAAATCAACGTTCAATTGTCAACTTTTGATTTTCCGCACTGCAAATCTCAATGATTGTTAACTTTGAAAATTCCCACAAATTACAAATTTAAAATTTCAGAGAATCACTAATTTTTTTTTCTTTTTAAATTGACATTTCGAATTTATTTCGAATTTTAATTTCACTTATTTTCCTCTTTTTTTTTTATTTGAGTTTCTCTCAGTTTACTTTTTCAAAGTTTACGAATTATATTATTTTTTTTTCTTATATATTTGTTATGGTACTTTCTTATAAAATGATAAGTATTAGAGAAAAAAAGCTGTCACAGTTCCTTGGTATCATTAAAAAGTAAAATGTCTAAATCATGTTATATATTACAGTGTGTGTGAAGAAAATCTCCCCCTCGGCTCTTTTTTTTGCTATTCGATGTGTTGGCTCCGAAATTTTTTTTTTAAAAACAGCTCTTTGAAGAGCTTTCAGAATGTTTTAGAATTGTTCATTTGATTTTGAAAACAAAATTTCCCTTCTTACAAAATATTCAAATATTCGTTTTATTTTTATTTTTATTATTATTTAATAATTAATAATATAATAATAATAAAATATTTAATAATAATATACTATTAATAATAATAATAATAATAATTTATTATATCGATTATTAATTCATTAAATTTTATTTTATTAATTTAATTAATTATTAAATCGAACGATACAAATAATTTCAAGAACGAAAATCATCTAATACAAATATTACAATTAATAAAATTAAATACATAAATTATCAATTTAAAAATTTTAATTTTTAATTTTAAATTTTAAACATTTTACAATATTAGTAATTAATTAACTAATATTTTTATTTTAATGTACGAAGTTTAATATTTAAATTTTAATATTCCTAATTATTGTAGGAATTTGAATAAAGTTAATTAAAAAATGTGGAGTATAATTTTTAATGACTATAATTTATTGCAAAAAACATTTAAATTGATTTTTATATGACAAATCTAAAACATTCTGTATATTTATATATAATATATAAATATATACGAACTGTATATACACCAAATACATTCAGAGCAAGTACTCTTTCAGTACTTTTTTTTCCATTTAATCACTTAATTATTAATTTATAATTTTTTTTCCATTTTTTCTTTACTTACACTCTCTTTTTTTCCACCCTTCATAGTGCTCTATTCTTAATAATAAAATTTTTTTTTCTCATTACCGAATAAATTGTAAATACAATAAAACACATGGGGAACAACATTATCAATTAACTCGTTAATTCTTTAACTAATTTTATGGTTAGCCTTTATTACAACTTTCTGTGGTCAGTTCAGGTGTGTGCACTCTCTCTCTTCTTCTACTCAGCTCTCCTTTTTTTTTTTGAGAAAAAAAATTCTTCTTCTCCTTTTTTTAAGTTAAAAAAATTCATTTCTCCCAAATTCCTTTTTTTTAAATCAGAATTTTTTTGAAAGAAAAAGAAATTTTTTTCCCCCGAGCTGAGTTTAATGAGAAGTACATTCTTTTACAGAAAAAATTTTGAAAAAACGGGAGTCGATATTTGATACAAAATTTAATTCTTTTTTCACTTAGCGGTTTAAGTTTCGGTAGAAAAAAGATTTTTATAAAAATTTCTCTCTTCGTTTCAAAAAACTTAATTTTCTTTTCTTTTTTTTATCGAAGGAACGATTCAAAAAAAAAGTTCAATTTTGAACGAAGAGAAATTGTACTATCCAATAACCACTGTGTGTCCATTCGTCAATTCGAATGTCGTTTTTATGAATTTTAGATCAAAAAAAAATTTTTCCTTCATTTTTTTTTGTCTTTCCCTCGAGAGAATTTGTCCGTAATTTTTTTTTTTTTTAATATCGCGAAGTTTCTTTAAAAACTAGAAAAAATTCCTTGAAACAATTTTCGAGCATAAATAATAATTTATATTTTTTAAAATTACACGAATTTTAGTTATAAAAATTGTAAAGTTTTCTTAAAATTTCAATAAAAAAAGTCACAAATTAGTAAATAAGTTCAATTTTGATTTTTTTGGGGGAAAATTTACGGAATTTTATTTTCGTTAATTTTATAAAGAAACTTCTTTATCTTCCTAATTAATTAAAGAAATCACCTTCTTAAAGACTTGTCATTTAACAATATTAGTATTTGACATGTGAAGCCGGCCGATGATTATTTATTACACAAATAAAAAAAATGATTATTGTACAATTTACGCTACTTACAATAATAAATTGGAAATTTTATTGGAAAGCTCATTGAAAATATCTCAAAGGAGATAAGAAATTCAGGCAGAGCGTACATATATATAAATATATATGTATATTATTTTCACACGATTCTTTTTTCAATCTACGTGTGTATATATTTGTGTATATTTTTTTTAGGGGGAGTAAGAGGATATCTTGGGCCATTTTTTTTTTAATCGAGAAACTCCGGGGTGCAATAAGTATGTATAATATGTACAAATGAAATTCGAATACAAATGTCACAGTTTTTACTGGATACGAATCTACAATTCGTCCTCATTCAAAAATCGTTCTGTCACGACCGGAAGTGGTTTTTTTTTCCAAAGCCAACCAACAAACACGCTCGAAAGAGTCGATCGAAAAAAAAGTCGGGGTTCGAATAAGGATTGAGCAAGTAAAATACTTGAGATAATTTTTTTTTTTTAATTCGGTGGAGAGGATAAAATACGAAATTTATATATCTAAAAAAATTGTATTTTAACGTAAAAAAAAAACAAACTCGTGAGTTGTGTGTCACTGCACAATCCTTATTCTCAAAAGAAAAAAATTCGTAGATAAAAAAATTCTTTTTCCAAAAATTCCAAAAAAAAAGGAAAATAATAAATAAAATTATAGGCTTACCCGGAAAAAAAAGCATCCACGAATAATAAAACCCCGTGTCTTTTTGTCAGTCGTACAAAAATTCCGTTCTTGAAAAGGCTAGGCCCTTAGATGAATTTCTCTTTTTTTCGTCCCGATAAACTGCTAGTCGATGAAAAGTTTTTCAATTTATTGTGGGGTCATTTTTTTTAAACCACTGGAATGAATTACAATTTACTTTCTTTCTCTCTCTCTCACACTCTCTTAATTGAATACACTCGTGTAAATTCTTATCTCTATCTTACGAAGATATCAAGACAGTCCCGTAATAGTTCTTAAACAAAATCCACTATCGATGTTCCCGCGATTTCACAGTTTTCTTTCTTTCCTTTCTTTTTCTTTTTTTTTTCTCTCGTGTTAAAAACAGCCCCTTTTGGAGATCTCTATTAGTCTTTACTTCAGTTTTGCTTGATTTTTCTCATTCTCTCATACTGTACATAATAATTCTGACAAACATGCGTTTTAAAGGTCCGTCATTCACTTTTTTGTTTTTAAATACCTTTCTGCCTTTCTTTCTTTCCTCTCTTTCTTTCTTTCTCTCTCTTTTTTTTCTCTCTTCTCTAATCAATTCTGGATTCCTCTTTTTTTTTTTTTTTTTTCTTTTAATATATATATTTATATTTTTAAGTATCCCGCTTGATACGTTGTCTCTCTCTCACTTTAAAAAAAAAAAAAAAAAGACGACGACGGCGACGACGACGTGTTCCTGATTTTCGTTCTACCATTTTTTAAGTGTGTAGAAAACGAAAAATCAAATTTGAACGAAATGAACGATCCGTTTTAACGCGGGTACTTAAGAGAATACGGCAACTAATTGTCACAGCACTCGTGTTACCGATTGACAGTTCGCCTACTATGACATCCGTTGCCGTTTTGGCGACGGACTCAATTCTGAGTCCTCTTCTTCTTCGTCTGAATCGCCCTCGTAATCGACCAATCCCTGAAATTAACAATTTTTTCATTCATTTCTCTTCATAATTCTCTTAATTTAAAGCAAATTGAATTTTACTATTGATAAACGATTTTAATGATATCAGGCCTCGGATCGACTTTAACGAGCAAAAAAAATCGCTGTAGTCGATTAAAAATAGAAAAAAAGTCGATTCTGTGTTGTCACAAAAAATTTTATTTTTTATTTTCTTAATTTTTCACTGAATTCTGAATTCAATTAATCAAAACTCGAATAATTTTATTTAAATTTATTTCTTTTTTCAAGGGAAATGAAATTTAAAAAATTACAACTACAACCCTTTCAAAATTCAATTATTTTCTACAATTTCGAACTAAACTTCATCTCTAAATCAATTATCTATATTAATTTTTAATAATTTTCCGAAAGTTCTTCGAGAATTCAATTATTTCATTACGAAAATTCAATTTTTAATAATAATTGATACTGTCCATTTTTCTTTTTAAAAATTATTAAGGTAGAATATTTTAAAAAATTTTAATAAAGAAATTCTTAAAATTAATTTTTTTTAAATATATTTCTAAATAATTTTTGAAAGACAATATTTTTACAATTACATAGGTACAATTAAAATATGTCCAAAAAATTGAAATTTCGTAAAATCTTTTAAAAAATAATAGAAATTTGGTAAAACCTTTCAAAAATAATTGAAATTTTAAAAAATATAAAAAAATAATCAAATTTTTGAAGAATTTCTATTATAAATGATTTCTCAGAAATTTTAATAAGTCTAAACAGGTAAATTAAAAAAAATTTTAATTAAATTTGTTCAAAGTTAATTGGTTCTTAAAAATTATGTTAAAACAATTCGAAGAATTAGTTTTTTTTTAAATATTGTAATGTAATTTTTCGAAAATAATTGAATTTCTAAAAAGAATTTTTGTATAATTTAAAAAAAAGTAATTAATTCTTTTAAGAATTTTAATTAAAAATTTTTAATATGATTCTTTTCTCCAAAATGTTAAAAATGATTCTAAAAAAATTTTAATGCTATTTTTTTGTATCTATTTGAATTTTCAGATATATGTAATCAAAAATATTGAAAATAATTGAATTTTCAAAAAATTAGAATAAAAAAATTTTGAGAATTATATTTTTTCTAAAATATTAAATTTGAATATTATTTTTATAACCTAATTTTCATTAATTTTAATTTTTATATTAAATTTACCTTTGAAGATTTTTCATTAAAAAAAATTTTTAAGTATTCAATAATATCCAAAATTTTCGATTATAACTTTTTAAAAGTTAATTTACAAAAATTGAAATGTAATACTTGAAAAAAAGGATTTATTTTCAATTAAACTTCATCTCTAAATAAATTATCTATATTAATTTTTAATAACTTTACGAAAATGTCCATTTTTCTTTTTAAAGATATTAAACTAGAATATTTTCAAAAATTTTAATAAAGAAATTCTTAAAATTAATTTTATTTAAATATTTCTAAATAATTTTTGAAAGGCAATATTTTTACAATTAGATACAATTAAAATATGACCAAAAAATTGAAATTTGGTAAAATCTTTTAAAAAATAATTGAAATTTGCTAAAATCTTTGAAAAATATTTAAAATTTGATACAATCTTTCCAAAATAATTGAATTTTTATAAAATATAAAAAAAAATAATCAAATTTTTGAAGAATTTTAATTATAAATGATTTCTCCGAAATTTTAATAAGTCTAAAAAAATAATTTAGAAAAATTTTAATTTACTTTGTTCGAAGTTAATTAAATCTTAAAAATTATGTTAAGGGGTTACACCACTTTGACCCGTTCAAAACATAAGCTTTTTCAACAATTTTTATTGAAGAATAGAAATTTTTTTAGGAAAATTAAATTACAGTAGGGTATTGTACTACTCTTGAACTACAAAAAAATATATATAAATTTCTTTTTTTTTTTTAAATTGTCGGTTTGACAGATGATATGTTAAAGTGCTTTAAAAATGTATCGCCATACGGTGGACACTATAACTCGGTCCAGAATTAAGCTTGACCAAAAAGTAAAAATGCTTTAGTTTCTGTAGCTCAAAATCTAGCGAAATACGTATCCGTTTTAAAAAAAAATTATTTTTCGCAAAATGGCATCGATTTGAAGGAAAAAGTCCATATTTTTGCCTAAATTTCATTATTTAAAGTTGTCTAGAAAATTTAAATATTAATATTTCGAAAAATCCGTACGTATTTCGCTAGATAATTATATCACAAACAAAATAAAAAAAGAACTAAGAGGATCGATTGAAATTTGTGGCAGCTAGAGTGTCCACCGATTTTTAAAATACAGTTTTGAGAAAAACGCGTTTAAAGTTTTCATTACAATGTAAACGTTGGCGCGCGACCCTGCTTGAACAGTTCGAAAATTGTCTTTTTACTTGAAATATCGATATATAACTAATGACATATCATTTTGGTGACCATAAGGAGTATTTTAACCAAAAAAAATTTTTTTCAATTTTTTGAAAATTTCAAAGTGGTGTAACCCCTTAAAACAATTTTAAGAATTAGTTTTTTACAAATATTGTAATGTAATTTTTCGTAAATAATTGAATTGCTAAAACGAATTTTTATATAATTTAAAAAAAACTAATTAATTATTTTAAGAATTTTAATTAAAAATTTCGAATATGATTATTTTCTCCAAAATGTAATCGAAAATATTAAAAATAATTGAATTTTCAAAAATAAGAATAAAAAAATTCTGAGAATTAGTTTTTTCACAAATATTTTAATATTATTTTTACAACCTAATTTTCATTAATTTTCATTTTTATTAAATTTACACTTGAAGATTTTTCAATAAAATTGTTAAGAGTTCAATTATTTCCAAAATTTTTAATTAAATTTCTTTAAAAGTTAATTTTTAAAAATTGTAATAAAATACTTGAAAAAAATGATTTTTCAATTAAACTTCATCTCTAAATCAATTATCTATATTAATTTTTAATAATTTTTCGAAAGTTCTTCGAGAATTCAATTATTTCAAATCAATACAAAAATTGAATTTTTTATAATAATTGAAACTTTCCATTTTTTAAAGATTATTAAGGTAGAATATTTTCAAATATTTTAATAAAAAAAATTCTTAAAATTAATTTTTAAAAATATTTCTAAATAATTTTTGATAGACAATATTTTTAAAATTACATAACAAAATTAAAATATGACCAAAAAATTGAAATTTAGTAAAATTTTTTAAAAAATAATTGAAATTTGGTAAAATCTTTGAAAAATAATTGAAATTTGATAAAAGCTTTTCAAAATAATTAAGTTTTTAAAAAATATAAAAAAATAATCAAATTTTTGAAGAATTTTAAAAAATTAGAATAAAAATATTCTGAGAATTAGTTTTTTTCAAAAATATTTTAATATTATTTTTCTAATTTTTTTCCTTAATTTTCATTTTTATTAAATTTGCACTTGAAGATCTTTCATTAAAATTTTTGAGAATTCAATTATTTCAAAAATTTTCAATTAAATTTCTTTAAAAGTTAATTTCCAAAAATTGTAATAAAATGCTTGAAAAAAATAATTTATTTTCAATTAAATTTTACAAAATTTCAATTTTTCAATATCTTTTTAATTGTATATTTCAAAAATTTAATTTAGAAATTAATTTATCAAATTTAACTCAAATTTAAATCAAATTTAACTTTTCAAAGATTTGTCTATAGTTATACTTTTCACACTATAAAAATTGAAATAAGTTGCAGGTTTCTACTAAAAATGTGGAATTTTGTTGCAAAATTTGGAAGAAAAGTCGAAAAAGTCGCAATTTTTAAATATAATTCGATAAAAGTCGCACTATTCGAAAATAGTCGAGAAAAAAAATCGAAAAAGTAATAATATTCGAGGCCTGTGATATAGCTGCGAATTTCGTTTGAAAAAAAGTAACAGAAAAATGTTTGTTTACCTTCTTGAAAATGTTTGCTCCTGTTTTATCAGTGGAACTGACAGCGGTACTGGGACTAATATCCACATTGACAGGTGACTCACTGGCAATTGGGACACTATTGTTGATCGGTGTTTGCGGTGTGTTGACAGTATTGCTGGAAGTATTATTATTAAGAACAGTCTGTTGTTGTTGACTTTTTGGATCAGCCGGAACGGGATTTGGTGATGAATTCGGTGATGGCGGTTGCTTTTTTGCTGAAGCAGGTGGCACTAAATCAGCGGCGGCAGCAGGAACTACGGCCTCGCTGTCATCAAAGTCTTCCTCTTCATTAAACCACATTTCCTCGTCCTCGTCAAGTTGTCGCTGATCTCGTCGGTACCGACTATTTCTCAATATCGATGGTACACTGCAAAAAAACAAAAAAAAAAAAACATTTTCATCTCCTTCAATTCTTCTAATCTCTAATTTTCTAGTTATTTTACAATATTTCCAAAAAGAGAAACAAAATTCTTCTAATCTGTCAATTTCTTTAATTATTTTACAATATTTTTGAAAAAGAGAAACAATTTTCCTTCGCAAAGGAATTTATAAAATTTTTTTTCTTACCTATCGAGTGCAGATCTGTCTCGATCCTTGAGTTTAGCCTGATGTTGATCGTGTCTCAATTTTAATGCCTTAAACGTCTGAACATAATTTATAGTTTCCAATTGTTTCGAGAAATTTTCTACAACGTGCGAAGATAATGACCTGATGTCCTCCTGTAAAAAAAAGCAAAATTGATTTTTCAAAAAACTGTTCAATTAGGAAAAAAATTAATTATAAATTGTAGATAGAAATTTCAGGCTTCGCACCCAATAATTAATTTTTAAAAAGTAACAAAATGTAAATTTAGCTTTAAAATTGAAAAAAAATGGCAATCGAAAAATTAAAATTGACATCTAAATACTCGTTTTAGTCGATTCAGAAAAATCGACAAAAATTTGATTCTGTATTTCCCTGATTTCAATGAAAAATATTCTCTTTTTCTCTTATTCTGGTAATAACTTTAAATTCAAAATTTTTATCAAATTCAATTATTCTACAAACTTTTAGTTAGAATGCTTCAAAAATTCGATTATATTTCAAAATAATTTCTAAAAGTAAAAAATAAAATTTTTTTACTTGATAATTTTAAGTGCACTAATTTTAATAAATTTTAAATTTTTAAATATGAAATCTATCTATCTATCTATTTTTTATATATAAAATCTATCTCAATTAAATTTGTCAAAATTTCCAATTAATTGGAAACTTAAACAAATATTTTAAAATTTTTACGGGAATTTAACTTTATTCAAAAAATTGTTAACTAAAATTTTTCAAAAGACTAATTTTTTCTACACAGTTATCGAGAAATTCATTTAAAATTAAATTTAAAAGAATTGAATTCTTGCAACGAATTTCATTAAATTTTTTCAATAATTGAATTTCTGTGATATATTTTGCTATTTTTAGAAATAATTGAATTCTTGCGAAGGATTTTATTAAAATTTTTGTAAATAATTGAATTTCTTAATGAATTTTGTAAAAATTTAAAAGAGTAATTCTTGAAAATCGTATTTCAAATAATTCAATTCCTATAAAACTTTTTTTTTATTCTAATTGAGTTTTTTTTTTAAAGAATTTTGTTAAATTTTTTTTAAAATAATTGAATTTTTGCAACGAATTTTAGTAAATTTCTTTTTGAATAATTGAATTTTTTGAAGAATTTTGTTATTTGAAAAATAATTGAATTCTTGCGATGAATTATATTATTTATGGAACAAATGTTAGAAATTAATTAATTTCTTTCAAACTATTTTATTAAAAATATTTTAAATAATTAATTTCTTTCGAAAAATGTTCTTGAAAATTGTATTTAAAATAATATAATTCATGTGAAACTTTTTTTTATTCTAATTGAACTTTTGCGAAGAATTTTATTAAATTTTAAAATTTAAATAATTGAATTTTTGCAACGAATTTTATTAAATTTCTTTTTAAATAATTGAATTTCTGTGATAAATTTTATTATTTGTAAAAAATAATTGAATTCTTGCGATGGATTTTAAAACATGTTTTGTTAATAATTGAATTTTTTTGAAGAATTTTATGAAAGTTTAAAAGAATAATTCGATTATTTCGAATAATTTAATTAAAATTGTATTAAAAATAATTTAATTCTTGTGATGAATTTTATTTTATGAAAAGAATTAAATTCTTCCATACAAATGTTATCAAAATTTTAGAAAATGATTAGTTTCTTTCAAACTACTTTGTTAAAAATATTTTAAATAATTGATTTCTTTCGAAAAATGTTCTTGAAAATCGTATTTCAAATAATTCAATTCCTGTGAATCTTTTTTTATTCTAATTGAACTTTTGCGAAGAATTTTATAAAGATTTAAAATTTAAAAGAATAATTCAAGATTTTCGAATAATTTGATTAAAATTGTATTAAAAATAATTGAATTCTCGCGATGAATTTTATTGTTTATGAAAATAATTAAATTCTTCCATACAAATGTTATCAAAATTTTAGAAAATAATTAATTTCTTTCGAAAAATTTACTTGAAAATTACATTTCAAATAATTTAATTTCTGTGAAAATTTTATTAAATTCTAATCGAATTTTTGCAAAGAATTTTGTTAAATTTTTTTCAAATAATTGAATTCTTTCGAGAAACTTTATTAAAATAGTATATTTTGAAAATATTTGACATAATTTTAAAAAAAAAGTATTCATATAGTAGCTAAATGTAAAAAAAAATGAGCGCAAAGTCTGAAATTTGAATAAACAAAAAATAAACTCAAGTTCTAAAGTAAAAAATAGAAACCTAAAAAAAAATACTCACGAGTTTAATAAACTCGAACATTTCAAGTATGGCCGAATCAAGAAGATTGTATCTCCCATTATTCCTGACGAATGCATCAAAAACTGGCGCAAATAGATTTCCTTTAATAATATGTCTATTATAAATCTCGTCCTTTAATGCAATAATTTTCCTCATAAACCTCAATGCGCATAACACAAGAAATGTGTGCGTTGATTTCATAAGGACTAATATTCTTCTGAGCAAATCTTTATTCATAATGCAATTTTTTATATGATACGAATGATGTTCAACGCAAAATGACAAAAGCTCAAGAATTAAGCCAAGCAATTGTACCGTTCGATAATCTTCTTTCGCCGGTTTTTCATCGACAGTATTCGCCAATAATGGGGCAATTAACGTGCCAATGCTGTTCTTATAAAAATAATGCAAAAAATCAGCCTTCTCCGATTTATTTACAGAGGCGAGCATATTTTCTGGATCGAGAAGAAGACGTAGCACGCCAGCAAGTTGTACAGCTCCGCCTAATTCAGGATCAGTGTCATTCACCAATTGTGCAACAACAACATTCACCAACATTTGATCTTGCTCGGTATTATTAATTTGCTGTAATGTATAATCACGCACGACACTCGGTGAATATTCAACGATATAGGTCAAAATATCGATACTCGCCGTTTTTGTTTGTGTATCATTAATCGCGAGGGTGATTTCAAGTGCGGGTAAAATGCCCAAGGCGGTAAGTGTTTTATAAAAAGCCTCCTTCCCCTGGGGTTGAAGATTTTGCGAGTAATTGCAAAATTCCTTGAGGAACAAAACGAGATCACGTCGTTTACTGTCGGATGTTGCCTCATCAGTCAATTGACGAAAGAGTTCGGTGAGAAATTTCTCATCATCCTGAATGAGAGTGACAATTTCCACTTTATTGAAGAAAATAAAACTACTCAATGTACTGAGCATATTGTCCTCAAAGACACTTGGCGTTGGTAGAACAACATCTTGAATATATTGAACGCGATAGGTCTGATGAATTTTCGCCAATAATTCGGCGTTTGTTATTGGAATTGCCTGCTTGAATCGTGCGAGTTGCTGAAGATATTCTCGATGCCTTTTGCGTTGTGGTAACGTTGGCTCATACTCAAGACAACCGACCACATCGAATATTGTGTCATCGCTGAACATCACTTCAAAAAGGGCATTTTTGTTGAGGAGAAAAATATTCTTGAAAATATCGTAAAGATGATGGAGGCCCTCGGTATTCTCGAGATCCTCGCACGTGTGAAAGAGGTTTAGTAATTTTTTTATATAACCCTCCGATTCGAGGGCCATGGCCAATTTTTCTTTTCTCACAGGTGATGGTAAACAATTGCCAATTAATTCATTTATGTCCTCGAGGCGTGCCAATTCACATGGTGGGAGTTCAATTGGTGGCGCCGAATCCGACATATCGTCAAATCGCTCATCTTCCGATTCCTCGACGATATCTTGAGTTATTTCCACCGACGGGTCCTTTCCCTGGACCTGGCATATTTTCTCCCATATCTCATCGCAACCGGCTTTCTCTTGAAAACTCAATGCCAAATCGAAGTTGTCCCCTTCCGACCATACGATCAAGGTATCCTGAAAAAAATTCCCATTTTATATCGCTCCCAATTTTTATCCAAATTGCAAAACTGCACGAACAAAATAAATAAAATAATAGTAAATAAATAAATAGTAAATAAACACACAAATAGTAAAAAAATTTATCTTTTAGAATAAATAGAAAATTTAATTTTTAAAAACAAATTCACAAAAATTAAATAAGTTTCAGTCACTGAAGTAAAAGGAAAAAAACGTCAAAATTTCCTCCAAGTGACTCAGAATTTCATGACTTAATTGGTTTATCGCCTATGGAGAATTAAGATCAGAGACAACAGATTTAAAACAGTAAAAACTGCGTTTAGATAAAAATAACTAGATCAAAGTAACAAAAAGTGAAAAATAAAACGATTTTCAAAAAAAAAAATTAAATCAAATAGTCATAAATATGAAACGAAACATTTCCAATAATTGAATAAGAAAAAAAATAATACACTTAAACGAATAGAAGCAAAAAAAAAAAATTATAACGAAATGAAAAATTTCGGAACTAGAAAAAAACGTCAAAACAAAAAAAACATTAAGAAACGCAATTAAAATTCAAATACTTGAATATTCTAACTAATAAAATTAAAATTAATCGATTAACAATAATTATGTATGTAAAAAAATGTAAAAAATTACAATTATATAAATTTGAAATAAAAAATAAAAAAACAAAACATTTTCTATAATTGAAAAAGAAAAAAGAATATTACAACCAGAAGTAAACAAAAATTATAGTGAAATGAAAAATGTCGGAACTAGAGAAAAAAACGTCAAAACAACAATTGCAGATTAAAAAACGCTTTTACAAGTAGAAAATAAATAAATAATTAAAAGTAACAAAAGAGAAAATAAATAAAACGATTTAAAGCAAAATCAAATCAAATAGTTACAGTAAATACGAAAAAATAGAAAAACGAAACATTTTCAATAATTGAATTAAAAAAAAAAAAGAAACATACAACCAGAAGTAAACAATTAAATGCAAAACTGAAAATTACATCGAGAAAAATGTCGGAACTAGAAAAAAACGTCAAAATAAAAATTATAGATTAAAAAACGCAATTAAAATTCAAATACTTGAATATTCCAAATAATAAAATTAAAATTAATCGATTATTAATATTTAAGACTAAAAACAACATCTAGATAAAAATAAAAGTAAAAAATAAATAATCCGAGTTTGCATTTCGTTCTGTAAAGTAAAAAATAAATAAATAAAAGTAACAAAAATAAAAATAAATAAAACAATGTAACAAAAGTAAAAATAAATAAAACAATGTAAAACAAAATAAAACCAAGTATGTAAAAAAACAAAATATGTAAATATGAAATAAAAAATAGAAAAACGAAACATTTCCAATAATTGAATAAGAAAAAAACAAAAAAAAGCAAAGTTAATTAAATTAAATACTCAATTTACTATAAATTAAAAAATTTAGAATTACGGTTAAAAATAAGTTTTAATTTAATAAACAGGAAATTTTAATCAACACGAAAAGTACTTAATAATTTTTTCCAAGTTGAGAGAAATAAAGAAAAATAACCAGAATCTACAATCTGAAATTCCCTTGTCCAATGAAACGTCACAATTAAATCGTTCAATGACAAAACTCGCCCTTTAAACATAACTGTATTATTGACATATTTTTCCTTTAAATTCACCAATTTCACAAATTTCAACAATTTCGACTAAAAATTTTACCCTTTTAAAAACAAATAAACAAAGAAATTTAATTTATATAGTTATTTTATTCCGCTGAAGAAGCATCCTTTCCCCTAGAAGAATCATATTTAATAGGTTTAAAGCTAGGGATAATTGTAGGAAACTAAAATTTTCTATGTATATACATATATATACATAGGAAACATATATGAAATTTACTGCTATTGTTTGAGGACATTTATAAAATAAATTTCAAAATTGAAATAATAAATTCTTTAGTAAATTGTTAATCCCGTTTTTCTCGAATAAAAAGAGAAAGTTGGAGAATTTTAATATCGAATGAATTATTAATCAATAAGGGATGATGAAAGAGGGAAAAATTGTTTCAATAAAGAAAGGGAAAAAAAATTAGTAGAATGGAATACTCACTTGTTGTTTTTGATATGCTGTATCTGGTTGAATTTTACTTTCAAGCAAGACGGATCCATCGCTTTCAGCTCGAACTAAAAGGGAAATTCCTTTTAGTCTATCGACATACGATGAGGAAACGTGACCAGTACCACGATCGTCCCATTGCCTATCTACATTTAGTGCGTACAATTTAACTCTTCTACGTGTGTCTGTCATGGTGAAAATGATTTCTATGGGTTCAAATCTACCCTAGACTAACTATCATTACTTTGACGTTTCTCACTTATTTTTCGTATCTTCTTCACTTTTCTTTTTCAATTCACTAAGTGCCGCAATTTGTTCACAATTTTACCAATTCATCATCACACTCAATTCAATGATCATATTTGTGAATTTTAATTTTAATACCTAATTTCCGCATTAAATTAATTAAATTAAAAATATCGAAATAGTCCAGTTAATGCTCTGAATCTTCGCCGTGGAAGTCATTTGTAAATTTCACTGATAAAAATAATGTTGTGGTGAGGAATTTAAAAAATATGCCTCCAAGGAATATTTACACTCGATGATCAAAGTTTTTTAAACTCGTTTTTTCAAGGACTTTTAACTGCTTTTTTGGTAAAACTTGAAAACACAAAGTAGAATAATTTTGACTGGGGGAGATTTTTTTTTCGAAGTGGAAATTACCTGAATCGCATGTTCAGACATGCAATAATCACGGTGTGGGGGAGAGAAAGTTATCCTTCCAGAGGGTGTTTACGTGAAACGTTGCATAAGGATCCTCTCCAGGTAAATATAATAACGCGGGAAACACAATTGTTTTTAATGAAAACTTGAAAAAGACGACGCGTTTCTAAACCAAGGATGAGGGACGGACGGGGCTTTAACGGGTGAGGGTATTGTCGTCGAGATCCTTTGCGAAGACGAATTCTCTCCTGTTCTCGGTGTATATCCTCGGGGATCGCGAGAGTTTCACTCTGGAACACGTCGCACAATTTCACGACACAACTGTCTTCGTTTATAAATCTACTTTCTACGAACTCTCGACGATCCGGACGCACTCAGCATCGTTCTTTCTATCTCGTGTGTGCTTGATATCGCGCTAAATTAGACACAGAACAGCAACAACACTACTCTCCGCCATGTTAGATCACAACAACGCGCCACGGGGTTCACGTCCTTCAATTCATGGAAAACCGCGCACTTTTTAAATTTAACTTTATTATTTAACTTTTTTTTCGTAAAAAAATATATTATAAACAATTTCTTTATTATTTTAAAATAAAATTTTTTTTTATACTTTTAACGAAGAATGAATTTATAAAAATGTTTGTTAATTATGTTATAATAATTATTTTAACAAAAAAAAAACCTCAATGTCAAGGAGTTGAGGTTATGTTATTAAATGAAATTTTTGTTTTGAATTTCGCAAAAATGATAAATATTTACTGTAAAAGAAATTTCCGTAAGATCATTTTATATTATATAGTTTATTTACAGTTTCGTCATTCGAGATAAGATTTTCACAAAAGATAAGAAATTTTGCAAAAAAAAAATTCGATAAGGAATATATAAGATGAAAAGAATATATTTTCCATAATTGGCTGTCGATTTTTGTTTTATATTTCTGTGAAACAAATAAGTATTTTTTTATAAATAATAACATTGTAAATTTAATTCTTTTTCATTGATTGATCAAATAGAAAATGTATAAAATAATATTGATATTTTTTTGTATTATTAGTTTTAATAAAAACTCCACCAATAACGTTCGAGATTTAAAAGAAACTTTGCCTTTCATTGGTCGGGGAATAATTTATTATCCTAATTAAAAAAATAACAATAGAATTGTTGTGATTGATCAAACACAAGGAACACAAGCAACACACAAGTTTTTCTTGTATTTTTAACAAAATTAAAATTATTGCTTCTTATATTTCTTTCATTTTATGAATTATTATTTTTGACACAAAAAAAAATTAGAATTAAATATTTCTTTTATTAATTAACTAGCAATTGTTACGCGCTCGGAACGTGATATTCGATTTATTATTGTTATGCAAATTACAACATTTTTTATTTTCAAATACCTACAAATTTTTTAAATAATTTCATAATCAAAATTTTTAAAATGCACATTTTCAAAAATTGTAATAAAATTTCACGAAAGAATTCAATTATTTTCTAAAATTTTGATAAATCCTTATAAATAATTCAATTATTTTTTTAAATATGTAGTAGAATCTTTAAAAAAATTCAAATTATTTTTATAAATAGTAAAATTCTTCGCAAGAATTCAATTAATTTTATAAATAGTAAAATTCTTCGCAAGAATTCAATTAATTTTATAAATTATAGTAAAATTCTTTGCAGGAATTCAATTATTTTCAAAACAATTTTAATTGAATTCCCCGGATGAATTCAAATATTTCCATAAATTTCAATTATTTCCTAAAATTTTAATAAATTCTTCGAAACAATTCAATTAATTTTATAAATAGTAAAATTCTTTGCAGGAATTCAATTATTTTTAATCCAATTTAAATAAAATTACACGAAAGAATTTAATTATTTCCAAAAATTTCCATAAAATTCAATTTCAACAAGAATTTAAAATTCTCTATAAAAATAATTCAATTATTCTCAAAATATTTTTTAAAAAATTTCTATATAGAAATTAAATTACTTTCAATACAATTTTTAAATATATTCGTGAAAAAAATTGAAAGAATTCAATTATTTTCAAAAAATAATAAAATTCTTGTGATGAATTCAATTATTTTCAAAAAATAATAAAATTCTTGTGATGAATTCAATTATTTTCGAAAAATAATCAAATTCTTGTGATGAATTCAATTATTTTCAAAAAATATTTTAATAAAATTCTTTAAAGAAAGAAAGAAATTCCATTTCTATAAAATTCTTCATAATAATTAATTATTGATTAGAATGAAAATTTGCAGTAAAGCCAAATAATTTTCAGACAAGGAAATAAATATTTATTTATTAATTAAGTTTTTTTTTCTGTAAAAAAATTGTTAGTTTTTAATTTTTTACAAAAAGAATTTGTCATGAAAAAAACTTTAGAAAATAATTTCAAGACATTTCAAGAAATAAATATTTATTTATGTTTATAAATTAGTCTATGCTTGAAATTTAATTTTTAGAATCACATATTAAACTAAAAAAATCATTGAACATAGATTAACAAAGTTTATTGCAGACGACAGATGTCATTTAAAACAAATATTGAACAAATAGCACGCTTTCTTTAATAATAATAATAATAATAATAATTTTATTAATAATAATAATAATAATAATAATAATTTTAATAATAATAATAATAATAATAAAATAATAATATATTAGTGCCGTCGTTCTTTGTAAATGGATCAAAGTCAATAACGTTTCGTTATGAAACATAATAAAAAGAAAGTTCTTTTTTGTATAACAGTACAAATCCTCTTTTTTACACTTATCTCGAATGAGCGGCGGTGAATAATTTTTTGGTAATACCAGAAAAAAAAGGAATATATTTTTTATAAATTTAGAGTAATTGTAAGAAAAAACTGAGTAATTGAATAATAAAGAAAAACGGCAATGAACAAACTGAATTCAATTTTTCAATTCGATTTTCTTGTTACTCAATAAAAAAAAATCTTTTTTGAAATTTTTTTTTTAATTCCAATTTCACTTTTGTGTTTATTTTCGATTTTAATAAATTTCTTTTAGTTGTTTTTATAATTATTTTTATTTAAATAATAAAGTTATCCAGTATTTTATTAAATTGCCGCTTTTTTCATTTTTTGAAAACCATTTTTTAAAGGAAAATTGTTTTTTTTTATCACCTAAATGAATACAATTCGGTCACTGCCGTGAAATAGAAAAGAAAACTCTCTAAAGCGCCAAATGTAAAATCTACGTATGTACAATAAAGTAAATCTGTTTCTTTTTTTTTCTTTTTTCTTTTTAAGCGCATAGAAGAGTTTCTTTTTAAATATTATTATAAAACACTTGCTTCATACACACGAACATACACACAGCAAGAAGAGTTCACACTCTGAAATCGACAAAAATTTTTCTATTCTTTTTTTCCATTATAAACTCTGCAATCGTAGTTCCATTTATTAACAAACGTCTAATCGATTAATCTCTTCGATAGTTGAAACACTTTTTTTTTCCTTCACAAAATGATTGAACAACTATCAAAAAGAGAATAAAGACTTCTTTTTCTTCTTTAATTTCACAACACAGAAGTTTAGTATTCTTTATTGTGTGTTTCGTTTCGTTTCTTTTTTTTATTATTTTATTCTGCTTGTGTCGAGAATTTTTGTAATCTCCGTCTTCTTATATTTTCCTGCTCCTCTGAGGTTTCTGAGTTGATTTTCGATGAACTAATATCATTACTATTTGTGCTTGGAGTTGAATTTTCCGTTGATGTACTTGGTTTTGGAAAATCTACGACAGTCTTGGAATTGTGATTCCCAATGTCATTCGACAATAATGTGGGATCTTTTGTCGAGGTTTGACTCGATTCTGGAACCTCGCTCGTTGCCGATGTTGTAGTTGTTGTTGTTGTTGTAGTTGTTGTTGTTGGTGGTGGTACTGGTGGTGGTGGTGGTGGTGGAACACTAGAAAAAAAAATTCACTTTTAGAAAAAGTAATTTCAATATCAGGGTTCCCACGCTTTTGCTCATTTCAAATTCCCTGACTTTTCCAGATTAAAAAAACGGACTTTTTCCAAGTTTTTAAACTACATTTATATTTTACCAAATTTAATAATTCCCTGATTTTCAGACAAAACTTTGACTTTTTCACTGACTCTAAAGAATATTCTGATTCCCCGCAAAATGAGTAAATACACAAAAAAATTTTCTATTACATTTATTTTCAAAAATTTTTCTTAATTCAATAATTTGTATATCAATTATTTTAATAAAATTTCCGAAAAGAATTCAATTATTTAAAAACAATTTTAACAAAGTTCTACACGAATATTCAATTATTTTCTAAAATAACGAAAATTTCACAAGAATTCAATTTCAAGCAATAAAAATTTTAAAATTCAAACAGTATGAAAATTTTTAAAAATAATTGAATTTTAGCAGTAAATTTGATTAAAATTGTAATTAAAAATAATTAAATTCCTGCAAAGAATTTTACAACTTAAGAAAATAATTCAATTCTGGCGACGAATTTGAATAAAATTTTTACAATTGAATTCTTAATGAATTTCATTTTTACCAATAATAGGTTTTCTTAAAATTTTTTTAAAAAATTAAAAATTTAAATAATTTAAATAATTTAAAAAAAAAATAAATTTAATACTATAATAAAATAATAAATTTAAAATAGCTAATAATCATTTAAATATTAAATAATAATTTAAAATTTAATAAAAATAAAATTCTTTCGACGATTTGCAGTAAAATTTTTACGAATAATTACATTTTCCGAAAAATTCAATTAAAATTGTATTAAAAATAATTGAAATTCTGCGATGAGTTTTATTATTTATAAAAAAAATTTTGTTAGAAAATTCCAGTTGAATTCAATTATTTAAATACAAAAAAATAATTTAATGAATATTATTATCTATTTTAACTCAAATACATTTTTAAATAATTTAATTCTCTTGACAAATTTTAATACAATTTTTAAAATTAATTTCATTTTTCGAGAAGTTTGATGAAAATTGTATTTAAAATAATTGAAATTCTGCCAAGAATTATATTAACATTTTTTTAAATAATTGAATTTTGGAGAGAAATTTTATTATTTATAAAGATAATTGAAATCATGATGAGATGTTTTGTAAATTATTGAATATAATTGAATTTCTGCGAAAAATTATATTATTTTTGAAAATAATTGAATTCTTGAGACGAATTTTATTAAAATTTCTTTTGAAATAATTGAATTCTTTTGTGAAATTTTATTGAAATAGTAGACATTGAAAATAATTAAATTAAATTTTTTTTTTGAAATTAATTAAATTTCTCCGAAGAATTTTATTAAAATTATTCTGAAGAAATTGAATTCTTACAAAGAATTTTATTAAAATTGTTGAAAATAATTTAATTTTTTGAAGAAATTTGATGAAAATTGTATTAAAAATAATTGAAACTTTGCCAAGAATTTTATTAGAATTTTTGAAAATAATTGAATTTCGGAGAAAAATTTTATTATTTATAAAGATATGTAATTGAAATTTTGACGAGAATATTTATAAATTTTTGAACATAATTGAATTTCTGAAAAGAATTATATTATTTTTGAAAACAATTGAATTCTTGAGACAAATTTTATTAAATTTGTTATTAATACAAAGAATTTCATTAAAATTTTTGAAAATAATTTAAGTTTTTGAAGAAATTTAATTAAAACCGTATTGAAAATAATACTTAAATTCTAATAAATTAATTGTAGCAAGGGATTTTAAAATAATTGAATTTCTTTGATAAATTTTAATATAATTTTAAAGAATAATTACATTTTTCGAGGAGTTCCATTAAAATTGTATTAAAAATAATTGAAAGTCTGCGATGAATTTTATTAAATTTTTTTTTAACTAATTGAATTCTTTTGGGGTTTTTTTTAAATTAAATCTAGTAGATATTAAAAATCATTGAATTGAGGAAAAATTTTAAAATTAATTAAAATTTTGACAAGAATTTAATTAAACTTTTTGAAAATAATTGAATTTCTGCAATCATTTGTAATGTCTTTAAAATTCAATTTGTTTTAGTCCTTTTAACTAAAATTCTTCTATAAGTCCATTATTTTTAATAGTCAATTAAATATATATATTAAAAAATTTAACTAATTTCAGAAGAATTTTAGTTTAAAAAATTTTGTTTAAATCTAGGTTTTTTTAAAAAATTTTAATTAAACTCATTTAAAATTGAAATTTTACAAAATTTCAAATTAAAACCTTTTGAAGTTTATCTACTTATGAAAATTGTAAACGCAACTTTTTTAAAATTGAATTAATTTTGAAATATTTACGAAAAATTAAATTTCAAGAATAAACACAATAATTTTAGTCAACAATTTTCCAGGATTTCGATCAAAATTCCCCGACTTTTCCAAGTTTTTTCAAGGTTTATAAAAATTCCCTGACATTTCCAAGTTTTCCAGTTTTCCAGGTTGCGTGGCAATCCTGTTATAATATCTATTTTCATAAAAGTAATTTTCTTTGGATTTTTTTTTTTTGGAATAAAAATTGAAAAAATTCGATTTTCTTTTTTCTAAAGATCAACTTACTTTGTATTTAAGGTTGCAGTTACAGTCTGGTATTGATTCATCATTGCGTTCGCGGCGTCTAATAAAAGTTGAACCCTCTGAAGCATTTGTATCCTGGCCTCGAGGGCTTGACGAAGATTTCCTTCCATTGCTCGTAACTCTTCCTCGCTTAATGCGGTCAAATTTGGCGGAGGTGTTGGCACTGGAGGTAAATTTATCATTGGTGGGAATGGTGGAGCGAAAAGTGGAACTCCACCTGTTCCAAGCGGCTGAAGCAACGGGAACGGTAAATTCCCGTTATTTTGCCCTTGAACGGGAGCCGCTCCCCCTGGAACTTGGAAATTCGTCCAAAATGGCGGTATTGGCATGCCTTGTTCTGAAAAGAATCGCAAAACAAACAATTAATTCACTATTTAAATAACTATTTAATTTACATTTAAAATAACTGAAATTAAATCTAAATTTAACAATAATTCAACTAATATAAAATTATAAGTAAAATTCATAATCATTAATACAATCCAAATACAATACAAAAGAATTATAAATATAAAATTATAGAAAATAGTAATAGATTAATAGATAATAATAATAGATTTATAAATTTGAATCTTCTTAATTTTTTTTTTTAGTTTAGAAAAATATTTTAAAAATTTTCTATGTTAAGAGTGAGAATTTGGATTTTTACGATTTTGTTCACCGCCGGGAACGGGAACGGTTTGAGGAATATGAGCGGCCTGTGGTTGTGTCGGTGGTCTCGTGTCCCTTCGATTCGTTGGTCTCAAAATATTCAAACGACAAGTCGGACAAGTTTGTTGTCGTTGAAACCAGGATCGCAAACACGCCGTGTGGAATATATGATTGCACGGCAACTTTTTACTCGCAGACACCATTTCCTCACTGCACAAAGAATTATTGTTATATCAATTTTATTTATTTATAATTAATTAATAAAATTAATAATTAACTAATAAAATTAATAATTAATTAATAAAATTAATAATTAATTAATTAATTAATAAAAATTAGATTAAGAAAAAAAAGAAGAAATCTCACCGACAAATGATGCAAACATTATCGGCCGCCGCCAATTCTTCGGCTGTTGCGTCAGGATACAATGTGTTCATGTTTCGAATTGCCCTTCGTGACATGACAATATCGTGGAAAGCTTTCTTGAAATTTCTAATCGTGTAGTACATTGGCCGAAAAGCAAATAGGGGAAGTGTGTATATTCGAACCATAATGGCGACAAAACAAATATACAAAATTACCTGAGAATAAGAAATAATTAATTATTATTTGATAGAGAAATTGTTATTGTATAAATTAAAGAAATGATAAATTAAAGAAATGTATTTCTCTCCCCTAAAGAGAAAAATTATCCTAATTTTCTTCTATATAGTCGAGGAATCAAAATTGATTTTTATATTTGAGTAAAAAAAAGTAAAGTTTGAAGTTTTTTTTTACCTTCATAAGACCAATAACAAGTTCCGTGTAAAGAAGGAAGACTGGTTTATTGTCCCAGGGATTCTCGCTTTGTAAATCTATCGCGTGCAAAATATATTTAATCCAAATGTTTAAAACAACGGTCAATAAAATTGCGTATTCAAAGCCAAAAACAAGTTGCACTGATGCGCCTTTTGCAAGCGTTGAATTGTAGGCGTATTGAAACATTGTCACATTTATTATAAATAAAAGAACTAATAAAGTTCCCACTCTTAGATGAAATAGCCATGTTATCACCGGACTTCTCTCCATCTAAATAGACAAATAATCGAAATTAATAAATGCTTTCTAAATTTAATTAATGCATAATTAAACATGGTTGCCACGCTTTTTGCTTTTTTTTCAAATTCCCTGACTTTGCCAGGTTAACCAGGTTAAAAAATGAAATTTTTCCAGGTTTTTTAAATGAAAATTATTCGAAAACATCAATAACTTCATTTTCAAATAATCATTATTTTTTTTTATAGAAATTAAGATATTCAAAAATTTTTATTTATTAGAAAATTCCACGAGAATTAAATTATTTAACTATAAGAATAAATATTTTATTAAACAATTGAATGTTTCTTAAAATTGAATTTTCAAAAAGAATTTCATGAACAAATTTTTAAATAATTGAATTCTCTTGACAAATTTGAATCAAATTTTTCAAAATAATTGCATTTTTTGAGAAATTTGAGGAAAATTGAAATTATGAAAATAATTGAAATTCTGTCAAGAATTTTATTAAAAGTTTTAAAAATCATTGAATTTCGGAAAAAAATTTTATTATTTATAAAGATAATTGAAATTTTGACGAGAATTATTGTTATTTTTTAAACATAATTGGATTTTTGTGAAGAACTTTATTAAAATTATTTTGAAAAAAATTGAATTGTTACGCAAAGCATTTCATTAAAATTTTTGAAAATAATTTTATTCTTTAAAGAAATTCAATTAAAAATTTGTTGAAAATAATACTTAAATTCTAATAAATAAATTGTAGCAAAGGTTATTGAATTAATTAAATTTCTTTGATAAATTTTGATTTTTGCAAAGAATTTTATAAACATTTTTTAAATAATTAATATTCTTTGAAAAATGTTAAGCATATTCTATTTTAAATAATTGAATTCCTGTAAAATTTGTATTATTTATGAGAAGAATTTTAGTAAAATTTTATAAATAATTGAATTTCAGTGAAAATTTGTATTATTTTTGAAAATAATTGAAATTTTGATAAAAAACTTTATTAAAATTTTATAAATAATTGAATTCCAGTGAAAACTTTTATTATTTGTGAAAATAATTGAATTCTTGAGAAGAATTTTATAGAAATTTTCTAATTTAAAGCAAATTTTATTTTAAATAATTGAATTCCTGAAAAAATTTTTATTATTTATGAAAATAATTAACATATTGAGAAGAATTTTATAAAAATTTTATAAATAATTGAATTTCAGTGAAAATTTTTATTATTTTTGTAAATAATGAAAATCTTCAGAAGAATTTTATTAAAATTTTATAAATAATTAATTTTCTTCGAAAAATTTGAAGCAAATTCTATTTTATATAATTGTATTTCAGTGAAAATATTTATTATTTTTGAAAATAATTGAAATCTTGGGAAGATTATTATTAAAATTTTATAAATAATTGAATTTCAGTGAAATTTTTTTATTATTTTTGTAAATAATTGAATCCCTGTAAAAAATTTTATTATTTATGAAAATAATTTAATAATATATGGAAATAATTAGTAAATAATTGAACTTCTGTGAAATTTTTATTATTTAGGTATGAAAATAATTAAATGTTTGCGTAGAATTTTATTAAAATTTTTTTTAACTAATTGAATTCTTTTTGGAATTTTTATTAAAGTTGTAGATATTAAAAATCATTGACTTGAGGAAAGTTTTTGAAAATAATTAAAATTTTGCCTAGAAGTTTATTAAAATTTCTGAAAATAATTGAATTTCTGCAATCATTTGTAATTGCTTCAAAATTCAATTTGTTTTAGTGTTTTTAACTAAAATTCTTATATAAATCCATTATTTTAAATAAAACTAGTTAAATATATATTAAAAAATTTAACTAATTTCAGAAGAATTTTAGATATTTTTTTTAAATCTAGGTTTTTTTATATTTCTAATTAAATTAATTTAAAATTGAAATTTTACAAAATTTTAATTCAAAATCTTTTAAAGTTCATCTACTTATGAAAATTGTAAACGCAATTCTTTTAAAATTGAATTAATTTTGAAATATTTAAGTGAAATTATAATTCAAGAATGAACACAATAAGTTTAGAAAACAACAATTTTCCAGGATTTCGATCGAAATTCCCTGACTTTTCCAGGCTTTTTTAAGGTTTATAAAATTTCCTGACATTTTCAGATTGCATAGCAACCCTGATAATTACTAACAGTTGAAAAATACTTATAAATACATAATTATTAATAGTTGATAAATAATTATTAATACATAATAAATTAATTAGATTATATTAATTTAATAAGTAAATTAAATGTTAGTGTAAATTTAAGTGTAAATGTAATTTTAGTGTAAATTAAATTAAAGTGTATTCAAGTGTTTAAATTTTAGTGTAAATTAAATTTAAAGCGACAATTTTCGGAATATTTGACAAAACAAGAATGAATGCGGAAATAATATTTAGATTAGGTTGAAAAAAAAGATAAGATAAAGTTTTAAATTTCATTAAGTTAACACTTACGAAATCGACTCTGTCTTCAGCAAGCCAATGAAACGATTTCAAAAATAGTAAAAGTGTGAATAAAGCGACGAATTTCGGACTGAAATCATCCCTAAAAACTGTAAACGCTAAACACGTTTCTGTCACAGCGTACCACACTCTTTCCACTAAATGCTAAAAATAATAAAAATTGATTTTTTATTTATTTCCTAATTTTCCAATTATAAATATTTTTCATATAGGCAATAGAAAATTTTAATCGGAGAAGAAAATTAAAATACACTCACTTCAAGTTCCGCTGCTCTTAAATTTCCAAAGAATATTTTTCTCAAAAATGTATTCATCATAAATACGAGTATCAATCCTTGTACATACATCACCTGAAAATAATTTTTTCAATCACTAAGTATTTTTAAATTAATCTCTATTAAATTTATAACATTTTAACCAAACAATGACAATTTGGAAAATAATTTCCATATTTTGGAAATGTAGATATTTTCCTATTTTATTTTCCCTTACAAAATCTAGAGAAAAATTTATTCGGCAATATTTATTTTCTACTTAAAATAGAGATAAAAGAAAATAAAAATTAATTCAACTGAACTTCCTTTCAGAGTCTATTATTGTCATTTCTTTTTTTATAATAAAAAAAAAGGTGCGCAAGGTGATAACAATGTAGACAATATTCATTTATTCTTCATTATCTGGAATAGATAATTTACTATATATATAATATAAAAACTCAAGAATATTAAACATTTGAATTATTTCAGCATTAAAGTACAAGAAAAAATAGACAAAATAAATACAGAAACATTCTAGAGAAAAAATTTTAATAAATAATTTTTGAAACATTTACGTGGACTATTCGCACACTGCCAACTAAATAAATAAGATTTGATAAAAAAAAAATTATTGAATTATCATATACTAAACAATGGAATATGGTTGGGATAAACTGATTTTCAAAGTGAAAATAATCATTAATTAAATGGACTGGGAATAAAGTTTAATGACAAGACAAATTTGAAATATTCTTGAGTAAACGTTGAACAATGTTAAATATCAATTATAAATGAGATAATTGAGAAAATGATGAAAAACTTACAGCCATACTGGGATTGGACTTGGTTATGTAGACCACGGAGGGATAAAATTGTTTTTTTTGGTAATAAGCATTGCCGATAACAAAGCTCGTTAGAGCAATGCTTATCAGCATTATGCCCGCCACCCTCATCTCTTTTTTTTCAAATTTTTTCCAGCCAGGAGGCTGTTTTTTTTTTAAATTTTCTTCCTATTGTTCACTTATCACACCGAAAAATTTACGTTTTTGACAACTCTAAGAAAGCGCTGCTTCATTGCGGCATTTATTGAAACTACATGACACATACGTGTCGTCTGGCCGTTTTACCCGCGAAATTATCATTGCCAAGAAATTTATTTAATAAATCACAATCCATTAATTTCTTCCCCCACAACATTAAAAATTCGGAAAATAACAAATATCCAATTTATCAAAAGTGGGAGAAATTATTTCAAACCAATGGGAAAATTAATAAAAAACGAAAAAGTCTATGTTTGTTTAAATAGTAGTTTTTGAAAATTAATCTAAAAGAACAAACGGTGCATTGTGATTGGTCCTTTGAAATGCATATGCGCAATGTAACGTTTTTTGGAATTTAAATTTTATTGTTATAATTTTGTTAAAATTTTGTTAGAAGTGACAAAAATGTTTTTTTCACAATTTTCATTATTCTTATCAGAATGATAAATATTCAGTTAATTTAAATATAGTGGATTTAAATATTGAAGTAATAATTACCGATTGTTGCTAAACAAAAAAAAACAAAAGAATATAATGTTTAATGTTGTTCGTAATATGTTTCAAAAGATGAATAATTATTGCAAAACACAATTAATTTACGATTACGAAGCCGAAAATAAGCGAGCTCTTATAATCAAACCATGGCAGATCGAGAATTTCTTTAAATTAATCGGTAATTATTCCTTTTTTTAATTTCCATAAATTTACCTATTTTGCAAAAAGAAAAAGTGCGACTTTTAACCTCTACGCTTTGTTTACATCATTTCTCTACCGTTATTATTAAATAAATAACAATCGATTTAATTATAAATTATTATATTATAATTAGTTATATAAAAGAAGAAAATTTTCTTAAATTCTATTTCAAAAGTTAAATTTAAAAAAAACAAAATTGTAAAAAAAATTTTCCAATTTTTCTAATGCAAAATAACCTTGAAAATTTTCAGACGAAGATTTAGTGGAATTTTTAAAGTACGACAAATGTTATCGATTAGCTGATAATTATCTCATAGCAATGGTTTTCGTCTATTTTATAAGAGCTGATCTGCCAGTCGATGATTACACTGTTATTAATTTTCTCATTGCGTTGTAAGTATAAAAAAAGTTTTGTAAATTTTCTTTACACTTTTTTTTTGACATTTCGTTTGAATTAAAGGAATTTAAATGAAAATGAAATTTATTTCAAATGAAATTAATTATTAAATTTATTATTAAATTAATTATTAAAATAATAATTAAATTAATTATTCAATTATTTTCAACAATTTTGATAAAATTCTTTAAAAAAAATCATTATTTTCAAAATGTTTAATTAAATTCCTTCAAAAAATTATCAATTATTTTCAAAAATTCAGATAAAATTCTTCGAAAAAATTCAATTATTTTTCTCAATTGTAAAAAATTCGTGGCAAGAATTCAATTATTTTTGTAAATAATAAAATTCTTCTGAGAAATTCAATTATTTTCAATACAATTTTAATAAAATTTCTCGAAGAATACAATTATTTTTAAAAATGTTATTTAAATTAAATTATTTTCAAGAGTTTTAATAAAAGTTCAATTATTTTCCACAATTCAAATAAAATTCTTCGAAACAATTCAATTATTTTTCTAAATTGTAAAAAATTCTTGGCAAGAATTCAATTATTTTTGTAAATAATAAAATTTTTCTGAGAAATTCAATTATTTTCAATGCAATTCTAATAAAATCTCTCTAACAGGTTTAATTATTTTTAAAAATTGTAATAAAATTTTTCCAAACAATTCAATTATTCTCAAAAGTATTTTAATAAAATTCTTTGTAAATTTCAATTATTTTCTAAATTTTCAATTAAAATTATTTTCAAAAATTACATTTTTACGAAATTTAATGAAAATCTACAAAAACATGTAATTATTTATAAAAATTCTGTTAAAGTTGTTTTAAACAATTCAATTATTTAAAAAAATGTTGATAAAATTCTTGAATTGAATTCGATTATATTCAATTTTTTTTTTAAATACTTTACAAGAATTCAATGATTTTCATTACAACGAAAATCTCATTATTTCTGAAAATAATTGAATTCTTGATTAGAATTTTATTGAAGTAATTGAATCCCTGCGAAAAAATGTATTATTTCTGCAAATAATTGAAATTTAACAAAAATTAAAATAAAATAAGTGAATTTTTTAGAAGAATTTTATAAAAATTGTATTTAAAATAATTAAATACTTGGAAAAATGTTTCTATTTATTGATGTAATTGAATTCTTACGAAAAATTTAAAAATAATATAATTTTCCCTAGAATTCAATAAAATTGTACTAAAAATAATTGAATTCTTGATAAAATTCAATTACTTTCAAAATTTTCAGTAAAAATTATTTTAAAGAAACTCCACTATTTTCAAGAATATATTGAAATAAATTTTTTAAAACAATTCAATTATTTTAAAGAATTTTAAGAAAAATTTTGCCAAGAATTCAATTATTTTCAACAATTTTGATAAAATTCTTTAAAAAAAATCATTATTTTCAAAATGTTTAATAAAATTCCTTCAAAAAATTCAGATAAAATTTTTCGAAATAATTCAATTATTTTTATGAATTGTAAAATCCTCCGCAAGAATTCAATTATTTTCATAAATAAAATAATTCTTCGCAAGAATTAAAATATTTTTATAAATAAGAAAATTCTTCGCAAGAATTAAAATATTTTCATAAATAATAAAATTCTACAAAGGAATTCAGTTATTTTCAATACAATTTTAATAAAATTTCTTCAAAGAATAGGTATAATTATTTTTAAAAATGTTATTTAAATTCAATTATTTTCAAGAGTTTTAATAAAAATTCAATTATGTTCAACAATTCTGATAAAAAATTCTACGAAATAATTCAATTATTTTTATAAATTGTATAATTCTAGGCAAGAATTCAATTATTTTTGTAAATAATAAAATTCTTCCGAGAAATTCAATTATTTTCAATACAATTTTAATAAAATTTCTAGGTAAAAATTCAATTATATTCAAGATAAATTTAATAAAATTTCTCTAAAACGTTCAATTATTTTTAAAAATTGTAATAAAATTTTTGTAAACAATTCAGTTGTTCTCAAAAGTTTTTAATAAAACTCTTTGTAAATTTTAATTATTTTCAAAATTTTCATTCAAAATTATTACTTTAAAAAATTACATAATTTTTACGAATTTTAATGAAATTCTTCAAAAAATAAAATGTAATTATTTACAAAAACTCTAATAAAATTGTTTTAAAGAAATTAAATTTCTATAAATAATTTTAATATAATTGAATAGGAATATGGTTAATTACAATGAATAATAAACACGATTATTTTGTAAACTTAAAAGAAATTCTTCTTAAAATTCAATTATTTTCAACATTTTCAGTAAAAATTATTCAAAAAAAACTTCATTATTTTCAAGAATATTGAAATAAATTCTTCAAAAACAATTCAATTATTTTAAAGAATTTTAATAAAAATCTTGACAAGAACTAAATTATTTTCAATAAATTTCAATAAATTATAATTGAATTGAATTAAATTTATTGAATTAAATAAATTAAATTAATTGAATTGAATTGAATTGAATTGAATTAAATAAAATTAATTAATTGAATTGAATTACATTAAATTAATTAAAAACTAAAAATTTAATTCAGATATTTAGCATTGGCTATGGAAGAAGACGACGAGGAACTTCTTCAGGACATCGAAAATTGGTTGGAATCCGCAGACGAAACATTGAACATTTTTCAAAAGCACAAATTTTTCTTTCAACAAATTGAATATCGAGGAGCAATTTCGCGATCGTGCTGTGAAAATGTAATGCGAAAGATAAATCCAAATCACGAAATTTGGAAGAGACAGAGACACGTTAATCATTCCGGTGCAGTCAGAGATTCGAAAAGGTAACAAGAGTAAAATTTTCCCTCCTCTCAAAATTTTTACAACTTTTTCTATTTTTCAGACGAAGAATTCGTTGTCCGAGATGTCGTTAACTTTTCCATTGAATCAAAACGAAAACTAAATCAGTATTTATAAAGAGAATTCAAAAGCTTTATCCTTAGAACTGTAGAAGAAGAAAAAAATAGAAAATTCTCTATTATCAATATATATTTATATTATATATTACACGATTTATTGTTCTATTATAAAAGTACAATAACACATGTATTTTAATATCATAATAATTTGTGATGGAAATTTGACAAAAATAAATGTCACTTTTTAATAGACGCACGATTATTCTTTTAATTAGACACTAAATTCAGAATAATTCAAGTTTACATTTTTCTAGTCCTAATGAAAACTCTTCGATTTTCACATAAACCAATTTTTTTCATTCTCTTTTTTAAGGAAAAAAAAAAATTCTTTTCTTATATGAAAAAATAAGAATAATTTACGATTTCAAGATCTTTTTTCTCACTCCCCCCCGAAAAAAAATATACAAAGAAAAACAAAAATAAAAAAAAAATGTAAATACTATCAAAATTGACATCTTGGAGAATGAAAATATATTCAATTGCTACGAATGAAAATATTCGATCAAAAATTATAAATTAATTTAATTATTTGAGATTTGAGAATATTTTGATTTTCTTTTTCCTCATCAAAGGAAAGGAATTTGTATTTTTCTAAAAAGAAGTTAATTTTTCCACAATATTGTCTTTTTATCGCTTGGAAATTTTTTTTTAAATATTAATATATAAAAAAATATACTATAAAAAAAATCACACTGAAACGTTTTTTGTTTCTTAAGAGAATCTGTACAATAGAAAAACAAGTTTTTTTTTTTAACTGAAACGTCGGGTTGATAAATGCGACGTTTTCAAAATACTCCTTGGACTCTGTCGTTTTGGAGTGGCAAGTGGACCGATTGCCTTCAATGGTGTTCGCTTGACATCAATTGCTGGCCTTCGTGTTAATGGTTTTCCACTTTTTGGCGTGCGAACAACAGACAATGGTTTTTTAATTAACGGCGTCTTGTAAATTGTATTATCAACATTGACACTTGATTCGTGATTAATTTTCGTTTCATTTCGTGATGGTGTATTTATTGGCGATGAATGATTTTCCTTTTGATAGTTTAACGTGCGTTTTGTATTTGAACACTTTCGATGATGTGCTGTTGAATCGTGCGATGATTGAACGAGTGTTAATTCCATTTTAATGGAATTTGGCGATTTTGTTATTCGCACTTTGGCACTGGGATTTTTGGGACTGACACTTTTTTTACGACGAAGAGCAACACGTCGTGGACTTTCGGTACTTTCGTGAATATGAGTTTTCATTTCCTTTGGACGCATTGATTGTCGTCTTGTCTCACGTCCTTGATGAGGATGATGATTAAGATTATGTTGTTGTTGTTGTTGATAATGGGAAATTCTTCGTTCATTCGAAACTTCGGCTTGAATTGGCGTTCGTTTTGTATCGTCAAACAATTTTGCCTTCGCCAAAACCATACCAGCATTTTGCGTTCGTAATTTCGCGACTGATGCGCGACCTGTCACTGGAACTGGAGTCGTTGTTTGTCCTTCGGATTTGAAGTACCTGGGGAAAAATAAAAAAATTGTTTCTCAGACTTCACAGTCAATAATAAATTTTGGAAAAGTAGCAAAAAAAAGTAGTTTTAAAACTGAAAAAAGTAGTAAAAAGTAGTTGTCGAAAAATTAAATTTTAAGACTAAAAAACTCGTTTTAGTCGATTTACAAAAATTTGATTCTGTATTTCGGTGACATTTTCCTGATTTCCATAAAAAATATCCACTTTCTTTCTAGTCCTGGTAATAATTTCAATTCTAAATTTTTATGAAATTCAATTATTATCCAAACAATTATTTCGAATAATTTAATAAAAGTTGTATTAAAAATGATTGAAATTCTTTTATGAGTTTTATTATTTATGAAAATAATTGACATCTAAGAATTTTATTAAAATTTTATAAATAATTGAATTTTAGTGAAAATGTTTATTATTTTTATAAATAATTGAATCCCTGCGAAGAATTTTATAGAAATTTTTTAATTTAAATCAAATTCTATTTTAAATAATTGAATAATTGAATTCCTAAAAATTTTTATTATTTCTAAAAATAATTGAATATTTGCGTAGAATTTAAGAAAAAAATTTTTTAAATAATTGAACTTTGTTGATGAATTTAATGAAAATAGTAAATATTGAAAGTCATTGAATTGAAAAAAATTTTTGAAAATAATTAAAAATTTTTCAAGAATTTTATTAAAATTTCTGAATATAATTGAATTTCCCCCAAAGAATTTCAACATTTTTGAAAATAATTGAATTTTCCGCGAAGAATTTCAATATTTTTGAAAATAATTGAATTTTCCGCGAAGAATTTCAATATTTTTGAAAATAATAGAATTTTATTAAAATCCATGAAAATAATTGAATTTCTGGGATGAATTTTGTTATTTATCAAAATAATTGAATTCTTTTGAAGAATTGCGTTAAAGTTTTTGAAATAGCATTAAATATAATAGAAAATTCATCTAATTTCAATAGAATTGAAATTAAAATTTTTGAATAAAATTATTTATACAAAATTGTTAATTATAATTATAAAAAATTCAAATTTTCCAAAGATGCTAATTTGAAATCTATTTAAAACTCAATTATTTCTAGAAATTGTAATTTTTTGTGTAATTTCTCCAAAATTTAATTATTTTTTTTAGTTTTTAACTTAAAATTCTTTTATTTATCTTATTGTCAGTAATATAATAAATTTAATGTTTTGTATTCGAATTCGTGGTAATTTCAAAGTGTTTACGAACCAAAAATTTCAGAATTTTCATACAAATTCTAAAAATTTAATTTTTTTCAATACTTTTCCTGATTTTTCTAAATCAATAGTAATGTATTTTTAAAAAAAACTTACTTTTCGGCATCTTTCCAGGACATAACCTTATCCCGTTTATCCGCGTGTTCAACCTTCATTGGCGTGACATCAACAACATGTGGATTATTCCCTTTTTTCAAATCCTTTACCATTTGATTGAAATACTGTGAATTATCGACGAATTCATTGCCGTGAAATGAAGAGATTCTTCTCACTTTTGCGCCCAGATTTAATTTATTTCCATTCCCATTAAAATGGGTATTATCATTTGAACTAAATTCTTCATCACTAAGAGAGCCTTTTGTATGTTTATTAGTGTGATCAATTAAAGTAAGTAATTGATCTTGTAAATAATTCAGTCTTTTGTTTGTCTCTTCACTGCAAAATGCTTCCGTTCCAAGATTTTCAACTCCTAAATTATTTGATTTCACCTGATCTTGTTTATTTACAGTTTGATTATTATCGTTTTGAGAGTAAAATGTGTTTAATTTTAGCGTCGATCGTCGCGGGCAAATTGAATCAGTTCTGTCAGAAACGTGCCACGAGGATGTACGTTTTACTCGTTTACTGAAAATAGAAAAAAAAATGTAATGAAATTTTTATTTTTACGAAAATTCAGGCTTCACAGTGCTCCTAAAAAGTATTTTGGGGGAAATAGGGGACTGAAAATTAAAAAATAGGGGACTTTTAGGGGACCATAAAAATTGGTTAAATAAAGATAAAAATATAATTTATTTATACAGGGTTGACACAAAAATTTAACTTTATTTTTCCCTCACTTTTCCCTGATTTCCAAACACAACTTTCACTTTTTCCCTGACCCTAAAGAATATTCTGATTCACTCTAAAAATTATTAGATACTCAAAAAAATGTTTTATTAAATTTATTTACAAATTTCTTCAAAAGTTTTCTTCGAAAACATCAATAGTTTTATTTTAAATAAATATTTAATCATTTTTTTGCATTGGAATTAAGATGTTAAAAAATTTTAAATTCAAATCTTTTCAAATTGAACAACTCATAAGAATATTATTATAAAACATAAAGAAATCGATCACTCCGAGTCGAAGTTTTATAATAATTAAAGATGACCGACTGACAAAATCATTAGTTTATTATTATAAGAATATTGTTACTGTAATTTCTTCAAAATTATTTCTATCATTTCAATTCAATTAACATTTTCTAGAATTTGTAACTAAAATTCTACTTTAAATCAATAACATCAATTATTATTCAATTAAACTTTTTCAAAAAAATTAATTCTACAGAATTGTTAGTTAAAAGTACAAAAAACAATTGTAATTTAATTCTACAAGAAATCAATTATTTAAAAACAAAAATAAATAATATTGAATGTTTCTTAAAATTTAATTTTTACGAAGAATTGTATTAACAACTATTGAAAATGTTTAATTTCTTTTAAGGAATTTAATGAACATTTTAATGGAATTTATTCTATTAAAGAATTTTATAACAATTTTTGAAAATAATTGAAAACTTTTTGAAGAATTTTATTAAATTTTTTAAAAATAATTGAATTCCTAAGAAGAATTTAAATAATAATTTTTGAAAACAATTCAATTCATGAGAAGAATTTTAAAAAAATTTTTGAAAATAATTGACTTCTTAAGAAAAATTTTAAAAAAATTTTTGACAATAATTTAATTCTTGAGAAGAATTTCCCTATCTATTTATAAAGATAATTTAATTCTTGACGAGAATTTTATTTAAATTTTTGAAAATAATTGAATTTTTGGCGAAAAATTTTGCTATTTATAAAAATAATTGAATTCGTGCAAAATATATTATTAAATTTTGTTTAAATTGAAATATTGCCAAGAATTTAATTAAAATTTTTGACAATAATTCAATTCTTGAGAAGAATTTTGATATTTATCAAAATAATTGAATTTTGGAAAAGAATTTTATTCAAATTCCTTAGAATAATTGATTTTATGGGAAGAATTTATGCGATTTTGTTGTTTATCAAGCTAATTGAATTCTTTTGCAAAATTACTTTAAAATTATTGAAAATAATTGATTTTCTGCGACGAATTAAATGTTATTTATGAAAATATTAATTGAATTATTGCAACGAAATTTATAATTTTATTGAATAATTGAATGTTTCTTAAAATTGAATTCTTTCCTCAAGTTTTAATAAAATTTTTAATAATAATTGCATTTTTTAAGGAATTTATTTAAAATTTTATTAAAAATATTTGAAATTCTGCGATGAAAATAATTGAATTCGTAAATGAAATTTTATTATTTATGAAAATAATTGAATTTTTTCGTAAAATTTGTATCAACAAGTTTTTTCTATAATTAAATCTGTTGATAAATTTTATGAAAATAGTGAATATTTAAAAACATTGAATTGCGAAAAACTTTTAAAAATAATTGAAATGTTGCAAAGAATTTTATTTAAATTTTTGAAAATAATTGAATTTTTGGCGAAAAATTTTGCTATTTATAAGAATAATTTAATTCGTGCGAAGTATATTATTAAAGTTTGTTTAAATAATTGAAATTTTGACAAGAATTTAATTAGATTTTTTGACAATAATTGAATTCTTGTGATGAATATTGATATTTATCAAAATAATTGATGTTTGAAAAAGAATTTTATTAAAATTCCTTAGAATAATTGATTTTATGGGATGAATTTATGCGACTTTGTTGTTTATCAAGCTAATTGAATTCTTTTGCAAAATTACTTAAAAATTTTTGAAAATCATTGATTTTCTGCGACGAATTAAATGTTATTTATGAAAATATTTGAATTATTGCAACGAAATTTATAGTTTTATTGAATAATTGAATGTTTCTTAACATTGAATTCTTTCCTCAAGTTTTAATAAAATTTTTAATAATAATTGCATTTTTTAAGGAATTTATTTAAAACTTTATTAAAAATATTTGAAATTCTGTGATGAAAATAATTGAAATAGTAAATGAAATTTTATTATTTATGAAAATAATTGAATCTTCTCGTAGAATTGTTTCAACAAGTTTTTTCTATAATTAAATCTGTTGATAAATTTTATAAAAATAGTAAATATTTAAAAACATTGAAAGAAAGAATTTTATTTAAATTTTTTGAAAATAATTGAATTTTTGGCGAAAAATTTTGCATTTTATTAAAATAATTGAATTCATGCAAAGTATTTTATTAAATTTTGTTTAAATAATTGAAATTTTGCCAAGAATTTAATTAAAGTTTTTGACAATAATTGAATTCTTGAGAAGAATTTTGATATTTATCAAAATAATTGAATTTTGGAAAAGAATTTCATTAAAAATCCTTAAAATAACTGATTTTATGGGGAGAATTTTGTTGGTTATCAAGATAATTGAATTCTTTTGCGGAATTACTTAAAAATTATTAAAAATAATTGATTTCCTGCGACGAAAAAAATAGGGGAAATTTTCAAAATAGGGTACGTTTAGGGGCCAAAATTAAAAAAAGGGTACTTTTTGGGAAATAGGGGACAGACTGTGAAGCCTGCAAATTTGAAGTTTTATTTTTCTTCAGGAGCGAAGTAAAGAAAATAAAATACCTGACTGGTTTTTCCTGTGATCGTCGTCTGAGAATGCCAATTTTTCTCGCACTCGGAGAACGAATAATTTTGTGTTCACTGGACCTTCTAATTTTCAATTCCTTGCCAAGTCGCTTTGCAAGTTGATCCGCGTTCATTGTACTTCCAATATCCGATTGTTCTAATGTTTTTTCATATTCAGTTTGCACTTTATCGACGGAATTCCTACGACGTAAATTGTGTATTGATTCCTTGGCGAACGAACCAAATTCCTGTGAGATTTGCGTTTCGATTGCCGAGACACGTTTCTTGATATCAAGATATTCGCTCTTTGGTACTTTCACGTATTCCTTATTTTTATCATCATTTGTTAATTCAGTCGTGTATGAATCGTGAAGTGATGATTCATTATTGGAAACATAATCGCTGGTATTTGTCGAATGTAAAATAGAATTGTCTTTGGATAATTTATTTGGAATGTCGGATGTACTTGCTCTTGTGACGATATTTCGCGTTGATTTACATTTATCACGCGAGACCTGCTCGCCACTAATGTCCGATAAATTAATATTCGCGTCCATAAATATTTCATCGTAATCCTTCTCGGTATTTAATTTTGCCATTTTTGTCTCGCGAGAAAGCGAACGAGGCGTTGAACAATCGCTTCGACGTTTCTTCTTTGACTCGGACGATGGTCGACCAGTGATACTCCAACTTCTTCTTCGTGTTAGTGGTTTCTCTTTGTTTATCACAGTATCCACTTCTGATATTTTCTGCAAAAAAAAGAAAATATATTTTTACTTTTTTCCCGAAAAAATTTTTTTTTTCGAAAATAGTAAATAAAAATTCAACTTACTTGTCTACTTCGTGATACAAATCGATCGAAACTAAGTCTTATTTTTTTTGTCTTCTCCGTCTTATTTATTGGTTTCCTGAAATAAAAAAAAACAGTTTATTACTCTTTTTTTTCCTTTTTCTATCAAAGTAAACTAAGTTTAAGTCCCAAAAAAATTCTTACATTCCTGTAGGAACTTTACTGGATATAAATTTATCCACTCTAGACATATGAACTGGCGTTCCATCTTTTATAGGGCTACAGAAAGAAAAGAGGTGCAAAATTTAATAAACATTCAGTGAATCATAACAATTTTCTTTCTTTTTACTAAAAATCTCGATTTTGTTTTTCATCAAATTTTGGCAAAATGGAAAATATTTATAAAAAAAGATGATAAAAACGACTTGATGGAAAAAATACGATAATTCTTCTTATCAATCAAGATTTTTAGTAACTATGAATAAATCAGGCCTCAGATCGACTTTAACGAGCCAAGAAAGTCGCTTTAGTCGATTAAAAATAGAAAAAAGTCGAAAAAGTCGATTATTTAATTCAGTGTTGTCACGAAAAATTTTATTCTGTATTTCCCTGATTCTTCACTGATTTCTAAATTCAATTAATCAAAACTCGAATAATTTTATGCTAAATAAATATTTAAATACTTCTTATTTCTTTTTTCACAGGAAATAAAATAAATTTAGAAAATTTCAACTTCTGAAATTTATTAATTTTTTAACAATTACAACTACAACCCTTTCAAAACCCTTTCTTAGAGAATTCAATTATTTCAATAAAAAAAATTAAATTTCTTATAATAATTAAAAATGTTCATTTTTCTTTTTAAAGATATTAAGATAGAATATTTTCAAAACTTTTAATACAGAAATTCTGAAGATTAATTTTTTTTTAAATATTTGTAAATAATTTTTGAAAGACCAATATTTTTACAATTGCATACAATTAAAATATGTCCAAAAAATTGAAATTTGTCAAAAACATTAAAAAATTATTGAAATTTGATCAAATCTTTGAAAAATAATTAAATTTGAAAAAAATGTAAAAAATAATCAAATTTTTAAAGAATTTTAATTTTAAATGATTTCTCCGAAATTTTAACAATTCTAAAAAAGTAAATTTAAAAAAATTTCAATTTACTTTGTTCGAAGTTAATTGAATCTTAAAAAATTATGATAAAATAATTCGAAGAATTAGTTTTTTATAAATATTGTAATGTAATTTTCCTGTAAATAATTGAATTCTGCAATAGAATTTTATTGAAATAATTGAAACCCTGCGAAAAAATGTATTATTTCTGCAAATAATTGAATTTTTGCAAAATTTTAAAAAATAAGTGAATTTTTGAGAAGAATTTTATGAAAATTGTATTTAAAATAATTGAATACCTGAGAAAAATGTACTATTTATTGAAATAATTGAATTCTTACGAAAATTTTAAAAAAAATATAATTTTCCCTGGAATTCAATAAAATTGTATTTAAAATAATTGAATTCCAGCGAAAATTTTATTATTTACGAAAATAATTGAATTCTTAAATTTAATTTTATTATTTACGAAAATAATTGAATTCTTAAATTTAATTTTATTAAACGTTTTTTTTAAATAATTGAACTCTTGTGAAAAATTCAAATAATTTTTTCAAATAATTGGATTTTCTTGGAGAAATTTTACAAGATTTTTGAAAATAATTGAAATTTTCAAAGAAATTAATTAAAATTGTATTGAAAATAAGTAAAATACTGAAAAGAATTTGATTATTTATATAAAAATAATTTAATTTTCTACGAAGATTTTTATTATTTATAAATTGACTTTTTGCTAAGAATTTTATTACAATTATTGAAAATAATTGAATTCTTGATAAAATTCAATTACTTTTAAAATTTTCAGTAAAAATTTGGTAGAATCTTTTAAAAAATATTTGAAATTTGCAAAAATCTTTGAAAAATAATTGAAATTTGATAAAATCTTTTCAAAATAATTAAGTTTTTAAAAAATATAAAGAAATAATCAAATGTTTGAAGAATTTTAATTATAAATGATTTCTTCAAAATTTGAATTTTGTCTAAAACAGTAAATTTAAAAAAATTTTAATTTACTTTGTTCGAAGGTAATTGAATTTAAAAAAATTATTATAAAACAATTCGAAGAAATAGTTTTTTATAAATATTATAATGTAATTTTTCGAAAATAGGTAATTAAATTTCTAAAAAAAATTTTTTTATTATTTAGAAAAAAACTAATTAATTTTCTGAAGAATTTGAATTAAAAATTTTGAATGATTATTTTTACAAAATGTTAAAATTGATTCTAAAAAAATTGTAATGCTATTTTTTGTGTAAATTTGAATTTTCGAAAATATGTAATCGAAAATATTGAATTTTAAAAAATTAGAATTAAAAAATTTTAAGAATTAGTTATTTTCAAAAATATTTTAATATTATTTTTACAACCTAATTTTCATTAATTTTTATTTCTATTAAATTTACACTTGAAGATTTTTCATTAAAATTTTTGAGAATTTAATTATTTCCAAAATTTACAATTAAATTTCTTTATAAGTTAATTTTCAAAAATTGTAATAAAATATTTGAAAAAAATGATTTATTTTCAATTAAATTTTACAAAATTTCAATTATTCAAAATCTTTTTAATTGTATATTTCAAAAATTTAATTAGAAAAATTAATTAATTAATTAATTAAATTAATTAACTTTTCAAATATTTGTCTATAGTTATACTTTTCACACTATAAAAATCGAAAAAAGGTGCATTTTATGCTAAAAATGTGAAATTTTGTTGCAAAATTTGGAAGAAAATTTGAAAAAGTTGCAATTTTTTAATATAACTCGATAAAAGTCGCCTTATTTGAAAATAGTCGAAAAAGTCATAATATCCGAGGCCTGATAAATATCTATAAATAAACACAAATGCAAAAAAGACATGCACTACATACTTTGGATGATTATTAACTGGGGAGTGTAACGAGAAACGTGAGCGAAGGGGAAGTCTTTCAGGCATGACTTCCAATAAATCATTTCTGCAAGGCAACCAGAAAATTTAGTGTCAAGTGCATTGTGCAAGCCAATAAGTAATTAAAATTTAAATAACAAGAAGAAAGGGTGTGCACCAAGATTTTTAATAGACAATTTTTAACAAATCGTTTAAAAGAATAAAAAAACACTAATACTGATACTAAAATAATACTAAAATTCTAAAGAGTGAAAAATAATAATAATAAATATTAAAGAGTGGAAAAATGACAAAAAAAAATGTTTGAAAAGATAAAAAATTACACAAAATTTTTTTTAAAAAATACTGAATAAAAAATAATAAAAAAGAAATCAGCCAGATGGAAAAAATAAAAGATAAAAAAGTAATGAAAGTTATATTAAGAAAACACGGAAATAGCAATTAACAGTTAGAAATTGCAAAGTGAAAAAATAAATACATAAAGAAATGGAGAAAGTTTGCTAAGGAGAATGAACACAAAAATAATTATTTGCTTCGTGCGCATATTGTGCAATCATTGTATGCGTGTTTTATTCAAACATTTAATATGAAAATTATCAATACTCACTCTTTCTTTAGATTTATTTCATCATTTACTGCTTCCACTTTGCGTCTTTTCCCTATTCTCAGGGAAGGAGTGTATAAAAAAACCGAATTTGATCCTTCACAAACTGGTTCACCATCGTGGGGAGAAGTTTTTCCCACCATTTTCTTTAATCCACTCAACATTCCTGTAAATTATTGATAATTTTAGAAAATAATTTTCGAAACTTCTGCAAAATAAATAAGTAATAAAGCATAATTTTAAAAATAAAAAAAATGTACACTCAGTCTCATTAAGCGCCAGAATACAATAATTTATTATAACTTTAGAAGGAAGAAAATGAATTTTATTCCCAAAAAGAGAATTATTCAATTATAAAATAACTGAATTGGAAATGAATGGAAATAACGAATAAAAAATTCCTAAAAAACGAAATTACATGCAGTTAGTAATGTTAGTAATGGATTTTCTTTTTCTGTTAAAAAAAACACTTGGAGGAAAGAAGAAAGAAGAGGAAAATATGGTAGTTAGAGATTAGAATGAAGTATTAGTTACAAAACATACTTAAATTGAGGTTCGAGGCACTTAGATGGGGCTTACGTGTGAAGCTTCCGCTTCGATGTTTTTTCTTTTTACTTTTTGTTAAATTGTTATCGGATCGTTCAAGCTCGTTTTCCGTACTACCAATTTCACAATCAGCGGAAATTATCTCCGTGACATTATCGGGTAGAACACCAATTTTTTCAGCATTCTCAATCAATAGCTAAAAGGAAAGAATACAAAAATCAATTCAACTTCCATTTACTTTCCCCTTTTAGAATATTTATAATAACAGGCTTCACACTTGATAATTGATTTCAAAAAAGTATCAAAAAGTAGCTTTAATACTGAGAAAACGTAGTAAAAAAAGTAGCTGTCGAAAATTAATTTTAAAGAATAAAAATTCTTTTAGTCAATTCACAAAAATTTTATTCAGTATTTCCCTGTTTTCTAATGTCCATAAAAAATATTTCTTTTTATTCTAATTCTGCCTAGAACTTCAATTGTAAATTTGGAAATTTTGAAAATTATTTTCTAAATTTTTTAATTTTTACATAAAATTCTTTAAAAAATACAAATGTATTTAAAAGTAATTTTTAAAAGTAAACAAGTAAAATCATTTTAAAAAAATTTAATATAAATTGTTTACAGGAATTAAGAAAATAAATAAATAATATTTCAAAGTAAAAATTTAAATGTTATTACAGTATTACAAGTAAAATTTTCAACGATTTCTATTTAATAATCTTTTAAAATTTAATTATTTCTAAAAAATTGTACTATAACGCTTTTAATATTCAATTATTCTCTAAAATTTCAACTGAAATTCGTTTTTAAATCAATTGTTATTTATAAAGTTCCACTGAAATTCAATTATTTAAATACAAAAATAAATAAACAATAATTCAATGTTTCTCAAAAATTTAATAAAGAATTTATCAATTTTTTAAAAAATAATTTAATTTCTGAAAATTTTGTTATTTATGAAAATAATTGAATTTTTGAGAAGAATTTGATTTAATTTTTTTTAAATAATTGAATTCTCGTGGAAAATTTTATTATTTGGGAAAATAATTGAATAATTTTGAAAAAATAAAAAAAGAATTACAGAATTTAGGCATTAATTTTTTTTAAATAATTGAATTTCTGAGAAGAATTTTATTATTTATGAAAATAATTGAATTTTCGCGAAGAATTTAATTTAATTTTTTTTAAATAATTGAATTCTCGTGAAAAAATTTATTATTTAGGGAAATAATTGAATAATTGTGAAGAATTAAAAAAAGAATAAAAGAATTTATCAATTTTTTTTAAACAATTGAATTTTTGAAAAGAATTTTATTATTTATGAAAATAATTGAATTGCTGCGAAAATATTATTTAATTTTTTTTAAATAATTGAATTCTCCTGAAAAATTTTATTATTTTAGAGAAATGATTGAATAATTTTGAAAATTTTTTTAAAAATTCAAGAATTTATCAATTTTTCTTTAAATAATTGAATTTCTCAGAAGAATTTTATTATTTATGATAATAATTGAATTTTTGCGAAGAATTTTATTTAATTTTTTTTTTAAATAATTAAATTCTCGAGAAAAATTTTATTATTTGGGAAAATAATTGAATAATTGTAAAGAATGAAAAAAAGAATTAAAGAATTTATCAATTTTATTTAATAATTTTTAGAATGAAAAAAAGAATTAAAGAATTTATCAATTTTTTTTAATAATCGAATTTTCGTGGCATTTTTATTATTTGGGCAAATAATTGAATAATTGTGAAAAATTAAAAAAATAATTAAAGAATTTGGGTATTAATTTTCTTTTAATAATTGAATTTCTGAGAAGAATTTTATTATTTATGAAAATAATTGAATTTTTACAAAGAATTTTATTTAATTTTTTTTAATAATTGAATTCTCGTGAAAAATTTTATTATTTAGGGAAATAATTAAATAATAGATGAAAGAATTAAAGAATTTATCAATTTTTTTTAAATAATTGAATTTCTGAGAAGAATTTTATTACTTATGAAAATATTTGAATTTCTGCGAAAATATTATTTAATTTGTTTTTAAATAATTGAATTCTCCTGAAAAATTCTATTATTTGAGGAAATTATTGAATAATTGACAAAATTTTTTTAAATTTTTGAAAAAATAATTGAATTTCTGAGAAGAATTTTTGTTATTTATGAAAATAAGTAAATTTTCACGATGAATTTTATTTAATTTTTTTTAAACAATTGAATTCTGGTGAAAATTTTATTGTTTGGAAAAATAATTGAATTTTTGTGAAGAATTTTTGTTTAAAATTTTCAAAAGTCATTGAATTCTTGAGAAGCATTTTATTATTTATACGAAAATAATTGTATTCTTGCCTGGATTGCTTGTGAAAAATAATTGAATTCTTAAGAGGTAGAATTTTATAAAAAGTTTTTATATTGATTTTTTTTTAGGAAAATTTTATGAAATATTTTAAATAATTCAATTCCTTTGAAGATTTTATTATACTTGTAAAGAAAAGTTAAGTTTTTGTGAAGAATTTTATTAAAATTCTTTTGTTTGGAATTTTATTAAAATTGTAGATATTGAAAATCATTGATTTTTGAAATTTTTTTTGAAAATGTAATCGTTTCAAAAAATTTTTTTATGTACAATTTTTAGAATATTTTTTTTTTTATTTCAACTGTTAGGGAATTTGAACATTTAAAGTAATGCAAATTTATTTTAAAATAAAGAAAAAAGTAGCTTTTAGTGGCGTAAATGTAAAAAAGTATATAAATAGTAGTAAATTGTAAAAAAAAAGTAGTAAATAGTAGCAAATTGTAAAAAATGGTAAATAGTAGGTTTTAGTAGATGAGTGCGAAGCCTATAATTAAAATACAAAACGAAAAATTGTAATTAAAGATACAGCGACTAATTGCTAAATAATTGAAAAATTATTCAATTTACCTGAATTACTAAATTATGTGTTTCTAATCGACTTTGAATAGCACCCATGGTCGCTTCCTTTACCGGCATAATGTTCGGTCCAACAACAGTGGCTAAATTAACAATACTCATTCTATTGAGTTGTTCGTATGATGCGACTTTTTTCAAAAATTCCATGAGAAAGGCCAATGTATTGAGATGAATTGGCGGCAACAATAGACAAGCCATGAGTAATGCCTCGACACGATTTTTTTTCAATACAACACAACGAACAAATAAATCGTGATAATAAAATGGTATCAGTGGCTCCGGCTGCTCCCGGAAGAAGGTCTTCAAGCAATTTGCAATGTCAATTCCATGATCTCTTTCCGCTAAAGTTCCACCATTATCAAGTCGAGATAATATTTCCCTCTGGCGTATTTTCGAGCCAGCCTTTCTGAATATTCCCTCTAAATCGATGTAATTCAAAAGATAGGCCGTCGCCTTTATGACGAATATTGGAATATGAACCATCGCACCCGATGATAAATTCACGAGGTCCAATGGTAAACATGTTAAATGTACTTTGAAGATCTAATTAAAAAAAAAATTAAACAAACACTTATTTCAACTAAAAATATACAATTTTACAAAAAGAAAACTATTTAGAGTAAATAATTCCAATATCACTCATTTTTTCAGCTGTATTTTCAGAAAAAAATTATCACTAAAGAAAATAAATTGACACAAGTGACAGATGAGTCAAAATACACAATTTCTTTTTTAACATATTTCTTGTTTCAATCCCTTGCAGTTTATAGAGAAACATTTTAGTTATTAACCTCTAAATAATACTAATATCGAAATAAATTAACATTTTTGTAAAATTTTCATTTTCACGAAAATTTTCAATAGGGAAAATTCGAACCAGATAATTATTTAAAATTCGGAAACGCTTCGTAAACTAAAGAGGATTACAAAAGAAGAAAATTAGGAAAATTACAAAATTATAATTATTCTACATACCTTCTGTGGAAGATTGCCATTTCTTTCCGGTTTATCCAATTTCACTGCAGCATTCTTCTTATGGCGATACTTGACACCAAATCTTCGTAGATCACTAACAATAATTTGGTATACTTTGTCCTTTCGTAGAACGTCAAAAATAAACATTTTTATCGCGGCTTTTTTTATTAATAATTAAAGCCGCGAACAATTTTTCACGCAAATCGTGGCAAATACAAGGAGAAAATTCACATAACCCTATAGTCTTTACCGCATCGGCGTATTATATATACATATACAAACTTTAAAAACTTCACCATTCTCTCTCCTGCAGGAGCAAAAAAAATAATAGAGAAGAACGCGCCATTAACGCGCAGGCGCAATTTTAATTGCGATTGCGCAATGTGCGTTGGACAAATTTTCCTTTGGACAACCAATGAAAATTGACATTGAAACAAAAATGCTGTTCTTCTATTGGTTGTTTAAATACGTAATTTTACGTAAGTTACGATTTGGCAGTTATGCAGTTTTATTGTAAAATGGGTAAAATGCAAACATGCAAACGCAAACGGTTTTTTGTTCTTTAATTTAATCAATCAGATTTTTATTTCAATTTAAAAATAAATAGAATGAAGACGAATTTTATTGTAAAAACTAAGTTTTGATTGAAAGAAGGAAGTAAAGAAACGATTTATTGAGAAAAAAGTCATTATTTGGTATATTATAGGTAAAATTTTCTATTATGAAGATTTATTTACATTTAGTTCGTAATTTATTTTTTCTAGCAATGACTTTTTATTTCTAATAATAACTTATTTTGTCTAGATAATAAATTTATATCTAGAATCAATATAACCAACAAGGACTAACAAATTGAGCGCTGGGTTTTTTTATTCTTAAAATATTTCCACTAATTTAACAATATTTTCTATTAGGAAAAAAAAAAAATTCTACACCCAATCATTCAAATTAAAAACAAGTTTACAAGATAGTCTTTTCCTCAGGTCCCAAAGAATGCAATATTCTTTAATTATAAAAAATTTGATATTTAAAAACACTTCTTAAATATCATTATTAAAATATTAAAACTAATTTGTTTAACATTATTATAGGATTACCATAATTCTAATTAAAATGAGTTATCAGGGCTCGAAGCAGTGAAAGTATTTAAAAATACGGATAATAATTAATAATAATTATTAATAAAAATAATTTATAATAATTAAAATCATTATCAATTCAATTATTATTTTTAACAATATTCAATTTTACGAAATTTCAATTTTATTCGTAAATTCTTTAATTAAATAAATATTAGAAAATAGAAACTAAACATAATATTAAAACAACTCAATTAAACTTTTTCAAAAAAAATTAATTATAAAATTCAATTATTTTTTGAAATTCACGCTCTTTTGCATTTAATATTCAATTATTATCTAAAATTTTAACTGAAATTCATTTTTATGAAATGAAAATCAAATTTTTATTAGAAAATTCTACTAGAATTCAATTATTTAAATACAAATTTAAATGCAAAAATGCAAATAAATAATTTATTGAATAATTGCACGTTTCTTAAAATTCAATTCCCATAAAAAATCGTTATCAACAAATTTTCAAATAATTGAATTCTATCAACGAATTTTAATAAAATTTTTTAGAATAATTACATTTTTCGACAAAATTCAATTAAAATTGTATTAAAAATAAATAAAATAATTGAAATTCTGCATTGAATTTTATTATTTATGAAAATAATGGAATTCTTGCGAAGAATTTTATTAAAATTTTCCAAAAAAAATTAAATTCTTGTAAAAAATTAACAGGAATTTAATTATTTTAAAAATTTTTTTTTTAATTTTTGGCATAAATTAAAAATAACAAAATTCTTAGCAGATATTTAATTACTTTCAGAAATTTTAATAAAATTTTTCGCAAAAATTTAAATATTTTCGTAAATTAATAAAAATCTTTGCAGAGATTCAATTATTTTCAAAAACTCTTAATAAAATTCTTCGCAAGAATTCAATTATTTTCAAAAATATCAGAATTTTAGCAGAAATTCAAACATTTTAAAAAGTTTTGAAAAAACTTTTTTTGGTTGAAAATCAATTATTTTTAAGACAATTTTAAAAAAATGTCTCGATAGAATTCAATTATTTTTAAAATTTTAATGAAATTCTTCGACAGAATTCAATTATTATAATCTAAGATATTAACTGAAATCTATTTTTAAATCAATGTTTTTGAGAAAATTCTACCAGAATTCAATTATTTAAATACAAAAATAAATAATTTATTGAATAATTGAATGTTTCTTGGTATTTAATTCCTATTAAAAATTTTATCAACAAATTTTTAAATAATTAAATTCTTTGGACGAATTTTAATCAAATTTTAAAGAATTTTTTCGAGGAATTCAATTAAAATTCTGCCGTGAAAATAATTGAATTCCTAAAAAGAACTTTATTATTTACGAAAATAATTGAATCCCCGTAAAAATTTTATTATTTATGAAAATAGTTGAATGATTGCGAAGAAATTTTTAAAAAAAAATTTGTTATTAATGAAATTCTTGTGAAATTTTTATTATTTTTTGAAAAGAATTAAAAGTTTTTGTAGAATTTTATTTCATTTCTTTTTAAATAATTAAATTCTTTTGGTAAATTTTATGAAAATAGTAGATATTGAACAATATTTAATTTTTGCGAAGAATATTTATTACTTTTAAAAATAATTGAAATTTTGCAATGGATTTTATTCAAATTTTTGAAAATAATTGAATTTTATTACTTTAGAAAATAATTGAATTCGTGTGATAAATATTGTTAATTATGAAAATAATTGAAATTTTTTTAAAGAATTTTATTAAAATTTTCGAAAATAATTGAAATTTGGTGAAGAATTTTGCTATTTATTTATAAAGATAATTGAAATGTTGACAATTTTTTTTTAGATTTTTTGAAAATAATTGAATTTCGGAGAAGAATTTTAATATTTCTAAAGATAATTGAAATTTTGACGAGAATTTAAAAAAAATTTTGAACATAATTGAATTTTTGCGAAGAATTTTATTACTTTTATGAAAATAATTGAATTTCTGCAATCATTTGTACTTTCTCTAAAATTCTCAAAATTATATCGTACAATTTACGAACTTTTCATATTTTTTGAATCAAATTACGGATTTTTTTTTTAAAAACGGACTTTTACGGACTTGAAGCAAAGTTACGGACTTTTTCAGGATTTACGGACCTACTTCGAGCCCTGAGTTATAATTTATTGCATAAAAATAAGTTACTTAATCGAGTTACTTAAATAAATAAATTAAATAATTATTAATTAATTACTATTAATTAGCTAGAATTTTCAAGTATTTAACAAAACTATCGTGCAATTATTGTCACATTATCTATGAATTTGCACGATATTATTGAATTATCAACATTAAGAATATTGAGTATATTAATATTAATTTTTGATTTTCATTTTACTTATATATATATAAATATATAGTGTCGGTTATATTGATCTTTTTGAGAATAATTAAATAACAATTTTTTATATACCTTAAAAATGTCCTAAATACACGTAGATTGATATATTATAGAGTTTATGTCCTCTAACGATGATCTAAAATGACATTGGAAGCGTATTTTTTCTGACGTATACAAAATTCTACGATTGAATAAATGGTAAGCAATCTCCTGTCCATTGCACTCAAGTGCGCTTCACTAATTAACGGCTCAACTTCCGACATTAATTCCTCATGAGCTAAAAGTTTTGCCAATGATATACTCAACGATCCGCCGCTGAATAATTTTAATCGATCCCATGTAGTTTTATGAATTCTGGAAAGAGAGCAAAAAAAAAAAAATATTAGAAGAAAAAAGAAACAGCAAAATTCTTCACTGAAATTTAATTATTTAAAAAAATTCTAATAAAATTCTACGCAAACATTTAATTATTTTCATAAATAATAAAAATTTTCCAGAATTTCAATTATTTAAAAATTTGTTAATAAAATTCTTTTTGAGAATTCAATTTTAACAAACATTCAATTATTCAATAAATTATTTACTGAATTTGAATAATTGCATTTTCGTAAAATTTTCTAATAAAAATTGATTTAAAAATGAACTTCTGAATAATCAATTTATTTATGAAAATAATTGAATTCTTGCGAAGAATTTTATGAAAATCTATTTAAATACTCGATTTTTTTCTAAAAATATTAGGAAAATTCTGTTTTAAATAATTGAATTCCTGTGAAAATTTTTTTATTTGTGAAAATAATTGAATATTTGCGAAGAATTTTATAAAGATTTTTTTGAATTCTTTAATTCTTTTGTGAAATTTTTTATTAAAATAGTAGATATTAAAAATCATTGAATTACGAAAAATTTTCGAAAATATTATTGAATAGTTTTAAAGAATTTTATAAAAACTTTTTGAATTCTTTCCATTGACTTTATTACAATTTTTTGAAAATAATTTTTTTATTTCAACTGTTAGCAAATTTGAAGTTAGTGTAAATTCTCAAACATGGAAAAAAGTAGTTGTTAGTGTAACAATTAAAAAAAAGTTAATTAAAACTTTTAATTTTTTAATTAAAAAAACAATTAAAAAAAGTATCCAAACAGTAGCAAATCGTAAAAAAAAGTAGTAAATAGTTAGTTTTTAGTAGATGAGTGCGAGGCCTGCTATTTTTAATTATTTTTGGTTAATTAAATTTTCTTTTTCAGAAAAAAATGAAACTTACATGCAACATTGATAAAGTGGAGCGAGAATGTCAAAATGATCGACACTCGGATTTCCCAAGCTTTTGCCATTATCGATCAACAAAACTGCTGGATTGTGAAAATTATTTTGCATCATTTCATAATGATGACGATCGCCATTGTCCATTAGGAAATCAAAAACTGCAGTGTCAACTAAATCCAAAAGTCTACTTGACGATTGAGGTGAATATGCTTTATATTCTTTTACCTGAAAAAACAATTTTCCCTTATAGTCTAAATTCGTAAAAGGTTAACAAAAAAAGAAAAAAATTCTAAAACTTAAAAAAACGAAACCTTATCACAATAATTAGGATCCACTTCCCAGAAAGCGAATCGATTTTTCCTATAAGTCCTCTGCCAGGGATGTCGATGTTTAATTAATTTTAAATATGACGGTAGCCAGAGAATTAAAGCTCCTTCTAAAATATCGCCAGATCCACAGACTGGATCACCCGATGAACAATAATGACAAACGCCATACAAACAAGTGTCATTGCCTTCTTGATAGATTGTCGCGTAAAGTTCAGGTGTCGCGTTCTTCATTACTTCCTCTCGAAGATTCACTGAAAAATAAAATCAACATAGAGTTTCAATTTTTTTTTAAAAATATTTTCAGAAAACAAAAAAAAAATAAAATAAAATTATACCTCAGATAATTTTCATAACGTCCTCATTGTTGTATTCACTGATAAACCAAAGCGATTGTAGAAGCAATGTATTATTTATAACTTCAGTTGACTTTGAATAATAAAATAAAATCAATGAATGATGAATTGACATTAAAAAAAGGGTAAAAGAAATTATTAATAAGAGAAAAGAAATAAAGTAAAACAAAATAATTAAATTATTTTAAAGAATTTTATAATAATTTTTGAAAATAATTGAATCTTTTGAAAGAATTTTATTAAAAATTTTGAAAATAATTTGATTCAATCAAAAACTTGTATTAAAACGTTTAAAATAATTAATTTTCCTTATAAATTTTATCAAGACTGTTGAAAATAATTTTTTATTTTATTTAAATATTTTTAAAAATAATTGTATTCTTTTGAGAAATTTTACTAAAATTGAATTAAAAATAATTGAATTCTTTCCAAGAATTCTATCAGAATTTTTGAAAATAATTGAATTTAATTAATATTTTTAAAAATAATTGTATTCTGTCGAGAAATTTTATTAAAATTGAATTAAAAATAATTGAATTCCTCCGAAGAATTTTATTATTAATTGAAGAATTATATTATTTATGAAAATAATTGAATTTCTTATTTTCTTTTAAAGAATCTTATTATTCATGAAAATAATTGAATTCTTTCGAAGAATTTTATTAAAATTTTTCAAAATTCTAATTAAATTCTTTTGAAGAATTTCTTTGAATTTTTTTAAAAATAATCTAATTTCTTTAATTAATCGCGTTTCTTAATAATTGAAATTAAACATTTATTGAATTTTCTTAAAATTCTTGGAAATAATTGAATTCTTCTCACAATTTTATTACAATTTTCTAAAATAATTTAATTCATTCAGGGAATTTTATTAAAATATAGAAAATAATTAAATTCTTTCGAAGAATATTCATATACTATTTTAAAGTTTTTGACAATAATTGAATTCTTTTGAAAAATTGTAATTTATTGAATGTAATCGATTTTGTTAATTATTGTGATTAATAATTTTATTATTAAAACTTTTTCAAAATAATTGATAGAAAATTAGAGTCTTTTAAACAATTTTTTAAAAGGTTTTACAAATAATTAAATTCTTTTGATTTTTTTTTTCAAAATAATACAATTTTTGAATAATTTAAATTGGAAATTTTAAAAATAATTGAATTAAACAAAGAATTTTTTTCAAATTTTAAAAATAATTGTGTCTGTTAAAAATTATAATTAAATATTTCATCATTGAAATTTATTAAAATTGTATTGAAAATAATTATTTTCTTGTGAATAATTTTATTATTTATAGAAATAATTTTAAATCTTGCAAAGAATTTTACTATTTTAAAAATAATTGAATTGTTTCCAAGAATTTCTTAGAAGTTTGGAAAATAATGAAATTCTTTCGAAAAATTTTATTAAAAATTGGAAAAAATTTAATTGATTTCTTTCGTGAAATTTTATTAAAATTGTATTGAAAATAGTTAAATTCCTTTAAAGAATTTTACTATTTTTATCAAAATAATTGAATTCTTCCGAAGAATATTATTAATCAAAATTTTTGAATAAAGTTGAATTCTTTAAAGAATAATTGTATTAAAAATTCTGAAAAATTAGTTTTTAAATTCTATAAAAAAAATTTAATTTTTCAAGAATTTTATTAAAAAATTGATAGTATTAAATTTTTCAAAAAAAAATTGAATCATTTTCTAATTTTTGTAGAATATAATTGAATGTTTTACAAGAAATTTCTTAAAAATTTTGAAAATAATTGAGTTTTTAAAATAAATTTTACAAACAATTTCAGAAATAATTGAATTTTTGAGATGAACTCAATTTTAGAATTTAATTATTTTTTAAATAATTGAATTTTGGAATTATTATTGAAGTTTCTCAAGTTTTAATGAAGATACTTGAATATTTTTCAAGAAATTTAGTAAACATTTTGAAAATTAAGGAATTTTTTAAGGAACTTTAAAGAAAACAAGATTTTAAATAACCAGAAGGGAACGAGAAGGAAAAAATTAAAATAATTGAAACTAATTGAATTGTTTCAAAGACTTTACCATTTTAAAAAAATAATTCAATTGTTTCGAAGGATTTATTCAAATTTTAGAAAATAATTGAATTCTTTAATGAAATTTTATTAAAATCGTATTAAAAATAATTCAATTCCTGCGAAGAATTTTACTATTTATACAAGAAAATTGAATTCTTCCGAAGAATGTTATTATTTATGAAAATAATAATTTAATTCTTGCAAAGAACTATATTAAAAAATTTTGATAATATAAACAATAATAATAAATTATGTACTTAACAATTGAATTTTTTAAATTTTGATTATGTAATTATTCAAAAATTTAAATTTGAAAATAAAAAATATTTGCTAGTTATTAATAAAAGAGAAGAAAAAACAAAAGCAAAACTAATAATAGTATATTGGTAATATTCAAAATAGTATGAAAAAATGCTCACATTTCCTAGTGATTGTAATTGGAACTCTTCTCAATGCAAGTAATGATGATAAATGGAATGCTACGATTTCGGCATTATGCCTGTCTTTTCCATAATAAACCGGACCCTCGATGACAGTGTTTCTCGAATACCATTGAGGTTTAAATAAAGCCTTAATTCCATGTTCCAGTGTTAACATTAATTTCAATTGCGTTCCTAAAAGAGCATTATCGGCTCTCATCACTTTCGCCTTCCTCAAGGCTTCGAAAATTGTCCCAAGCTCCGGAGCTGCCGGTGGAATTAGACAATGCGCATCTGGCCACTGAAAATTGGCCAAAATAAATTTTAAGAAAATAATTCTCATTTAATTTTCCAATAATTATTTTTTACTTTCTATTATTTTAAGTACTTTCGTTTTTCGTTTCGTTATATTTTGAAAGAAAAGAAAAATATTTACATTATTATTAGGAATGTTCCAAAGATCGTCACGAACATTTGGCATTGTACGAAGTTCGATTAGAAGTCTGTCTAGAAGAATTGCATAACTGGTGTTTTGTTTAAAATATTTCGAGGGCAAAGTTCGCATTTCGGCTTTTATTTTCTCCTCCATATCTCTTGTTATGGATTTTTGTGAACGTCGAATATTCTCCTTAGGCTTTGTCGAAACTTCAGCTTCATTTATTCTAGGCTCGAAATTTGCCGAATTTTTCATATTATCCTTGCTCGGCGAACTCTCGACGATAATTCGAATAAAATAAATATTAACAGTCAGAACCAAAATTAAAAGCCCGCCGAGAGCTAACATAGCGCAGCGTCGGCCAATCATCTGCAATTTAAATAATTAGGAATAAAAAAACAAAATTTAAATTAAATCAATGAATTTTGCACTAAGAATTTAATTTCTGCAGTTTTGTTTATTTTTATTTATTTATGAAAAATTACATTTAAAATACAAGCCTCGGATCGACTTTAACGAGCCAAAAAAGTTGCTTTAGTCGATTAAAAATAGAAAAAAAGTCGATTCAGTATTCTCACAAAAAATTTTATTTTGTATTTCTCTGATTCTTCACTGATTTCTAAAATCAATTAATCAAAACTCTAATAATTTCATGCTAAATAAATATTTAAATACTTCTTATTTCTTTTTTCACGGGAAATAAAATTTAAAAAATTTCAACTTCTGAAATTTATTAATTTCTAAAAATTACAACTATAATCCTTCCAAAATTTAATTATTTTCTATTATTATTATTATTATTATTTTATTATTTTTTTTATTATTTTTTATTTTGAACTAAACTTCATCTCTAATCAATTATCTATATTAGTTTTTAATAATTTTCCAAAAGTTCTTCGAGAATTCAATTATTTCAATAAAAAAAATTCAATTTTTCATAATCATTGAAACTGTCCATTTTTCTTTTTAAAGAATAAGGTAAATTTTTTTTTAAAATTTTAATAAAGAAATTTTCGAAATTAATTTTTTTAAAATATTTCTAAATAATTTTTGAAGGACAATATTTTTACAATATTACATACAATTAAAATATGTTCAAAAAATTGAAATTTGTCAAAAACATTAAAAAACTATTGAAATTTGATCAAATCTTTGAAAAATAATTGTAATTTGATAAAATTTTTTCAAAATAATTTAATTTTTAAAAAATAATCAAATTTTTGAAGAATTTTAATTATAAATGATTTCTCAAAAATTTTAATAAGTCTAAAAAAGTAAATTTTATAATATTTTAATTTACTTTGTACGAAAGTTAAACGTTACAAATTTTTAAATTAATGAACTAAAAATCATCATTTTTTTCAATAATTGAATTCTTTCGAGAAAATCTAATTACAATTAAATTGAAAATAATTGAATTGTTTTGAAGAATTTATTTTAATTTTCTTGAAAATAATGGATTTTTTAAAAATAATTTTCACTGAAAATTTCGAAAGTAATTTAATTTTATAAAGATTTTCTTTCAAGTTTTTAAAATAATCGTGTTTATCATTAATTGTAATTAATAATTTTTCTATTAAATTATATTAAAATTATTCATAGAAAATTAAATTCTTTTAAATAATTTTAATAGAGTTTTTGTGAATAATTACATTTTTTTTAAGAATTTTATAAAATATTATAATTATTAGTCTTTTTTAAAGTAATTTTAATTGTAAATTTTGAAAATAAGTGTAATTTACAAAGAATTTTATTAAAAACTTTTGAGAACAGTAGAATTGTTTAGAAAAATTTCATTAAAATTTTTAAAAATAATTGAACCGGTTAAAAAATTTTATTAAAATTATCTTGAATATAATTGAATATTTTCCTAGAAATTTGATTAAAATTGTATTGAAAATAATTGAATTTCACAGAAGAATTTCATTATTTCCAAAAATAATTAAATTTTATTATTTTTACAAAAATAATTGAATTTCTCAGAAGAATTTTATTGTTTACAAAAATAATTGAATTTTATTATTTTTACAAAAATAATTGAATGTCTCAGAAGAATTTTATTATTTACAAAAATAATTGAATTTCTCATAAAAATTTTATTATTTACAAAAATTATTGAATTTCTCAAAAGAATTTTATTATTTATACAAAAATAATTGAATTTCTCAGAAGAATTTTATTATTTTTACAAAAATTATTGAATTCTTGCCAAGAATTATTGTATAATTTTAAAAAAACTAATTAATTTTTTGAAGAATTTTAATTAAAAATTTTGAATATAATTATTTTCTCCAAAATGTTAAAAATGATTCTAAATTTTTGAGAATTCAATTATTTCAAAAATTTTCAATTAAATTTCTTTAAAAGTTAGTTTTTAAAAATTGTAATAAAATACATAAAAAAAATTATTTATTTTCATTTAAATTTTACAAAATTTCAATTATTCAAAATCTTTCTAATTATATATTTCAAAAATTTAATTAAAAAAATTATTCAAAAATAACTTTTCAAAGTCGCAATTTTTTAATATAAGTCAATAAAAGTCACATTATTCGAAAATAGTTGGAAAAAAGTCGAAAAAGTCATAATATCCGAGGCCTGAAAATATTTTCAGATTGAATTTCCCGCCAATGAAGTCAAGCGGTACATTTAAAAATCGATTAATTTAAAATTGTTTACAACTTAAAAAAAACGGTTTTAAACATTTTGGGAAAAAAATTATTAAATTGAAAACAGCAATTTTTTTATGGTAAAATATAAAAATAAGAAGAAAACTTTTTCTACTCCAATCTTGATAAACGTCAAAATACTCAAAATTGTTTGGAAATTTGGCAACGTTGCATATCAAAATATGGATTGACGTTTCTTGGAATTAGACATTTTCGGAAAAAATAAAATATTCTCACTAATAAAAATTCAATTACTTGCCTTTCTAGATATGGCCACCACTTTCTTGTCACCTATTATATTGAAATCTCTTCATTTTCTTTGTGGAATTGCTAAAAATTCCGTGCAAGCGTTGTCCAGCAGCAGGTGCTTGTCGCCATTTTTGTTTTCCTGAATTTTTTTCTTTTGAATAAAATCGAGTATGCGCGGGAGGGAGGCTCAGTAGGTAATTTTTTTTTGTCTTTCTTTCTATACTCTATTAAAAAATAAGTAATAAAACTATAGAGAATTTGTTATAATTTCTCTTATTCTTGAAACAAATAAAATTTTAATAATCAGTAAATTACCCGCGAAAATTTAAAATATCTTTTTTGAAAAAAATCTTAATTATTTGTAGGTATATTAATTTTAAACTGAGAAATTGGAAAAAAAATTTCGTTTTGTTTAAGAAATAAACGAACGTTTTTAGACTAGTTTTCAATGAATTCGTTAAATTTAAACCAAAGCCAATTTTCCAAAAATATCGGGTTAAAATTAGGAAATTAATTGCGAGGTCAACTAAAAATATAAATGTCAAGATTGGTAAATTTTTAAATATAGAATTTAACTTGGGATTTTAAGTATAACTTTAAAATACAATCCTTTTCTTTTAACAAGGAAGGAAAATTGGGTAAATTACCATTTTTCCAGTATGAGTAAATTATTTATAAAATTATATTGAAAATAACCTTTATTTCATTTTGGAAATAACAATATTTTTGTTTGTTTTTCTTTTTTGTTGAAAATGACAAATATGCTTAATTAGTAATCACCAAAGAAGAGAAGAATTTCGTGTATGGTCGGTCATTTATTCTTTTTTTTTTTTTTTTTTTTGTAAAAAAACAACATATTAACTACACTATTCAATTATAGTAAAATTAATATTTAGGCTAATGCTTCGCTTGGAAGCAATTCATTTGTTTATTTTCTCTCCCAGATTGGCTCGGTTCTAGCTTTCATATTTCATCGCAATAAAATTGTATATTCACAATATACTTAACTCTCAATTAGCCTCGCCGTTGTCTTTCTCGTTCCCTTGCGAGTTCCGTCGCATAATCATACGGCGAGTGCCTAAAAAAGAGAACTCGTTAGATTTTAGAAAAAGAAAAAAAAAGATTATTTTTTAGAAAAATAAATGTTACCTTTCTCCATGTCGATCACGATCACGATGACGATCTCTGCTCCGCTGCCTGTACTCCCTGGGCCTTCGACTTCTATCTCGACTCGAGGAACGTTTACGATCTCTTTCACGATCTCGATCTCTTCCTCGTTCACGTTCTCGTCCCCTGTCACGTTCTCTGTCCCTATCTCGTTCTCTCTCTCGTTCTCGATTTTTATCTCTTCGATCCTCATCCGATCTGAAAAATCATAACCAACAAAGAGAAAACTAAGAAAACTATTTTCAATTTGAACATGTGAGAATTTTTATTTCCTTTTGTTTTTGGATTACAATCTTTTTTAAAAAGATTAAAAATATTTTTTTAATTACAGGCATCACCTTCTTTCCTCAAAAAAAGGTGAAAAGAGGAATTTTTTTTCCTCAAAAAGGGGATAATTTATTTGTTTCTACAACTTGCATATATAATTCAAATTTTTTATCATTTAGCTTCTATAAAATTTTTTAAAAATGATTCGATATTAATCAGAGTTGCCACAAAAATTTAATTTCGTTTTTCCCTGACTTTTCCTTGATTTCCAGACTTTAGACTTTTTCCCTAAAGAATATTCTGCGATTCACTGAAAAATTATTAGGATACTCAAAAAAATGTATTACATTTATTTACGAATTTCTTTAACTGTAAAATTATTCGAAAAAAGCAATAACTTCTTTTTTAAAAAAATATTTAATCATTATTGTTTTTCCATAGGAATTAAGATTTTCAAAACATTCAAATTTAAATCTATTTGAAATTCAACAATTTATAATAATCCTGACTCGGAGTGATCGACTATCTCATCGTTTTTATTAATTTATAATAATATTAAAGATGACCGAGTGATAAGATTATTATTTTATATTACAAGAAATATTTTTACTGCAACTTCTTCAAAATTATTTTCATTATTTCAATTCAATTATTATTTTCTAGAATTTTTAACTAAAATTCTGCTTTAAATCAATTATTTACAATCATTTTTTTAAAAAATAAGAGAATTTTCAAATGTTTTTGTTTACAATTCAATTTTACGAAATTTTATCGATTATTCGGAAACTCTTCAATTAATATATATTTGAAAATAAAAACTTTGAATAATTTCAATTAAACTTTTTGAAAAAAATTAATTCTACAGAATTGTTAGTTAAAAATATGAAAATTTCTGATTTTCAAAGATTTCAATTTGAAACTTTTTCAAAAATTCATTTACTTCTAAAAATTCACGCTATAATGCTTTTAATATTCAATTATTATGTAAAATTTTAACTAAAATTCAATTTTAAATCAATTTCTATTAGAAAATTCTACGAGAATTCAATTATTATTTAAATAAAAAATAAATAATTTTTATTGAATAAATGAATGTTTTTAATATTAAATTCTCATAAAGAATGTTATCAACAAATTTTTAAATAATTAAATTCTTTCGACGAATTTAAATAAAAATTTTAAAAATAATAACATTTTTCGAGGTATTTGATTAAAATTGTAATAAAAATAATTCAAATTCTGCGATGAGTTTGATTACAGTAGAACCTCGATTATCCGAGGTAATGTGGGGAAGAGGTACCTCGGATAATCGAAAACTCGGATAACACGGAACCAATGAAAATTTCAAAATTTAAAATTATTTTTCATGTGTTTAAAGTGTTAGAATAATATTAAATGACAAAAATGGACGAAATTTTAAATGCAATGATCACAAATAGTGGTTTTGTAAAATTTATTTTCCAAATTTAGTCGCTCGATCCGTTTTATCCGAGTTATTCCGCATTATCCGAGCATGTTTTGTGCCTCGGATAATCCGGAATCTCGGATAATCGAGGCTCGGATAACCGAGGTTCTACTGTATTTATGAAAATAATGGAATTATTGCGAAGAAATTTATAAAAAATTTGTAAATAATTGAAATTTTGCCAATAATTTAAAAAAATTTTTTAAATTAATTGAATTTTGAAGAAGAATTTTATTACCCTTGGAAATAATTTCATTCTCGTAATTAATATTGTTATTTATGATAATAATTTAATTTTGCAAAGAATTTTATTAAAATTCTTGAAACCAATTGAATTTCTGGGAAGAATTTTAATATTTATCAAAATAATTGATTTCTTTTTAAGAATTGCGTTACAATTTTGGAAATAATATTTAATAATTATTTATTAAAAAATTCAACTAATTTCAACAGAATTGAAATTAAAATTGTATTAAAAATAATTGAAATTCTGCGATGAGTTTTATTATTTATGAAAATAATTGAATTTATATAAATAAAATTATTTATGAAAATACTTTAATTATTGAGAAGAAATTTTTTAAAAAATTGTAAATATAATTGAATTACTGTGAAATTATTTTATTATTTATGAAAATAATTAAACGTTTGCGTAGAATTTGAATAAAATTTTTTTTAAATAATTGAATTCTTTTGGAAAATTTTATTAAAATAGTAGATATTCAATATCATTGAATTTAGGAAAATTTTTGCAAACAATTGAAATTTTTGAAAATAATTGAATTTCTGCGAAGAATTTTATATTATTTATAAAGAGAATTGAAATCTTGACGAGAATTTCTTTAATTTTTTTAATATAATTGAATTTCTGCGATGAGTTTGATTATTTATGAAAATAATGGAATTATTGCGAAGAAATTTATAAAAAATTTGTTAACAATAGAATTCCTGTGAAATTATTTTATTATTTATGAAAATAATTAAACGTTTGCGTAGAATTTGAATACAATTTTTTTTAAATAATTGCAAATTTCAGAAAAATTTTGCAAATAATTGAAATTTTGCCAAGAATTTTATTAAAATTGAAATTTATTTTTGAAAATAATTGAATTTCAAAGAAGAATTTTATTATTTATAATTATAAAGAGAATTGAAATCTTGACGAGAATTTCTTCAAATTTTTGAATATAATTAAATTTCTGCGAAGAATTTTATTACTTTTGAAAATAATTGAATTTTTGCAATCATTTGAAACTTTTCGAAAATTCAAATTTTTTTTAGTCTTTTTAACTAAAATTCCTCATTAATTTCTTTATTTTAAATAATTAATTAAATACATATATTAAAAAATTTAACTAATTTCAGAATAATTTAAATTTTGAAAATTTTTGCAAAAATTTAAGTTCTCTAGAATTTCTAATGAAATTCATTCAAAATTGAAATTTTATAAAATTTGAAATTAGTAAAATGTTTTGAAGTTTATCTATTTATCAAAATTGTAAACGCAACTATTTTAAAATTTAATTAATTTTGAAATGTATAAATAAAATTATTCATTAAATAATTTCTAAGTTATAATTTTATGATAGTTCTTCAAGAATTAAGTTAAAAAAGGAAATTATTGTCAGAAATGGAAAAAATTGAAGGTTTTGTATTAGAATTTTTGTTTTTTCTAAAAAAAAACTATTAATAATAATATTTTAATTATTTGAATGTTAATTAATTATTTTTCTAAAGGTCTGCATTCTGTTGAATGAACCACCTTATAATTTATAAAATTCTTTACGATATGAGGCATTCCATTTCAAATCGTTCCACCGACAAAAAACAATCGCAAGGAGAGCGATTTTCTAATAAATATAATTATTTAAAAATTTAATTATTTGTAACATATTATACACTGAATCGAAAGAGAATTTCATGAACTTTATAATGCTATTTTTATTTTTTAAAATTTTTCTCAATTTCGTAGAGAAATTCCTGTTTGAAAGTTTAAACTCTTAATATCTCAAAACACCCCCCCCGTCGATTTTTATCAAAATTATATGAAAATAAAGCTTAACTTTTCTAGTTTTCATTCCCGTATAATATATTATGGACATTTAATGGGATTAATAGAAAAAAAATTGTTTAAAAAATGTGTTTTTTAAAAATTTGACAAATGGTACGAAGTTGAAGGTTAGTTAGGATTCAACTTCGTACCATTTGTCAAATTTTTCAAAAACACATTTTTTAAACAATTTTTTTTCTATTAATCCCATTAAATGTCCATAATATATTATACGGGAATGGAAACTAGAAAAGTTAAGCTTTATTTTCATATAATTTTGATAAAAATCGACGGGGGGGTGTTTTGAGATATTAAGAGTTTAAACTTTCAAACAGGAATTTCTCTACGAAATTGAGAAAAATTTTAAAAAATAAAAATAGCGTTATAAAGTTCATGAAATTCTCTTTCGATTCAGTGTATAATATGTTACAAATAATTAAATTTTTAAATAATTATATTTATTAGAAAATCGCTCTCCTTGCGATTGTTTTTTGTCGGTGGAACGATTTGAAATGGAATGCCCCATATATATTATTTAAATAATTAACATAAAAAGATATATTTATATCATGTTGTGGTGTTAATAATCTAAATCAAATATAAAACTCACTGAATTCTATAACATTGAGTCTAAATTTTATGATTACAGTTTGAAAAAGATTTTTAAAAAAGTAAAACTTGTTTATCTTTGATTAGAAAAAGGTGAAAAATGGGACAAATCAACAAAACAGAAGGAAAAAGGTGACAAAATTGAAATAAGGGGACAAAAGGGGAAAAAGGGACCGACTGTGATGCCTGTAATTAAAAAAAGAAACGTTTTTTATTTTTGTTAAATTAGTAACGTGATTTCGTTCATACCACGTGGACGCACCTGGCTCGCCAGTGGCTCGCTCTTTCAGCCTCTCCCCAATGTGCTTCGCTATCAGGAATGTGCCTTGGTTGACTGCGACCTAAATTTCCATTATCCTTTCTTCCACTACTGCTATATTTACTATGATTATTCAACGTAATTGAAGGTTTTGCATTTCGTGAATTTGACGTTTGTTGAGGAAATCGTTCACCGAGACGATGTTCCAAATCCTTTTGAATAGGCACAGGTATTCTTGGAAATAATGTTGAAAACCATTCGAGTTTCGTGAGAAATTGCTTTAAAATATCACCCATTTTCATTGTTTGTCCACCGCCAGCTTTAACGTCCAATTCCTCATCGTCCTCTAAATATTCATCGTACCATGAGAATAAATCTGCCGGCGGTTGTGTGTATCTAAAGAAAAAAGAGTTTATTATTGTATTTTCAAAAATTTCATTATTCATTATTCCAAAAATTTTAAAAATTTGTCTTTTACTTTTAAGCGCGTCAAAATTATTTTTTTTTCTCACCTGATGTACATAAATCCTAAAGCTCGAATATACGGGGAATCGGGATGATTTATAAGACCATTTAATTGTTTTCTCGTTAACCTTAAGGTAAATAATTTGTACAGAAGGCAATAAGCCGTTGAGACGATTCCTCCAGCCCCCACGCCGCGAACCTGCATAAATTGAATTCTTATAAAGAATTTAATATTAAGAAATTTTTAAATAATTTAATTCTTTTGGCGAATTTTAATAAAATATATTTTAAATTACATTTTTTGAGGAATTCGACTTCAAGAAAATTATTGCGAACCTAGTTCGAGCCATGAATTTTTTTTTTAAAAAACCGATTTTTTTGAAAACATACTTACACCCCCACACATTCCGGTTTGTCCCGCAGTTTTCCGACTGCCCTTCTCCCAAGGCTCAAGATGTGACACTTTATAGTAAATTTCATCAATAACTTCGTGGTACGTCTTCAATTCGTAGAGATTGACTTTAAAATAATGTGAAGACTGTATATTCGTAAGAATCAATGGATTCAAATTCATAGACCTTTCGTTGCCCCATAACGGCAAAACATTGGATTTCTTTTCTTTTATATTTGGTTTCCGTTCCTCCTCACAGCCACTGGAATTGTTCCATGGCGAACCTGACAATTACAAATTATTCTTATTCCTTCTTATTCAACACAATCCGAGAGAAAAAAGATATTTTGAATTTTTACAAAAGAAATAGAAAACACATAAAGTTTCGACATTGATTTGACCAAGTAAGGTTAGGTTCACACGAAAGTTACTCCAAAAAGGTAAATAAATTCATAAACAAAATATGCTAAAGATCAAATTGAAATCAGTGAATTTGTTTGAAATTTAAGAAACTACAAGAAATGATTGAAAAGGAATAATTTAACTTACCATCGGCTCCTTCGTCTTGCATCTTTTTTCTATTTTCGTTGCAGTTGTGTGTTTTCACTATGACGCTTGTTTAAATGGTAAAAGAAATTTTTTTTTAACCAAAAAATGTGCACTTACTCATTAACATTTTGACCTGTTTTTACTATTTTTTATCTATCGGGAAAATGTTAATCAAAATAACAAATAGAAAGAAATTCGAAAGCTTCTTTTTTTTGGGGATTAGTAATTTTTCTCTAAAAAAAAATTGACGTCAATTCTTTTAATTGCACCAGGGAATAAAGGCTGCGGAAAACAACGTACAATCTGCACATGCGTCAATGGATAAGTACGCATGTGCCACTTAACACACATCCGGTCAGTGTTTTCAAAAAAGTTCCCACAACTTCCGTAAGATAGCGCCAGTGGCGATTTAAATTTAAATTTTCGGCGCGAAATAAAAATAAACTCTAATCTTCTATTTCTTTTTTCGAAAAGAAGATAATATTATTAATTATTGAAATATAAACAAGATAATTAGATAATATGAGAAATTCTTCAAGTACTTATAAATTGCAGTAGTCGGGAAATATTCTAAATTCTACTGACAGTCCACTCTCTAGTGTCTACATTATCGATGGAGTGACTTGTCTTCATTTTTCCCCGGTTTTGAGTTTTCTATAGAGCTTCGCACTGCTTCGCACTCGCGAAAGCGTAATCAACGAATTTATCATCATCGCCTTTTTTTTCAAAGTATTATAATAAAGAAAAACGTCGCGTTATGGACACTATTTGGCAGATCTGTTACGTTTCGCTGATGTTCCTCGTGTGGTTATTCTTGGTTAATTCGAATCGTTGAAAAAAATAACGAGTGTGAATTGGCTAATATAGGTTCAGATGCGTGCCAGAAGCACTCGTGCGAACACATGTTGTTGGTTTTATAAATTGTCAATAGCGAGGCTTATTCCTTTCAAGAGAGAAGCTGATTTATCCGAGAAAGACGTTGACTCAGCAAAGTCAACTCTCTTTACTCGCGCTAAATCTGGTAATCACTATATTAAATTTTAAGCGAATACCAAATGTGCCTCTTTCTCGCAAATAGTACCTTTCAAGATCTACATGAATATCCAGAAGTCTGTGACAGTCATGGATGTTGATTGTCCAATCGTTAGTCTTAAACGATCAAGCAGTGCTCCTATGATTAACGAAATCAGTGCCACAATGTCTGTTACCTCTCCGTCAACGTCTGCTCCAAGGTAATTGCATTTTTCCTGTCTCGAGTTCTCTCTTCAACCCCCTTTTTGACATGTCAATTTCGCAATTAGTTTCAACCCAGCTTCCCATTCTTTTTTCCCCTATTTTTTTACTCATCTTTATTTATTGTTCCACTGATTTTTTATATTTTTAACTCCTTTAGTTTTTTACTTCTTTTTCTCTCTCGTATTTTCTGGTGGATATAAAAATTCTAGACCACTGGAAATATTTTTTTTTTGTTCTCTTGGAATTGAAAAGAGTAATTTCTCTATACTGGAAAATAAATACATAACATCGATCGTGTTAATTAGAACAGAATTAAATTAGATAATTTACATGTATATAAGGTAGTTGACAATAAGTATTGTTGAAAATTGCAGTTTATTATTGCATCTAGCAAATGATACGCGCACCAGCGAGCGGAACGCGGTATTCCACTTATTATTATTTTGCAAATTGAAAAACTTTATATTTTCAAGAATAAACATGAATTTTTGAATGATTACAGATTGAAAATTTAAAGAATTCATTTGTTAAGTACATAACATTAAATATTCTTGTTAATTATTATTATTCAAAAAATTTACTAAAATTTGTCGTAAAAATTTCATTATTTTCATAAATAATAAAATTATCTAGAGCAATTCAATTACATATTTTCATTACAATTTTAATAAAATTTCTCGAAAGAATACAATTATTTTTAAAAATTTTCATTAAAATCGATTATTTTAAAGGATTTTAAAATAAAGTTAAATAATTTTTAATAATTTTGATGAAATTCTTTTTAAAAAATCATTATTTTCAAAACTTTTAATAAAATTCCTTCAAAAAATTTAATTAAATTTTCAAAAATTCATATAAAATTCTTCGAAACAATTCAATTATTTTTCTAAATTGTAAAATTCTTGTCAAGAATTTAATTATTTTTGTAAATAATTTTTAAAAAAATTCAATTATTTTCAATACAATTTTCATAAAATTTCTCTAACATTTTTAATTATTTTTAAAAATTCTAATAAAATTTTTCTAATCAATTCAATTGTTCTCGAAAGTTTTTAATAAATTTCTTTGTAAATTGGAATTATTTTCAAAATTTCCAATTAAAACTATTTTAAAAAATGACATTTTTACGAAATTTAATGAAATTAGTAAAAAAAAAATGTAATTATCTACAGAAATGACAAAAAAGTTGTTTAAAAGAATTCAATTATTTGTAAAAATATTGATAAAATTCTGGAATTGAATTCGATTAAATTCAATTTTTTTTTTAATACTTTACAAGAATTCAATGATTTTTAGTACATCGAAAATTTAATTATTTCTAAAAGTAGTTGAATTCTTGAATAGAATTTTATTGAAATAATTGAATCCCTGCGAAAAAATGAATTATTTCTGCAAATAATTGAATTTTTGCAAAAATTTTAAAAAATAAGTGGATTTTTGAAAACAATTTTATAAAAATTGTATTTAAATTACATAATTGAATACTTGAGAAAAATGTACTATTTATTATAATAATTGAATTCTTACGAAGAATTTAAAAATAATGTAATTTTCCCTGGAATTTAATAAAATTGTATTTAAAATTATTGAATTCCACCGAAACTTTTATTATTTATGAAAATAATTGAATTCTAAAATAGAATTTTATTAAAAATTTTTTTTAAATACTTGAACTCTTGTGAAAAATTTAATTATTTTTTTAAATAATTGAATTTTCTTGGAGAAATTTTACAAGATTTTTAAAAATAATTTAAATTTTCGAAGAAATTTTATTAAAATTCTTTGAAAATAAATGAAATCCTGATAAGAATTTTATTATTTATATCAAAATAATTGAAATTTTTACGAAGATTTTTATTATTTATAAATTGACTTTTTGCAAAGAATTTTATAACAATTATTGAAAATAATTGAATTTTTGATAAAATTCAATTACTTTTAAAATTTTCAGTAAAAATTATTTTAAAAAAACTTCATTATTTTCAAGATTATTGAATAAAATTCTTAAAAGCAATTCAATTTAAAGAATTTTAATAAAAATCTTGCCAAGAATTAAATTATTTTCAATACAATTTTTAAAATTACATTTTCTCGAAAGAATTCAATTATTGAAAAAAGTGTTGATAAAATTCTTGAAATTAATTCAATTATTTAAAAAAAATTTTATAAATATTTTACAAGAATATTTTAAATTATAATTAAAAATTTATTTTAAATTAATTTTTACATTAATTTAAAAATTGTAAACATTTAAAAAGAAAAACTATTATTTTAAAAAGTTAGGAAACAGAAAAGCAAACAGCAACTAACTTGAAACTGTGAACAGATAACCGGAATAGAACGATTATTAATATAGATTGATATAGATTTTATTTGTGATTATTGAGAAAAAAGAGGACAAAATTCAACGATAATTTTCAATATTTCCTTTAACGTTGGAATGCTATCAACAGCCTGCGGTTTCAAATTAAGGTTTTAGATTAACTGAGTATTTTAATGAATTTAAGTCGACTGGAATAATTTTGCCTTGCGTCATTAAATGGGAAAAGTAATCTAATTGTTTTTGTTCCAATAGAATACATTTACAGTCGAGAATTATCGAAATTGTCATTAGGTGTCAATCTGTTTTTCATTAAAGTTTGACCTAAATTTAATAAATTTCGTGTGCTTTTCAGGGATGCTGTATCAACATTTAATGTTTTCTCCAGCACTCCTCGTACACGACGTTTTAGTACAAGTGTAAGTGTAATTTTATTTCATTTCAATTTATTTATTTTTAATTTAATTTTATTTCATTTAATTTTATTTCATTTAATTTTATTTCATTTAATTTTATTTATTTTTAATTTAATTTAATTTTATTTACTTTTAATTTTATTTATTTTGCATTTGAATTTAATTTTTAAAGGAGTAAAATTGGCATTTTCAGAGTCCCGGCAGTATTCCTAGGTTAACTCCTCGTGTTAGTCAGTTGAGACAGGAAGAATGTGTGGATGTTGCTGGCCGAGAGGCGGCGCACGAGAAAGAAATTCACAGTGCAATGCAAATATCGCAATCCTGGGAAGATCTGACCTTAGAGGCAGAAGGTCTGACTTTTAAGGAATCCGAATCTCCAACGCAACAATTAAATAAAGCGGATAAACAATTGACAACAAAAAGGGTATTCGATCCGCTAAATTTGAATTTAACGAGTGGCGGGCCACCATTGTGCTCATCGCCATCGCCAACGAGGTCGGGCCTCGGTCAACGTCAGTGTTATTCACCAGGCATTCACATGGTTAACTGGAAAAACAGCTTATCACCTAGTCCAACAAGAAAGGCTTTTGCCACGAGGTAATTTTCTTTTTCCATTCATTTCCATTTTTTCTCACGCTTTTCTTTTCTTTTTTTTCACTTTTTTCCATAATTTTTTGAAATATTGAAATATTTTTCTGAAATACAATGTAATATTGAAATCGTTTATTTTGAAATTTAATGAAATATTGATCTTCTTTTGATAAAAACGAATTTTTGGGTATTATCAGGCATCATAATTGATCCCCTTTTCCCCTTTTGTCCCCTTATTTCAATTTTATCACCTTATTCACTTTTTTGACGATTTGTTACCTTTTTCCCCCTTTTTTGCTGATTTGTCCCCTTTTTCACTTTTTTCTAATCAAAGATAAACAAGTTTTTCTTTTTTTGAAATCTTTTTCAATAAGTGTAATCATAAAATTTATATTTAGACTCAATAATAATATTCTCATAAATTGTTGAATTGCAAAAAGATTTGAATTTGAATATTTTGAAAATCTTAATTCCTATGGAAAAATAATAATGATTTTAAATATTTTTTTAAAGAAGAAGTTATTTTTTAATTATTTAAACTCGAAATTGTATTTTAAAAAGTAGAGACAATTTTTAATTAGTTTACACAAAAGTATAAAAATTATTATAGTTATAAATATTTTTTCTTTTTAGACGCAGTTTGAGTCCAATAGCAATTCGTCCAAGTTGCCTTGGTCCAGTCAAGAGAAAATTTGAACTGGATGACAATATTTCAGACCAACATTTACAACCTCCGGCCAAACGAACCTCTTCTTTAGTCATGTCTAATTCATCCAGGTAAGAAATAATTGAATTCACATTAGAGAATAATTTTTCTTTTTGAATGTTTTCAATTTTAAAAGTAATTTATTAAAAATCATTGAATTCTTGCCCAAGAATTTTATCAAAAAATGTGAAAATAATTTAATTTTTCTCAGAATTTTTATTATAATTTTTTAAAATAATTTAATATTCATTCAAGAAATTGTATTAAAATAATTAAAATAATTTAATTCTTTCAACAAATTTCTTCAACTTTTTGAATAATAATCGATTTTTCTAATAGTTATAATTAATAATTTTATACTTTTCAATATTATTAAAATTATTCGTAGAAAAATAAATTCTTTTAAACAAATTTTATTGTACTTTCTGTCAACAATTAAATTCTTTTGAAAGAATTTCTTTAAGTTGTTTTTAAAATAATTTTAATTGAAAATTTTGAAAACAATGAAATTAAACAACGAATTGTTTCCAACTTTTTAAAATAATTGCGTTCGTTAATAATTATAATTCAGAATTTTATTATTGAATTTTATTAATTCATATGAAGTGTATTTTATTTAAAATTTAAAATTGTATAAAAAAGATTTGAAATACTTGAAATCCTGCAAAGAGTTTCATTATTTATGAAAATAATTGAATTATTGCAACTAATTTTATTAAAATTGTATTAAAATTAATTTAATTCTTGACAAAAATTTTAATATTCATAAAAATAATTAAATTATTTCAAAGAATTTATTATAATTTTAAAAAATTATTTAATTCTTTCGAAAATTTTATTAATATTTTAAAAAATAATTGAATTGATTCCAAGAATTTATTTAAAGTTTAGAAAATATTTGAATTCTTTCGAAAATTTTATTAAAAATTAAAAAAAAATTGAATCCTTTCGTGAAGTTTTATTAAAATTGTATTGAAAATAATTGAATTCCTATAAATTTTACTATTTTTAAAAATAATTGAATTCTTGCAACTAATTTTATTAAAATTGTATTAAAATTAATTTAATAATAATTTCGAAAGAATGATAACATTCTTTAGAAAATAATTAATATTTTGCGAAAAATTTAATCAAAATTTTTGAATATAGTTGAATTCTTTAAAGAAATTGTATTTAAAATTTTGGAAAATTAGTTTTTAAATTCTACAAAAAGAAATTTAATTTTTCAAGAATTTTATTAAAAAATTGACATAATGAAATTTTTATAAACAAATTGTTTCATTTTCTAATTTTTATGGAATATAATTTAATATTTTACAAGAAATTTCTAAAAAATTTGGAAAAGAATTGAATTTTTAAAATAATTTTTACAGAAAATTGTAGAAATTATTGAATTTTTGAGATGAACTCAATTTTAGAATTTAATTATTTTTTAAATAAATGAATTTTGGAATTATAATTGAGATTTCTTAAGTTTTAAAAAAGATAATTGAATATTTTTCAAGAAATTTATTAAAGGTTTTGAAAATTAAGTAATTTTTTAAGTAACTTTAAATAAAACAATATTTAAAAAAAACAGATTGATTTATTCAAATTTTAGAAAATAATTGAATTCTTTCATGAAATTTTGTTAAAATTGTATTGAAAATAATTGAATTCCTATAAAAAATTTTACTATTTATAAAAATAATTGAATTCTCCCGAAAAATGTGATTAAAATTTTTGAAAATAATTAATTTATTTCCAGAAAATTTATTGAAATTGTATTAAAAATAATTGAATTCCAGTGAAAAATTTTATTATTTGTGAAAATAATTGATTTTTTTTATGAGTATTGTTATTTATGAAAATAATTGAATTTCGCAAAGAATTTTAATAAAATTTCTGAAAATATTTTTGTTACTTATCAAGATAAAAAGAATTGAATTCTTTCGAAGAATTGCGTCAAAAATTTCTTATTTTCAAATAACAAAAATATTGAAATTTTTTGTCAAAATTTGTTAAATTTAAAAATACGAAAATCAATTAATTAATAATTTTATCAATTATTACAGATTAGAAACAATGGCAAGTCCACTTCCAGGGACCATAAGTTCGGTGGGAACGCCAGAATCATTATCAAGCGCGGATTCGCCGAGTTTTTCATTTCAAACTGTAGATAGTCCATCGCCAGGTCGCGTTCTAACAAATGGCGATGATCCCATGTCTGATACCAATGATCAGACAAAGATATCAGAAAACGCTCAGGTTAATCAAAGTGGTCAGTGCAATTTTAGGTGAATATAAAATGAATATATTGAGCAAAATCCCAAGAAAAAAAAAGTAATAATTAAGAAACTTAGTTATGTTCTTAGAGTGATATGACGGGGAAGACAAAAAAAAAAATATATTCCCTCAAGAACATTTTTTCTCTGTGTTTGAAAATATTTGAAAATCATTGTGCTAATCTAATGACGAATTTCCAATCGCCATTAATTACATACTATACTTGCCAATCAGTGCCACGTATGAAATGGCGAATTAATCTATATTAAGAATGATTTTTCTTTCTGGTCTTTGTACTTTGCTTGTAAAAAATCTCTTTTTTTTAGTAGAGCTTAGATTAGTATAGATTTTCACGAAAAAAACAAACAAACAAACAAAAAGGAAAGAAATCAGTCATAATGAAAAAATTAATGTCATTGTCATAGAAGTTTTTAAATTTTTCCTGAAATTTTATTTCGAGAAATCTGGAAAAGAGAGAAAAAAAAACAGGGAAAGCAGTTTGAAAACTAGAAAAAAAAAACGAAAATTATGGAATGTTTTCAAACAGGACTGATATTATTTAAGTGAATACGTATTTTTTGAAAAAAGAAAAGAAGAGCCTGAATTTTTTTTTTCCAAACAAAACAAGAAAAAAAATTGATTCAATCATAATTGTTTAATAACTTCGATAAGAAATGTGATATCTGAACTAAATCAACATTTTTTGTTTTGTTTCATTTTTTTTAAGATCTTGGGATATTTGTTTCTTTTTTTGCACAACCAATAGAATCTTTCAATTTTTTCCTTAATTCCCAAAAAAAAAAAATTTGGCGTGAAATTTCTAAAAGACTTTTTGTTTGGCTTGTGTCATTTTAGATATTTCTTGGTGTTTTTGAAATTTGAAAGAAAATGAGGGAAAGATCAAAATTGAATGTGTGACCCGTTTTTACGGGCAAATACCAAAGTACAAGTAGTTTAATGCCATATAATATTTCTAAACTTTTTTGTTTTCAATGCCATTGATAACGCTGTATTTATAAATTTTTGTAAATAAGAACGTCTTACCTTTTTTTCCTTAAGGTAATTTCTTGTTGGCATGTGATTTTAATTGATATTTCTTTGTGATTATTGATAAAAAAAGAGGAATTCTCACAAATTGTATGATTGGAAGTTTTTTTTTTGTTTTTTTTTTGCCTTCAGGTCAACGAGATTTGCCTGGAAATTTTTTTTTTGTGTAAGATTTAAGTTTTTATCATTCGAAAGTCCCAGCAGAGCATAAACAGAAATTTATTTTTAATTGCATTCATTATTTTTAATTGAAAATATTTTTTATGTAAATTTTTGTAATTAGAAACATTTTTTTTTTTGTATGATATTTATTCCATTTGCAAGTTAGGAATTAATTTATTTTCCAACAGTTTTTAAAGAAAAAAAAGAACTTTTCGAAAAAAGAATGTTTTTGAAAATTTTCGAATGTTCAATTTTTAATAGGGACTAAAAATGATTGACTTAATTCTCCTGCTTGATAATCGCAATTTGTAAATTTGTCTGTAAAAATCAATCGCACGGCTCTTGGTTGATTTTTAGATAATAATGTATAATACACTCTTCATAGAATTACAGTCAACATTTTAGAAATTCCTTTAGTGAATAAAATCGTACGTCTAGTTTTCAAGTGATTTCTTATATTTCACTTATATTGAAAATTTAATAGACGATTTTTTTTTAATTGCTAATTTGTAACAAGCTGTTTATTTATGAATATCGATTCTATAGATGAAAAAATCGATAATACAAAATAAACATTCTTGTGAGAGTATTGAGAGTGAAAGGAAATAATGACAAATTGAGAATGTGGGAGAGAATGAGAGTGAATGATAGAGAAAGAAAGAAAGTAAACGATGGCAAAAATATTTAATAAATTTAGCTCGATACAAAGTTTGGTATTTTTTAGAGAGTAGAAAATAATTATATTCCCCGGAGATGATAGTGTTTGTGTAATTATTTATCAATATAAATCCATCGATGAAAGTAAATATTATCAAGAGAGAGCATGTAAGAAAAATATTTCTAGAAATTTTGCACACTTTACCTAAAAATGATTTTTTAAAATTTAAATTCAATTTCTAATTGTAAATAATTCGTTTCTTAGTCTCTAGAAAAAAATTTTGTAAATGAAACGAATGTAAATTTTTTTATAGAATTAAAAGTCAATAAATAAATTTACAATTTATTTTAATTTCCAGAGACTGATAAATGAATATTTCTTATCTTTTTAAGAAATTTTTTTAAACATTTGTGCATCTTTTTATTAATTTTTACCTGCTTTCTATTTAATTCTTTTTTATCTAGTTCCTTATTTAAAATAAGCTTTGATGGTTTTTTTTTAAAACCTAATAAGTGTTTAATTTATTCGAAAAAAAATTATAAATAAGAAAAATCTACAATTATTGCAGACTATAATTTTTTCCAAAAAATATATTTTAATATTTTTAAATTTAATTTCCATTGATTTAAATTAAATCTGAGAATTATTTTTTAAAAAAATATTTTACAAAAAAACTTAATTGAAATTCTTTAAATCTTATTAATAATTATGTGATAATTGCCAAAAGTTCTTCAAAATTTTTGTATTAGTGATTTTTAAAATAGTAAAAAGTTTTGAATAATATTTTTCTAATGTCGAATTTAAAAAGAAGAGAAATGTTTTAGAGACTGGGCTGAACCATAAGTGAAACAATTAATTTTAATTCATTAATAATAATAAAAATAATAATAATAATAACAATTTGTGTCTTTTAATAATGAAAAGCGCTTATTAAACTTTTCAATAATAAATAGAAATTGAGCAAAATTTGTTAAAAAAAAAAGAAAGAAAAGAAGAAAAAAGAATGCCTCCTAGCGCCTCAATTTCTGGACTTACCAGAAATTTTAAACATAATGAGAAAATGCTTCCTATTCCTAAGACTGAAAAAAACCGATGTTTTGATACTAAACATCTCTAAATTAAAAAATTACCTCTTCCGAAAAAAAATGAGCTAAGTTCCCTTGGTGTTTTAGATAATAGACGCAATTTCACTTATTGACTCTGCGTTAAATATTTTCCACTATTTATTATATTTTATTTGAAAGAACTAATTTTCAAAAAATTAATTTGAAAACTATCTTTAGAAATTTTAGAAATTTTTGAAAAATAGTTTCCAAAAATGTTTTCTTTATTCATGAAAATATAATAATAGTGAAAAATAGAAAAAAAAACAAATCCTTGAGAGAAAAAAAGGAAATATGTAAAATATCAATTTAATATTCTCTATATGTTAGAAAAAAGCATCTACTTCGTATTTCATAGTCTAGTACAAAGTCCTGAAAAATTTTCGATTTTTAATAATTGAAAAAAAACTACATTTATTAGCTAGGGAGTGTCGTGATTCAGAAAATTAGTAACTCTCCTGACTTCACATAGGGAGTCAAATTTAAATTACTGTATTATTCAAAGAAAAAAAAAAGAAGAAAAAAAATGAATGTAAAATTATTCTTTGAATTTTTGTTTTATCTATATAACCAAGTAGTAAGTGTTTTTGAATCGTATATTAAGTCTAAAAACTAAATAAATATAAAAATTGTAATCGAAAAGAAAATAATAAATGATTCGCGAAGAATTATACGAAAACGAAATTAATAAAAAAAAAAAAAGAAAAAAAAAGTAGTTGTATACGTGTAATATTTAAATATACGAGTGACATCTACTGCTTAGGTTTGCTAGAAAATAAATACCGTTACCATTTTTCATATAAATGCGTAAACCCGAGACTTTGTACTTTGAATTGACGAATTAGATATTGCAATTTGTATCTTAATTTTAAAAACCAAAGATATATATTAATCCTTTCACTAACAAAAAAAAAGTCACGAAACAAAAGTTTTTCAAAATCGTATTGAAAATTTTCTGCGTTACTTGTGAGTGAAACGAGTTTCAATTTAATTGTTAAACTTTGAGCCACATTGTCTGAATATTTTTTTTTCTTTTGCAATAAAAAGAGATTTGTGACTAATATTTGTTGTTTTTACAATAAGCAATTACCTTCTTTTCAAAAAATTGAAATTTAAAAAAAAACTGTTTTTAAATAAAATTATTTCCCTGCGGAAATATTATTTACTCATACTTTTTTTGTGCCAAAAAAAGTATTTCAGGATTGGCACAAGTCAGGGAATTCAGGGAAATTAGAATTTGTCAGGTAAATCAGGAAAAAGTCAGAAATTTTGAAAAGTAATGAAAAAAATTAAATTTTTAGAATTTATAAGAAAATTCTGAATTTTTGTGTCTTTTTTGTTTGCCTCAAACTATGCAATTGACAAGAATCAATTATTTTCCAAAAATTTTCCTCATTTCAATTATTTTTAATATCTACTATTTTAATAGAATTTTCGAACAGAATTCTATTATTTAAACAAAAAATAAAAATTTTACAGGAATTCAATTACTTAACTATTTTTTTTTAATTTCTTCCCACCAATTCAATTATTTTTCATTTTTTACTGAAGTTTCTCCAAAGAATTCAAATATATTAAAAAAAATTGAAAAAATGGTTCTCAGAAATTCAATTATTTCGAAAAAATTAAAAAAAAATCTTTAAAAAAATCTAATTTAAAAAAAATTTGACAAAATTCTTTACAAGATTTAGTTAATAAAATTTCAATTTTAATAAAATCTTCCTGTACAATTTAATTATTTTCAATACAATTCTTCTGAAGAATTCAATTATTTTCACAAATAATGCATTTTTTTAATAGGAATTTAATTATTTAAAAAAATTTGAATAAAACTCTTCGCTGAAAATCAATTATTTTCATAAATAATAAAATTTTTCTTGAGAATTCAATTAATTCAAAAAAATTTAAATAAAATGCTTTATAAATTTGGAAAATTGTAATAAAATGGGTCGTAAAATAAAATTATTTTCGTAAAATAAAAAATTCCTCCTAGGAATACAATTATTGTCAAAAATGTTTGTAAAAATCTTCGAAACATTTCATTTATTTTCTTAGAAAATAAAATTCTTCCAAGCAATTCAATTATTTATGAAATTTTAATAAAATTCTTCCCAAGAATTCAATTCATTTCAAAAATAAACATTTTCACAGGAATTCAATTATTAAAAAAAAATTTTTTTATTAATTCATTGTCAGATTTCAATTATTTTCAATTTTTTAATGAAATTTCTTAAATTAAATAGAATTTAATTATTTTTCAAAAGTTTTAAAAAATTTTGAAAAATTCAATTAATTAAAAAAAATTGAATGAAATTCTTCACGAGTAATTAATTATTTTCATAAATAATCATATTTTTCTCCGGAATTCAATTATTTTCACTAATAAAATTCGTTGCAAGAATTCAATTATTTTTATAAAAAAACAAAACTTATCGCAAAATTTCAATTATTTATATTACAATTTCAATAAAGTTTTTAGAAGTAAATTAATTATTTTCAAAAATTTTAAACACATTTTTCGGAAGAATTCAATTATTTTTATAAATATAGTAAAATTCTTCGCAAGAATTCAATTATTTAATAAATAATTTATTTAATAAAATTTTTCAAAAGAATTCAATTATTTTCTAAACTTCAAATAAATTCTTGGAAACAATTCAATTATTTTTCAAAATTTTGATAAAATTCTTCATAAAAATTCAATTTTTAGAAATATTCAATTATTGAATAAATTATTTATTTTTTTATTTAAATAATTGAATTCTCGAAAAATTTTCTAATAATAATTGATTAAAAAATGAATATCACTTAAAATTTTAAATTATAATTGAAAATTAAAAGAATTCTAGTGTGAATTTTTAGAAATAATTTAATTTTGAAAAGGGTTCAAATTAAAATCTTTGAAAATTTGAATTTATTGTTACAATATTCTTATGATATAAAATAATGATTTTATCACTCTGTCATCTTAAATTTATTATAAAACATGAGGAAATCGATGACTCCGAGTCGAAGTCAGGGAAAAACAAAATTAATTTTTTGTGGCAATCCTATATTTACAATTTCATTTTTTTAATTACACTTTCCTCATAATCTTCTTCCATATCCTCTTCCATATCTTCTTCGTCTTCTTCTTCTTCTTCTTCATCCTCATCTTCACTACAATTTTCGTTTTGTACCACTTTTATTGTAAAAATAGATTTTCCATAAATTCTTGCTTCTGAAAATTAATAATCTCTAAGATTTCCAATAAATAGAAAGTAAATTAAGAAATTGAAAAGAATGAAAAATACATACGAGATTTTAAAATTGCCTGCTGACTCTGGGACAAAATTGAAGCCTTTGCTTTTACTTCGTTTAATCCTAAAACTGCCGCTCTAATTATTTATTAAGGATTTTATTTTTTAAAAATAATGTAAAAATTATTGAGGATTTTAGTTTTTGAAAATAAATTAATAGAAAAATATAATATTAAAGGATACAATGCTATTATATCGTAAGGATTTCGAATTAAATTCACATCATCAGTTCCACTGGATATTATTACTTTCTGTGGAAAAAAAACGAAAAAAAGATTTTTTAATTCTAAGACTTTAAAATAATGAAAAAAGTAAGTTTTTAAGCAAACCTTGCTTTTGCCAAACGTATACAGTAAATAACAGTAATTCATGGCAAATTTACGAGTCTTCGATTGAATTATTTCGGAATATTTAATTTCAAAATGTAATCCCCTCTCAATTGCTTGCATATATAATTTTCTGGTAAATTTCCATCCTATATTTGTTGGATTCACGGTTATTATATCGGTATTAAGTTGCGAACATGCGTGCTATAAAAAAAGATGAATTTCATTTTTATTTATTAAAAATTTACTCATAAAAAGAAATATTTATAAGAAAAATTATAATTTACTTGAAAGGCATTTTTATTCTTTGGTAGTACGGCAAATATATTGTATTTTTTTAGAATTGCTGATTGATTCTGAAAGAAGAGAATTTTATAAATAAGTTTTTCTTTTATCTAAAAGTTTTCTATTTTAAAAAAGTTGTTTATTTTAAAACAATAAAAAATAGAAACAATAAATTGAAACGAACCAAAGAATGCGTTCTGACAGGATCAGAATAAGAAAATGTTATTCTCGATAATATATTCAATTTTCCCCTAAATTCTTCAATAAGATCTTCAATTTCCAAAGGTTCTGGTAGAGGACAAACAGTCGGTTCGTTTGAAAAACCTTTCTTCTTTTTTTTCTTTTCCGTTTCAAAAATACTTTCGTCTACATTTCTGTTTATTGCAACTGTTTCATAGCCCACTGTCGAAAGACAATTAAATTTATTGTTTTTATATAAAATTAATCTTCTAAATTAGTCAACAATTTGTTAATTAATATAAAAAATAAATATAAATAATATAATAATAATAATATTTCAATAAATTTTGGGAATATAAAAATATAACGTACTGGAATAAACTTTTAATAACAGCTCACGTAAACGTTTTTTATCGTCATTAGCATAATTGATGCACAGATCACAAAATCCATAATTAATAGACATAATTGAAAAGATTGAAAATAAAAAGATATATTTCAAATTTAATGAGAAAATTCACGCACAATTTTCTCCGTTAGATAAACATAACCTCTAAATCAACACAAAGTCGCAGAATATTAAAGATCTGAATGATTTTAACATAGTTTTCAATTTCTATCTATAAAAATTATTACGCATACTTTCTAGCCTAATATTCCTTTAATAATTTTCTTTACTAACATTTAAAGGATTTTAAGTATTTAATTAAAAAACAATGAGATTTGAAACTTAAAATTCAATGTAAACGATGTAAACAAACAAATGCAATTAGACAGGGTTGGGAGACTTCCATTTACTTTTAAATCTGATTGGACAAAGAATCGATAACAATCACCAGGTATCGCATTTTCATTGGATGGTGAAATATTATAGGCCAATCAGAAAGTGTCAAAACAAAGTACTTCAAAGTGCTCTGCAAAGTAGTGATGGGATATCGATATTAAATATCGGAACATATCGATATCTATGTCACGATAATCGATATTTTAATATCGATATTAACGTTTTGATATATTGTTACCGTTATCGATAAAATTTTTAATATCGATAATTCTAGCGCGCAACCGCGTAACGACCACACGATGTGTCACACGTTTTGAGTTTTTTTTTAATTAAGAAATTAAGTAACTATTAAGAAGTACTAAATATAAGTACCTAATTATAAAACTCTTATATTATAAAATATTTATAACGTAAACAAAACTTTTAAACCATTTTTTACATTGATTTTTAGGCCAACGCAGAATAAAATCTTTAATAATCGTAAGCGTAACGGTTAGAATAAGTTAAAGAAGGAAAGGTATATTGTTTATCCTTCTCTAACCCATTCTATGCTTTCGGTTACGATTACGGTTCCGGTTAAAGATCTATTCTGCGTTGGCCTTTATGTGGTAAAAATAATGTAAATTTTGAGGTTATGATTGTTATCCCTGTTCTTTGAATATATGCAAGTTCGAAAGTTTTATTGAAAGCTGTCATTTTTAAAGCATTAAAGGTCATCATTTTGTTTACATAAAAATATAAAGTTTGTTTTTATTTATTTCGGTTATTACAAATAAACAGTCTTTATATACTTAAATTAAATTTTCTATGTTCATTAATTAATAATTAAACGTTTTCTTTATATATTATATCTATAAAATATACATTAATATAAAAACCTTATTTTCCTATTCTAAAATTTTTTTATTTTTTTCTTTAAAAAGAAAGTGACTTAATTTATTTACGTTCTTTATATTTATTGAAAAATAATATTAAATAAATAATTATTAATAATATCAAATACACATTCAAAAATTTCTTAGAGTTCTGCGCATGCGCGATATCGTTTTTACGATATATCGATATTTATTTTCGATAACGATATATTTTTAAATATCGATATTACAGATGCAATATCGATAAGCGTAATATCGATATCAAATTTTTTCGATATCCCATCACTACTGCAAAGCCAATGTGTGAACGCGCCTTTATGCACTATAGACTTTAGAAGTTTTGTCCAATTGTAATCAGCTATATTCACTCGAGTAGACTACAGAAGTCGTCAAATAAACAGTAAACGTGTTTATTATTGTTTATTTATCATTTTATTCGACTAGCTTTTAAGTTACCATTATGGTGAAAAAACCAAAAGGTAATTTTAATTGTAATTTATCTATACTTGTAATTTTTTATTAATATCAACTGAAATAATCCGCAACTTTCTACATTCAATTGAATACATAACCTCTTTTTCGAATGTTTTTTATTTCAATCATTTTAAAGATTATAAAAATAGGAATTATATAGAACAAGAGTTTTTTTATATATAAATATTACAATATTTTTTAATATTTAATAAATTTATCTGGAATTAAGAAAATCTTTTGCATATTTCATAAAGTCAACATAACCTCATAACTATTTTGACATATTATTTTTTATTAATTTTTATTATTAATTTAAAATATTAATTCTATACCTATGTTTAAAAGGATTGCAGGCTTCACGGTCTGTCCCCTATTTCCCTAAAAGTCCCCTTTTTTTAATTTTGGCCCCTATAAACGTACCCTATTTTTTTCGTCGCAGGAAATCAATTATTTTCAATAATTTTTAAGTAATTCTGCAAAAAAATTCAATTATCTTGATAACCAAAAAATTCTCCCCATAAAATCAATTATTTTAAGGATTTTTAATGAAATTCTTTTCCAAAATTCAATTATTTTGATAAATATCAAAATTCTTCTCAAGAATTCAATTATTGTCAAAAATTTTAATTAAATTCTTGTCAAAATTTCAATTATTTAAACAAAATTTAATAATATACTTTGTACGAATTCAATTATTTTTATAAATAGCAAATTTTTTCGCCAAAAATTCAATTATTTTCAAAAATTTAAATAAAATTCTTTGCAACATTTCAATTATTTTTAAAAGTTTTTCGCAATTCAATGTTTTTAAATATTTACTATTTTCATAAAATTTATCAATAGATTTAATTATAAAAAAAACTTGTTGATACAAATTTTAAAAGTTTCAATTATTTTCACAAATAATAAAATTTCATTTACGAATTCAATTATTTTCATCGCAGAATTTCAAATATTTTTAATACAATTTTAAATAAATTCCTTAAAAAATGCAATTATTATTAAAAATTTTATTCAAACTTGAGGAAAGAATTAAATGTTAAGAAACATTCAATTAAACTATATAGTTCGTTGCAATAATTCAAATATTTTCATAAATAACATTTAATTCGTCGCAGAAAATCAATTATTTTCAAAAATTTTTAAGTACTTTTGCGAAAGAATTCAATTAGCTTGATAAACAACAAAATCGCATAAATTCTTCCCATAAAATCAATTATTCTAAGGAATTTTATTAAAATTCTTTTCCAAAATTCAATTATTTTGATAAATATCAATATTCATCACAAGAATTTAATTCTTTTGAAAAGTAATAAAATACTTTGCAGAAATTAAATTATTTTCAACATTTTTTTAAAATTCTCGTCAAGAAGTAAATTATATTTATAAATAGATAGGGAAATTCTTTAAATTATTGTCAAAAATTTTTTTAAAATTTTTCTCAAGAAGTCAATTATTTTCAAAAATTTTTTAAAAATTCTTCTCATGAATTCAATTGTTTTCAACAATTATTATTTAAATTCTTCTCAGGAATTCAATTAGTTTTAAAAAATTTAATAAAATTCTTTAAAAAGTTTTCAATTATTTTCAAAAATTGTTATAAAATTCTTTAATAGAATAAATTCCATTAAAATTTTAATTAAATTCCTTAAAAGAAATTAAACATTTTCAAAAGTTGTTAATACAATTCTTCGTAAAAATTAAATTTTAAGAAACATTCAATATTATTTATTTTTGTTTTTAAATAATTGATTTCTCGTAGAATTAAATTACAATTGTTTTTCGTACTTTTAACTAACAATTCTGTAGAATTAATTTTTTTGAAAAAGTTTAATTGAATAATAATTTATGTTATTGATTTAAAGTAGAATTTTAGTTAAAAATTCTAGAAAATGTTAATTGAATTGAAATGATAGGAATAATTTTGAAGAAATTACAGTAACAATATTCTTATAATAATAAACTAATGATTTTGTCAGTCGGTCATCTTTAATTATTTCTTTATGTTTTATAATAATATTCTTATGAGTTGTTCAATTTGAAAAGGTTTGAATTAAAAATTTTTTAACATCTTAATTCCAATGCAAAAAAATGATTAAATATTTATTTAAAATAAAACTATTGATGTTTTCGAAGAAAACTTTTGAAGAAATTTGTAAATAAATTTAATAAAACATTTTTTTGAGTATCTAATAATTTTGAGAGTGAATCAGAATATTCTTTAGGGTCAGGGAAAAAGTGAAAGTTGTGTTTGGAAATCAGGGAAAAGTGAGGGAAAAATAAAGTTAAATTTTTGTGGCAACCCTGTATAAATAAATTATATTTTTATCTTTATTTAACCAATTTTTATGGTCCCCTAAAAGTCCCCTATTTTTTAATTTTCAGTCCCCTATTTCCCCCAAAATACTTTTTAGGGGCAATGTGAAGCCTTGGATTGTGTTAATTCATTATTATTGTTTAGACTTTGCCGAGAGCAAGGCAGAACGTCATATGATGACAATTGGAGAAATAATTCATGAATTATTACTTGCACACGAGCAACAACGAGATGTGGATTTAAATAAATTAAAAGCTCGAATATCATCGAAATATGGATTAGACTCATCGCCAAGACTTGTTGAAATTATAGCTGCTGTTCCTGCGGATTATAAAAAGATTCTTTTGCCAAAATTAAAAGCAAAACCAGTGCGAACTGCCAGTGGTGTGAGTTTATAAAATTAAATTTCTATTTTGTTATTTTGATTTTATATTTTTGTTTAAATCGTTTAAATGTTTAATTTTGTTTTTAGATAGCAGTTGTCGCTGTAATGTGTAAACCACACAGATGTCCTCACATAAACATGACGGGAAATATTTGCGTTTATTGTCCTGGTGGTCCGGATTCTGACTTTGAATATTCGACACAATCCTATACTGGATATGAGCCAACGTCAATGCGAGCAATTCGAGCTCGATATAATCCTTTCTTACAAACTAGACATCGAGTTGAACAGGTGGGGGATTTTTTATTTGCCTCATGAACTATGAAATTACCACGAATTCTAATATAAAATCTTCAATTTTTTCTATTTCTGACAATAATTTATTTTTAAATAACTTAATTCTTAAAGAACTATCATAAAATTATTACTTAGAAATTATTTAATGAATAATTTTACTTAAATAGGTATTTCGAATTTTAATAAAATTTTAATAAAATTCAATAATTAAATGTTTAATTTCAATTATTAACAAACACGATTTATTTAAAAAAAAAAATTCAAAGAAATTCTTCAAAAAGAATTTAGTTGGAATTTTCAAAAATTTGAACAAAATTCTTCACGAGAATTCAATTATTTTCCTAAATAATAAAATTCTTCGAAGGAATTCTATTATTATCAAATTTTTTGATAAAATTCTTTCGAACAATTTGATAATTTTCAATATATTTTAATTTTAAAATTGAAAATATTTAAAATGAAAAATTATTTAAAAAGTTAAGAAACAAATAATCAAACAATAACTAACTTCAAAGTGCGAACTGCTGTGAACAGATTGCCGGAACACAGCGATTATTAATATAGAAGATTGTTTAATTTTTTTTTGTTATTCAGTTAAAACAATTGGGACACAGTGTTGATAAAGTTGAGTTTATCGTAATGGGTGGAACTTTCATGTCCTTGCCAGAAGATTACAGGGATTACTTCATTAGAAATTTACACGATGCTCTCTCAGGACACGTGAGCAGTAATGTCGCCGAGGCTGTTAAATATTCAGAACGCAGTCGAACAAAATGCATTGGAATAACAATTGAAACACGACCCGATTATTGTCTCAAAAAACATTTGTCAGACATGTTGAATTATGGGTAATAATATTTTTCACGATTACTATACATAACAATTCAAAATGTCTAAAAATAACTAAAAATACTTCAAAATTTTTAAAAATGCTGTCAGGCATCACAGTTGGTCCCCTTTTCCCCCTTTTGTTCCCTTATTTCAATTTCATCACCTTTTTTTTGACGATTTGTCCCCTTTTTCACCTTTTTATAATCAAAGATAAACAAGTTTTACTTTTTTTTTGAAATCTTTTTCAAAGTGTAATTATAAAATTTAGACTCAATGTTATAGAATTCAGTGAGTTTTATTTTTGATTCAGATTATTAACACCACAACATAATATAAATAAGTCTTTTTATGTTAATGATTTAAATAATATAGATATCGTAAAGAATTTTATAAATTATAAGGTGGTTCATTCAACAGAATGCAGACCTTTAGAAAAATAATTAATTAACATTCAAATAATTAAAATATTATTATTAATAGTTTAATCTAGAAAAAACAAAAATTCTAATACAAAACCTTCAATTTTTTCCATTTCTGACAATAATTTCCTTTTTTAACTTAATTCTTGAAGAACTATCATAAAATTATAACTTAGAAATTATTTAATGAATAATTTTATTTATACATTTCAAAATTAATTGAATTTTAAAATAGTTGCGTTTACAATTTTCATAAATAGATGAACGTCAAAACATTTTAATTTCAAATTTTATAGAATTTCAATTTTTAATTAATTTTATTAGAATTTTTTATTATTATCTATTTTAAAGTAATTAAATTTTTGCAAAAATTTTCAAAAATTATATTATTCTGAAATTAGTTAAATTTTTAAATAGATATGTATATTTAATTAAATATTCAAAATAAAGAAATTAACGAGGCATTTTAGTTAAAAACACTAAAAAAAATTTGAATTTTCGAGAAGTTTCAAATGAATGTAAAAATTCAATTATTTTCAAAATTAATAAAATTTTTCTCAGAAATTCAATTATATTAAAAAATTTAAAGAAATTCTCTACAAAATTTCAATTCTCTTTATAAATAATAAAATTCTTCGAAATTCAATTATTTTCAAAAATAAATTTCAATTTTAATAAAATTCTTGGGAAAATTTCAATTATTTGCAAAAATTTTCCGAAATTCAATGATATTCAATATCTACTTCAATAAATTTTTCCAAAAGAATTCAATTATTTAAGAAAATTTTATTAAAATTCTACGCAAATGTTTAATTATTTTCATAAATAATAAAATAATTTATTAGAATAATTAAATAATTTTATAAATTTCTTCGCAATAGTTCCATTATTTTCATAAATAATCAAATTCATCGCAGAGGTTCAATTATTTTTACCACAATTTTAATCGAATACCTCGAAAAATGTAATTATTTTTAAAAATTTTATTTAAATTCGACGAAAGAATTAAATTATTAAAAAATTTGTTGATAACATTCATTATGAGAATTTAATATTAAGAAACATTCGATTATTCAATACTTTTTTTTGTATTTGAATAATTGAATTCTCGTAGAATTTTCTATTAGAAAATAATTTAGAAATGAATTTTAGTTAAAATTTTACATAATAATTGAATATTAAAAGCATTATAGCGTGAATTTTTAGAAGTAAATGAATTTTGAAAAAGTTTCTAATTGAAATCTTTGAAAATCTGAATTTTTCATATTTTTAACTAACAATTCTGTAGAATTAATTTTTTTCAAAAAGTTTAATTGAAATTATTCGAAGTTTTTATTTTCAAATATATATTAATTGAAGAATTTCCGAATAATTGATGAAATTTCGTAAAATTGAATTGTAAACAAATACATTTGAAAATTCTTTGAATTTTTAAAAAAATTATTGTAAATAATTGATTTAAAGAAGAATTTTAGTGAAAAATTCTAGAAAATAATAATTGAATTGAAATGATGAAAATAATTTTGAAGAAGTTACAGTAAAAACATTTCTCAATATAGAAAATAATTATATTATGACTCAGTCATCTTTAATTATTATAAAACATGAAGAAAGTGATAACTCCGAGTAAATTGTTGAATTTCAAAAAGATTTGAATTCGAATGTTTTGAAAATCTTAATTCCTATGGAAAAACAATAATGATTAAATATTTTTTCAAAAAAGAAGTTATTGTTGTTTTCGAATAATTTGACAGTTAAAGAAATTCATAAATAAATGTAATAGAACATTTTTTTGAGTATCTAATCATTTTTAGAGTGAATCGCAGAATATTCTTTAGGGAAAAAGTCAAATCTTTGTCTGGAAATCAGGGAAAAGTCAGGGAAAAACGAAATTAAATTTTTGTGGCAACTCTGATTAAAAACGAATTATTTTTAAAAATATCTATAGAAGCTAGGGATAAAAAATTTAAATTATATATATGTACAAGTTGTATAAACAAATAAATTTTTGTCCCCTTTTTGAGGAAAAAAATTCCCCTTTTCACCTTTTTTGAGGAAAAATGGTACTGTGATGCCTGAAATTTCTAAAAATGCTTCAAAACAATTCAAAATTTTTTAAAAGACCTAAAAAATACTTGGAAATACTGGAAAATAGTTTAAAATCTTGAAAAATACCTAAAAGTACTGAAAAATTGTTAAAAATAGTAAAAAAAAAATACTAATTTGTGTTTATTTTTAAAAAATAGTTGCACCCGCTTGGAAATTGGAGTGCAATCAGTTTATGAAGACGTAGCTCGTGATTCAAATCGTGGTCACACTGTGCGAGCTGTTTGTGAAAGTTTTCATTTGTCTAAAGACGCTGGATTTAAAGTGATTGCACACATGATGCCAGATTTACCGAATGTCGATATCGAAAGAGATATTGAACAATTTGTCGTAAGTTACAATTTAACACGGAATTAATTTCTTCCCTACAATATTTTTGTAATCCAAGACAAATTATTTATTTACAGGAATTTTTCGCAAATCCCGCTTTTCGAGCCGATGGTCTAAAGATTTATCCGACTTTAGTGATACGTGGTACGGGTTTGTATGAATTATGGAAAACGGGAAGATACAAAAGTTATCCTCCAGGTGTTCTCGTTGATTTAATCGCTCGAATTCTCGCATTAATTCCACCCTGGACTCGTGTTTATCGTGTTCAACGCGATATACCAATGCCTTTAGTCAGGTACAAACAGAAAATTATTTATTTATTTAAATTAAATTAATTTAGATTAAATCAAATCATTTGTTTATTTATTTGTTTTCTCTTAATAAATGTTTTTTTTCGAAAAATAATTTCAGCTCTGGCGTCGAGCATGGAAATCTGAGAGAATTGGCACTCGCGAGAATGAAGGATTTTGGAACCGATTGCCGTGATGTTCGCACAAGGGAAGTTGGAATTCAGGAAATACACAATAAAGTTCAACCCCATGAGGTTGAATTAATTAGAAGAGATTATGTCGCAAACAATGGTTGGGAGACATTTCTCTCTTATGAGGATCCGACAAAGGATATTTTAGTTGGTTTATTGAGACTTCGAAAATGTTCGAATGAAACATTTAGGTATGTTTTCTTTTTATTCAATTCTTTACAATTCTTTATCAATAATTCCATTAAATATTTTAATTCAATTTTTTTTTTTTCATTTAAAAAAGAAATTTAAAAAAAATCAGAATTGCCATAAAAAATTAATTTTGTTTTTCCCTGATTTCCAGACTTTTTCCTGACTGATTTTAACTATTTCCCTGACCCTAAAGAATATTTTGATTCACTCTAAAAATTATTAGATACCTAATTAAAAAAAATTTTTCTAATACTTTTATTTGCAAATTTCTCTAAAAGTAAAAATATTCGATTTTTGCAAGAATTCAATTACATTTCACAAATAATGAAATTTTTCTCTGAAATTAAAATATTTTCAATAGTTACTATTTTAATAAAATTTCTCAAAAGAATTCAATTATTTAAAAAAATTGTATTAAAATTTGTTTCAAGAATTCAATTATTCTACTAAATAATAAAATTCGTCGCAAGAATTCAATTATTTTCATAAATAATAAAATTCTTCACAAGATTTCAATTATTTAAAAAAAATGTAATAAAAATTCGCTGCAAGAATTCAATAATTCTCGTAAATAATAAAATTCTTCATAGAATTTCAATTACTTTTTAATACAATTTTATCAAAATTCTTCCAAAGAATTTAATTATCAATATTATTTTTAATAATTTTTGCAAAAGTTCCTTGAAAATTTTCAAATCTATTCATTTACAATTCAGCTTTACGACATTTCGATTATTCGAAAATTCTTCAATGAAATATTTAGAAAATAAAAACTTTAAATAATATTTTAAAAAAATCCAATTAAACTTTATCAAAAAAACTAATTCTGTACAGAATTTTTAGTTAAAAGTATGAAAAATTCAAATTTTCAAAGATTTAAATTTAAAACCTTTTCAAAATTCAATTATTTCTACAAATTAATGCTTTTAATATTCAATCATTATATAAAATTTTAACTAAAATTCATTTTTAAAAATCAATTATTATTAAAAAATTCTACGAGAATTCAATTATCTAAATACGAAATGAAAGTAATTAATTTATTGAATAATTGAATGTTTCTTGAAATTGAATTCTCATAAAGAATTTTATAAACAAATTTTTAAATAATTGAATTCTTTTGACAACATTGTATTAAAAATAAGTGAATTCTTCTAGAGAATTTTACCAAAATTTTTCAATAAAATTGTATTTCATTAGAAGAATTTTATTATTTACGAAAAGAATTAAATTTTTTCAACGTATTTAATCAAATTATTTTCATGTAAAGAATTTTATTGGAACATTTTAAAGTAATAAAATTTTTGCGAAGATTTTTGTTGAAATTATTTTAAATAATTAAATTCCTGGGTAGAATTTTATTAATTAAAAAAATAATTCAATTCTCATAAATAATATTATCAAATTTTTCAAATAATTAAATTTCTACAAAGAATTTTATTAAAATTCTTAAAAATAATTAAATTCTTGACAAAAATTTTATAAATTATGAAATTGAAATCTTGCTGAGAATTTTTATTAAAATTTTTTAAAATACATCATTAAATTTCTTCGAGGAATTTAATTAAAATTTTATTGAAAATATTTCAATTCCTCATAAAAAATGTAATCAAAATTAATTGAAATAATTTAAATCCAAAAATAAAAAAATTATTGAATGTTTCTTGAAATTGAATTCTCATTAATATAAAAATAATTGAATTTTGGAGAAGAATTTTATTATCTTTAAAGATAATTGGAATTTTGACAAGAATTTTTTTTGAACTTTTGAAAATAATTGAATTTTAGCGAAGAATTTTATTACTTTTGAAAATAATTGAATTTCTGCAATCATTTGTAACTTCTCCAAAATTCAATTTTTTCCAGTAATTTAATAAAAAAATCTCTGACTTTTCCCTGATTTCTCTGACTTGTGGCAACCCTGAAAAATGTTTACAATTTTTTTTACTATCTTAGACCGGAATTGAAGGAAAAATGTTCAATAGTAAGGGAATTACACGTGTACGGAAGTGTCGTACCAGTAAATGCTCGTGATCCAACAAAATTCCAACATCAAGGATTTGGAATGCTTTTAATGGAAGAAGCGGAGAGAATTGCAAGAGTTGAGCACAGATCTAATAAAATTGCCGTTATATCCGGTACGTTTTATTAAATTAGAAAATTGATTTAAAATTAAATAGTATAGTTTTTAATTAAAAAATCTTTTTTATTTTTAATTGAACTTGAAATTATAAATGAAACTTGAAATTCCAGGTGTGGGAACGAGGAATTATTACCGGAAACTAGGCTATGAATTAGATGGACCCTATATGTCGAAATCGTTAGTTTAATATAATTTTTGAAAAGAATGTAAATAAACTTTTTTCAATTAATAAAAATAACATTATTATTTTAATCATTATTTTTAACATTATTCTCCTTTTCTATTTCATCTTAAAAATAAGTTTTTCGTTCACCTCATTTTTCTTTATACAAAACATCGCTGTAGAAGAATATTTACAATTTTTGTGACAAAATTTTCTATTTTATAAAAATTAATAATATTTAAATTAACATGGCACAAAAAAATGACTTGCACTAAAATTATATACTTTGTACAAGTTAATTTTTTTTTTTCATCGGAAAAAAAACTTTTAAACCATTTAAATTTTCATCCAGCATACAAAAACAAACTTTTTACAAGAAGAAAAAAAAATCTGCAAGTCTAATATAAAGAAAAAATTTAACACTTAATATAGACTGGAAAAAATATACAAAAATACCATTCACCCTTGTAAAATAGAATTATTTTCAGAAAAATAAATTTACGATTTATAAAATTTGACAATATTTTCCTTTTTTTGGGAATTTGACCCAAGAGAGCAATTACATTTTTTTACAGAAATTATTATATTATTTTTACAAAACTGATTTTGAAGAGAAAATCCTTAATAAAAGGAAAATTGTCAATTAATAGAAATTTTGTTAATTTGCAAAATAATTATCTAAAATCAATTTTCGTTAAATAGGATAAAAATCCTTGTTTCGAAGTGAATCGACACACTTTAAAATATTGAAATTTAAAACTCCTAGATAAACATAGTAAAGAGATAATTTAAATAGTGTCCATTGTTCAGAAAATGAAAGTTTACAACGTGACAAATTTGTTTGAGAATATTTGAATTTTTCACCATAAACAGATTTGACACAACACTTTGACATTTCCATGAATGCATTCATTCTCGATTGTGTATTCAATGTATATTCAATACAGCGAATAAGATCGTTTGTTTTTAAAATTAATAACATTTGTCTATCGACTTTTTGCAAAACATTACTTATCTGCGGTAATAAATTTGGTATTTCCTTTTGAAAAAGTTCCTTCTCTGTCTTTGAATATTTCTTCTTTTGTACACCGTGAATTATTGTGTCCCAAGTTCTGCCCGAAACCATACAAGAAAGTAGACCGTAAAAATCACCGACACCCAATTTTGTGCAATGCTCTTTCATCGCGTCCTTTAAATTGAAAATTTTATTTTTAATTTTTTTATAGTAAACGATTTTATTTTCAAAATACTTTTTTTTTTTTTTTTGAAAATTGTACCCACCTTGTCACCGTCGAGAATTGCCAACCAGAGTTTCGAATATTCCCAACGAAATTCGTTCGTTAAATCCGCGTACAATCCATGATCGAGAAGAATAATATCAGCTTCGCTACCATTTTTTTTAACGAGAATATTTCCTGGATGTGGATCGGAATGAACGAAGCCGGTTATGAAAATCATGTGACTGTACAATCGTCCTAATTTATTGGTAACTTCGAAAAAATTCACTCCATTTTTCTTTAAATAATCGACATCGTTTATTTGTCCACCCTCCATGAATTCCATTGTCAGCACACGGGACGAAGAAATGTCCCAATAAATTTTCGGTATCTGAAAAATTCATTTCTTTAAATTCAAAATTCAGGATTGCTACGAAAATTTAATTTTGTTTTTCCCTTGATTTCCGGACAAAAGATTTTCACTTCTTCCCTGGCATCAAATAATATTCTGATTCACTCTAAAAATGATTGGATACTAAACAAATTTTCTATATTTTTATTTGCGAATTTCTCTACAAGTAAAATTATTCGGAAACATCAACAACTTCTTTTTTCAATAAACATTTAATTATTATTTTTCCATAGGAATTAAAATTCTTCAAAAGATTCGAATGCAAACTTTTTTGAAATTCAATAACTTATAAGAATATTTAATATAAAACACGAAGAAATTAATCACTCCGAGTCTTCAACTCGAAGTGATCAATTTCTTCATGTTTAATAATAATTAAAGATGACCGATTGATAAAATCATTATTTTATATTATATGAATATTGTTACTGTAATTTCTTCAAAATTATTTTCATAATTTCAATTCAATTATTATTTTCTCAAATTTATAACTAAAATTCTTCTTTAAATCAATTATTTTTCATAATTTTTCAAAAAAATCTTTGAAAATTTTCAAACATTTGTTTACAATTCAATTTTACGAAAATTCATCGATAATTTGGAAATTCTTCAATTGTAATTAGAAAATAAAAACTTGAAATAATTCCAATAAAAATTCAAGTAAACATTTTCAAAAAAAATAAATTCTACAGAATTTTTAGTTAAAAGAGTTAAAAGTATAAAAAATTTTAATTTTTAAAGATTTTAATTTGAAATCTTTTCAAAATTCAATTATTTCTTAAAATTCACACTATAATGCTTTTAATATTCAATTGTCATCCGAAATTTTAACTAAAATTCATTTATAAATAATCAATTTTTATATAAAAATTCTACGAGAATTTAATTATTTAAATAAGAAAGTAATTAATTTATTGAATAATTGAGTGTTTCTTGAAATTCAATTCCCATAAAGAATTTTATAAACAAATTTTTAAATAATTGAATTCTTTTGACAACATTGTATTAAAAATAAGTGAATTATTATAAAACATTTTACCAAAATTATTCAAAAAAATTGAATTTCTACGAAGAATTTTATTATTTAAGAAAAGAATTAAATTTTTTCAAAGTACTTAATTAAATTACTTTCTTATAAAGAATTTTATTAAAATTTTGTAAAATAATAAAATTTTGGAGAAGATTTTTATTGAAATTATTTAAAATAATTAAATTCCTACAAAGAATTTTATTAATTAAAAAAATAATTCAACTCTCATAAATAATATATATTGTCAAATTTTTCAAATAATTGCATTTCTGCAAAGAATTTTATTAAAATTCTTTAAAACAATTAAATTCTTGCCAAAAATTTTACAAATTATGAAAATAATTGAAATCTTGCTAAGAATTTTCATTAAAATTTTTAAAACTACTTAATTGAATTTCTTCGAGGAATTTAATTAAAAATTTATTGAAAATATTTCAATTCCTCATAAAAAATTTAACCAAAATTAATTGAAATAATTTAAATACAAAATAAATAAATTATTAAATGAATTGAATGTTTCTTGAAATTAAATTTTCATAAAGAATTCTATCAACAAATTTTTAAATAATTAAATTATTTTCACACATTTTAATAAAATTTTTAAGAACCTAAAAAACATTTTAATATTTATGAAAATATTTGAATTCTTGGGAACGATTTAATTAGAATTTTTTAAAATAATTAAATTTCCAAGAAGAAATTTATAACTTTTAAAAATAATTGAATTTCCAAAAAGAAATTTATTACTTTTAAAAATAATTGAATTCTTGTGATGAATATTATTATTTATGAAAATAATTAAATTTTGCAAAGAATTTTATTAAAATGCCTCAAAATAATAGAATTTTTCGGAATAATTTTGTTTTTTATCGACATAATTGAATTCTTTGGAAGAATTATTTATGTAAATAATTGAATTCTTGGGAAGAATTTTATTAAATATAAAAAAAGTTATCCGAATTATTTATTTGTTTATCTATTAACATTAAATTTGAATTATTTCAAAAAAAAATTATTATATTTTAAATAATGGATTTCTTTCGAACAATTTTATTAAAATATTTTAAAATAATTGAAATCTTGTAAAAAAAATTCTAATATTTTTGAAAATAATAACTGAATTCTTCCAAATAAATTAAAAAAAACATTTTTTTAAATAATTGATTTTTTCGAGAAATTTAAATTAAATTTTTAAAAATAATTACATTTTTTGAGCAATTCCTTTAAAATTGTATTAAAAATAATTCAAATCCTCCGATGAATTTAGTTATTTATGAAAAAAAATTGAATAGTTGCTAAGAATTTTATTAAAATTATCAAAAATAATTGAATTCCTGAGAAGAATTTTATTATTAATGAAAATAATTGAATCATTGCGATGAAATTTAGAAAAAAAACTTGTTAACAATTGAATTCCAATGAAATTTTTATTATTTTTTAAAATAATTAAATTGTTGGGAAGAAATTTATAAAAAATTTGTAAATAATTGAATTCCAACATTTTTGTTTAAACAATTGAATTGTTTTGGAAAATTTCATTAGAACAGTAGATATTGAAAATCATTGAACGGGGGAAAATTTTTGAAAATAATTGAAATTTTGCCAAGAATTTTATTAAATGTTTTTTAAAATAATTGAATTTCGGAAAAGAATTTTATTATTTAGGTATATAGATAATTGAAATTTTGACGAGAATTTTAAAAAAAATTTCAACATAATTGAATTTTTGCTAAGAATTTTATTACTTTTGAAAATAATTGAATTTCTCCAATCATTTGTACTTTCTCCAAAATTCAATTTTGGGGGGGGGGGTTTAACTTAAATTCTTCTATAAATCCATTATTTTTAATAATTAACAAATTTAACTAATTTCAGAAGAATTTTAATTATTAAAATTTTTCAAAAATCTAAGATGTTTAAAATTTATAATTAAATTCATTAAAAGGTAATATTTTATAAAATTTTATATTAAAAACTTTTGATATTAATTTATTTATGTATGTTGAAGTTCATTTCATCTATTTATGAAAATTGTATACGCAACTCTTAAAATTCAGTTAATTTTGAAATATGTAAGTAAAATTATTCATTAAATAATTTCTAAGTAATAATTTTATGATAGATTTTCAAGAATTAATTTATTTAAAAAGAAATTATTGTTAGAAATAGAAAAAATTGAAGGTTTTGTATTAGAAAAAATTGCTGACTTTTTCCTTGATCTGAGTCAACCCTGAAATTATTAATTAACATATATATAAAATTATAAAAAAAAAGCAAAAACCTTTAGCCAATGATAATCTTTGAAGAGATTTTCGAGTTTCTCGGCGTTCCTGCCTTCCTGAGTGAAATCTAATTCACGGGGAATATTTTTCTGCGTCTCCTCCACGAGCCAATCGAATTTGAAATCGGGAAAAATCCACGACGTAATTTTCACCAATGTTGCCATTGTTTTAACATCGACATAGGCATTTGTTTTAACTGAACGATGTTGCACTTTAACTGCCACGGATGTTCCATTTTTGAGAATTGCTTTATGAACTTGTGCAAGACTTGCTGTGCCCAATGGATCTTTTTCAATTGAATCAAATATTTCGTATGGATCTTTTTTGAAATCCTCTTTTATTACCGTTAGCACATCATTAAATGATGATTGAGGCGCGGCACTGTGTAAAATTCGCAATTTCGTCACATATTCCTGAGGTAGAAGATAATCCAAAGCACCAATGTGTTGTCCAACCTTAAATATTTTCGGTTTTTATTTTTCTATTTCTATTTTAATTTTTATTTCTATTTTTCTTTTTCTATTTCTATTTCTATTTTTATTTTTATTTTTATTTCTATTTCTATTTTATTTCAATTTCTTTGCCTTATTTGAAAGTTTTATTTACAAAAAAGAAAAATGGAGAATAAAGATTATTTTACCTTAATGTAAACTCCTTTATTGGCGCAACAAAGTTCCAAAAGTTTTTGAGCACCAAATTTATGAGCCTCCGATTTTAATGTCTCATATTCTTCGGTTCCTTTAAGAACTTTTGCTTTATAGAGATGTTTTTGATAATAATTGCCAATTACAAAAACTGTAACTGCCGCTCGTCCCAATCGAACAATTCCAATTGATCCAATATCATATTCGTTCGCTCGTAACGATGCAAAAGTTCCTAAACCAATTGTACCGATAGCAGCGGCTTTAAACAATCTCCTTGACAATAACATTATCGAAATCCTAAAATCTAAATAATATTTATAGACTTTTTCTCTCTTAATTTAAATTTAAAAAAACTATTATTTACTTCATTAAAGGAAACTATCGCTATTTTCTTCCTAAAAAACCAGTTTTTAATTTCATCAAAACTATTATGAAATTTCTAATTTTCTATTGACATTGAATTAGGAATTTGAATAATTTAAAAGAGAAACTTTCTTTTATTAATATTCATCTTCGTTATTGTCAAAATAAAACTTTGTTTTTCGCAGAAAAATATTTAAATTCCAATATTATTTAAATGTTAATAATTGAAACTCTTTTCAATAATGAAAATAAAGAAAAATTACTTTATACTTAAATATATTGCATCACCAAGAATTAATTATACTGTAAATTTACATTTACTGTCGAGTTAAAATATTTTTAATTTCAATAAAAAATATTGAAATAATTAAATTAAAAATCTAAAATAATTCTATAAATTTGGTAAAAATAATAAAAAATGTGCTTAAAAACAAAATCACAACAAAATGTAAACAGAAAATTGGAGCATGGAAACTAACCTCAAAATTTTTCTCCTTGAATTTCTTTTAGAAATTAACATTTGATGACACAATTAGCAATTTTCGAATATCTCGCTCGTTTTTTTTCTCAATATTCTTATAATTTTTGTAAATTATAATAAATTCACGAGAGACGATAAACAAATGTTAACCTATAAAATCCCTGAGTTCACAACTGTAACACGATAAGAAAAGTGTTTTTGTCCATTTTATCAAATGACATTTCGTAATTTTACATTTATATAAATTCAAGATAACAATTTTCACTCACAAATTTATGGAAATTGACGTCTTTTTTTCGTGTAACATTGTTGAAAATTTTGATTTTCATTCAAGTGAAACTGTGTGAAAGTGATGACACATGTGTGAAGGTCAACATCTGATCCAAGGTCCAAGGTGTCCAAAGATCCAAGTGTCCTTGAACTTTGGTCACCGGGAAAAAGTAAACTTTTCTCTCATTCAAGACAATAAAGTGCTTTTTCTTTTCTAATTCTTGTAAATGTTGACAATAATTAATAATTATTTTAGAAAGAAAGTTACTTTTTTAAAATTAAAAAAAGAACTTTTAAATCTGGACAAGTTTGATACCATTAGTTGAAAAGTGGACAAAATTGAGAAAAGAGAAGTTCTATCGTTATCGTGTGAATGCGCCTTTATTTCATTGTAAATGCGCCGCGACGCCGGTCTGACGGTTCTTGGCTTCAGAATTTCTTTTTGGCGGGCAGAATCTATTCGACAGCCGATTATTAACTACTTTAGAAGCTTGTAATCAAGAAAAAGACAAATGGGTGATAAAGACGGAGGTAAATATCATTATTTAACTATAAGTAATTCAATATTAGATCTCAATAACTCGTGTTTGAATATTCTATTACACGCGTCGGTTTTGCCCATGATAATAAACAATGCAGCTTCCTTTGTCCTTTAATTATCCATTAGTCGTTTATTTTATTGATTAGACCACCCATCAAAGTGAGGAAATACTAATTTTAGTAATTCGAATGTTTCATTTTAATTCAAACTCTTATTTTTTTAATAAACTTTTTTTTATTCGACATTTCTAACCACGTTTTCCATTTAAATTCCCCAACAATAGTATAATTTCCTCTATCGCTATTAATTTAGTATTCTTTCAACAATCATTTATTTTCTTAATTCTTAACGTTAGTTTTTAAAATTGAGCAAAATATAAAAATCCATGAAATAATTTAACGAATTTATAACTATGCAGGCATCACAATTGGTCTCCTTTTCCCCTTTTGTCCCCTTATTTCAATTTTATCACCTTTTTTGACGATTTGTCCCCTTTTTCACCTTTTTCTATTCAAAGATAAACAAGTTTTTCTTTTATTGAAATCTTTTTCAAAGTGTAATTATAAAATTTAGACTCAATGTTATAGAATTCAGTGAGTTTTATTTTTGATTTAGATTATTAACACCACAACATAATATAAACAGGTCTTTTTATGTTAATGATTTAAATAATATAAATATCGTAAAGAATTTTATAAATTATATTGTGGTTCATTCAACAGAATGCAGACCTTTAGAAAAATAATTAATTAACATTCAAATAATTAAAATATTATTATTAATAGTTTTTTCTAGAAAAAACAAAAATTCTGATACAAAACCTTCAATTTTTTCCATTTCTGACAATAATTTCCTTTTTTAACTTAATTCTTGAAGAACTATCATAAAATTATAACTTAGAAATTATTTATCGAATAATTTTATTTATACATTTTAAAATTAATTAAATTTTAAAATAGTTGCGTTTACAATTTTCATAAATAGATGAAAAAATATTTCAATTTCAAATTTTATAAAATTTCAATTTTGAATGAATTTTATTAGAAATTCTAAAGAACTTAAATATTTGCAAAAATTTTCAAAATTTAAATTATTTGGAAATTAGTTAAATTTTTTAAAATATATATTTAATTAATTATTAAAAATAAAGATATTATTAATTTTTTGCAGAAATTCAATTATATTAAAAAATTTATAGAAATTCTCATCAAAATTTCAATTATTTTCAAATATAAATTTCAATTTTAATAAAATTTTTCGCAAAATTTCAATTATTTGCGAAAAATTTCTGAAATTCAATGATATTCAATATCTATTTTAATAAATTTTTCCAAAAGAATTTAATTATTTAGAAAAATTTTTATTCAAATTCTACGCAAACGTTTAAATATTTTCATAAATAATAAAATAATTTCACCAAAATTCTATTATTTACAAATTTTTAAAAAATTTATTCGCAATAATTCAATTATTTACAAGTTTGTTTTATAAATTTCGCAATGATTCAATTATAAATAAATATAATAAGATTTTTTTACAGGATTTCAAATTATTTTCATAAATAATAAAACACATTGCAGAATTTCCAATACTTTTATTTCGATACAATTTTAATCAAATTTCTCGAAAAATGTAATTATTCTTAAAAATTTTTATTGAAATCTGTGAAAAGAATTCAATTATTTGAAAATTTGTTGCTAAAATTCTTTATAAGAATTCGAAATCAAGAAACATTCAATTATTCAATAATTTATCTGTTTTTGTATTTAAATCATTTCAGTTAATTTTGATTACATTTTTTATGAGAAGTAAAATTGAAATATTTTCAATAAATTTTTAATTAAGTTCCCCGAAGAAATTTAATTATGTATTTTCAAAAATTTTAATAAATATTCTCAGCAAGATTTCAATTTAATTTAAAATTTCTTCGCAAATAATTCCATTATTTTCATAAATAATCAAACTCATCGCAGAATTTCAATTATTTTTACTACAATTTTAATCGATTACCTCGAAAAATGTAATTATTTTTTTGAATTTTATTTAAATTTGTCGAAAGAATTTAACTATTTAAAAATTTGTTGATAACATTCATTATGAGAATTTAATATTAAGAAACATTCGATTATTCAATATAAATTATTTATTTTTGTATTTAAATAATTGAATTCTCGTAGAATTTTCTAATAGAAATTGATTTAAAAGTAAATTTCAGTTAAAATTTTACATAATAATTGAATATTAAAAGCATCATAGCGTGAATTTTTAGAAGTAATTGAATTTTGAAAAAGTCTGAAATTGTAATCTTTGAAAATCTGAATTTTTCATATTTTTAACTAAACAATTCTGTAGAATTAATTTTTTTCAAAAAGTTTAATTGAAATTATTCCAAGTTTTTATTTTCAAATATATATTAATGGAAGAATTTCCGAATAATTGATGAAATTTCGTAAAATTGATTTCTAAACAAATACATTTGAAAATTCTCTTATTTTTTAAAAAAAAATGATTGTAAATAATTGATTTAAAGAAGAATTTTAGTTAAAAATTCTAGAAAATAATAATTGAATTGAAATAATGAAAATAATTTTAAAGAATTTACAGTAAAAATATTTCTCAATATAGAAAATAATTATATTATGACTCGGTCATCATTAATTATTATAAAACATGAAGAAAGTGATGATCATCACTTTCTTCATGTTTTATAATAATATTCTCATAAATTGTTGAATTTAAAAAAGATTTGAATTTAAATGTTTTGAAAATCTTAATTCTCATGGAAAAATAATAATGATTAAATATTTTTTTAAAAAAGAAGTTATTTACTATTTTTGAATAATTTTACAGTTAGAGAAATTGGTAAATAAATGTAATAGAACATTTTTTTTGAGTATCTAATAATTTTTAGAGTGAATCGCAGAATATTCTTTAGAGAAAAAGTGAAAATTTTTTCTGGAAATCAGGGAAAAGTCAGAGAAAAATAAAAGTAAATTTTTGTGGCAACTCTGATTAAAATCGAATAAAAAAAGTCGATTAAAAATGAATTTTCTTAATTAATGAATTAATTACTGAAATGATAATCGACCAATTTTGTTATAATGATAAAAAAATTATTCTTTCGTATTTGTAGAAACATTTGACGACGCTGTTGAGGAACGTGTTATTAACGAAGAATATAAAATATGGAAAAAGAATACACCGTTTTTGTACGATTTGGTGATGACCCATGCATTGGAATGGCCATCGTTGACTGCTCAATGGTTACCTGATGTTACAAGGCCTGAAGGTAAAGATTATTCGGTGCATCGACTAATTCTTGGTACTCATACATCGGACGAACAGAATCATCTTTTAATTGCGAGTGTTCAATTACCAAATGAGGACGCTCAATTTGATGCCTCGCATTATGACAATGAAAAAGGTGAATTCGGTGGCTTTGGATCGGTTAGTGGGAAAATTGAAATTGAAATCAAGATTAATCATGAGGGCGAAGTGAATAGGGCGCGATACATGCCACAAAATCCTTGCGTCATCGCAACTAAAACTCCATCAAGTGATGTTCTCGTCTTCGATTATACGAAACATCCCAGCAAACCTGATCCCAATGGCGAATGTCATCCGGATCTTAGGTAAGGGAAATAATTTCTATAAAAAATTATCAATTTTCTCTTTAATTATTCGTTTCTTGGGTATATGTATTGAAATTTGTAATTAAATTAAAATTTGGATTTAAATGAAAATTGAATTAAAGTAAAATCATGATTTACATGAAAATTGCATTAAAGTAAAATTTTGATTTACATGAAAATTAAATTAAAGTAAAATTTTGATTAACATGAAAATTTAATTAAAGTAAAATTTTGATTTACATAAAAATTGAATGAAATTAAAATTTTTATTTAAATGAAAATAATTATAATGATGATAATTATAAATTAATTTTGAATTTATTTGAAGTATAAATTAAAAACGATACGCTTCGCTTATAAAATCGAGTCTATTTATTATTTACTAAAATTCAATTCACATTATTTACATTCGCTTTTTTCTTTCTATTGTATTTGTCTTTGACGAATGTTTATATCAAATTATCGAGTATTTCAGATTTCGTCACTACAATGAAAATAAAGGAAAATAGAATTCGAAAATTTGAAATAGATAAATACTAGTATAAATATATAAATAAATAGTACAGTTATTTTGTAATCGGAAATATTTGAATTACTTTCAGTTATTTATTTATTATTTCTATTTGTTTACTAAATAATTCAAGAAAATTTGTTTAAAATAACTAATTTACTAATTAAATATTATTCTTATTATTTATTGTTTTCAAAAACTTCAATAAAATTCTTATTAAAAATTTGATAAAATTCTTCACAAGAATTCAATTATTATTAAAATTTCGATTAAATTCTTTACGAGAGAATTAAAATATTTTCAGTACAATTTTAATTCCTGAGAAAATTTAAATTATTTTCGAAAATTTTAATAAAAATTCTTAGCAAAATTTTCGATTATTTTCATAATTTACAAAATTTTCCGCAAGAATTCAATTATTTTAATAAAATTCTTTGCAGAAATTCAATTACTTAGAAAAATTTTAATAAAATTATTTATGAGAATTGAATTATTTTCATAATTTTTAAAGAATTTTAATAAAATTCTTCGAAAAAACTTTATTATTTTGAAAAATTTCAATAAAATTCTTTATAAAATACAATTTAAATTATTAAATACTTTGAAAAACTTTAATAACTTTTCTAAATAATAAAATTTAGAAGAAAAAATTTAATTAGAAAAATTTTAATAAAATTATTTATAAGAATTGAATTATTTTTATAATTAATAAAATTCTTCGCAGGAATTTAATTAGTTTGAAAAATTTGATTATTTTAAAGAATTTTAATAAAATTCTTGATAAAAAAATTTAATGAAATACTTTGTAAAAATTTAATTCTTTTTCTAAATAATAAAATTCTTCCCAAAAATTCGATTATTTTGAAAAATTTTGATTAAATTCTTTATCAGAATTGTAATAATTTCTATACAATTTTAATTAAATTCCTGGAAAAAATTCAATTAATTTCGAAAATTTCAATTACATTCATAGCAAGATTTCAATTATTTTCATAATTTACAAAATTTTTCGCAGGAGTTTAATTATTTTATGAATTTTAATGAAATTATTCGCAGAAATTCAATTACTTGGAAAAATTTTAATAAAAATATTTATGAGAATTGAATTGTTTTCATAATTAATAAAATTCTTCGTAAAAATTTTATTATTTAGAAAAATTCTAATAAAATTCGTTAAAAAAAAAATTAATTAAATACTTTGGAAAAATGTACTTCTTTTTTTTAAATAATAAAATTCTGCGCAAAAATTTTATTATTTTGAAAATTTTTGATTATATTTTTAATGAGAATTGAAATATTTTGAATACAATTGTAATTAAATTCCTGAAAATAATTCGATTTTTTCGATTAATAACATTTTTCGAAAGAATTCAATTATTTTTAAAAAATTGTAATAAAATTTCTCTAAAGAATTCAATTATTATCAAAAAAAGAATGTTTATTATAAGAACATTCTTTGCAGAAATTTTTTTTTATTTTGATAAAACTTTTCATAAGATTAAAGTTTAAAAATTGTAAAAGAAATATTTTTAATTTAAAACCGTTTTTGTTTAATTAATTTTTGCTATTTTTTAATCTTCCAACCATTAAATTAGAATTTCATTAATTTTTAAATCCAAAACATTAATAGGAAAAATTATCAAAAAAAAAAGAATTAGGAAACAAAAATATGAATATTTGAATTGTCCTTTTCGGAAATGAACACTGAATTCTATTTTATTTTCAAATAGGTTGCGGGGACATCAAAAAGAGGGTTATGGACTTTCTTGGAATCCGAATCTTAATGGTTATTTGTTGAGTGCATCTGACGACCACACCATTTGCTTATGGGACATTAACGCAACTCCAAAAGAGAATCGAGTTATTGATGCTAAAACTATTTTTACCGGACACACCGCAGTCGTTGAGGATGTCGCCTGGCATCTTTTGCACGAATCTCTCTTTGGATCGGTTGCTGATGATCAAAAGCTGATGATTTGGGACACCAGGTTAATATTCATTTTTTCATTATTTTTTAAAATAAATTCTTTTAATATCAAAGGTGGAAAAAGATTATTATGTTGTTAGTAATGAATTAATAATTTTTTTTGAAAAGTATGTATTTCAAAAAATAGTTAATTTTAATGATAATAATTTGTTTTTTTCAATAGATGCAACAACGTTAGTAAACCGAGCCACACAGTTGACGCACACACCGCGGAGGTTAATTGCTTGAGTTTTAATCCATATTCGGAATTTATCTTGGCAACTGGAAGCGCTGACAAAACAGTGGCTCTGTGGGATTTGAGAAATTTAAAATTAAAATTACATTCATTCGAGTCGCATAAGGACGAAATTTTCCAAGTTCAATGGTCACCGCATAATGAAACCATTTTGGCGAGCAGTGGCACCGATAGACGTTTGCATGTCTGGGATCTTAGCAAGATTGGCGAAGAACAATCTAGCGAAGATGCTGAAGACGGTCCACCTGAATTACTCGTGAGTGTTTTACGAATATTACTACAGATATTGCAAATTTACAAATATTGTAAATATTACAATTTGCTTTCAAATTAAAAATTATAATTTGCATTAAAATTGTAATTAAAATTACAGAGCTACCACAGGTCAGAGAAGTTAGGGAATTCAGGGAAAAGTCAGAGATTTTTATTGAAAGTACTGAAAAAAATTAAATTTTTAGAATTAAAAAGAAAATTCCAAATTTTGGTGACTTTTTTGTTTGCCTCATAAACTATGAAATTACCACCAATTATATTACAAAACCTTAAATTTTTCTATTTTGGACAATAATTTCTTTTTAAATAACTTAATTCTTCAAAAACTATCATAAAATTATTACCTGGAAATTATTTAATGAATAATTTTAGTTACAAATACTAAAAAAAAAATTTAATTTTGAAGAAAGTATAATTGATTGCAGAAATTCAATTATTTTCAAACGTACTAAAATACTTCACAGAAATTCAATTATATTCAAGAATTTTTAAAAATTCTCGTCAAAATTTAAATTATCGTTAGAAATAATACATTATTTTCTTCTCCGAAATTTAATTATTTTATTAAAATTCTTGGCAAAATTTCAATTAATTTCAAAAATTGACCTCAATTCAATGACTTGCAATATCTACTATTTGAATAAAATTTTACAAAAGAATTCAGTTATTTAAAAAAAATGTTTATAAAATTCTACGCAAATATTTAATTATTCTCATAAATAATAAAAATTTCATAGGAATTCAATTATATTTACAATTTTTCATAAATTTCTTCGCAATGATTCAATTATAAATAAATATAATAAGATTTTTTACAGGAATTCAAATTATTTTCATAAATAAAATTCTATTTAGGAATTAAATTATTTTCATAAATAATAAAATTCATTGCAAAATTTCAATTATTTTTATTAGATACAATTTTAATCGAATTCCTCGAAAAATGTAATTATTCTTAAAAATTTTATTAAAATCTGTGAAAAGAATTCAATTATTTGAAAATTTGTTGATGAAATTCTTTATGAGAATTGAAATTCAAAAAGCATTAAATTATTCAATAATTTATCTATTTTTTGTATTTAAATCATTTCAATTAATTTTTATTACATTTTTTATGAGGAACTGAAATATTTTAAATAAATTTTTAATTAAATTCCTCAAAGAAATTTAATTATATGTATTATCAATAATTTCAATAAAAATTCTCAGCAAGATTTTAATTTCATAATTTATAAAGTTTTTTGCAGGTATTTAATTATTTTAAAGAAATTTAATAAAATTCTTTGTAGAAATTTAATTATTTTCATATTAATGAGAATTCGATTTCAAGAAACATTCAATTATTCAATAATTTTGTTATTTTTGTGGTAAATCATTTCAATTAATTTTGATTACATTTTTTATGAGAATTGAAATATTTTCAATAAAATTTTAATTAAATTCCTCAAAAAAATTGAATTATTTTCAAATAATAAAAAGTCTTTGCAAGATTTCAATTATTTTCATAATTAACAACATTTTTCGCAGAAATTCAATTATTTGAAAAATTTGATAATATTATTTATGAGAATTGGATTATTTTTTTATAAATAAAATTTTTCGCAGGAATTTAATTATTTTAAATATTTTAATGAAATTCCTCGAAAAGATTTTAATAAAAATTCTTAGCGAGATTTCAATTATTTTCATAATTTATAAAATTTTTCTCAAGAATTTAATTATTTTAAAGAATTTTAAAAAAATTCTTCTCAGAAATTCAATTTCAGAAATTTACTAAAATTTTTTATATGAGAATTGAATTATTTTTTTTATAAATAAAATTCTTCATAAGAATTTAATTATTTTAAATACTTTTTATAAAATTCTTCGCAAAAAGTTTATTATTTTAAAAATTTTGGTAAAATTCTTTATAAGAATTCACATATTTTTAATACAATGTTGTCAAAAGAATTCAATTATTTAAAAATTTGATTTATGAGACTTCAATTTCAAGAAATATTCAATTATTCAATATATTATTTACTTTTTTATTTAAAATCAATTTAATCAATCAATTTAAAATCTTTTAAAATTTGAATTTTTTATACTTTTAACTAAAAATTCTGTAGATTTAATTTTTGTTTTGAATTATTTCAAGTTTTCATTTTTTAATATACAATTGAAGAATTTTTGAATAATCGATGAAATTTCATAAAATTGAATTGCAAACAAAGGGATTGAAAAATTCTCAACGAACTTTTGCAAAAATTATTAAAAATAATTGATTTAAAGAAGAATTTTAGTTAAAAATGGTAGAAAATTGATTAATTCAATTGAAATGGTAAAAATAATTTTTCAGAAATTACTGTAATAATATTCTTATAATATAAAATAATGATTTTATCACTCGGTAAACTTTAATTATTATAAAATATGAAGAAGTTGATCACTTTGAGTCTTCGACTCGAAGTTATAAATTTCTTTATGTTTTATGTTAAATATTCTTATAAGTTGTTGAAGTTCAAAAAAGTTTAAATTTGAATCTTTCAAAGAATTTTAATTTCTATGGAAAATAATAAAAAATAATAATGATTAAATATTTATTTAAAAATGATGTTTCTGATGCTTTCGAATAATTTTACTTTTAGAGGAATTCGCAAATAAAAGTATAGAACATTTTTTTTATTATCCAATAATTATAAGAGTGAATCAGAATATTATTTGATGTCAGGGAAAAAGTAAAAATTTTGATCTCGAAATCAAGGAAAAAACAACATTAATTTTTTGTGGTGACCCTGAATTAAGAAAAAAGGTTTAATAACTTAAATTGAAAATAATTCTTCTTGAAATTTTATTTGCAGTTTATTCATGGCGGACATACAGCGAAGATTAGCGACTTCTCCTGGAATCCAAACGAGCCATGGGTCATTTGCTCCGTCTCTGAGGATAACATAATGCAAGTCTGGCAGATGGCTGAAAATATTTATAACGACGAGGAGCCAGACACGCCAGCCAGTGAACTTGAGCCCGGTGCTTGATAGTCTTCGAGAAAAAAAATTCATTTCCTCAATATTTAAAAGAAAAAAAAAAAATCGTGAGTACCCCCTTTTTTCAAAAAAAAAACTCACTTTTTTTTGTAAATTTTCTCTAGCTAATGAATTCCAATTTATTGAAAAGCAATTATTGTTGCCATCAAAATTATTACTTTTTTCTTTGTTTTAAAAATAATTTTTTTCGAATTAATTTTTAATTTATAAAAATGTGTTGAGAGCTTATTTTTTTCTCCCCCCTTTTTTTTGACGTCTCGGCACATAAAATAATTCGAAATTTTATTATGTGCCGTCTTGATAAATTATTTACGAAAAAAAAATACGATGGCCTCTAAATTAAAAAAAAAACTATTTTTTCAATTCTTCATTTTAGGTAAAAATAATAGTCATAATATATTTTTTGCCTAGTTTCTTTTTTTTAAATCTACATCCAATAAAAATTGTGATTGTCGAGTAAAAATAAATGTGTTACTTTTTAATGTTTTCAATTTTCTACGTAGATGTAAGCTTGGTATCGAATAATTATATAAAATTTGTAAAATTTTTCTTATTTTCGACATCGTCCGAATAAAACATTTTTTCCATAATTGAAGTTTTCATTTTTAACTTTATATTTTAGTGATTACTATTTTTACTACTAGTAACTATTTGCAGGGCTTGAACTAGGTCCGTAAATCCCGTAAAAGTCTGAAAATTTGCATAAAGTCCGTAAAAGTCCTTTTTTTTTTTTAAAAAATCCGTAATTTGATTCAAAAAATATGAAAAGTTCATAAATTATACGATGTAATTTGGAGAATTTTAAAGAATTTACAAATGATTGGAGAAATTCAATTATTTTCAAAAGTAATAAAATTCTTCGCAGAAATTCAATTATTTTCAAAATTTTTTTTAAATTCTTGTCAAAATTTCAATTATTTTATAGAAATAATAAAATTCTTCTCCGAAATTCAATTATTTTTCAAATTTTTAATAAAATTTCAATTAGCTTTAGGTATAATTAAATTCTTCTTCGAAATTCAATTATTTTCAAAATTTTTAATAAAATTTCAATTAACTTTAAAAATAATTAAATTCTTCTCCGAAATTCAATTATTTTCAAAAATTTTCCCCAGTTCAATGATTTTTTAATATCTAGATCTTAATAAAATTTTCCAAATGAATTCAATTATTTAAAAAAAATTCAAAAAATAATAAAAATTTCACAGGAATTTCATTATTTACAAATTTTTTTTTATAAATTTCTTCGCAATCATTCAATTATTTTCATAAATAATGAATTTTTTACGAGGATTCCATTATTTTCGTAAATAATAAAACTCATTGCAGAATTACAATTATTTTTAATTACAATTTTAATCGAATTCCTCGAAAAAATGCTTAAAAATTTTATTAAAATTCGTCAAAAGAATTCAATAAGTTAAAAATTTATTGATAAAATTCTTTATAAGAATTCAATTTTAAGAAAAATGCAATAAATAAATGTTTTTTTTTATTTAAATAATTGAATTCTAGTAGAATTTTCTCATAAACATTGATTTAAAAATGGATTTCAGTTAAAATTTTAGATTATAATTGAATATTAAAAGCATTCGAACGTGTAAATTTTTAGAAATAATTAAATTTTGAAAAGGTTCAAATTAAAATCTTTGATAATTTTAATTTATCATACTTTTAACTAAAAATTCTGTGGAATTTATTTTTTTTGAGAAACTTTAATTGCTGACTTTTTTGAAATTATTTAAAGTTTTTATTTTCTAATCCTATAATATTTAATTGAAAAATTTATTAATATTGAAATTTTGTAAAATTGAATTGTAAACAAATGAATTTGAAAATTATGAAAGAACTTTTTCAAAAATTATTAAAAATAATCGATTTGTAGAAGATGTTTAGTTAAAAACACAAAAAAAAAATTTCAATTTTGGAAAAGTTACAAATTATTACAGAAATTCAATTATTTTCAAGTGTAAAAATATTCTTCGCAAAAATTAAATATTGTTCAAAAGTAATGAAATTCTTCTTAGGGATTCAATTACTTTTACAAATAATAAAACTCATCGCATAATTTCAATTATTTTTAATACAATTTTAATCAAATTTCTCGAAAAATGTAATTATTCTTAAAAATTTTATTAAAATTCGTTGATAGAATTCAATTATTTAAAAATTTGTTGATAACGATTAAATTAAAAATTGAATTTTAAGAAACATTCAATAAATAAATTGTTGAAATTTTGTAAAATTTAATTGAAAATAATTAATTTCTTTCAAGTATTTATTTGCAATTTTTCAAAATAAATTTTTTGAAGAATTTTAATTGTAAATTTTGAAAAGAATTGAAATATCAAAAATTTTCATGAAAAATTTTTAAAGGTAAATTTAAAAATGAAAATTAATGAAAATTAGTTTCTAATTTTTTAAAATTCAATATTTTCAGTATTTTCAATTACATATTTCCAAAAATTCAAATACATACAAAAATAATAACATTTTAAAATTATTTTTAACATTTTGGAGAAAACAATTATGTTCAAAATTTTTAATTAAAATTCATCAAAAAATTAATTAGTTTTTTTACATTATACAAAAATTCTTCTAAGAAATTCAATTATTTTCGAAAAGTTCTATTAAAATATTTTTAAAAACTAATTATTAGAAGTGTTTTATAATAATTTTTTAAGATTCAATTACTATCTTGGAACAATGTAAATAAAATTTAATGAAAATTTACTTTTTCGACTTATTAAAATTTTTGAGAAATCACGGTCCCGTTTATAATTAAAATTCTTCAAAAATTTGGTCATTTTTATTTATATTTTTCAAAAATTCAATTATTTTTTAAAGATTTTACTAAATTTTAATTGTTTGGAAATTTTTCAAAATTGAAAAACTATTATCTTTCATAAATTATTTTAAAATAACTTAAGAAAAAACTATGGAGAGTTACAATTATTATAAAAATTGAGTTTTTGTATTTAAATTATTGAATTCTAGAAGAACTTTTAGAAAATTATTTAAATTAATTGATTCAGAGATGAATTTTAGTTGAAAATTGTAGAAAATAATTGAATTCAGAAAGGGTTATAATTGTAATTTTTAGAAATTATTAAAATTCATAAATTGTACTCATTATCCGTAAACATTCATATTTTCCTGTAAAAAGAATTTTGTCGTATTTTTAATCGATTTTTTTTGCGCCTTAGAGACGAGAATTCGAGAAAGAAAAAAGGCAAAATGAAAATTAAAGACAGTGTAGATTTATTGATTGACGTATAATATCAGGACGTTTATAAATTTACGAATAGATATTTTATTTTATAATTTTTAATATATATATATATATATTTTTTTTTTTTCCTTTCAAGTTAAGATTCATCAGTAGTTAAATAATTTTTCCTATAGTTTAAACTTTAAAGTGATTAGAATCGCAGTTTCGAGTCTTTTTTCTTTTACAAATGTCGTTCGCTTTTGTTTTAATTTTGGCACTTAGTTAAGTAGAGGTAAAGAAGTAGAAGCAGAAGAAAATTGTTCCCGTTTCTTATTTTTTTTTTTTTGTAATCTTCTTTAAATAGTTGTGTTTGAAAGCTCGTTGTAAATATGAGCAAGCAACGAATCTTTATTGAATTCCGTCTCTGGACTTTTTAGAGAAATCATATCGTCACTGTCGAGTGATGAAATTCTGAAAAAGAGACAAATGGTAAATTTTTCTTTCAAAATGAATTTATTTCTTTTTTTTTAAATGATAATTTACCAATATCTGCGCATTAATAAAACTTGGTTTGGTGATCGTGACCTATGCCTATGTCTGCTAAGCATGCAAAATAAAAATTTTTTTTTAAACGAACAAAAAAAGGTTTCTTTGTTTGTCCGAAAATTAAAATTAAAAAATAAGTAAATTATTAGAGTAAAAAATTTTGAATAATTGTTTCTTTAAACTATTTACGATTATTTTTTTGTATAATTTATAAAAATTTACCGCGTGCTTGAATTTGATCTCTTGATGCCATCGAGTAAATTTACAATTGATGGTGTCAGAGTTGGACGAAATATCTAAAGAAATAAAATTGTTGTAGTAATAATATTATAATTATGAAAGAAGGAGAAAAATTGTGAGGAAATTATTCTTACTGTAACTGGAGCACTTCGCATTTCACGAAGGTCGATATTTCTGAAAAGATCGTGAACGATAAGTTCCTCGACACTCGGATATTGAGGTCCCTCGAATAAATATTTCAAAAATCTACTCACCTGAAAATTAAATAGCAAATTTTTATTTCCCCAAAATAAATAATAAATTAGTATTTACAATATTTATTGAATATTTATTAGAATAATAAATAAATAAAAAAAAACAAGTTATATGACAAAATTAGTTTTAATAGCAAAAAATCATCGATAAGAAGAAAAATACTTTAGGATATTTCTGAAGATCCGTGAAGTGAACTGAAGAGGGTTTAAAGGAACATAATTCGTATCCAGTGCACATTTCAAAAAGCATGTGACCTGAAAAAAGGAAAAATTTTAGTTAAAAAAAGAAAAATTGAATAAAAATGTTAAAATTCTTTTTTTCCGTTTTTCAGTACCAAAACAAATAGTGTCCATAGAATTGTGATGCACTAATCTCGAAGTGATTATCGTGTGAGTTCGACTTGTGAAGCCGAGAAGTGTATTTTCTAGGCCCGCGAGACGAGCAACTCCATTTTGAACAACAACATTGCCAGAATGTAAATGAGTGACTGTTGGAAATCCACGTTCTTTCAAGAAGACAAGTGCCTCAAGGATTTGCCGACCCATTTGCTGGATTTGGGGTAAAGGAAGACCCTTGCCTCGAGCTGAATATTTTTGACCCCAATCCTCATTCCAACAGTTTCTCTCAATCTTCAACAAAAGACACTCTTTTTTATCTCCATTATTCAACATTTATTTTAAAAATAACTTCTAAATTTCCATTTTATTTCTACTTTATTTCTATTTTCGCAAAAAAAAAAAATTCTTTAACATTTATTTCTCGAAAATTATTAAAGGTTATTTCACAATTAATTTACCAATGATTCTTTGTTTTTAGTTTCAAAAAATTGTAAAATTATCAGGGTTACCCCACAAAAATTTAATTTTGTTTTTTCCTAACTTTTCCTTGATTTTCAGACAAAATTTTAACTTTTTCCCTGACTCTAAAAAATATTCTGATTCACTCTAAAAATTATTAGATACTCAAAAAAATGTTCTAATACTTTTCTTTGCAAATTTCTTTAAACGTCAAATTTTATGATTATTTTTTAATTATTATTTTATTTATTCATTCAATCCTACAATTTTCTAGAATTTTTAACTAAAATTCTTCTTTAAATCAGTTATTTTTAATAATTTTCGAAGAAGTACTTTGAGAATTTTTAAATCCATTTGTTTGTAATTCAATTTCATCAAAAATTTCGATTATTCGGAAATTCTTCAATTAGATATAATATATATATATTTGAAAATAAAAACTTCAAATAATTTCAACAAAAACTTTTTCAAAAAAATTAATTTTACAAACTTGTTATTTAAAAGTATAAAAAATTCTAATTTTCAAAGATTCTACATTGAAACCTTTTCAAAATTCAATTTATTTCTAAAAATTCATGCTTTTAATATTCAATTATTATATAAAATTTTAACTAAAATTCATTTTTAAATAAATTTTTATTAAAAAATTTTACGAGAAAATAAATAAATAATTTAGTTTTTTTAAAGTATTTAATTAAATTATTTTGTTGTAACAAATTTTATTGAAATTTTTTTAAATAATAATGAAATTCCTGTAAAGAATTTTATTAATTAAAAAAAATAAATCAATTATCATAAATAATATTATCAAATTTTTCAAATAATTTAATTTTTGCGAAGAATTTTATTTAAATTCTTTACAATAATTAAATTCCTGCGAAAAATGTTGTTAATTATGAAAATAATTGAAATCTTATGAAGACTTTATAATATTTGAAAATAATTAAATTTTTTTGAGGAATTTAATTAAAATTTTATTGAAAATATTTCAATTCTCATAAAAAATGTAAACAAAATGAGTTGTATTATTTATTAATACAATTGAATTCTTAAAAAAAGAATTTTATTATTTATAAAAATAATTGAATCCTTGCAGAAAATTTTAATTCATTCTAAAATGTTTCTAATATTCAATTATTATTTAAATTTTTAACTAAAATTCATTTTTAAAGTAATTTTTATTTAGAAAGTTCTACGAGAATTCAATTATCTAAATATAAAAATTAATAATTTATTCAATAATTGAATGTTTCTTGAAACTGAATTCTTATAAAGAATTTTATCAACAAATTTTTAAATAATTGAATTCTTTTGACAACTTTGTATTAAAAATAAGTGAATTCTTCAATTTTAAATAAATTTAACGAAATTTTTCACCAAAATTGCATTTCTACGAAGAATTTTATTATTTAGGAAAAGAATTAAATTTTTTCAAAGTATTTAATTAAATTTTTTTCTTATAAAGAATTTTATTAAAATATTTAAAATAATAAAGTTTTTGCTAAGGTTTTTATTAAAATTATTTAAAATAATGAAATTTCTGCGAAGAATTTTATTAAAATTCTTTATAATATGTAGTTGAATTCCCGAGAAAGATTTTATAAATTATGAAAATAATTGAATTTTTGTTAGAAAATTTTGATTAACTTTTTCGAAAATAATTAAACTTTTCGGAGAAATTTAATTAAAATTTTATTGAAAATATTTTATTTATCATAAAGAATTTTATCAACAAACTTTTAAATAATTGAATTATTTTGAGGAAATTTAATAAAATTCTTAAAAATAATTGAAATTCTTCGATGAGTTTTAATATTAAGGAAATTATTTTAATTCCTATTTTAAAAGTTTATTATTTATAAAAATAATTGAATTATGACGAAAAAAGACATAAAAAAATTTGTAAATAATTGAATTCCTGAGAAATTCTTATTATTTATGAAAATAATTAAATATTTGCGTGGAATTTTATTAAAATTTGTTGTTTAAATAATTGAATGCTTTTGGAAATTTTTATTAAAATACGAGATAATGAAAATCATTGAAATCTGGAACAATTTTGAAAATAATTGAAATTTTGCCAAGAATTTTATTAAAATTTTTGATAATAATTGAAATTTTGACAAGAATTTTATTAAAATTTCTTGAAAATAATTGAATTTCGGAAAAGAATTTTATTATTTATACAGATAATTGCAATTTTAACGAGAATTTAAAAAAATTTTTCAACATAATTGAATTTTTGCCAAGAATTTTATTACTTTTGAAAATAATTGAATTTCTGCAATCATTTGTAACTTCTCCAAAATTCAATTTTTTTTTTTAGTGTTTTTTCTTCTATAAATCTATTATTATTTTTAATAATTACCGAATTAATATTAAAAAATTTGACTGATTTCAGTAAGAATTTGAATTATTAAAATTTTTCAAAAATCTAAGTTCTTTAAAATTTTTAATTAAATTTTCTTTTAAAATTCAATTAATTTTGAAACATTTAGATAAAATTTATTATTCATTAAATAATTTCTAACCTAATAATTTTATGATAGTTCTTCAAGAATTAAGTTATTGAAAAATAAAAAGAAAATAAAGAATAGTTGCTATTATTTATAAAAATAATTGAATTTTGCAATGAATTTTATTAATATTCCTGAAAATACTTGAATTTTGCTATAATTGAAATATTGACCTTTTTTTTTTTAATAATTGAATTTCTTCGAAGAATTTTATTACTTTTAAAAATAATTGAATTCTAAAAATTCTAAAATTTTAAAAATTTAATTTTCTCCAGTACTTTTAATAAAAATTCCTAACTTTTCCCTGAATTCCCTGACCTGTAGCAACTGTTTTTTTCCTCTAAACCCTGATTATAAACTAATTATTAATTTCGAGATCTTACCCCGTAAATTAAATCCTTGAGACTTCCTTGATTTATTGGCTGAAGAAGAATCGAGTAATTCATTCCCTCGTATTCGATGAATTCAATATTTAGCACTGGTGAAATGTAGGGATGTTGAAGAACAAGAAAAAGATGATTCAGTATTTCTTTCGTTGTCGGTGTAATTTCTACTGGACAGTTTTTCGTGAGTGGAGTTAAAGTCAAAATTCTATCTGTTTTCAATGAAGTGTCTCTGACAATAAACCAATGTTTATCCATTCGAGAGCCTGAAAATGTAAAATTCATTATCTAAGTTTCCTAAATTTTTTACATATTTTTTCTTTTCAAGTATTTTTAATTTAAAAATTACAAAAATTTAAAATTAATATTTTCCGAATTAGAAAATAATTAAAATTAATAAAACAAAATTTTTGTTCATTTGCGCATAGTAATAAATAAATTAAATACGGTGTAACATTTTCTAGGTGGTTATTAATAATTGTTAATAATTATTAATTTATCTCTTTATATCATTTCACTCAAATACCAAATTTTTCTTCTATTATTGAACACTTCTTTTTAAAATATAGTTTTTTAAATTTTCCACAAGAATGTAAATTTTTTTTATCTATATTTGAAAGAGTGAAAATCCATTATTTAGAGAGGATTATTTTTACTTCTCGAGAAAAGTAAATCGAGGACAATGTCTTATTACATTTATAGATAACAGAAAAAATTCAATAAAATTGATTTTATATAATACCAATATTGTTGAGCTGTTTTAGTAAATTGTAGCGAGAAGTTCCATGAATGTAAGTGGTGCAAATCGATAGGGCACGATCTCTCGATCGCTTTTCCATTTCCACATATTCTCCAACATCGTCACAACCGGAAGATCCATTTCCCAAGGCAGTGTATTGATGCTTTCCGTTTCTAATTGAAAAATAAATATTTTAATTTAATTCAATTTACCCACACAAATTTCTCTCTTTAATTCAAATTCAATTCAATTATTTGCTGCAATTTAAACTCAATTATTTACCACAATCAATTTAATTATTAAATTCAAATTAATTATTACATTCAATTGAAGCAATTAATTCAACTAAAACAATTAGAGTTAATTGAAGCAATTGATTCAATTGCTTTTCATTACTTCAAGATAATAAAAAATAAATAATGAAAATAATAAAATAAATATAATAAATAAATGATAAAAAAATAAATTTACAGTAAATTTCGTCTTTTTAAAAAAATGTCATTTTATTTGCTTGAGTGTAGAAAAATTTTCTCAATTTAAAAAGCACATTACTATTAACTAACTTGAGGCGGAGAATTCTTTTCTCTCGAGAGTGTTAAATCGGTCCTCGACCCGCAAAGCGGATTAAGTTCACGGTGGAAGAATTTCTTGAGTTCTTCAGCGAATTTTTTCTTTTTCTTTTCTTTTTCATAATTCAAATTCATCTCCGACTTCAAAATGAACAATTTTTTTTTATTAAAATTGAGAATAAAGTATGTAATTTCAAATTTTTTCTTATTTAGATTTTTGAAAAATTATTTTTTAAATTTAGAAATTATTAAATTTAATTAAATATTTTTTTAATTCGAAAATTGTTCTTTATAAAAGAGAAATTCCGATTCAATTTTTTTAAAATAAGAATTATAAAAATAAAGTAAAGGAAAATTTGAATTTATGTAAATTCGATTAAAATTGGAATATTTTTCGGTTTCCGATTTTGAAATTTAATAAAATACATTCGAATATTAGAAATTAGAAATTAAAAATTAGAAAATTTAGAAAAAAATCAAGTTTAGTTTTTTTTTCAAATAATCGATATTATTGAGAATGTATAATAGAAATTTTAAAGGTCCAGGTTAACACGACAGCCACTTAAGAAAAAACAATGAGGATAAAAGACAATGCAATACTTGGAGAGACAATGAGAATATGTGTAGAGAACTCACATTATCTCACGCAAGCTTTTTCTCGTTGAACAAATAATGAAAAAAAAAATACACTGCCTTCTCTCTATTTCCGAGATTCTTTTTCATATATGAAAAATATTTTCTAGCCCGAGGTTAATTTTATTCAGTTTTTAATTTAAGTTTCTACTGAGAGAGTCTCTAGAATACTAAAAATGGTTTCTTATTTTTAATTTATGTTTATTTTCTATTTATCATTTTTTAATGATTCGTAAGTTTTTAACGTTCAAATGAACAAAACATTTTTTATCAAAAATATTTTCATTAATTACTGATTGCAACGAAAATAAAAAAAATTATTTTACATTTAGAAACTTCACCATTAATTTTTTTTTTTATAGGAACGTAAAATTATTGCAATAAAAATTTAATTTGAAGAAGAAATAAATAAATTTTGTTCATTTGAATTCCGAAAATTTAAATACATATACAAAAAATAACATTAACATTTTGGAGAAAATAATAATATTCAAAATTTTTAAATAAAATTCTTCAAAAAATTAATTAGTTTTTTTTAAATTATACAAAAATTCTTTTTAGAAATTCAATTGTTTTCGAAAAATTACACTACAATTTAAAAAAAAAAATAATTCTTCGAATTGTTTTATCATAATTTTTTTAAGAATCAATTACCTTCGAACGAAGTAAATTAAAATTTTTTTAAATTCACTACATTAGACAAAATTCAAATTTTGAAGAAATCATTAATAATTAAAATTCTTCAAAAATTTGATTATTTCTTTATATTTTTTAAAAACTCAAAGATTTTGAAAAGATTTTATCAAATTTCAATTATTTTTCAAAGATTTTACCAAATTTCAATTATTCTTTAAAAGATTTTACCAAATTTTTACTGAAAATTTGAAAAGTAATTGAATTTTATCAAGAATTCAATTATTTTCAATAATTGTAATAAAATTCTTAGCTAAAAGTCAATTTATAATTATAATAAAAATCTTCGCAAAAAATTAAATTATTTTTATATAAATAATAAAATTTATTCTTATCAGGATTTCACTTATTTTCAATACAATTTTAATTGATTTCTTCGAAAATTTCAATTAATTTGAAAAATCTTGTAAAATTTCTCCAAGAGAATTCAATTATTTTGAAAAAAGTAATTGAATTTTTCACAAGAGTTCTATTATTTAAAAAAAGCTTTTAATAAAATTCAATTTTAGAATTTAATTATTTTCATAAATAATAAAATTTTCGCTAGAATTCAATTATTTTAATTATTTTTTAAAAAATTTTACCAAATTTCAATTTTTTCGGACATATTTTAATTGTATATAATTGTAAAAATATTGTCTTTCATAAACAATTTAGAAATATTTTTAAAAAATTAATTTTAAGAATTTCTTTATTAAAATTTTATTTCCCGTGAAATAAGAAGTATTTAAATATTTATTCAGCATGAAATTATTCGAGTTTTGAATGATTGAATTTAGAAATCAATGAAGAATCAGGGAGATACAAAATAAAATTTTTTGTGACAACTAAATTGAATAAACGACTTGTTTGAATATTCTTCTATTTTTAATCGACTAAAGCGACTTTTTTGTTTTAATTAGTATTGAAAATAATAATTGAATTCTCAATAAACAAATATTCTAAAAAAATTTCAAAAGTAATTGAATTCTTTCGAAAATTTTGTCTTTCAAAATTGTATTAAAAATAATTGAATTCTTTCGAAAAAATATGTATAAAAATTTTGAAAATTTTGAATTTTAGCAAATAATTTTATTAAAATACTCAAAAATAATTGAATTCTTTCGAGAAATTTTATTGAAAACAATTTAATTCCACGAAGAATTTAATTAAATTTTTGAAAATCATTGAATTATTCCGAAGAATTTTATTAAATTTTTTGAAATTAAAAAGTAATAATTAATTAGTTAATAAATGAATTTTTTTAAATTTCGAATCTGAAAATATTCAAAAATTAAAGTTAACTAGCCAAACTATCCGCGCGCAAGCGCGCGGGAATGTTGTATGGGGCTGCTTATTTTAAACAATTTAAAAAATTTTAAAGAAATAATTATTATAACCTAACAAAGAGATTTAACTAACTAAAATTCAAATAATTTCACTCAATGGTCTCAATTTAAATAGAATTTACATTACTAGACTTAAACTATGGCTAGAACAATTACAATTAGTATCTGGTTCATCTTTTGCATTGCTTATTTTATAAAGCCATTTTAAATTAAATACTTTTTAAAGAAATAATAATTATTACACACTGAAAAAAGTTTTACTTGAAATAGCGATAAGTTTCTCTAGAATAACGAAAGTATTAATTGAAGCACTGAAAAATTTCGCTACTAAAGTGAAATCTGTAGTTCATCCAGCTAAATATTTTTTGCCGTGCATAACGAAAAAAGAATTAAATTAACATCAGATTTTCTACATTCAAAAAAAACGAATTCAAATAGAAATTAATCATTTTACAAATTAACCAAATTCACCCCAGAAATCACTGAATTCGATAATTTAGAAGAAAGTCAGACAAAAGCAGGGTTACTACAGAATCTGGAAATCATGGAAATCATGGAAATGGTATGGAATTTTTAAAAGGCTTCTGGAAATCAAGGAAATCATGGAAAAGGCCTGTAATTTTTAAAAAATTCTAAATTTTTTCAGTTTTCCATTTTTTCTTTTGAATAAAAATTCAAATAATAATAAAGCTAAATGGTATAAAAGAGAAAAAAAATGTTGAATTTTAAGAAATTCAATTTTTCAGATTTTTGATAATTTTTAATAATTTTTTATTTTTTTTCCAAAGAGTCGAGACAATTTAACAAGTAAAGTATTTTCCAAAAGCACAAAAATAATGAAGCTAAATCCCATAAAAGAGAGGAAAAAATGTTGAATTTTAAGAAAATCGGATTTTTGAATTTTTTCGAATTTTGATAATTTTAGATTTTTTACTAAAGAGTCGAGACAATTTAATAAGTAAAGTATTTTCCAAAAGCACAAAAATAATGAAGCTAAATTCTATAAAAGAGAGGAAAAAATGTTGAATTTTAAGAAATTCGGATTTTTGAATTTTTGATAATTTTCGATAATTTCACATTTTTTACCAAAGAGTCGAGACAATTTAGTAAGTAAAGTATTTCCAAAAGCACAAAAATAATGAAGCTAAATTCTATAAAAGAGAGAAAAAAATGTTGAATTTTAAGAAATTCGGATTTTTGAATTTTTGATAATTTTCGATAATTTTAGATTTTTTACCAAAGAGTCGAGACTATTAAATAAGTAAAGTATTTTCCAAAAGCACAAAAATAATGAAGCTAATTCCCATAAAAGAGAGGAAAAAATGTTGAATTTTAAGAAAATCGGATTTTTAAATTTTTTCGAATTTTTGATATTTTTAGATTTTTTACCAAAGAGTCGAGACAATTTAATAAGTAAAGTATTTTTCAAAAGCACAAAAATAATGAAGCTAAATCCCATAAAAAAGAAGAAAAAATGTTGAATTTTAAGAAAAACGGATTTTTGAAATTTTTCGAATTTTTGATAATTTTAGATTTTTTACTAAAGAGTCGAGACAATTTAATAAGTAAAGTATTTTCTAAAAGCACAAAAATAATGAAGCTAATTCCCATAAAAGAGAGGAAAGAATGTTAAATTTTAAGAAATTCGGATTTTTGAATTTTTGATAATTTTTGATAATTTTAGATTTTTTACCAAAGAGTCGAGACAATTTAATAAGTAAAGTATTTTCCACATTAAAAAGTTTGACATTAAAAAATATATAAAAAATGCCAATACTTAACCCACAAAATTAAATTTTCAAAACAAACAAATGAATGCAGATAATTTGCTAACGGAAAGGAAACTTACGATTATTTTAATGTATGTATATGTATATGTATATTTCTATTTTCTATCAAAACGTATAAAAAACAAAAGAATAACTATAACTAACTTCAAGTGTGGACAGAGATCCGGAAATCTGGAATCACGACGATTATTATATATAATAATAATATTAGAAAGTAGGAAATTTTCTAATTCGCATAATATTAATAAAATCGAAAGCACATTTATTCCTAACTAATTAATAATTTCGAAACAATTAAATTGTCTTTTCAGTAAGAAAGATGAAAAAAAAATTTTTTTCTGAATAAAATTAATAAAAAAATCCTTTCTAAATACCTGACTTCATTTTCACGACAGCCACGTGCAGATGAAACACGATTAAATAGAATTTTCGCTAGACTATCAATTTTATTGGTGAGTGGATAATTTTTTTCATCATCGCTATCATCCTCCTCGATGCTTGCACTTCGTCCACGTTGAAGAACACCTCTGGCAGTTAACATTGCACCCGAATCCAATTCAATAGCACTTTGTGTTCGTCGACCAACATTTTTTCTTTTTTTTCTCGTTCCCGGTCTCTCCTGGCAAAATCTATCGTGACCCGTCACCTCTGTTTCCCTATGATATTCATAGTCATCTTTATTTTTACTAAAATTCTGATATAAATTGAACATTATTCTCTATATATATATTTTCTCTGTATTTTTAAAATCCGTTATTGGATGGAGTTTTTTCTTGGTCCCGAAAATTTTTAAATCTGCAAAAACACAATTTTTAATTAGTTTCGAATAATTTTTTTTTTTATTTTAGAAATTATTAAAATTTATTTATTTTTTTTTTTACTACAAAATAGAAAGCGAATTAAATTTTAATTAAAAAATTTTAATTTTTAATTAAAAAAAAAGAAAAATTAAATTAAAAGTAGTGAATAAAAATTAATTATTACCTCAATATTAAATGAGTGAATATCCGTATTTATTGTCTCATTGAGTATAAATGCAGATGCATTATTTTGGTCTCAGAATATTTGGCGGTGATAAGCGGAGAATATTTGCAAAATGAAAAATAAAAAGGAAAAAAAACAATTCTGACTATGCGAACAATTTTGCAGGCGGTGAACCCTCATGAGGGTGGAAGTGCACTGGTCGCCGGAATGCGTTGGGGGTTTGCACCCCCAATACCCGGCGTGACACAGATTCGCGAACGCAGGTATAGTGGTTTCGTGGCTGCGCCGTGACCGGGACACCCAACTCACCCACAATTTTATGTATATATGTATATATACGTAGAAAAGTTTTTCTATTAAACTGCACACACTACATAATAAAACGTGTCCCGTCTGAAGGGAGTTGAGTCAATTGCGTGCAGACGGGGTCATCGAAATATCATTCTCACATTTTCCAATTCAATGAATTCAAAAAAATTATTTCCAATAAAAAATTGATTTTTTTTCAAAAAGAAAAACTTTTTTTTACTCATTTCCAAATTTGACACAAAAAATTAATTCTCTTTTTTTGCTAACATTTCCCTGATTTTGAGCCAAATTTTAATCATTATTATTTTTCAATTATTATTTTCTAAAATTTTTACACTAAAATTCTTCTCTAAATCAATTATTTTTGATAATTTTTAGAAAAGTTTAATAAAACATTAAATTTAACGATTATTTCGAGTCAGAAAAATTTTACTAACTCGGAATGATCGTTAAATTCAATGTTTTATTAAATATTTAAAACAACCAAGTAATAAAGTCATATAATATTTTAAAAAACTTCTTTTTTCTTACAAAATATTTTTACAAACTTGTTAGTTAAAAGTATGGAAAATTCTAATTTTCAAAGATTCTACTTTGAAACCTTTTCAAAATATTTCAATTATTTTTTTAAAAATTCATGCTTTTAATATTCAATTATTATATAAAATTTTAACTGAAATTCATTTTTAAAAATCAATTTTTATTAAAAAATTCTACGAGAATTCAACTCTGCGATGAGTTGTATTATTTATTAATATAATTGAATTCCTAAAAAAAGAATTTTATTATTTATGAAAATAATTGAATTTTTGCAGAAAATTTTAATTCATTCTAAAATGCTTCTAATATTCAGGTATTATTTAAATTTTTAAATAAAATTCATTTTTAAAGCAATTTTTATTTAGAAAGTTCTACGAGAATTCAATTATTAGGTATCTAAATACAAAAATAAATAATTTATTCAATAATTGAATATTTCTTAAAACTGAATTCTTATAAAGAATTTTATCAACAAATTTTTAAATAATTAAATTCTTCTGACAACATTGTATTAAAAATAAGTGAATTCTTAAATTATAAATAATTTTACAGAAATTTTTCACCAAAATTGAATTTCTATGAAGAATTTTATTATTTAAGAAAAGAATTAAATTATTTTCTTATAAAGAATTTTATTGAATTTTTTTAAAATAATTAAACTCCTGCAAAAAATTTTATAAATTATGAAAATTATTGAAATCTTGTTAAGAATTTTTATCAAAATTTTCGAAAATAATTTAATTTTTTCAAAGAATTTAATTAAAATTTTATTGAAAGTATTTCAATTCTCATTAAAAATGTAATCAAAATTAATTGAAATGATTTAAATACAAAAGTAAATAATTTATTGAATAAATAAACTATTTTTTTTTCTTATTAAAAGTTTTACCAAAATTTTTCAATAAAATTGAATTTCTGCGAAGAATTTTATTATTTAGAAAAAGAAATAAAATTTTTTTAAAGTAGATATTTAATTTAATGTATTTAATTAAATTATTTCATTATAAAAGATTTTATTGAAATTTTTTAATCTAATAAAATTTTTGCGAAGAATTTTATTAAAATTCTTTTTTTTCAAAATAATTAAATTTCTGCAAAGAATTTTCTTTCTAAAAAAATAATTCAATTCTCATAAATAATTGTATTCAATTTTTCAAATAATTAAATTTCTGAGAAGAATTTTATTAAATTTCTTTAAAATAATTAAACTCCTGCCAAAAATTTTATAAATTATGAAAATAATTGAAATCTTACTAAGAATTTTTATTAAAATTTTCGATAATAATTAAATTTGTTCTTGGAACTTAATCAAAATTGAAAATATTTCAATTGTCATAAAAAATGTAATCAAAATTAATTGAAATGATTTAAATACAAAAATAAATAATTTATTGCATTTTTAAATGTTTCTTAAAATTGAATTTTCATAAAGAATTTTATCAACAAATTTTTAAATAATTAAATTCTTTTGTCGAATTTTGATAACATTTTTAAGATTAATTACATTTTTCGAGGAATTCTATTAAAATTGTATTAAAAATAATTGAAATTCCGAGATGAATTTTATTTTTTATGAAAATGATTAAATCCCTGTAAAAAAATTATTATTCATGAAAATAATTGAATTATTACGAAGAAATGTATACTTAAATAATTTGTAAATAATTGAATTTCTGTTAAATTTGTAATATTTATGAAAATAATTTTAAATATTTTCGTAGAATTTTATAAAAAAAATTCTTAAATAATTGAATTCATTTGGAAGATTTTATTAAAATAGTAGATATTACAAAATCATCGACTTGTGGAAAGTTTTAGAAAATAATTGAAATTTTGCCAACAATTTTATTAAAATTTATGAAAAATAATTGAATTTCAGAGAAGAATTTTATTATTTATAAAGATAAAGATAATTGAAATGTTATTGAGAATATTTAAAAATTTTGAACATCATTGAATTTCTGCGAAGAATTTTATTATACTTTTGAAAATAATTTAATTTCTGCGAAGAATTTTATTACAATTTTTAAAAATAATTGAATGTCTGCAAATATTTCTAATTTCTCCAAAATTCAATTTATTTAGTATTTTTAACTAAAATTCTTCTATAAATTCATTATTTTAAATAATTATTAAATATATTAAAAAATTCAACTAATTTCAGAACATTTTTTTCCCATCACTGATTTTTACGAATAATTATTAAATTATTAAAATTTACGATAATCAGAAAAATGAAAAAAAAACTTTGAAAAATCATGAATTTTAATTAAAAGAATAAAAAGGAATCATTTTAATTAAATGAATAGATAAATATTCATTTGATCGAAATGTTCAAATTTGAATGAAATTGAAAATAAAAAATTGACTTTTATTTCCTGATATTTACTCGTCATTATTTAGCGCGTGAATAATTCATTGAGTAATGAGCGTGAATAAACTGTCGCTCACCGTCTGTTAATCGATAAATTCTTTTTGTTTTTAAATAACTAATTAAGAGTCATCAATTTGTTTTCTTTTTTCATATCAATAAATTAAAAAAAAACGGAAATAATTACACCTCTTTTTAATTCAAGATTTTTATTTTTAATTAATAAATTTCTTTTTTTCTATATTAATTTTTTTTATTTCAACAAGAAACTTGAAACATTTACTTCACTTTGTCAAAGTGAAGGCACTTATTATCAAATAGTACGAGTATTATTATATAAGAATAAGAAAAAAATAAAATAACTTCTGAATCCGTTTTAAAAGAAAAAGAAAAACCGTTTTTACTATGAAATCCCTGACCCCTTAGTGAACTTTGGAGACCACATTCGGTCCTAATCTTTTGCTTTACAGTTTTATGGCTGCATTCAGGGACAATTTCAACAATTTCAAAACGCACTTATTCTTCCGCTAATTGGCTCTCTTAATATAATCATATTTCTTCTTTAGGCCTCTATCGAAATAAATGAAATTTCTTTGGAAGAAAAAATAATACTGTCAAAATATCACCAAACAAACAAAAAATTGAACTCAAAAAAAAAGAATTTTTTAGTTCATATCGTGATTATCTGGATTTCCAATATTTTTAAGTTGAGAAGTCCACTCTTCTACGGGTTTATTTCTGTAAATCTGTTTCAAAAATTTAAACCAATGGTTAATTTTAATTTCTAATAATTTATTAAATTATCACTATCAGTAGATCTTAAAATGAATAATGAAAAAAAAAATTCTCACCCTCGACACGAATTGAAGAACTTCCAATTTATCCAATTCATGCTCAGCTCGCGATCCCCATTGATACTGGAATTTTTCAGGTTCAGTATTTTCCACTTTTGAACGAAGCAAATATCTTTGTTTGATAAAATCCTGGAAATTTAAAAATAAATTGACATTTTTGTCGCAAAAAGGATATATACAAATTTAATGCGAATAAATAATTCTTACTCCTGTTATCAATTGATGAACATCACCGAAATATTCGTGACTAAAATTATCACCATTCACAATTGCCAATTTGCGTAGAAAATTGAACAGATTATCTGCAATTTTTAAATATTTCCATTAGTTCCTAATATTTACTTTTCTGTGCAATTAATTTTTAATAGTTAATAAAATAATAATTAAAAACAAAATAATACTAAATTAATAATAAAAAACAAAATAACAATAAAAAAACAAAAACAATTTTTCTTTTTTATGTTTTGAATTTTAAAATTAATGAAATTTGAATTTAATGCTATCAAGATTAAAAAATACCAAAATTTAAACCACATTTTTTTAAACCTAATTATTTGCAATTAAAAATATTTCTTTTATACTTAATTTTAAATCTGAAATAATTAAATTCTTAAAACGAAATTTAACCAAATTTTTTAAAATGATTAAATTCTTGCAAAAAATTTTATAAATTGTAAAATAATTGAAATCTTGATAAAAATTTTATTAAAATTTTAAAATGTAATTAAACTTTTTCGAGGAATTTAATTACAATTTTATTAAAAATATTTCAATTCTTATAAAGAATTTAATCAACATTTTTCAAAACAATTGAATTCTTACAAAGAATTTTATTGAAATTTTTCAAAATAAAATTTTTGCGAAGAACTTTATTAAAATTATTTATAATAATCAAATTCCTGTGAAGAATTATATTAATTAAAAAATAATAAAAAAAATAATAAAAAATAATTGAATTCCTGCAAAGAATTTTATTAAACTTTTCGAAAACTTTTAAATTATTATTATTAATTAGTTAAGTAGTTAATAATTGAATTTTAAAGAATTTTAAATCTAAAATTATTCCAAAATTAAAATTCATATTTTAAAATTAAAATTTTTTTTTAATTTGCATAATAATAATAATACCTAGTAATAATAATAAAAAAAATAATAATAATAAATTCTTTAAAAATTCAAAAACATACCTTCGCTAGAAACCAAGTCGTTCATAAAAATGTGTGACAAACATATGAACAAAAGAACCATTTTATTTTTTTCCGACGGAAATGTCACATGATAATCATTGTTTGGAATTTCATTCACTAAAATATATTTTCCAGCATCGATTTCCACTAATTTGTATCCAAACACCTGTTAAAAGAGAATTTTCAAAAAGTTATTTAGAAAAATTTAAAATTATTTTCCCATCTTTATAAATTAAGATTAAGATTCTTAAAATTGAGTTTAAAATTAAGATTAAAATCAAGATTAAGATAACAGGGTGTCCAGCGATTCTTTAAAAAAAATTTAAGGACTTTTCAAGGTTTTCAAGGTCCAAAATAATTTTTTTTAAAGTCCATTTTTAGGATACTAATTTTCAAAATATTTATTATTTATAATCGAGTATAATAGTGTATTTCAAGTCAATTTTTACTTACTGTCTAAATTTGAATTAGTAAAAATGATTACTAATTTTATTTAGTGACTGACTTTTTGCTTTTGAATTAGTAAATTTTACTAATAAATAATCATTTCTACTATTTTTTTTTTTAGTGAAATTTACTAATTAAAAAGCAAAAAGTCAGTCGCTAATTCAAATTAGTAAACATTTTTACTAATTCAAATTTTGAGAGTACTTATAAACAATTTTAAAAATTCTACATACAACAGTTATTCATAAATAACTTTAAATACAATTTATTGATAAAAATTTTTTTTAAATAATTGAATTCTTTTGAGAATTTCTATTAAAATAATTGATATACAAATTATTGAATTAAGAAAAATTTTTGAAAATAATTGAAATTTTGCAATGAATTTTATTAAAATTTTTGAAAATAATTGAATTTTATTACTTTTTAAAATAATTGATTTTTGCAAAAAAAATTATGCAACTTCTTATTTTAAATAATTTAATAAATGTACATTTTTTATTTAAATAATTGAAAGTTTGTGTATAGAATTTTTAAAAAACTTTTGTTTAATAATTAAATTCATTCGGGAAATTTTATTTAAATAGTAGTATATTGAAAAACCATCGAAGTAAGAAAATTTTTTTGAAAATAATTGAAATTTTGCCTTGATTTTTATTAAAATTTTTGAAAATATTTGAATTCTTGTGATGAAATACTATTATTTACGAAAATAATTGAATTTTCCAATGAATTTTATTATTAAATCTTATTTTTAAGAATTTTAATTTTTTAAGGTTTTTTGTCATAAAATTTAAGGTGTTTCCAAGGTTTTCAAGGAGCAAAAAAAAATTCAAGCACTTTTCAAGGTTTTTAAAGTTTTCAAGGTACCTGGACACCCAGGAAAATTATGATTAATTCTTAATTAATAATTAAGAAAATAAAGAAATACCTTATGAAAAGTCAGTCTCACACTATCCATAACAGTCCGATAATGCTTGGAATTATTTAAAATATTCTTTTGAATATTTTGTCTTAGAATTGGAAGTCGAGAACGATCGGCAACGAGAATATATCTAATAACATGTCCCATTAAACGATTAACTTCATCGTCAGGAATAATTGTTTGTGTTCTAATTGAAACATCATCATTGGCATAATCATCATCGTCGTTATCAATGAATTGTGACATCATTTGACTTTGAGATTTGCCCGATTTTCTTCTTCCTTGTGATCTTTGACTTTGTGACATGCGACTTGTATTATCACCATCGTCTCTTCTCTTCTTTCGCGATTGCGTTTGAGTTTGCGAACGATAGGAAATTGACATTTCGTCGTCACTATCGCTGTAGGAAGCATTAATGCGATTCACTATTGTTCTTCGTGGCATTTTTATTCGCAATTTTAAATGCCGAAATGCAATTTCAAGAAAGAAAAAGTTTTTTCTCAAGGTCGTTAAAATTACCTGATAAAATATTATTTTCACTAAATTATTTCATTAATTTCATAAATTTCATTAAATAAATCATATTTTATTGTATATATAATTAATGCAAGAGTTTAAACTTAGGGAGAAATAATTTAAAATCCGTTAAAATCAATTCGCAAGATTCTCAAAAGAGTTACCAAAAAAAGATGTTATTTTTGTCAAAAAAATTTGATGCATTGAAAGTTTTTAAATAAATGATTTGTAATGCAAAATCAACTAACCTGCGAAACGGCAATAAAACTTAAATATTGCGATATTGCAAATATTTTATCCTTAAATAAAAATTTTTTTTTTTCCTTAAATAAAAAGATTTTACTTTCCGGTTTTTCCGTTATTTGTCAGAAATTTCAAATCTTATAAACTTCAACTAGAGGGGGAAACTTTTTGTGAAATAAATATTGTTTCCAAAAATGTCCGTTCTCGACTATTGGCGCTTCTCGACAAAGTAAAAGTAGAAATAACAGGGGTTTTAAGCTTGGAAATTTGGAATATTTCGAAACTGTGAAAATGGCACAATGTTAAGCACCGTTCACATCCCCCCAGCCCTTCTTGTTGTGATTTTTGTCATGACGGGTGTAATAAATCCCGGCAAGTCGCAAAAAATGTCGACTAGAGTGCTACAACAAAAGGGCCAGGACTTTTTGAACTCTAGGAAACATGCTAATAATTTAGTAGACATAATTGGACAATGGGACGTAAGTAAAAATTACATCCACCCATGAAAAAAACAGTAAAGAATAATTTTTTTGAGGTTATGTTTCACTTTCCATTTTTCTCGCAAAAAAATTTTTCAGGAATCTGGTACTGCCTGCATTTTCACCGTGGAAACGATCTTTCTCGAGATTCTAAGACGTGGGGACATGTATCAGGAGAAGTCTATTACACTCACAATATCCGGTGAGTGAATTTTTGATTATTTTGGGTATAAAGAAAAATGTGTTCCATACGGACGTTTCGTTCTCAATTCTTTTTCTTCTGATTACTATTAAAAAAAACCTATTGGATGTTAAAGAAATTGGTTGAATTGGACTTTTTTTTTATCTAGAACCAAGTCCTGAAGTGAGATATATTACTTGGTTGTGCAATTGTTATGAGGAAATTTGGGAAAAACTATTGACATCTATAGAAAGTTGTCGACCTACAATTCAACTTCAGGCACTCTCGACGGGCCTTAAATTAATGGCCGAGGAAGGAAGATATCCACTTGAAGTCACTAGGGAATTAAGTTACAATTTTCCCCTCCATCGATTGAAACCATTATTAATGTCACTTTTATCACCTGAGAAGGATAATGCGAATTTAATTGCAAGATTCGAAGAAATATCAAACTATCCCGACGCACTGTATTATATTTATAAATGCCTTCCGTCACTTACACCAAAGAGACAGCCTCGAGAAATTTATATTAAGAATTTATTAGAACTTATACACAAGTTGCCTCTACAAAAAGACATTGAAGGTAAATTTATTATTTTATTCTAATAATTATTTTATTCTAAATAAATTATTTTATTCTAATAAATTATTATTTTATTCTCTGTGTGCAATTATGCTAAAGATTTATATTTTTTTGCAGAAGGAGAGACATCGAAGAGTAAGCAACTTTTATGTGGACCTCAAAATGGTAACAATTTTTGCTAAAATTTACTAAAACAAGGTTGCCACAAAAATTTAATTTGGTTTTTCCCTAATTTCGTGATCAAATTTTTTTCTTTTTTCCGGACCCTAAAGAATATTCTGATTTACTCTAAAAATGATTAGATACTTAAAAAAGTGTTCTATATTTTTATTTGCGAATTTCTCTGAAAGTAAAATTATTCTAAAACATCAGTAACTTCTTTTTTCAATAAATATTTAATCGAATTCAAACCTTTTTGAAATTCAACAACTTATATAAATATTTAACATAAAACATGAAAAAATTTATCACTTCGAGTCGAAGACTGAAAATTCTGTAGAATTAATTTTTTTCGAAAACGTTTAATTGAATTTTTTTTGGAATTATTTCAAGTTTTTATTTTCTAATATTATCCAATTGAAGAATTTCAAAATAATGGATGAAATTTCTTAAATTTAAATTGCAAACAAATGGAATTTAAATATTCTCAAAGAAATTTTTCAGAAGTTTTTAAAAATAATTGACTTAAAGAAGAATTTTATTTATAAATTCTGGAAAATAATAATTGAATTGAAATGATGAAAATAATTTTGAAGAAGTTCGAGTAACAATATTCTGATAATATAAAATAATGATTTTATCACTCGGTCAAAATTCTTCTCAAGAATTCAATTATTGTCAAAAATTTTAATTAAATTCTTGGCAAAATTTTAATTATTTAAACAAAATTTAATAAAATACCTACTTTGCACGAATTCAATTATTTTTATAAATTTTAATGAATATCTCGTCAAGAATTCAATTATTTTTATAAATTTAAAAATTTTTCGCCAAAAATTTAAATAAAATTCTTTGCAATATTTCAATTATTTTTAAAAGTTTTTCGCAATTCAATGTTTTTAAATATTTAGGTACTATTTTTATAAAATTTATCAACAGATTTAATTATAGAAAAAACTTGTTGAAACAATTCTACGAAAAGATTCAATTATTTTCATAAATAATAAAATTTCATTTACGAATTCAATTATTTTTATCGCAGAATTTCAATTATTTTTAATAGAATTTTAAATAAATTCCTTGAAAAATGCAATTATTAATAAAAATTTTATTAAAACTTGAGGAAAGAATTCAATTTTAAGAAACATTTAATTATTCAATAAAACTATAAATTTCGTTGCAATAATTCAAATATTTTCATAAATAACATTTAATTCGTCGCATAAAATCAATTATTTAAAAAACTTTTTAAGTAATTTTGCAAAAGAATTCAATTAGCTTGATAAACAACAAAATCGCATAAATTCTTCCCATATAATCAATTATTCTAAGGAATTTTAATAAAATTCTTTTCCAAAATTCAATTATTTTGATAAATATCAATATTCATCACAAGAATTCAATTCTTTTGAAAAGTAGGTAATAAAATACTTTGCAGAAATTAAATTATTTTCAAAATTTTTTTAAAATTCTTGTCAAGAATTAAATTATCTTTATAAATAGATAGGGAAATTCTTCTCAAGAATTAATTTATTGTCAAAAATTTTTTTTCAATTTTTCTCAAAAAGTCAATTATTTTCAAAAATTTTTTAAAAATTCTTCTCATGAATTCAATTGTTTTTAAAAAATATTATTTAAATTCTTCTCAGGAATTCAATTATTTTTAAAAAATTTAATAAAAGTTTTCAATTATTTTCAAAAATTGTTCTGAAATTCTTTAATAGATTAAATTTCATTAAAATTTTAATTAAATTCCTTAAAAGAAATTAAATATTTTCAAAAGTTGTTAATACAATTCTTCGTAAAAATTAAATTTTAAGAAACATTAAATATTATTTATTTTTGTTTTTAAATAATTGATTTCTCGTAGAATTAAATTACAATTGTTTTTCATACTTTTAACTAACAATTATGTAGAATTAATTATTTGAAAAAGTTTAATTTAATAATAATTGATGTTATAGATTTAAAGTAGAATTTTAGTTAAAAATTCTAGAAAATGTTAATTGAATTGAAATGATAAAAATAATTTTGAAGAAATTACAGTAACAATATTCTTATAATAATAAACTAATGATTTTGTCAGTCGGTCATCTTTAATTATTATAAAACTTCGACTTGGAGTGATCGATTTCTTTATGTTTTATAATAATATTCTTATGAGTTGTTCAATTTGAAAAGGTTTGAATTTAAAATTTTTTAACATCTTAATTCCAATGCAAAAAAATGATTAAATATTTATTTAAAATAAAACTATTGATGTTTTCGAAGAAAACTTTTGAAGAAATTTGTAAATAAATTTAATAAAACATTTTTTTGAGTATCTAATAATTTTGAGAGTGAATCAGAATATTGTTTAGGGTCAGGGAAAAAGTGAAAGTTGTGTTTGGAAATCAGGGAAAAATAAAGTTAAATTTTTATGTCAACACTGTATAAATAAATTATATTTTTATCTTTATTTAACCAATTTTTATGGTCCTCTAAAAGTCCCCTATTTTTTAATTTTTAGTCTCCTATTTCCCCCAAAATACTTTTTAGGGGCACTGTGAAGCCTGTCATTTGTTCGAGCCTTGTTTATTTTAATGTTGAGATTAAAAATGAATATTTTCAGGTTTGAATTTCACGTGGGATTACACTAGTGTTAGACGAGCTTTAAATAAAGTTTGGGCGTGTGTTATGCACTGGGAATTGACGCCCGCATTGCACAAACAATTATTAATTGTTCTACTAGAAAGAGTTATGGCACATTTAGAAAAACCAGTATTATTAACCGATTTTCTGATGGACTCACTAGATGCCGATGGTCCTATTGGCCTTCTTGCTCTACAGGGAGTCTTTATACTTGTTACAAAACATAATCTTGAATATCCGAATATATTTACCAAATTGTATTCAATGTTCGAGCCGGAGATTTTTCACACAAAATATAAAGCACGATTGTTTTATCTCTCTGATCTATTTCTCAGTTCCACGTAAGTAGATTTTTCTTCACGTCAAGATTTTATTTTGTCTTTTTGGTTATTTTAATTTGAAAATATTCTTTTTTTTTCCCTTCTAGACATTTACCGGAAGCGCTGGTCGCAGGGTTCGCAAAAAGATTGTCTCGTTTAACACTCGTGGCACCACCAGAGGATATTCTTATAATTCTCCCCTTCATTGGAAATCTTTTGGTGCGACATCCGGGCCTTAAGAGATTAATTGATTATCTGCCAAAAGGCGAGGAGTTCACGGAAGTGAGAGCTGGTCTTTGTGATCCATTTCTCATGGACGAGCGCGAACCAATATTAAGTAATGCAATTATAAGTAGTCTCTGGGAAATTAAAGCATTACAGTGCCATATGCTACCGAATATCGCAACAGCGGCAAGATTTATTCGCGAACCAATACCATCTGTTGAATATGACATAGCATCAGCACTTGAACGTACTGGGGGACATATATTTGATCGTGAAATTAAAAATAAAGTGAAGGATATTATGTTGGCATTTGAAAGACCAAATTCATTGGCATTACCGAAAAATGAACGTTTACTGCAATTCTGGCATCTCACAACAATGCATTGATCCGATGATCAACAAAAAAAAATTTGGTAAGAAAAACACAATCGCGGTGCAATAATGTTTTTCAAAAGGATAATCAACTTTTTTTTGTCGAAATTTGTACATTAGGCAAAAAAGAAAAATGATCAACGTTAATTGCGATTAGAATTTATTAAATTTATTCTTTTTTCAAAAAAATACCCTTTTTTTTTGTTAAAATTATTATTTTTCACGCGCTCCCAAAGAAAGGTACCTGAGAAGCAAACAATTTATAGATTATATTTGCCATATTTCTCTTGATTAAAACTTTGTTTTTAATTATCTAAACTTAAAAACAGTCTTTTTTTTATGTAACAATTGATATAATCTCTAATTAGTATAATTAATTCTCTTTCTCTACTTTTACAATATAAAAAAATTGAACACAACCTTTAATTTTTTTCCCCTTCTTAGGAGCGCGTAAATTTTTAAAAATTGATTTTATTTATGAATTCGTTTTTTTTTAAGGATATTTGTGATATTTTTCAAGAAATACGAGGAATACTTTTCAGAGAATTTTGTTTTGTACATTTCTTTTAATATTTTAATTAATTTTCCAATTATTTTTTTTTTGTTTTGTTTGTGTTTGAAAAATGTGCGAAAACAGATCGAATCTGTTTAGATATATAAATGATAAATAAGAGATAATTTTGTATTTTTGAAGATTATAATGACAAGGCCAGTTTTATTTGTCATTTTGAAATATTCATTTTTGAACTAATTGTTCTTTGGTAGTGAAAACAACAACTGGTTTGGTCATTATCATTTATAAAAACGTAAAGGATATAATTTCGTAAAAAAAATTGTTAAGTAGCTTTAATTTTTTTTGTCGTTTAAAGAAAAGAATAAATTATTATCTATATAAATAATTGTCGTATTCATTCTTTCACTAACATGAGTTTTAATTTAAAATTTTAGAAAATTTCAATTTTTAATTAATTTAATTAGAGAGAACTTCGATTTTTGCAAAGAAATTTTAAATTCAAATTCTTCTGAAATTAGTTAAATTTTCAATTCAATTATGTTCAAAAATTTAAAGAAATTCTTGTCAAAACTTTATTTTTATTATCTTTATAAATAATAAAATTCTTCTCCGAAATTAAATTATTTTTGAAAAATTTCAATAAAATTCTTGGCAAAAATATAAATTATTTTCAAAAATTTTCTTCAATTCAATGATTTTTTAATATCTACAATTTTAATAGAATTTTCCAAATGAATTCAATTATTTAAAAAAAAATTTTAATAAAATTCTCTGCAAACATTTATTTATTTTCAAAAATAATAAAAATTTCACAAGAATTCAATTATTTACAAATTTTTTATAAATTTCTTCACAATAATTAAATTATTTTCATAAATAATAAAATTTTTAACAGTGATTCTTTTTAGGAATTCAATTATTATTTTCATAAATAATAAAAATTATCACAGCATTTCAATTATTTTTAATACAATTTTAATCGAATTCCTCGAAAATTATTATTATTCTTAAAAATTCTATCAAAATTCATCAAAGAATTCAATTATTTAAAAATTTGTTGATTTAATTCTACGAAACATTCAATTATTCAATGAATTTTTTATTTTTGTATTTAAATTCAATTATTTTAAAGAATTTTAATAAAAATTCTTCGCATAAATTTTTATTATTTTGAAAAATTTGTTAACATTATTTATGAGATTTGAATTATTTTTTTAATTTATAAAATTCTTTCTAGAAATTTAATTATTTAAAATAATTTTAATAAAATTCATCGCAAAAATTTTATTATTTTAAAAATTTCAGTAAAATTCTTTGGAAGAAAAAAATTTAATTCTTTTCCTAAACTTAATAAAATTCTTCGAAGAAATGCAATTTTTTTTGAAAAATTTTTGGCAAAATTTTTTATAAATTTCTTCGCAATAATTCAATTATTTTCATGAATAATAAAATATTTTACAGGAATTCAATTATGTACAAATTTTTTGTAAACTTTTTCGACAAAAAATCAATTATTTTCTTAAATTTTAAAATAAAAAAAGTTTGTAGAATTTCAATTATTTTTAATACAATTTTACAAGAATTGCTCGAAATATTTAATTAAATTATTCAAAATTTTATCAAAATTCATCAAAGGAATTCAATTATTTAAAAATTTGTTGATAAAATTTTTTATGAGAATTCAATTTCAAGAAACATTCAATTATTCAATAAATTATTTATTTTTGTTTTTAAATAATTTCATTTAATTTTCATTAAATTTTTTATGAAAATTGAAATATTTTCAATAAAATTTTAATTAATTAATTTAAATTCACATAATTTTTAAAATTTTTCACAGGATTTTAATTATTTAAAAGAATTTTAATAAATTTCGTCGCAGAATTCCATTTAGTTTGAAAAATTTGTTAATATTATTTGTGAGAATTGAATTATTTTTCTAATTAATGAACTTTTTTGCATGAATTTAATTGTTTAAAATAATTTGAATAAAATTTTCGCAAAAATTAATATTATTTTAAAAATTTTTAATAAAATTCTTTATAAGAAAAAATTTAATGAAATACTTTGAATAATTTTAAATTCTTTTCCCAAATAATAAAATTCTTCGTAGAAATTCAAATTTTTTTGAAAAATTTTGCTAAAAATGATATGAATTCTCTTATTTTTAATACAATGTTGTCAAAAGAATTCAATTATTTAAACATTTTGTTGATAAAATTCTTTATAAGAATTCAATGTCAAGAAACATTTAATTATTCAATAAATTATTTATTCCTATATTTAAATAATTGAATTCTCGTAGAATTTTCTAATAAAAATCTATTTAAGAAATAATTGTAGTTTCAATTTTTTAGATAATTTTAAAATTATTTTTCTTACCGTATGTTTCAGCTTTTATGAAAAATAATATGCAACAGATTTCAAAAATCCACTTGTCGTTAAAATTATTTTTAATTTTCGATACAACTGTTCTCTGTTAAATAAAAATTTATTTCATTTAAAAATATAATACATATCTTGTAATAAAAATTGTAAGGAAGCAAAATATTAAGTTAAGTAATTTATAATTATTTAGTACATTAGTTTTTTATTTAAAATGATTATAAAAATAATTAAATGTATAAATAGTTTCATCGACTTTATATACTTTTTTTTTTATTAATGCATCTTATTTAAACTATTCAATGTCACTGTTGTCTTCTTTCCTCCAATAACTGTAGAAAGAAAATTTTAACATTATTTGTAAATATATATTTTGGTTATTTTAGTATTGTCAATTATAATTATAAGTAAATTGAAATGTAACTAAATTTAATTAAATGAATTAAATAAATTAAATGAATTTAAATAAATTGAATTTAGTTTATAAAGTAAAATTTATTTTTTGTTTACCTTTAGAAGTAGTTTTCCTTCCTCCTCGGTGTGCTTTTTTTGTAATATTTTAAATAACAATGAAGGGGGAATATCAGGTACTGGTTCTGGATTATTGGTGGAAATGTACGAGACCTCTAATAATTCTTCGACTGTTGGTCGTGCTTTAGCATCACGATTTAAACATTTTTTCATAACATCAATTAATATTGGTGGCACAAATTTCATTTGATGACCACTTCTTTGTGGAAAGGCAATTTTATGACTTGAACTTTGTATTGCATTTATTTTTTTACAATAATTACGAATATCGTGAAATGGTGTGTGACCATAAACGAGACTATAAAGAATACAGCCCAACGCCCAAACATCTGATTTGCAATTTATCTGAAAAAATAAACATTATTAGAAAATTTATTATCAGTTTGCTGTTTTTTTTTGTCAAACAAAAAGCAAAAGAAAAGAAAAGAATTTAATTTGAAAAATTTAAATCTAAAATTAAAACGGAAAATATTGAAATATTACTTTGTGTTTGACGTTACTCGTAGTTTCCTCAATATCAATTAATGCTTCTGGACTAATGTAATTTAATGTTCCAGTAGTTGAATTTTTCACTACTGATGTCATATCGGCATTTATACTCGACGCAATGCCAAAATCAATAATTTTCAATTTTCCCCGAACTAAAACGAAGTTTCCTGGTTTTAAATCTGAATGAATTACACCTGAAAAATAGAATTTTGTTAATGTTGCGTCTTTTTAAGAACCAAATGGCGAAATTAATACAGGATTGCCACAAAAATTTAATTATTTCCCTGATTTCCAAACAAAATTTTGACTTTTTCCCTGACCCTAAAAAATTTTCTGCGATTCACTCTAAAAATGATAAGATACTCAAAAAAAAGTCTATTACATTTATTTACGAATTTTCTTAATATTGTAAAATTATTCAAAAACATCAATAACTTCATTTTCAGATAAATAATTAATCATTATTATTTATCCAATAGGAATAAAGATTTTCAAACTTTCTAATTTAAATCTTTTAAAATTATTGAATTTCAAAAGATTTGAATTAGAAAGTTATTGAATATAATAATAATTAAAGTTCACCGAGAGATAAAATCATTATTTTATATTATAAGAATATTGTTACTGTAACTTCTTCAAAATTATTTTCATCATTTCAATTCAATTATTATTTTCTAGAATTTTTAAATAAAATTCTTCTTAAAATCAATTATTTTTAATAATTTTTGAAAAAGTTCTTCTTTGAGAATTTTTAAATTCATTTGTTTAAAATTCAATTTTACGTTAAATTTCAATTATTCGGAAATTCTTCAATTAAGTATAAATTAGAAAATAAAAACTTGAAATCATTTAAAAAAAAATTCAATTAAACTTTTTCAAAAAAATTAATTTCACAAAATTTTTCTTTAAAAGTATGAAAAATTAAAATTTTTAAAGATTTTAATTTGAAATCATTTCAAAATTCAATTACATTTAAAACAATTTCTATTAGAAAATTTAACGAAAATTCAATTATTTAAATACTAAAAAAAAGAATCAAATGATTAAATATTTCTTAAATTTGAATTTTCATAAAGAATTTTATCAACAAATTTTTAAATAATTGAATTCTTTCGACGAATTATAATACAATTTTTAAGAATAATTACATTTTTCGAGGAATTCGATTAAAATTGTATTAAAAAAAATTGAAATTCTGCATTGAGTTTTATTATTAATAAAAAAATAATTGAATTATTGCGAAGAATTTTATAAAAAAGTTTCAAACAATTGATTTTTTTCGAAAACATTTATGCAAATTCTATTTTTAATAATTGAATTCCTGTGAAATGTTCATTATTTTATAGAAAATAATTGAATATTCGTATAGAACTGTATCAAATTTTTTTCTAAATAAAAAATTGCATTCTTAAGAGAAATTGATGAAAATAATTAAAATTTTACAATTAATTTTTTTAAAAAATTTTGAAAATGTTGTATTTTGATGTATTTTGTATTTTGATATTACTTTTGAAAATAATTGACTTCCTCCGAATGATTTTATTATTTATGAAAATAATTAAATTCCTGAAAGGAATGTTAAAATTTATGAAAATAACTGAAATGCTGCGCAGAATTTAATGCCAAATTTAAAATCATTTGATTTTTTCGAAAAACTTTCTGCAAATTATATTTTAAATAATACAATTGCTGTGAAATTTTTATTTTTTTTGCAAAATAATTGAATGTTTGTGTAGAATATTATCTAAATTTTTGTTTAATAATTGAATTCTTTTGGGAAATTTTATTAAAATAGAATATTGAAAATCATTGGATTAAGAAACATTATTGAAAACAATTGAAATTTTGACATGAAATTTATTTAAATTTTTGAAAATAATTTAATTATTGCGAAGAATTTTATAAAAAAAAGCTTTAAACAATTGATTTTTTTCAAAAATATTTATGCAAATTCGATTTTTAACACATAAATTCCCGTAAAATAATTGAATTTAAGAAAAATTTTTGAAAATAATTGAAATTTTGCAGTGAATTTTATTAAGAATTTTTGAAAATAATTGAATTTCATTAATTTTATTACTTTTGAAAATAATTAAATTCTTGTGATGAATAAAATAAAAATAATTGACTTCCTCGGAATAATTTTATTTATTATTTATAAAAATAATTAAATCCCTGAAAAGAAATTTAAAATTTATGGAAATAGGTAATTGAAATACTGCGAAGAATTTAGTGCCAAATTTTAAAACATTTGGTTTTCTCGAAAAAATTTATGCAAATTCTATTATTTTAAATAATTGAATTCCTATGAAATTTTTATTTTTTTTGGGGAAAATAATTGAATGTTCGTGTAGATTATCGAAATTTTTGTTTAATAATTGAATTCTTTTGGGTAATTTTATTAAAATAGTAGTATATTAAATATCATTCAGTTAAGAAAAATTTTTGAAAATAATTGAAATTTTGACATGAATTTTATTTAAATTTTTGAAATTCATTGATTTTTATTACTTTGAAAACTAATTGAATTCTTGTGATGAAATTGCTATTATTTATGAAAATAATTGAACTTTGCAATGAATTTTATTAAAATTCCTGAAAATAATTGGATTTTGTTTTAATTGAAATGTTGATAATTTTTTTTTTTTAAATAATTGAATTCTTCTGATGCATATTCTTATTTATGAAAATAATTGAATTTTACAATGAATTATATTAAAATTCCTGAAAATAATTGAATTTCAACGAAGAATTTTATTAATTTTGAAAATAATTGAATTCTTCTGATGAATATTCTTATTTATGAAAATAATTGAATCTTACAATAAATTTTATTAAAATTCCTGAAAATAATTTAATTTCAACGAAGAATTTTATTAATTTTGAAAATAATTTAATTCTTCTTATGAATATTCTTATTTATTAAGAAATAATTGAATTTTACAATGAATTTTATTAAAATTCCTGAAAATAATTTAATTTCAACGAAGAATTTTATTAATTTTGAAAATAATTTAATTCTTCTTATGAATATTCTTATTTATTAAGAAATAATTGAATTTTACAATGAATTTTATTAAAATTCCTGAAAATAATTGAATTTCAACGAAGAATTTTATTAATTTTGAAAATAATTGAATTCTTCTTATGAATATTCTTATTTATGAAAAAATAATTGAATTTTACAATGAATTTTATTAAAATTCCAGATAATAATTGAATTTCAACAAAGAATTTTGCTATTTATAAAGATAATTAAAATGTTACCGAGAATTTTTTAAATAATTTTTGAAAATATTTGAATTTCTGTAAGAATTTTAATATTTATTAAGATACTTGAATTCTTTCAAAGAATCGCTTTAAAATTATTAAAATTGAAACTAATTTTAACAGAATTTAAAATAAAATTTAAAAAAAAATGCTTAATCAAATGATTTATAAGTAATAACTTTATGGCAGTTCTCCAATGGAATTAAGTTATTTAAAATAAAGTATTGTCAAAAATGGAAAAAATTGAAGGTTTTTTTTTAGAATTCGTGTCAATTTCATAGTTTATGAACCAAACCAAAAAGACACAAAAATTCAGAATTTTCTTATAAATTGTAAACATTTAATTTTTTGGTACTTTTAATAAAAATCCCTGACTTTTCCCTGATTTCCCTTATCAATTCTACTTTCCCTGACCTTTCCCTCAACTCCCTGATTTCCCTAATCTGTGGCATATTAATAATAGTAAAATTAAATTACCATTTTTGTGTATATGATTAACAGCAATCAACATTTGTCTCCAGTAATATAATGTGAAATAAATATCAGTCTCAACGGCATTTGTTTTAATCAAACCGCTAAGATCTGTATCACCCAATTCCATGACAACATAGGCGTGTGTATTTTTAACTTCACTGCAAAAAAGAAAAAAAGTATACATTTAATAATAAATTTTTTTTTCTATTTTAATATTTAATTAATACTTACTAATCAAACATTTTGATGACACACGGAGCCTGTAATTTATGTAACATTTTAATTTCATCTAAACATCCTTGAATTCCCTCCTTATCCAATTGATTGAAATTAAAGAACTTGACCGCTTGTATTTGATTATTTGCCAAATTCTGCACTCTAAACACCTGTCCACTCATTCCTTTTCCAATTAATCCCAAATTTCGATATGTTACTTTTTTCACAACAATATACTCATCGTTTCTATTTATTTTCGGTTGACTAATTTGCGAATCAAAAGTCAGTGGAACTTGTTGAACAATCGTATTTGGTTTATTGTCAATAATTGTCGGAAATACTTGCGGTGATTCGATTTTTTGTGTTTTTGTGGGAAATAATGACGGAACTTCAGCTTTAACCGTCGTGGATAATAATTGTGGAACTTCAGCTTTAACTGCCGTGGATAATAATTGTGGAACTTCTTTTTTCACTGTCGTGGATAATAATTGTGGAGATTCTTTCTTCACTGACGTGGGGTATAATTGTGGAGATTCTTTCTTCACTGTCGTGGAGAATAATTGTGAAGCTTCAGTTTTAATTGACGTGGATAATAATTGTGGAACTTCAACTTTCACTGACGTCGATAATAATTGAGGTGGTTTATTTTTAATTATTGTGGATAATAATTGTGGCGCCTCATTGGGATTGTCATTAGTTTCGGCTTTAGTTTGATCGGAGGAATAATTTGATGACGATACTCTTGCAATGATTGAATCCTTATTTGATATTGAATTTCGTTTCGATGCCGTTTCAGAATTTAATTTTTCATTCACATTGGGATTATTGTTCTCCTTTAATTCAATATTAGTTTCAATAGGTGTGGGTCGGTAGATTGCTTCAATTTTCGGTGCAATATTATTTGCAATGGCGCTGTGTCGTGATTCAAAGGAAAAAGATTGCATTGAATCTTTCTTTAAAGAAACTGGCATCATTGTCTCGGCCAATGGTCTCCTCACTTTTTTATTCTCAAGATTGTAAAATCTGAAAAATGGAAAATAAAGTCAGATTTCTCCTTCGATAATTAATTTTAAAAAAGTATCAAAAAGTGGCATTTAAACTAAAAAAAAGTAGCGATAGAAAAATTAAACTTGACGACCAAGAAAACTGATTTTAGACACTTAACAAGACTGACAAAAATTCCATTATATATTTTATTTTCCTGACTTTTTCCTAATTTTCATCAAAAAATATTTACTTCCTTCTTATCCTGCTAATAAATTGAATTCCTGCAACGAATTTTATTATTCATGAAAGAATTTAAATATTTATAAAAATAATTTAATTCTTGCGACGAATTTTATAGAAATTTTTAAATAATTCATTTCTTTCGAATAATTTTATTAAAATATTTGAAAACAATTGAATTTTTCCAAAGAATTAAAAAAAACATTTTCTTAAATAATTGTCGATTTATTGAAAATCATATTGAATTCTTGTAAAGTATTTATAAAAAAATTCGAAAATAATTGAATTATTTGAATTCATTTCAAGAATTTTATCAACATTTTTTTCAATATAATTGGATTCTTTCGAGAAAATGTAATTAAAATTGTATTGAAAATAATTTAATTCTTGCCAAGATTTTAATTAAAATTCTTTAAAATAATTGAATTTATTTCAATTTTCTTGGAAACAAAGGAATCTTTTTAAAATAATTTTTAATGAAAAATTTTGAAAATAATTGAATTTTAAGGATTTTTTTTAAGTTTTTAATATAATCGTGATTATTATTAATTTTAATTAACGATTTTCCAATTAAATTATATTTAAATTATTCATAGGAAATTAAAGTCTTTTAAACAATTTTATTAGAGTTTTTGTAAATAATTCCTTTTTTTTATAAAGAATTTCATTAAATTTCATGAAAAAAATGTAATTTTTTAAAGTAATTTTAAAAATAATTAATTAATTAATTAATTTTTGAAAATAACTGAAATTTACATAGAATTTTATTAAAAACTTTTGAGAAGAATTGAATTGTTTAGAAAAATTTTATTACAATTTTTGAATGTACTTAATTGAACCTGTGAAAGAAATTTAATTAAATCTTGAATATAATTGAATTTTTCCCCAAAAATTTAATTAAAGTAAAAATAATTTAATTTCTCAGAAAAATTTTATTATTTACAAAAGTAGTTGAATTCTTGCCAGGAATTTTACAAATTTATAAAAATAATGAAATTGTTTCGAATAATTTTTTATCAGAATTGTTGAAAATAATTGAATTTTTATTAAAACTGTTGAAAATAATTGAATTTAAATAATAATTTTTAAAAATAATTGTATTATTCTTTTGAGTAGTTTTATTAAAATTGTATTGAAAATAATTGAATTCCATCGAAACATTTTTTTATTACTTATGAAAATAATTGAATTCCTTTGTAGAATTTTATGGCGACGAATTTTCTTATTTATGAAAATAATTGAATCCTTAAGGAGGATTTTACAATTCATAAAAATAATTAAATCGTTTCAAAGACTTTTATCTGAATTTTTGAAAATAATTGAACCTCTTTGTGAAATTTTATTAAAATTATCTTGAATATAATTGCATTTTTTCCTAGAAAATTTGATTAAAATTGTATTGAAAATAATTGAATTTATAGAAAATATATAGAAATAGTGTTAAAAATAATTGAAATTCTTCAATGACTTTTATTATTTATGAAAATAATTGAATTTTGAATGAATTTTATCATTTGTTTTTTTAAATAATTGAATTCTTTTGCTAAATTTTATGAAAATACTAGATATTGAAAATAATTGAATCGTTTTAAAGAATTTGATTATAATTTTTGAGAATAGTTTTTTGATTTCTAGTATTAGCGAATTTAAAGTAGTGGAAATTCTATAAAAAACAGAAACAGTAGCTTTTAGTGGCTGAAATCTAAAAGAAGTACCCAAATATGAGCATAACGTTAAAAAAGTAGTAAATAGTAAGTTTTAGTAGATATTTAGTAGTAGGTTTAGTAGTAGATTTAGCGAAGCCTGTAAAGTGTGTAAAATAAAAAAGTCATATTGAAAAAATAGTAAAAAAAATTGAACAAACCTGGAATTTTCCGTTTTTGTTGAACTCGATTGTACACTATTCGATTTATCGGTGCTCATACCTTCCATTAAACGTGGAATTTGATTATGTGAAGGAGTTTGTAAACTACTTTGCGGTAATTGTCCAAATAATGACGAAGGAGTTGGCGCACAATTTTTTTCACACTCGATATTCATTTTATTCTGCGGTGTAATGAATAATGATTTATGAGAAAAACAAGGGGTTGGTCGTGTACTCCCCGTAATTTGTGCATGTTTAATTGGAGTTTCACTTAAATAATGAGATAAATTCAATGACGAACTAAGAGTTGGTTTTTCAATTGACAATTGCGTTTTTGGCAATTGCTGCTGCTGCTGCTGTAAAGAATGAGATTCTTGTTTTATTGTTTCTTTATCAATTGACATTTGTGCCAAATTCACGGCCAATTGTCCACATGTATCTTTGGGACCTTTTAAGGTATTTTCTACAGTTTCCGAATCCTTTATTCTGTCACATTCCAAATCGTCGACACCGTAAAATTCTTCATCTGATTTATCAGAATCACGTTCTCTGTCTTCACTCTCATCATCGCTGCTCAATTCCAAAAGTTCTTTAATACGGAGTGGTTTGATTTTGGGTTTATTACCCAAATTAAGGCCCATTTGTGCCAAATCAACAGAGAGACTGTTTTTATCACTACTGGAGCGTTCTTCCATTTTTTTCTTTATTTTTTTTTGTTATAATTCAGCAACTTGATCAACAATACATTGCTTTTGATTTTTTCAAAGAAAATGTCCGTAAATCTAAAAAAACAGGTATCAATTATAAGAATAAATTTTAAGGTAAACAAAAACAAAGAATAAAATGCCGTTTTTGAGTGTGTAGCGGAAAACAAGAGATAAGTAAATTTACTTTTTACATACCTATTTATTAAAACTTAACACGATTCTAAGACATTAAAACTTTAGAAGTTGTTTATAAAATAAAATGAAAGAATAGGATCACGAGCACTGAGATATTTCTTTTGTTGCTAATCAACTGTCACACCGGTTCTTCCTCGTCTTTTGTAAAGAATTCGAACTTAGAAAGTAGTACCCGATTGGCTGAGCGAATAACATCTGGGACAAGTTCTCAACAGCCAATCAAAATCGTTCTCATTCCATTGGAAACTTGACCTTTACAAAATAACACCAACAGATGTCGCAAAATTCAACCGCGAAACTTCGAAACACTAAAGTCGAGAATTATTAATAACTAGCAAAAAATTTTATATTTTCAAAAATAAATAAATAATAAATAAAAAATAAATTTTTGCAACACTAACCTGTAAAATTGAATTTTACACACAGAAAACTGTGTGTAAAGTACTTCTTTTTATAGCGGTGTGTAAAGTGTTACTTTACACACCGCTAGCAGTGTGTAAAGTGAATTCCAGTGTGTAAAGTGATTTTCAGTGCGTAAAAAGGTTACTTTACGCATTCTTGTGACTGTTTGATGAGAAACAATGAAATAATGCTTTTAATTAACAATTTACAATCACATTTTTATTTTAGCTTCTAGAAAACTTCATTTAACAGTTCCCCCACTACACCTAAAGTTACAGTAATATTGGCAATATTGCTGCAAGTTTAGTTGTTGTAGTGTTGCAAAAAATTTCGTATGGCACTCGTGCGTAAATCAGATTATACTTGTGTGACTTGCAGCACTCGCCTTCGGCTCGAGCTGCAAACGTCACACTCGTATAATCAACGATTTTACGCACTTGTATCATAAATAACTATTTTGAATGATTACGGACTTAAAATTTAAAGAATCCACTTATTAAGTACATAATATTAAATATTCTATCTTGTCTATTATTATTCAAAAATTTTTTTAAAAATTTGTCACAAGAATTTCATTATTCTCATAAATAATAAAATTCTTTAGAGCAATTCAATTATTTTCACTACAATTTTAATAAAATTTCTCGAAAGAATACAATTATTTTTAAAAATATTAATTAAATTCGATTATTTTCAAGAATTTTAATATAAATTCAATTATTTTCAACAATTTTGATGAAAATTAATTTTAAAAAATCATTATTTACAAAATTTTTAATAAAATTCCTTAAAAAATCTTACAAACAATTCAATATTTTTATGAATTGTAAAATCTTCCTCAAGAATTAAATTATTTTCATAAATAAGAAAATTCGTCGCAATAAAATTCTACAAAAAAATTCAATTATTTTCATAAATAATAAAAAAATGTTTCGGTGGAATTCAATTATTTTTAATACAATTTTAATAAAATTTCTCGAAAGAATACAATTATTTTTAAAAATTATTATTTAAATTCAATTATTTTCAAGAGTTTTAATAAAAATTCAATTATTTTCAACAATTCTGATGAAATTTCATTTTAAAAAATTATTTTCAAAATTTTTAATAAAAATTCCTTGAAAAAATTCAATTATTTTTAAAAATTCAGATAAAAGTCGTCGAAACAATTCAATTATTTTTATGAATTGTAAAATCCTCCTGAAGAATTCAATTATTTTCATATTAAATAAGAAAATTCGTCGCAATGAAATTCTACAAAAAAATTCAATTATTTTCATAAATAATAAAATTTTTCGGAGGAATTCAATTATTTTTAATATAATTTTAATAAAATATCTCGAAAGAATACAATTATTTTTAAAAATTATTATTTAAATTCAATTATTTATTAATTGATTATTAATTATTTATTAATTAAAACATTTAAAAAGAAAATTGACTAGGAATTTTTCAATAATTAAACAATATTTAAATAAGTCATATGTTTTTAATTATTAGATCGTATGAATGTATAATACATAGTCGAATTAAATAATTCGAATCATTAATAAAAAAAAGACGTTTGGTAAAAAAAAACAATTTTTGTATTTATAATAAAGCCCATTTTTAAAAAAGGAGTTTCTTTTCACTTTGTATCAGAAATTCTATATTATAATCATGTGATATTTTTCTCTACAAAAAAAAGTGATTGTAACTTCTTTTTTTTTTACTTTTGTTTTTCGCCTCATCTTACAATAAGATCACAACTTATATAATCAGGGTATTTTTTTTTTTTTTTGAACAATTGGAATTAAAAAAATTATTATACAGAAACAAAAATAAAAAAAAACAATTAATAATAATAAAGTAGTAGAGTACGCGTGGCGATAAAATAAAAAAATTTACCTCTAAGTAATTCAATTTATAATAGATGTTTTTTTCTCTTCTTTTTCCCTTTGCGTGAAATTCGGTCTTTGAAATCTATGAAACTACACAACAATTCGCTTCTGTCGCAATTCACATTCATTATTTAATTGATTAAATTAAATTATGCTTAACATTTTTCTTTTTTTTTTATACACCGCCTTTCGACCTGGGAAATTAATCTGGACTTCGTGCTACCTACGCTCCACTATTCCCATTTTTTTTTTTTTAAATTCTTTCGTTAAGAAAGTGCTCTTGAGCTTTAGGAACTACTTGGCAGCAATCAATAATAATAACGCGTTGGGACTCCGTATAGATATCATTCTAGATTTATATCTTCACATCTCGTCATTATTATTCTATGTATTTTACCATTTTTTTGTTTGTTTCTTTTTTTTTAAGACAATGATTCATTGTCGTGCGTATTAAACAAATTTCCCCTTCGATTTAAAGAAGGATTTTGTCTCTAATACCAATGTTTACAATCAGTAGGGCACTTAACGACTATGAATTTCATATTCGCTACTCTCCATTTTCTTTTTCTTGCTTTTTTAAAAATTTGATTTGATATATAAACGGAAAGAAGACAGTAAATGGAGAGAGAGTGATGAAAAAGAAAAAGAGTCCCTCGAAAAAATAAAATAATTTAAAAATTATGGGTGGCTTTGTTTGTTTTTTTTTTCTGTGTCTCTAAAAGACGATAGACATATAAAAAATAATATTTTATTTAAGACTTACGGGACGAAATTAAGATTTGCATTTAAAAGTCGTGTAAAGATGATTTCTAAACTATTTTTTTTTCAGAGGTTCCTTAGCGCTTTCCATTGTTGTAATTCAGTGCTCGTAATGGAGCCTTAAACGTCGATGCTGACTGCTGTTGAGCCTGATAAGCTATTGGATGAATTTTGAAACCGTATAATCTGTAAAATAAAAATTATCGAATTAAAACACAAATTTTCATATTTTTTTCAAACAATTCTTTTTTTCAAAATTGAAAATCAAGAGATTTGAAATTAAATTTTTCATAAAGAAATTTTTTTTAGCTTCTGACCTCGGTATGAATTGATTTGTTGCCCGCTTTGGTCGATATTCCGGATGTACCATAAACAGCATGTGTGGAAATCCCGTTCCAAAATAAGCACCGTCTGTATGATGATGTCGTGAACTTTTTGGCGTATATACATCCATGCATTTTGGACAATAACTCTTGACCATTGCCTCACCGGGAACGTCACTTAAGCCCAATGGCAGCATTGGCTGTGATTCACAATAGACACGCGGACAATGACCAAAATCGCCGGCCTGGTATTTTTCAATCATCTGGGCTATTCCCCGATTTGTCAGGATATAACGAGCGTGTATTAACCCATAAAGCATCTCCGCTGCCTGATCAATTAAATCCGACTGGTTTGGGTTGTCATCTAAATCATCATCTAATTGAAAAATATTTCTCGACATTTATCTCATTTTCCTAATGATAATAATAATATATAGAGTATGTTATTATCTCAATAGACATAGTAGCAAAACAATTTTTAAAAACCAATTTAAAAACTTCAAAAACAAATTTAAGAAACAAATAAATATTCAAACAAATCAATAATTTCAAAATTTGTCCATTTTCAAATTTCTCAAATTTTTTTAACTGTGAAACTATAATAAAAATTGAAGTAAAACATCGATTATCTCAAAGCTTCAATTTTTATTATTTATCTACTTACTTGAAGAGAAGATTAATTTGTAGAACAGAATACGCAAAAAAAATGTAAAGTTAATAAAATCAGGCTTCGCACTCAATAATTTGTTTAAAAAAAGCAAAACGCACCTTTAAGACTGGAAAAAAGTAATAAAAAAGTAGTATTTTTATTTATTTATAAAAATAATTGAATTCCTGCAACGAATTTTATTAATTTATGAAAATAATTGAATTCTTGTAACGAATTTTATAAAATTTTTTTTAAATATTTAAAACTTTCTATTTATTCTTTTGATTATTATTAGTATTGTTAATTTATAAATTAGTGCTAATGCACAAAAGGGAATTTTTAAATTGTAAGCACGTTCATGATTAAATAATTAAATAAATAATTGAATTCCTGGGGAAAATTTTATAATTTGTAAAAATAATTAAAACCTTTTTCAATTTTATAAAAATTTTATAGAAGAATTCAAATATTTCGAATATGTTAATTCAAATTGGATTAAAAACAGGGTGGTCACAAGTTTCAGTTTATCAATTTCCCTGACAATTTACTGACATTAAAATTATTTTCCCTGACAAAATTGTTTTCACAGGAAAATATGAAAGTTTACGGAAAATGAGTAAAATTTATGAAAGTTAATAATTTCTAAAAATTACAATTATAAATATAAAATTACAATTTGCTTTATTTCGAAGATAATTAAATTTTTAAAAATTATGTTAAAAAAATTCTAAGAATTAAGTATTTTTTAAAAATATTTTAATGAAATTTTTCGAAAACAATTGAATTTCTTAAAAGAGTTTTTGTAATATTTAAAATAACTAATTAATTTTTTGATGAATTTTAATTCAATATTTTGGAAATACATGATTTTTTTCTCCAAAAAGTTAAAAATAAATCTAAAATTTTATATTTTGTATGTATTTGAATTTTCGGAAATATGTCATTTAAAGAACTGAAAAAACTAAATTTTAAAAAATTAGAAGCTAAATTTTCATTTTTAAATTTATGTTTAAAGATTTTTCATTAAAATTTTTGATAACTCAATTATTTTGAAAATTTGCAATTAAAATTCTTCAAAAGTTGATTTTTAAAAATTCTAACAAAATACTTTAAAAATAATAATTATTTTCAATTACCTATATCTTATAAAATTTTATTTATCAAAATCTTTTAATTGTATTTTTCGAAAATTTAAATAGAAAAATGATTCAAAAATAATTTTTGAAAGATTTTTTTTTGTATGTAGTTATTTTTTGCAGTATAAAAATTGAAATGAATTTCATTTCAAATTTAATTGAATTTTTCAAGTGAATTTCATTATTTATGAAAATAATAAATTTAACTAAATTATAAACAAATGTTGTCAAAGATTTAGAATATATCATTAATTTTTTACAAACAATTTTATTAAAATATTTAAATAATATTGATTTCTTTCGAAAAAATTTTTCTTGAAAATTGTATTTCATAGAATTGAATTACTTTGAAAATTTTATTATATTCATGATATTACTTAAATTTTATTAAATTTTCGAAAATAATTAAATTAAATTGAAAAATTTTGTGGAAATTTTCGAATATAATGAAAAGATTCCAAAGAATTGAATTAAAATTGTATTGAAAATAATTGAATTACTCCGAAACATTTTTTTTTATTATTTATGAAAATAATTAATTTCATCTAAAGAATTGTATATTATTTATAAAAACAATTGAATTTTTACGAAGAATTTATTAAAATTAAAAAAAATGAATTCTTGCAAATTTTTTCGACGAATTAATTTAAAACTTCATTGAAAATAATTCAATTCGTACCTATATATACAATTTTATAAAAATTTATTAAATTTATTATTTGAATTAAAAAGTAACTGAATTTTTACGATGAATTTTATTATTTATGAAAATAATAATTTAACTATTATAAACAAATGTTGTCAAAAATTAACATTATAATTAGTTTTTTGCAAAGAATTTTATAAAAATATTTAAATAATTGATTGAAATAATTTATTTCGAAATTTTTTTTTTTATTTTTGAAATTGTATTTCACACAATTGAATTACTTTGAAAAATTTTATTATATTCATGGTATTATTTGAATTTTCGCTTTGAATTTTATTAAATTTTTGAAAATAAGTAAATTAGTTTGAAAAATTTGTGTGCAAATTTTCGAAAATAATGAAAAGATTTCAAAGAATTGAATTAAAATTGTATTGAAAATAATTGAATGCCTCTGAAGAATTTTATTATTTACGAAAATAATTTAAACACGTGAAAATTCTCAAAATAGGAAAAAGTAGCTTTTAGTGTCACAGATTTTAAAATAAGTATCCAAATAGTAGCTAATCGTAAAAAAAAGTAGTAAATAGTAGATAATCGTAAAAAAAGTAATAAATAGTAGATTTTAGTAAATGAGTGCGAAGCTTGTAAAATAAAAAAATGAAAATATTAAAAAAAGCCACAATGGGAACGTGAGTTTAGAAAAATTTTATTTCTCCCATTTGTGTGAAATATTAATATTTTTATTCTAAAATAAAAATTTGTCTAAATTCACGTCACTAAAATGGCTACAGAACTATTAAAACGAAAATACTTGCGACTGTTAGTTATTTATTATTATTTTATTACTAATTTACTCACCTGGCTCTAAATCGAGAATCATATCGAGAGCCTGACGATAATGTGGCACTTGTTCATTCAGTCCTGTCAGGTTAAATTTATCCTGAATGTAGTCCTCGTCAACCTAAAAGGAAAATCGAATTTATTAAAGAAAAAGAAGAAACGAATGAAAAGAACGAAAAATTTAAAATAGAAAAAAAGTACACTTGGAATTTAAAACCATTTTGATTTAAGGTGTTATCTTTGAGAAATTATATATACAAAACAAAATATCGTGTTACTCGAGACACAGTAAAACAATACACACAGTTGTTCTAGGAATTCGATTACAATTCAGTAAACAATATTTCATTTTCAAAACTCAAAGCATTAAAATTTTTATCTTTCTAATTTTCCAAATATCATTTTATTCAGTAGAAAAAATAACAAAAAAAAAAAAAGGGAAAAACTTGACTGTACCGGAAAGAGTGACTGACCAACTACCAAGACAACTGGAATAGTGAATGAAATGACGTACCTCACAGAAGAATTCATTGCCCCTGAGTCCACAAAACCAGGAAATCCATGACACCTCCTCCGAACTGCTCATCTTTCTGTAGGGGCACAAGAGATTAGAAAATCCTGAGATTAGAAATTCCGCGGGGAAGTTACTGCAGGTGAAGCTGCGCAATGGTACAGCGTGGTACAATGTGAACACTGTGTAAAGCGCCTTTTTTTTTGCCCCCGTGTGTGTGTTCACACGTGCAAGAATTAACGAGTTTTTCACCGATTTTCTATTGAAAAACCCATATAAATTAATTGATGAGGGGTGGGAAAAACTTTTTTTTTGTTTTTGAAAAAGGAAAGAAAAATTGTTGTGGCTTTTTAGTTGCGGGCAAGATGCCCGTTCTTATAGCCTCCTGTCCACGGGCCGAATTTTTTAGGCGTCTCACAAACCTTCACTATTTGTTCATTAAATGATTATTAAACAAAATGGAAAGACGAACGTGATCACGGTACGCACTACTCGATAAAAAAAACGATTAAAGGACCATGCGGCCCATTAAAATCCCAAAAATAAACAGCCCTTACGGCTTACCTTTTGGTGCCTTGATTAGCCACGCTTGCTCGCCCAAAGGGGTTAGATGTCACTGTCATCGTTTTCGAATAATACGCCACCTTCTGATAATTTTCAAAAACATATTCTCTTCAATCAGTTTGAAAAAAAGAAAATTTGAAAGAAATGATCAATTTTACTTTACTTCAATTCCTCTATTCTAAACTATTATCAATTTATCCAAATTCTTCTATAATAAATATTCCGTATTTACTAATTTTTAATTTTACATATAGAAAAAGAAATTAATTTCATTCATTTGACTAGTGTTCAGTTTCACCAACCTTTGAACACTAAATTGATTTTATTTTATTTCCGGTTCGATTACATTTTCTTTAGATATAGAAATAAGATAAACAAGTAATTTAGTAATTTTAAGATAAATATTTTTGTACATCGTTTACGTTCCATTCTTTTCATTAGAAAAAGTTTAGAGTCTTATGGAAAAAAGAGAAAAAAGTTAAAGAAAAAGTTTACTTTTAAATTCCCGGTTTCCGTCAGTCGTCACATGACGTGAGTAGTATTTCCATGGAAACGAAAAATTGTTTACACCCAGGTTTATACAAAAATGCCAGATATCAATAATTGTTTTATCAAAAAACAAACGTGAATCAACACAATACGTGAAAATGAGTGTTTTTACTCTAGTTTCAATTATTATTATTACTGTTAAACTAAACATCGCTTCCAATTTTGTCGAAATGCGTCAACAATTCACTTTTTCCTCCTGAAATGTTCTATTTTAAGGTTAGGATCTCTTGTTTTTGTATATTTGTTCTAGTTTCGTTTCGCCATAAATTATAACCTTTGGCTTTGGTAATATTATTTTAAAAAACAATTCCATATGTCAGGAAATAATTTTCTTCTAATTGTTTCGAAAATGAAATAGAAAAGTGAGTAATTGCAGTTTGTATACTTTAATTAAATTTAAAAATTGTTTTGTAAATTAATATTAGTTAAAAGTTAGATATAGAATAGAAACTATTAAATATATAGAAAAGTTAGAGAATTGAGTTTGTAATTAATGTTTTATAGTAAGAAATTATAAACTTTTCGTAAAAAATTTAATGAGTGAGGAAAATTTTATTGTTTCAGGATGTGATTAATTTTTATCGAATATTCCATTGCTGGTTGTTTTTGTTTTTTGTACAAAGTGTATAGATAAGAGCTGTGACGATCAAGTATGTATAACCTATAATTTTGTACGAAATATTATTATTATTATTATATTTGTTTATTTAGTTTATTATTAAATAAATAATAGTTATAATTATAAATAAATTGATAAAAGTGTTTTGAAAATACAGAAATGCACATGTGGTACTGGTTCGGAAACGACCTGGCGTCGTTTTTATTTCCTGGATACAATATAACGACAACTGGAGGTCTAGTGGCAACTTGTTTTGCTCTAGCGGCTATGGCAATTTTTTACGAGGCAATGAAAATAGTTCAAGTGAAATTACGATTATTTACAATGTCCTCACTTCCTGAGCGTTTGTCCGGAAGTTCGGAAAATTCTTCATTACTTTCGAGAATATATCCTAATTCTTTTCAACCCTTATCTGAATGTCACTGGTGAGAAAATATGAAGAAAAATTTATTCACAATTTATATTTATTTATTATCTATTAATTTTTGATTTTTATTTATTTATTAATTTGGTTTTTCATTTATTCATCAAACGAGCAAATATCAATTATTATTAACTTATTTGCTAATTAATTATTCTTGTATATTAAATTCAAAAATTTTAATAGAATTGAGGAGCAATTTTTTAAAAGTTCATAAATCCATTTTTCAAGAAAAAATTGAAATAAACACATATTTAAAATAATAAAATCCTTAGAAATCGATTAGGTATCCTTGGAAACTATTCAGTTTTATTTATAAATAGTAAATTTTTTGGCAAAAATTCAATTAATTTTAATACAATTTTAATAAAATTCAATTCAAATTGAATTCAAAGAATTCAATTTTTTAAAAATTTCTTAATATTCTTTTTTCGAGAAAAAATTTAGTTATTTTCTAGAATTTTAATACATCCTTCGAATAATTACATTATATTTATTAAAAGTAAAATTCTTATCGAAAATTCAATTATATTCAAAACAATTTCATGAAAGAAGGCAATTTTTTTCTTAATTCGTTATAAAATATTTCAAAAAAATTCAATTATTTTCTAAAATTGTAATAAATCCTTGGAGACAATTCAATTTTATTTATAAATAGTAAAATTCTTTGCAAAAATTTCATTAATTTTTATACAATTTTAATAACATTACATGAAAAAATTCAATTATTTAAAAGTTTTTTAATAATATTTTTTTTCAAGAAGAAATGCAGTTACTTTTTTTTAAAATTTTAGTAAATCCTTCGAATAATTCAATTTTATTTATAAATAGTAAATTTCTTATCAAAAATTCAATTATATTTGAAACAATTTCACGAAAAAATTCATTTTTTAAAAAATTTTTAGGTAATATTTTTCGAAAAATGCAATTATTTTATAACATTTTAATAAATTCTTCGAAAAAATTCAATTACGTGTATTTTTATAAATAGTAAAATTCTTTGCAAAAATTGAATTAATTTTAATAAAATTTCATGAAAGAATTCCATTTTTTTTAATTTTAATAAAATTTCACGAACGAATACAATTATTTTCTAAGATTTTAATAAATCACTCGAAACAATTCAATTATTTTTTAAAATAGTAAAATCTTTGCATAAATTCGATTTTTTTAAATAGAATTTTAATAACATTACACGAAATAATTCAATTTTTACAAAAATTTTAATAATTTTTTTCGAGAAAAAATTCAATTTGTTTCTAAAATGTCAGTACCTACATCGTTCGAATAATTCAATTATATTTATAAATAGTAAATTTCTTATCAAAAATTCAATTATATTTAAAACAATTTCACAAAAGAATTCAATTTATTTTTAAAAAATTTTTAGGTAATAAAATTTTTCCAAAAAATGCAATTATTTTATAAAATTTTAATAAATTCTCCGAAAAAATTCAATTACGTGTATTTTTATATCTAGTAAAATTCTTTGCAAAAATTGAATTAATTTTAATATAATTTTAATAAAATTTCATGAAAGAATTCAATTTTTTTTTAATTTTTAATAAAATTCCACTAACGAATACAATTATTCTAAAATTTTAATAAAATTCAATAATTTTTATTTTCAATTTTTAACAAACACGATTATTTAAAAAACTTGAAAGAGTTGTTTTTATATCTATTTTGTTATTTATATTTATTTTTTATTTATTTATTCATCAAATTTCTAATATTTTCTCTCATTTTTAATAGCATAAGTTGGAGTAAATGGTTCTTGGAGGTTTTTCACTGGTCGCTACACACTTTATTTGGTTATATTTTAATGTTGGCGGTGATGACGTACAATGGATACTTTACCATTGCCCTCGCGCTTGGAAGTTGCTTTGGATATTGGATATTTGCTCCATCTCTCATTGAATTGAATTTTTCTCAATTTCAAGCCAAAAGTCGTTCAATTAATTGCTCTGCGCATTGTGCAGGTAATTTTGAATTTCGTATATGATTTTATTTTTCACTTTGAAAATAATTCAACCAATCGTTTTTTTTTTCAGTATAAATTTTTATCTTTTTTCTCAATTTTTTTTTGTTTCTATTTTTATTAATACAAAATAATTAATTATTAATTAATTATTAAATTAAATTAATCATTAATTAGTTGTTAAATTAATCATTAATTGATTATTAAATGAAATTAATCATTAATTAATTATTAAATGAAATTAATCATTAATTAATTATTAAAATAAATTAATTATTAATTAATAATTAAATAACAACAGAAAGTAAAAAATTTTTCTTTTCAAGGTGAACTAATTGCTGCAGGAAGGCAAGAATCGTCGACAACAGTCGACGAGGAATTGGCGACTGCATCCCAAGCTGATGTCGAAGTTCATGTTCATAATGAAGAAATTGGTTGAGAGAGAAAGAGAGAGGAAAAGTCTGAAATTAAAACTATCGACTCCCAGTGAATTTTATAAATTGAACACCAATTATACATATTTTAGAACAAGTTTTAAAACATCAAAAAAGTGAGAGACAAATTTACAATCAACTATATCTTTTTTAACGAAAAATTTACATATTTATTCTCAAATTTTATTGATATGAAATAAAAAAAAATATTTTACATATTTTATTATGTATTATATAAAAAAAAAATTCTTTCTCTTCTTCTTCTTTCCTTTCTTTCTTTCTTTCTTTCTATTTTCATTAATTCTCATTATTATTATTTGGTGCATACATATAATTATTTGATTACAGGTAAACAGAATTTAAAAATATTCGCGCCATAATTTGGAAAATCAGTAAAGAAAATAATTCGACCAATCATATTTCTTCAAATTCCGTTGTAGCTCCAATTACATAATTTGTTTTGATTGCGGTTTTTGATGACAAGTTGATTGATAATATTTTTTAAAAAGTGACAAAATTTTTAAATAATTAAAAAAAATATGCACAAAATGAAAGAGAAACACATTCTTCACAGTGGTTATTCTCATTCTCTATTACGAAGTTGGCAATCACCGAATACAGAAATAACGGTGGATAATTTAATGTATCCTATTTTTCTCCTGTGAGTACATAACCTCAAAAAGTATTAAGTTTCTCCCGAAACCATATTTTCGTTTTAATTAAGTAACAAGTAATAATAATTACAATAATTATTATAATAACAAGAATAATAAATATAGAAATATGAATAATTACAATAAAAACTAGCAAATGATACGCGCGCTAGCATGGGGAACGTAATTTTCTTTTTTCTATTGTTATGCAAATTACAAAATTTTTTATTTTCAAATACCTACAAATTTTAATTGAATTCCTCGGATGAATTCAATTTTTAAAAAAAAATTTAATATATTTCTAATAAATTCAATTATATTCTAAAATCTTAATAAAGTCTTCAAAACAATTCAATTATTTATATAAATAGTAAAATTCTTCGCAAGAATTCAATTATTTTTATAAATAATAAAATTCTTTGCAGGAATTCAATTATGTTCAAAACAATTTTAATTGAATTCCTCGGAAGAATTGAATTTTTTAAAAAATTTTAATATATTTCGAATAAATTCAATTATATTCTAAAATCTTAATAAAGTCTTCGAAACAATTCAATTATTTTTATAAATAGTAACATTCTTCGCAAGAATTCAATTATTTTTGTAAATAATAAAATTCTTTGCAGAAATTAAATCATTTTTAATCCAATTTAAATAAAAATTGCACAAAAGAATTTAATTATTTTCAAATATTTCCATAAAATTCAATTTCAACAAGAATTTAAAATGTTATAAAAATAATTTTTATAAACAGTAAAATTCTACGCAAGAATTAAATTATTTTTATAAATAATAAAATTCTTCTCAGGAATTTAATTATTTTCAATACAATTTTAATAAAATTCTTCTTCATAAAATTCAAGAATTCAATGATTTTCAATAAATCAATTTTAAAATTGAAAATATTTAAAAAGAAAATTTTTTAAAAAAGTTGGGAAACAAATAAGCAATCAACGACTAAATTCAAATTGCAAACAGATTTTCAGAATACAATAATATGGAAGATAATAAAAAGCAAACAATAATAAATGTATTTACTGAAATTACAGAGACGATCCTGATGCTAAGGACTCAGTTAATAGTATGCCCGGTGTTTATCGTTATGGTATCAATCACTTGAAATCGACATTACAACCCTTAGTGTCAAAGGGTTTACGATCAATTTTATTGTTTGGCGTATCGAACAAATTAACAAAGGTCAATTGACTTTTTTTAGTAATTTCAAATTAAATTATTTTATAATTATAATTTATTTATCATTGTAATATAAATAAATTTCTATTGAAAATTTTCAATAAAATTTTCAAAAAGAAAACTAAATTTTATTTTACTCAAATTTTAAAGAAAGATTTTTCATTATAGTTTCATATAATTATTGCAGGACGAGAAGGGTGGAAATGCGGACAGCGATCAAAATCCAGTGATGCAAGCATTGCCATTATTGAGAAAATGGTTTCCCGAATTAATAATTGCTTGTGATGTTTGTTTATGCCCCTACACAACACACGGACATTGTGGTATTCTAAATGAAAACGGTGTCATAAATAATGACGCAAGTATCCAAAGAATTGCCGAGATTGCACTGTCCTACGCAAAATCTGGTTAGAAATTAATTTCTTATTAATTATTTAATTTAATTATTTATTTTCAACCTGAAGAGGTCAACCAAGGTGGCCATATAACAGTAAAGTCAGGGAAATGTCAGGGAAATAAAATTTTTATCAGTAAAGTTAGGGAAATATTAGGAAAAAATTTTTTTTTTTCAGGGAAATTAAGAAAATTGAAACTTTTTTCGACTTATTTTCAAAAATTACGACTTTTTTGACTTTTTTTCCAAACATTGCATAAAAAAATACCACAATTTTTAGTAAAAAAAGTGTAACTTATTTTGATTTTTATAATTAGAAAAATAACTATAAACAAAGCTTTCAAAAATTGTACTTGAATCACTTTTTAACATAATTAAATTTTTCAAATATATTTTTATAGGTAAATTTAAAAATGAAAATTTAATGAAAATTATCTTCTAATTTTTTAAAATTCAATATTTGCAGTATTTTTAATTACATATTTCCAAGAATTCAAATACATACAAAAATAATAACGTTTTATAATTATAATTAACATTTCGGATAAAACAATCATGTATTCAAAATTTTTAATTAAAATTCATCAAATAAATAATTAGTCTTTTTAAATTATAGAAAAATTCTTTTAAGAAATTCAATTATTTTCGAAAAATTACATTAAAACATTTTAAAAACTAATTCTTAGAATTGTTTTATCCGAATTTTTTAAGATTCAATTATCTTGGAACAAAGTAAATAAAAGTTTATGAAAATTTACTTTTTGGACTTACTTATTAAAATTTTTGAGAAATCATAGTCCTGTTTATAATTAAAATTCTGTAAAAATTTGATTTTACCAAATTTTAATTGTTTGGAAATTTTTCAAAATTGAAAAACTATTATCTTTCAAAAATTATTTTAAAATATTTAAAAAAAAAATAATTGTAAGAATTTCTTTATAATTTTTTGAATATATTATACCTTATTAACTTAAGAGAAAACTATGAAGAGTTACAATCATTATAAAAAAATTGAGTTTTTGTATTTAAATAATTTAATTCTAGAAGAACTTTTGGAAAATTATTTAAATTAATTGATTCAGAGATAAAGTTTAGTTAAAAATTGTAGATAATAATTAAATTCAGGAAGGGTTATAATTGTAATTTTTAGAAATTATTAAAATTCATAAATTTTACTCATTTTCTGTAAGCATTCATATTTTCCTGTAAAAAGAATTTTATCAGGAAAAGTAATTTTAATGTCAGTAAATTGTCAGGGAAATGTCAGGAAAATTGATAAACTGAAACTCATGACCATCCTGTCAACAAAATTGAATAGTAATTTAAAAAACGTTAAAATTTATGTGTTTAGTGTTTTTTTTCGTTTCTTTTTTTGCCTCAAAACAACAAAAATAAAAAAACCTACACAAATTGGCTCCAACAGATCAATAATTTATTTTATTTACACTGATAAAGATGAAGAGCAATAGAATATTAATTTGACAATTTATTTTTGTTTTATTTTTAATTATTTATTTTATTTGTTTTATTTTTAATTTTCTTAATAATATTTTAATAAAATAATTTTTTTTTTAATTTTTTTTTTTCTTTTTTTTTCTCACATGGTGATCATTGTAACGTTCACCATGATTTTTAATATAATGGCTTTTACCATGAATGTTTTTACCATGGACTTTTTTACCATCATGGTTTTTGGGAAATTTTTAAATTTTAACCTTTTGTTATATGATTATTAATGTGATTGAACACAAGATGTGTTTTTCATTTGCTTATGTTCGTTTTAAGATTTAAAATTTGCCTGATGAGGACTTAATTAAGTCGAAACTTGTAGCAATTTATAGCAATTTATTTGTAATAAACGAACATCTTTAAAACCGTAAAAGGCCTCTAAATATTATTATCAATATTCTTAAACAATTTTATTAAAATAATTTTCTTTTTCTCTCAATATTTTAATTGACTTGTTTATCTAATTTAAGGTGCTCACATTGTCGCTCCCTCGGATATGATGGACGGAAGAATAGGAGCAATTAAAAGAAATCTAATAGCTGCGAATTTATCCAATAAAGTCTCAGTTCTTTCCTATGCAGTCAAGTTCTCCTCTGGTTTTTATGGTCCATTCAGAGACGCTGCGAATTCCGCTCCTCAATTTGGCGATCGAAAATGTTATCAATTACCATCGGGAAGTAGGGGTTTGGCTTCAAGAGCTGCTGTAAGTTGAAAAAAAGAATTCCGGTAATCTGTTCACAATTTGAAGTTTTTGTTTTCAAACTTTTTTAATAACTTTTCTTTTTAAATATTTTCAATTTTAAAATTAATGTATTGGAAATCATTGAATTCTTGTAATGAATTTTATCGAAAAATTTGAGAATAATTGAATTCCTTCAAAGAATTTTATTATTTACATATGAAAATAATTTAATTCTCGCGAAGGATTTTATTAAAATTTTTAAAAATCCTAATTAAATTCTTTTGAAGAGTTTCTTTAAATTTTCGTTAAAATAATGATAATAATGAACAATTTATTTCACGTTTGTTAAAATAATCGTGTTTCTTAACAATTAAAATTAAAGATTTAATTATTAAATTTTATTAAAATTTTCTAAAATAATTTATTTTTATTCCAGGAATTTTATTAAAATATAGAAAATAATTAAATTCTTTCAAAAAAATTTCTTTAATTTATTGAATATAATCGATTTTGTTAATAATTGTAATTAATAACTTCAGTATTAAAATTTTGTTGAAAATATTGATTTTACTATTTATAAAAATAATTTAATTATTTTGAATGATTTATAAAAATTTTAGAAAATAATTGAATTTCTGCAAAGAATTTTACTATTTATAAATATAATTGAATTGTTTCAAATGATTTATTCATATTTTAGAAAATAATTGAATTTATTTGGAAATTTTTATAGCGAATAAAGTAAAAAAATTGAATTCTTTCGTGAAATTTTATTGAAAATAATTGAATTGTTTTGAAGGATTTATAAAAATTTTAGAAAATAATTGAATTCTTTCGTGAAATTTTATCAAAATTTTGTTGAAAATAATTGAATGTGTACAAAAAAAATTTACTGTTTATAAAAATAATTGAATTGTTTCGACGGATTTATTATAAGTTTAGAAAATAATTTACTTTTTTTGGAAAATTTTAAAACGAATTGAGAAAAAAGTTGTATTCTTTCTTGAAATTTTACTGAAAATAATGAATCTTTGCAAAGATTTAACTATATAAAGAAATAATTGAATTCTCTCGAGAAAATTTATTAAAATTTTATTGAAAATAATTGAATTTTTTGCAAAAATTTTTTACTATTTAAAAAAATGATGGAATTTTTCCGAAGAATGTTATTATTTATGAAAATAATTGAATTCTTGCAAAGAAATTAAAATTTTTGAAGATATAAACAATAATAATTTTTTATTTATTTAATTTATTTATTAAATGGTTTTTTTTCAAAAGGCCAGGGATGTCGAGGAGGGCGCAGACTTCCTTATGGTGAAACCTGGTTTGGCATATTTGGATATTGTGAAACAGGTGAAGGACAATCATCCGGAATATCCATTGTTTATTTATCAAGTTTCTGGAGAATACGCAATGTTATTGCATGGGGCAAATAATGGAGCGATAAATTTGGAATCTGTACTCTTAGAAATATTACTCTCAATGAGAAGAGCTGGAGCTGATTGTATTATCACTTATTTTACACCAATGCTTCTAGATTTATTACAGCCGAAAAGTAAATATTAATTTAATTACTTTTATTTTTTATATATTTTTAAATATGAATTTTTAAATACAAGCAAATAAAAAATATATTTTAATTGAATTCGCTCAGAAATTTTTTATTTTCGAGAAGAAATTAAAAGTGTAAAGTGTGTGTCTAAAAAGGAAAAGAATAGAAAAAAATTCGAAGAATTTAAAAATATTTTTTAGAATAAAGTTATCGTGTGTAAATACTTTTCTTTACAATTTTCTTATTTTCAGGGCTCGAACTAGGTTTGTAAATACCGTAAAAGTCCGTAAATTTGCTTGAAGTCCGTAAAAGTCCGTTTTTTTCAAAAAAAGGTCCGTAAAGTCCATAATTTGATTGAGAAAAGACGAAAAGTTTGTAAATTCTACGATATAATTTGGAGAATTTTTGAGAAATTACAAATGATTGAAGAAATTCAATTATTTTAAAATGTAAAAAAATTCTTCCCAGACATTCAATTATGTTAAAAAGTTTTTTTAAATTCTCGTCAAAATTTCAATTATCTTTGGAAATAATTAAATTCTTTTCCGAAATTCAATTATTTTCAAAAAATTTCCTCAATTCAATGATTTTTAATATATCTTTTAATAAAATTTTCCAAAAGAATTAAATTATTAAAAAATTTTAATAAAATCTACGCCAAACTTTAATTATTTTCATGAAATAATAAAAATTTTACAGGAATTCAATTATTTGCAAATTTTTCCGCAATCATTCAATTATTTTCATAAATAATAATAATTTTTACACTGATTCAATTATTTTCGTAAATAATAAAATTCTTTTTAGGAATTCAATTATTTTCATAAATAAAAAAAATTCATTGCAGAATTTCAATTATTTTTAATTCGTCAAAAGAATTCAAAATTTTTATTTATAAAACTTTAATTTTTAATTCAAAATTTCAAAATTTTGAATCCGTGTAAAAAATTTTATTATTTATGAAAATAATTGAATGATTGCGGAGAAATTTTTAAATAATTGAATTCATGTAAGATTTAATTTAAATTTTAATTTAAAATTAATTAATTCTAACGAATTAATTTTTTTGAGAAAGTTTAATAATTGCGGATTTTTTTTTTTGAATTATTTCAAGTTTTTATTTTCTAATATAAATTTAATTGAAGAATTTACGAATAATTGAAATTTTGTAAAATTGAATTGTATACAAATGAATTTGAAAATTATATTTTTTTATTTTAATACAATTTTAATCAAATTTCTCGAAAATATAATTATTCTTAAAAATTTTATTAAAATTCGTCGAAAGAATTCAATTATTTAAAAATTTGTTGATAAAATTCTTTGTGGAAATTGAATTTTAAGAAACATTCAACTATTCAATAAATTATTTATTTTTGTATTTAAATAATTGAATTTGTTGTAAAATTTTCTAATAAAAATTGATTTAAAAATAAATTTCAGTTAAAAATAAAAATAATAATTGAGTAAATTAAAAGCAATATGAATTTTTAGAAATAATTGAATTTTGAAATTAAATTTTTTGAAAATGTTTAATTGCGGATTTTTTTTTTTTTGAAATTATTTAGTTTTTATTTTCTAATATTTATTTAATTGAAGAATTTACGAATAATTGAAATTCGTAAAATTGAATATTGTAAAGAAAATTGGATTTGAAAATTGTCAAAGAACTTTTTCGAAAACTATATTAAAAATAATCGATTTACAGGAGAATTTTAGTTAAAAAAAAAACTCGGACTGCTTATATTTTTGTCAGTAATTGGTCCGTAATTTTTTAATTTTGGTCCCTAAAGTATTTTTAAATACTGGTTTGAAAACTATCTTTTTCTATTTTGATATTTCCTTTTTCTCGGAATAAAATAATTTTCGTAGGTGGTTTCGTTTGTGCCACGTAATATTTTTCTAGAGGACGAGAAAAGTATAATTTTAATTCCAGTATTGAAAGGAATGAATGTTAAATACCTCTCTCCTTGTCCCGTTAGTTTAAACAGTACAAGAAACACGTGTGTGTGACAGACAATTTTCAGGGCCGTGATTTTAGACATTTTTCATTTCCTTGGAATTATGAAAAAAAAATATATCTTTTTTTTTAGGAAGAACCTTTCGGCTTTTTTTCAATTAATTTTTATCCGTTTTTGATACATTTTGAATAATGGACTTTTTTTTAATTTAGTATTCAATTTTTTTTAATTTTTCCCGTAATATTCTGTTTACAAACATTTGTTATGATAAAAACATTTGTTTCTTTGATAAAAAGGATAATTTTACATTTTACAATTTTTAAATATCTTAACATTTATTCGGATACTTGATTTAAAAAGGGAAAAAAATTCGAACTTTGTAACCTTATCAAAAATTGTTATCTTGCCAAGATGTATTTTTCTTTTTTGGTTGCGAGAAAAACAAGGGGAAAAAATACCCCCAAATTAAATTTCTGCTGATTACGCTCCTTTACACGTGTCGACCAATCGCTTGTGTACTCGAATATTCTTTGGAAATTTTGATGACGTTCGTGACGTGTGCCAATAACGTGAGGCCAACTGTAGACACGTTCACCAATCGTAGGGAACATTTGATGTGACAGAATTTGATTTCCACCAATAAACGCAAGCCACGACGAAAATTTCCCGTTAATATCCCGGTGCTTCATTCAGTCAGCAGTCAGTCATCAGTGAAGAGTTGTTTTAAGAACATTCGATAGTTAAAAGGAGAATATTCATTGTTGGATACAAGATTTTTCATAATTATTTATCATTTGGTGAGTTCATTTATATTATCTCTTCATAAGTATTCTTTTTTTTCTTATTTTTCTTTTTTTTTACCGGCACATTTTTTTAATTCTCAACATTCCGGTTGTTCGTAATTTTTCCCGTATTTCTTATCTGATAGTTTCTAATTAGTAAATCAGGTTCTTTTAATTAAGTTTACATTGTAAATTAAACAGAAGGTACAATGTTGGGTGAAAGGTTATTTTTTTTTGTTTCCTGACTCGAATTTTCTTTCTTGACTATTTTTCTTGTATTCTTTCATTTTGGAGTAGAATTTCCAGAGTGCTTATATTTTTTAAGAAATTGTGAAAAAAATGTATGAAAATTTTGATATTCGACTTTGGGAATAATTTTTAATAACCGATTATTGTGTTGACGTGTCATTTCTGTGATTTTTGTTTGACATACATAACTGTAAAACCGATTGTTCGAGAAAAGTACATATTTTCCTGATAATTTATGTTCTTAATTATTCTAATTTTCTATTTTTTTTTGAGAATTTTCCTCAATTGTTAAAAATTGACAGATTAAAATTCAGAAGTATTGAACATATGTGAAGTAATCGATAACATCTTTCGAGAAATAATTTTAGTTTAAGACATAAATATTACTTATTTTATTATAGTTGTTTAGTTTTATTACTTAGTTTATTTTGTTTAGTTTTTTATTTATTTTATTTAGTTTAGAAAAAGTTTTTTAAATATTTGTACTGAATTTATTTTTTCAATTTCAGGTTAAGTCTATACAGGAAATAAAATGAAGGGATTAGTAGTCCTGGCATTATTTGGACTGCTGGCGTTAGCAGCATCCAAAGAGGAGAAAAAAGAAAAGGAAGACATTGGAACCGTTATTGGAATTGACTTGGGAACAACTTATTCTTGGTAATTATTTTCTTTCACTTTGAAAATTGAAATTTTTGCTTTATTTTTATCGTAATCGTGAATAATTCGTAAAGGTAGTTGATAAAATCAATTTATGTTTGTAGAATTTAATTTTTCTTATCTATACATATTATTTAAATAATAATGTACTTTTAAGTAAATTTAAGTGATTGTTTTTATTTTAATAATATAATTTTAAGTAAATATGCTTTTATTTTAGTTTTTATTTTATTAATACAATTTTAGGTAAATTTAAATAAATATATTTTTATTTTAGTTTTTATTTTATTAATATAAATTTTAGGTAAATTTATAAATAAAATAAATATTTTTATTTTCAGTGTTGGTGTTTACAAAAATGGACGAGTTGAAATTATCGCGAACGATCAGGGAAATCGAATTACACCATCGTACGTGGCATTCACGACAGACGGCGAACGTCTCATTGGCGATGCTGCGAAAAATCAATTGACGACAAATCCGGAGAACACCGTCTTCGATGCCAAACGACTCATTGGTCGTGAATGGTCGGACCAGACTGTTGTTCAAGACATGAAATTATTCCCCTTCAAGGTCGTCAATAAGAACAACAAACCTCACATTCAAGTCGCCACGCAACAAGGCGACAAAGTCTTTGCTCCGGAGGAAATTTCCGCCATGGTTCTTGGTAAAATGAAGGAAACCGCCGAGGCCTATTTGGGCAAGAAAGTCACCCACGCTGTCGTTACTGTTCCCGCTTACTTCAATGATGCACAAAGACAGGTATTTTAGAATTCAATTAATTAATCATTTAATGAATTAATTTTACAGGGCTCGAAGCAGTGAAAGTATTTTAAAAATACGGACTTTACGGAACAAAAATTAAAAATTACGGACAATTTACGGACCAACTGACAAAAATAGAATCAGGCCGAATCAAATAAGAGAACATTTTACTTAAAACTAGAAATTCAATTTTTCATAACTATAAAACATGAAGAAATCGATCACTCAGGGTGATTCAGGGTGATTACAACTTTCAATTTCTCAATTTCGCTGACAATTTACTGACATTAAAATTATTTTCCCTGACAAAATTCTTTTTACAGGAAACTATGAATGTTTACGGAAAATGAGTAAACTTTATGAAGTTTAATAATTTATAAAAATTACAATTATAACCCTTTCTGAATTCAATTATTTTCTACAATTTTCAACTAAAATTCATTTCTGAATCAATTAATTTAAATAATTTTCCAAAAGTTCTTCTAAAATTCAGTTATTTAAATACAAAAACTCAATTTTTTATAATAATTGTAACTCTCCATAGTTTTTTCTTAAGTTGTTTTAAAATAATTAATGAAAGATAATAGTTTTTCAATTTTGAAGAATATCCAAACAATTAAAATGTGGTAAAATCTTTTAAAAATAATTGAATTTTTGAAAAATATAAATAAAAATGGATCAAATTGTTGAAGAATTTTAATTATAAACAGAACCTTAATTTCTCAAAAATTTTAATAAGTCCAAAAAGTAAATTTTCATGAATTGTTATTTACATTATTTGAAGATAATTAAATCTTAAAAAATATAAAACAATTCTAATAATTAGTTTTTAAAAATATTTTAATGGAATTTTTCGAAAATAATTGAATTTCTTAAAAAAATTTTTGTATAATTAAAAAAAAACTAATTAATTTTTTGATGAATTTTAATTAAAAATTTTGAACATACATAATTGTTTTCTCCAAAATATTAAAAATAATTTTAAAATGTTATTATTTTTGTATGTATTTGAATTTTTGGAAATATGTAATTGAAAATACTGAAAATATTGAATTTTAAAAAATTAGAAGATAATTTTCATTAATTTTAATTTTTAAATTTACCTTTAAAGATTTTTAATTAAAATTTTTGAGAATTCAATTATTTCAAAATTTACAATTAAAATTCGTCAAAAATTGATTTTGAAAAATTGTAGGTAAATAAATACTTGAAATAAATTAATTATTTTGAATTAAATTTTACGAAATTCCAACTATTCGTAAATTCTTCAATTAAATAAATATTAGAAAATAAAAACTTCAAATAATATTAAAAAAATGCAATTAAACTTTTTCAAAAAAATTAATTTCAAAATTCAATTATTTTTTAAAAATTCACGCTATATTGCTGTTAATATTCAATTATTATCTAAAATTTTAACTGATATTAATTTTTAAATAAATTTTTACTAGCCAATTTTAATAGAATTCAATTATTAAAAAAAACAATTTATTTATTGAATGTTTCTTAAAATTCAATTCCCATAATAAAGAATCGTTATCAACAAATTTTCAAATAATTGAATTCTATCAATGAATTTTAATAAATTTTTTAAGAATAATTACATTTTTCGAGAAATTCGATTGAAATTGTATTAAAAATAATTGAAATGCTGTGATGATTTTTATTATTTTTGAAAATAATTGAATTCCTAAAAAGAATTTTATTATTTTCGAAAATAATTGAATCCCTGTAAAGATTTCATTATTTATGAAAATAATTGAATGATTGCGAAGAAATTTATATAAAATTTGTTAAATAATTGAATTCCTGTGAAATATTTATTATTTTATGAAAGTAATTAAAGGTTTGCGTAGAATATTATTAAATGATTGAATTCTTTTGGAAGATTTTATTAAAATAGTAGATATTGAAAATCATTGAATTAAGGAAAATTTTTGAAAATAATTGAATTTCGGAAAAGAATTTAATTATTTCTAAAGATAATTGAATTTCGTAAAAGAATTTAATTATTTCTAAAGATAATTGAAATTTTGACGAGAATTTAAAAAAATTTTTTGAACACAATTGAATTTCTGCGAAGAATTTTATTGCTTTTGAAAATAATTAAATTTCTGACATCATTTGTAATTTCTCTAAAATTATCCAAATTATATCGTAGAATTTACGAACTTTGCATACTTTTTGAATCAAATTACGGACTTTACGGACTTTTTTTTCAAAAAACGGACTTTTACGAACTTCAAGCAAAGTTACGGACTTTTCCGGGATTTACGGACCTAGTTCGAGCTCTGATTGTATTTTATTAAATACTATTTAGTAAATAAAAGCAAATTAAAAAGAAATATATTGTAAAAAAGGAAATTTAAAAAAAAATACTGTAAAGAATGAAATTTAAAAAAATAACTGTAAAAAAGGAAATTAACTACAATGTTTCAATTTTCAGGCGACGAAAGACGCTGGAACTATTTCGGGCTTGAATGTGATGAGAATTATTAACGAACCAACTGCCGCTGCAATTGCCTATGGATTAGACAAGAAGGACGGTGAGAAAAATGTTTTGGTCTTCGATTTGGGCGGCGGTACTTTCGACGTGAGTCTCTTGACGATTGACAACGGAGTCTTTGAGGTCGTCGCCACCAATGGTGACACTCACTTGGGAGGCGAAGATTTCGATCAAAGAGTCATGGACCACTTTATCAAGTTGTACAAAAAGAAGAAGGGCAAGGACATCCGTAAGGACGTTCGTGCTGTGCAGAAATTGCGTCGTGAAGTCGAAAAAGCGAAGAGAGCACTCAGCGCCAGTCATCAGGTAATTTTTCTCTTTTTTTCTAGATTTCTAGATTTCTAGATTTTTAGATTTTCTAATTTTTTAAATCTATTATGAATAGAAATTTCCTTTTCTTTATCTTTCTAATAATAAATCATTTTCTTTTTTAGGTGAGGATCGAAATTGAATCCTTCTTCGAGGGCGAAGACTTCTCAGAGACATTGACCAGAGCGAAATTCGAGGAATTGAATATGGATTTGTTCAGAAGTACAATGAAGCCAGTGCAAAAAGTTTTGGAAGACGCCGATATGAGTAAGAAGGACGTTCATGAAATTGTCCTCGTCGGTGGATCGACTCGAATTCCAAAGGTTCAACAACTCGTCAAAGAATTCTTCGGCGGAAAAGAACCATCCCGAGGTATCAATCCCGATGAAGCCGTTGCCTATGGAGCCGCCGTTCAAGCTGGTGTTCTCTCCGGTGAACAAGACACGGACGCCATTGTTCTCCTCGACGTCAATCCTCTCACCATGGGTATCGAAACTGTAGGCGGAGTCATGACCAAACTCATCCCCAGGTAATTATTCTTTTCCTCTTCAAAAATTTCAATTTAGTTTGAATTTATTTTCAGGGTTGCCGCGCAACCTGAATTCAAAAAGTAGTAAAATTATTCTTCTCTGACATTCTACTATTTTAATAAAATTTTCCAAAAGAATTCAATTATTTAAAAAAAAGTTTAATAAAATTCTACGCAAACATTTAATTGTTTTCATAAAATAATAAAAATTTCACAGGATTTCAATTATTTACAAATTATTTTCATAAATAGTAACATTTTTTACAAGGATTCAATTATTTTCGTAAATAGTGAAATTCTTTTTTGGGATTCAATTATTTTCATAAATAATAAAATTCATCGTAGACTTTCAATTATTTTTAATTCAATTTTAATGAAATTCCTCGAAAAATGTAATTTTTCTTAAAAATTTTATTAAAATTCATCAAAGAAATTCAATTATTTTAAAAATTTTTGCTATAATTTTGTTAATAGAATTTTAGTATTATTTTCAAAACATTTTTAATTGATTTCTTCAAAGAATTAAGTTATTTTCAAAAATTTATAATAAAATTCTTGGCAAACTTTCAATTATTTTCAAAAACTTTCCTCAATTCAATGATTTTTTATTTCTTCTAAATTAATAAAATTTCACAAAAGAATTCAATTATTTAAAAAAAAATTTTATAAAACTCTACGCAAACATTTAATTGTTTTCATAAATAATAAAAACTTTACAGACATTCAATTATTCACAAATTATTTTCATAAATTATTATTCAATTATTTTCATAAATAATAAAATTCTTTTTTGGAGTTCAATTATTTTTATAACAAAACAAATTCAATTTTTTTCAAAATAATTTTATTAAAATTCTTCTCTGAGTTTTAAAATATTTTCAATTGAATTGAATTCAATTTTTTTCAAAAAATTTTCCTCAATTCAATGATTTTCAATATCTACTATTTTAATAAAATTTTATAAAAGAATTCAGTTATTAAAAAAAAAATGGTTGATAAAATTCTAAGCAAACATTAAATTATTTTCATAAATAATAAAAATTTTACAGGAATTTAACTATTTGCAAATTTTTTTTATAAATTTCTTCACAATAATTCAGTTATTTTCATAAATTATAACATTTTTTACAAAAATTCAATTATTTTCATGAATAATAAAACTCATAATAGAATTTGAATTATTTTTAATACAATTTTAATTGAATTCCTCGAAAAATTTTATTATTCTTGAAAATTTTATTTAAATTCCTCGAAAAAATTCAATTTTGTTGATAAAATTCTCTATTATAATTCAATTTCGAGAAACATTCATTTATTCAATAAATTATTTATTTTTGTATTTAAGTAATTGAATTCTCGTAGAATTTTCCAATAAAAATTGATTTAAAAATCAGTATGAGTTAAAATTGTAGATAATAATTGAATATTAAAAGCATTATAGCATGAATTTTTTAAAATAATTGATAATTGAATTCTTTCGAAGAATTTTAATAAAATTTTTGAAAATAAATTTTCGAAGAATTTACTTAAAATTGTATATTAAAAATAGTAGATTTTGAAAATATTTGAATGTCAACGAAGAATTTCATTAGATTCGTGAAATGTAATTTAATTCTCGCAAAAAATTTTTGAAGATAATTTTATTATTCGAGAAATTTATTTACAAATTGTATTAAAAATAATTGAAACCTTGTGAAGAATTTTATTATTTATGAAAATAATTGAATTCTTGGAACGAATTATAATTATTATTTATTATAATTTAAGTAAATAATTTAATTTTTTTTTTAAATTTTATGGAAATTTAAATTTTTATAAAACATGAAGATATCGATTGCTCCGAGTCGTAGACTCGGAGTCATCGATATCTTCATGCTTTATAATAAAAAATAAATATTCTTAAAAGTTATTGAATTCGAATCTTTTGAAGAATTTTAATTCCTATGGAAAAATAATAATTATTAAATATTTATCCTTCGATGTCGCTACTCGACATTTTTTTTTCTGTATCTGCACGGAGAACAATATAAAGTAGCTTTTACTACTTTTATAGTAAAAAATTTCCGTTAAAGCATTTCTGGTAATTTTTATTACTTTTGAAGTAAATTTTACTAATTTTTACAAATATGTACTTCGAATGTAGGAAAATTTACTCCAAAAGTAGTAAAAATTACTAGAAATGCTTTACCGGAAATTTTTTACTATATAAAAGTAGTAAAAGTTACTTTATATTTTTCTCCGTGTGGAAAAGTTTGTGAATTTGAAATGAGGAAAAGCGTGGCAACCCTGAATTTTGTTGTCAACGATAAACAATTTCTAAATTTATGAAATTTTTTTATTCAATAAATTTTTAAATTCGACTGTATGAATTAATTTCCAAAATTTTCCCCTTACAGAAACACCGTGATTCCAACCAAGAAATCGCAGATCTTCTCAACAGCCTCCGACAATCAACACACAGTAACAATTCAAGTCTACGAAGGCGAGCGACCAATGACCAAGGACAATCATCTCCTCGGAAAATTCGATCTCACCGGCATTCCACCAGCACAACGTGGAATTCCCCAAATTGAAGTGACATTCGAAATTGACGCCAATGGTATTCTCCAAGTATCGGCCGAGGACAAGGGTACTGGAAATCGTGAGAAAATTGTCATCACCAACGATCAGAATCGTTTGACACCCGACGATATCGAGAGAATGATTAAGGAGGCAGTGAAATTCTCCGAGGAGGACAAAAAATTAAAGGAACGCGTCGAGGCACGTAACGATCTCGAATCATATGCGTACTCATTGAAAAATCAAATTGCCGACAAGGAGAAACTCGGTTCGAAAATAAGTGACACTGACAAGACAAAATTAGAGGAAATAATTGACGAGAAAATAAAATGGCTCGAGGAAAATCAAGACACAGATCCAGAAGAATATAAACAACAAAAGAAGGAGCTCACCGATGTTGCACAGCCAATTATTGCAAAATTATATCAAGGAGCAGGCGGTGCACCACCACCAACCGGTGGCGAGGAAGACGATCTCAAGGATGAATTATAATCACACGCATATAACGAATTTTGATTCGTGCGCACGTCTAGACTGAAATCCCACTTCCCTTTATAGGCAAATGCTCTAGAGACTAATACCCTTTTTTTTTAATTTCCTTCGCGCTCAATTTAATATTTACTACGGCCAGAATGCCAATTTTTTTCAAAACCTTGGAATGAGCGACCAAACTCGATAAAAAGATCCGTTACTTATACGGCTGTGATGATCTCTATCGAGTGTATTACTCTGTATTGTATTTGCTACAAAGGAAATGTTTAAAGAAATCACTGCTCGTAAAATATAAGAAAAAAGTCCAGAGCCTCGATTTTTTAATTATTGTCTTCGGAACGTGCGACGTCACCGAGAAAAACTCCTTTTCAAATAAGACTCCACCAATATCGTTAATTTATTTTTTTTGTTTACGAGTAATTCAATATTAAGCAGTTTTTTTTTGTATAAATGCGAGAGATGTGTGCTGTCCTGTGTGTATGTGAATTGTGATGAGAAGCGGATATTTTTTCAATTTTTTGAAAAAGAAAACCGCTTTTTTTAATAATTGAATTTTTTCGTACTATGTATAAATGAATGAATGAGTTATGTATCAGTATCATGGAGAATAAACAAATTTTTTCATTAGATCGAATGTTTATTCCTTTTTTTTGCAAATTTAAAAACGATTTATAAACGCACAAGAATAATATCCAAAAAAAAAAACAGGTGCAAAATAAACGAAAGCAAGAAATTATATGAGATTAAAGCTATTTCGATGGAGAAAATATTTACTTTTACTCGAGGCTTAAAAAATATATATATTTATAAATTGTATTTACCGTATTTACATTTTACCATCTATGAAAACATAATTTTGAATAGCTTTTCAATGTCCAGATATTGCTTTCGATTTCAATTTCTTCCTATTAGCAGGAATTTAAGTAGTGATTTAAGGCCGCGTGTACATAATTGTCATAGGAGTTTGTAACTTCTTTAAAGAAAAGAAAAAATAAATGACTAAAAAATTTCTTTGCTATCTTATCTTTATTCACTTTATTATTCCTGTCTTTTTCGTTAAATTTGGATAAAAATTATATTTTTTTCTCTGCAGCTGAAAGAAAAAATAATGTTAAAAAATCATTATTTGTGAAAATATTTTAACTCAAAATAAATGTTTTCTTAATATTTTATAACTAAATCTTTCAAGTTGTGATAAATTTAATTTTCATTGTATTTTTTATTGTTGTAAAAACAATTTCGATATTTTAGTTTTGAGGTTATGTATGGTGTCACCATCCTCTTCTTATTATAATTTTAATTACACATTTTTTTTATTAATTACAAATACATTTCTTGTTTGCAACTTTATATCTATTAAATACATTTATTATAAAAAGAAAATGAGTATAAAAAAAGTAAATAAACTATTAAAAGAAAATAAAAATCAATTTTAACCTCCATTACTTCGTTTTACAATCTTTGGAATTATTTCGTATTCAGATTGCAAATATTTTAATTTTTAACTAATTGTTAATAACATTCACTAAATACTACCTTCGAAGCAAAAAAATCTTGTTACTTTAAAATAACAACAATGACATTTCGTGACACTTGCATAAAGTGACAGGTGTCACACTTCCACGGACTACGGACTTGGAAAAAGTAAATTAACTAATAAATAAAATAATACTCATTATATTAATAAACTCGTCTGATAAATAACTAAACGATACACAATAAATAATAAATAATTACAATAAATAATTACACTTTAATTCTTGCATTAATTATAATGGAATTTAAAGGGAAAAAGCGTTAGTTCCGGATTTGTCCGCTCAATACAAGACGTAGATCTCATTGGCTATTTTCAAATTTGCGCGGGGTGATCGACCAATGAGAGTCTTTAAAACCCAAATGCGACATACCTAACCTATATTGAGCGGAAAAACACGAAACTAATGTTTTTTTCACTTGTAAAGAAATTAAAGTAATTAATAATTGTGTTTTTAATTCTATAGAATAATATAGTGTTAATTTGTTATTTTTGTTATAGTTAATGTAAATATTGACGGAAAATACCTATAAACAAGTATTGTACGCAATTAGTATAATAGTTTTCTGCACCTGTCAGAAATTTATTGGTTATGTAAACAATATGGTTGCAATCGCTGCAATAATTGCAATAAACGACAGATAAAAAAACGTTTACGTGGTTTACGTTGTAAAAACGTTTACAATTAAAAATAATATAAACGAAGATCATTAACTTTCCTGCTAATTCGAAAATGGAAAACATTGTGTAAACATTCAATAAAATGTAAGTATAAAATTATAAATTTACGAGCAAAAGGGAAAAATGAAAAATTCATACTTCCATAATATTTCAAGACGGGCAAAATAAAAAAAAGTAGTTTATTTGGCCCGTCAGATAACAAATTAGCTGTAATAACAATAGATTATTTAGTGATAAAATCATCAATTCAATTATTACTTTCAAGAATTTTTAACAAAAATTCTACTTTAAATCGATTAAATTTAATAATTATCAAAAAAGTTCTTTGACAATTTTCAAATCCAATTTTTTACAATATTCAATTTTTCGATTTGAATACTTTTGAAAATAATTGAAATTTTGATGAGAATTTAAAAAAAATTTTGGACATTTATTGAATTTCTGCGAAGTATTTTATTATTTTTGAAAGTAATTGAGAATTTTTATTATTTATAAAATAATTGAATTCTTGCGAAGAATTTTATTAAAACTATTGAAAAAATTGAATTGTTTCAAAGAATTATATTAAAAACTTTTGAAAATCAATTCATTTATAAAAAGAAGAGTTCAAGTCTATTTAATTTTGTTAAAATTCTATTAAAAGTAATTGAATTCCTTCGATGAATTTTAGATCTTATAAAAAAAATTGAATTCTTGCGACAAATTTTATTAAAATTTTTGAAAGAAATGGAATTCGGAGAAGAATTTTTTTATTGGAAAAATGGAAACATTGACTAGAAATTTTGTAAATTTTTGAACATAATTGAATTTCTGCGAAGAATTATATTACTTTTGAAAATAATTGAATTCTTGAGACGAATTTTATTAAAATTTATTTTTAAATAATTTAATTCTTTTGTGAAATTTTATTGAAACAGTAGATATTGAAAATAATTGAGATTTGACAAATTTTTGAAATGAATTAAATTCTTACGAAGAATTTTATTAAAATTATGTTTAAAAAAATTTAATTTGTTTTATTGTAAAAATAATCGAATTACAAAAAAGAATTTTATTATCTATGAAAATAATTGAATAATAATTTGTAAATAATTGAATTCCTGGGAAATTTTTATTATTTATGAACATAATTAAATGTTTGCGTAGAGTTTTATTAAATTTTTTTTAAATAATTGAATTCTTTTGTAAAATTTTATTAAAGTAGTTAATTTTATTAAAATTTTTAAGGTCATGTTATTCAGTGGTCACGTGCCCCATATACTTTACTATGGAAAAAATTCACACTGAATAACATGACCTTAAAAATAATTTAATTCTTTGAAGAAATTTAATTAAAAATGTTTTGAAAATAATACCAAAATTCTAATAAATAAATTGTAGCAAAATTTTTTTAAAGAATTGAATTTCTTTGATGAATTTAAAGAAATTTTTAAGAATAATTACATTTTTCGTGGAATTAAATAAAAATTATATTAAAAGTAAGTAAAAGTTTGCGATGAGTTTTATATTTTTTTATTTACAAAAATAATTGAATTTCAAAAAAGAATTTTATTATTTATGAAAATAGTTTGTAAATAATTGAATTCTTGTGAAATTTTTATTATTTAAGAAAGTAATTAAATGTTTGCGTAGAATTTTATTTTAAATAATTGAATTCTTTTGTGAAATTTTATTAATGTAGTAGATATTAAAAATCATTGAATTGAAGAAAGTTTTTGAAAAATAATTGAAATTTTGCCAAGATTCTATTAAATTTTATTAAAATGTTTGAAAATAATCGAATTTCTGAGACAAATTTTACTGCTTTTGAAAATAATTGAATTTCTACAATAATTTGTAATTGCTTTAAAATTCAATTTCTTTTAGTGTTTTTAAGTAAAATTCTTCTGTAAATCCATTATTTTTAATAATCAATTAAATATTATAAAATTTAACTAATTTCAGAAGAATTTGAATTCTTAATCTTTTCAAAAAGATTTTTTCTAATTAAATTCATTGAAAATTGAAATTTTACGAATTTTCAAATATTACAACCTTTTGAAGTTGATCTGTTTATGAAAATTGTAAATGCAATTTTTTTAAAATTGAATTAATTATGAAATATTTAAAAAAAATTTATACGGGCCAAATAGACTAATATTTATCGTTCTTACAGATTATAGATTAAAAAGGGGCCTAGAAGAAAGATACAGTTGAATTTGTCTTCTTTAACTCCAAAAAGAAAGGAAAATGGCAGGTTCAGCATTGAGACGTCTAATGGCAGAATATAAACAACTAACCCTAAATCCACCCGAAGGAATAATAGCGGGACCGATAAATGAGGAGAATTTTTTCGAATGGGAAGCATTGATAACCGGTCCCGAGGGAACATGCTTCGAGGGCGGTGTATTTCCGGCGAAATTAATATTCCCACCTGATTATCCATTGAGTCCGCCTAAAATGCAATTTACCTGCGAAATGTTTCATCCAAATATTTATGCTGACGGTAGAGTTTGTATTAGTATTTTGCATGCACCCGGTGACGATCCAATGGGCTATGAAAGCAGTGCTGAACGATGGAGTCCCGTTCAGAGTGTTGAGAAAATTCTCCTCAGTGTCGTAAGCATGTTGGCCGAGCCAAACGACGAGAGTGGTGCAAATGTTGATGCAGCAAAAATGTGGCGAGAAGATCGCGCCGAATTCGAAAGAATTGCCCAGAAACTAGTCAGAAAGACTCTCGGTATTACATCGTAAGTTAAAAATTTGCAAAATTGTTGAAATAATTAAAAAAAAAAAGAACGTTATTTTATCTAATTGTAAATAATTTACAAACTATTTATGTAAAATTATCTTTTTAAAAGAAGTAAAAATTTAAAAGTGACTCAAAAATTATTGTATTTATTTGAAATGTGATCTAAAAGTGGACAAAATATTTAAATTAATTTTGAATAATTTCAAATTCAAACTTTAAAAAAATTCAATTATTAACTAATTTACATACTAATTAATTATTTTTGTTTATTATTTTCAAAAATTTTAATAAAATTCTTCGCCAGAATTCAATTATTTTCATAAATAACAACATTCTTCGTAAGAATTCAATTATTAATTTTATAAATATAGTAAAAGTTTTTTCCAAAATTCAATTATTTTCAAAAAAAACTTCACGAAAGAATTAAATTTTTTTCTTATAATTCGTTATAATTCTAAAATTTTAATACATTTCTCAAAAAAATTCAATTATATTTCTAAATAGTAAAATTCTTTGCAAAAATTAAATTAATATCAATAAAATTTCAATAACATTTCATGAAAGAATTAAATTTTTTTTAAAATTTTAATAATATTTTTCGAAAAAATCAATTATTTTTTTAAATTTTCGAAATTTTTCAAAACAAATCAATTATATTTATAAATAGTACATTATTTTGCAAAAATTCAATTACTTTTTAATACAATTTTTAAAAAATTTCATAAAAGAATTCAATTATTAAAAAATATTTTAAATTTTTCGAAAAAAATTTAATTATCTTCTAAAATTTTAATAAATCCTTCGAAGCAATTCAATTATTTTTTTAAATAGTAAATTCTTTGCAAACATTCAATTATTTCCAAAAAAACATTTCACGAATGAATTCAATTTTTTCCTTAATTCGTTATAAAATCTTTGCAAAAATTTAATTATTTTTAAAAAAATTATGTCGAAAGAATTCGATTCTTTTCTTAATTCGATATAAAAAATTTCAAAAAATTTCAAAAGAATTCAATTATTTTTTAAAGTAATAAAATCTTGTCAAAAATTCAATTATTTTCAAAAAAATGTAACAAAAGAATTCAATTTTTTTTCTTATAAAATCTTTGCAAGGATTCAATTTTTTACAAACAAAATTTCACGAAAGAATTCAATTTTTTTCTTAATTCGTTATAAAATATATCAAAAAAATTAAATTATTTTCTAATAATAATGAATCTTTCGAAAGAATTCAATTTTTTTTTTTAATTCGTTATAAAATCTTTGATTTATTAAAATATTTTAGAAAATAATTCAATTATTTTCAAACAAATTTCACGAAAAAATTCAATTATTCTCTAAAATTTTAATAAATTCTTCGAATTATATTTGTAAATAGTATAAAATTCTTTGCAAAAATTCAATAATTTTCTAAACTTTATATAAATCCTTCGAAACAATTCAATTATTTTTTGAAAAAGTAAAATTTTTGCAAATATTCAATTATTTTCAAAAAAAATTTCACGAAAGAATAAAATTTTTTTCTTAATTTATTACATAAAAAATTTTAAAAGAATTAAATTATTTTCTAAAATTTTAATAAAATTCAATAATTAAATGTTTAATTTCAATTTTTAACAAACACGATTATTTTAAAAACATGAAAGAAATTGTTTATAAAATTCAATTATTTAAAAAAATTTTAATTAAAATTTTAAAAAACTCCATTATTTAAAAAAAATTCAAAGAAATTCTTCAAAAAGAATTTAATTAGAATTTTTAAAAATTTTAACAAAATTCTTCACGAGAATTCAATTATTTTACTAAATAAATAAAATTCTTGGAAGGAATGCTATTATTATCAAATTTTTTGATAAAATTCTTTGCAACAATTCGATCATTTTCAATACATTAATTTTAAAATTAAAAATATTTAAAAACCACAAAATAATTAAAAAAATTACGAAACAAAATAGCAAATAACAAATAACTTCAAATTGCGAACAGATATCCGGAATACAACACATTATTAATATAGATTTTTAACAAAAATTCCTAAAGACGAATTTCTGTTCATGATGGGTTAATAAAAACAACAGAATTTTAACTCAATTTTGAATTTATTCAGGGAGTAATTCGCATACCTATTTTTTAAATTTGTAACAGAAAACAGTAAAATCTGTAACGAATTTTCTTCCTATTAAACTCCGTATTTTTTTTTTTGTGATATCAAAATACTATAACAATAATTAGTGAGAATGATTTACAAAAAAAAAGACATCTTTCGAATTTTTCGAAAATTTTGCATAAAAAAGAAAATTTCTTTCTCTATTCCGTTAAAATAGTTCCTAATTCTAAAGATGTCATTTTGTTTTCTTTTCAAAAAAAATATCACAATTTGTAAAAATCAATCAAAACGGTTTTTTTTTCATTTTCCTATTTTTTTCACTTTTTTTTTGCTTTTTTTCATCATTTTTTTCTATTTAATATTTTTTTTCAAGAAAAATTATGAATAATTAAAGATTAGAAAAAAACAAGAAAAAGACAGTTTTGTAGAAATTGATAACAGTTTTTATAGTATGTAAACATACTCGCAGAGGAATGCAAGAACAAAAACGAAACTTTTGCAATGTTTCGTTTCTTCTCTTTCTTTTTTTTTTTTTTGTATAAAAATTTAAGGCCGAAAGATAGGCATTTTTTTTATATGTCGAAATATATCCTGACTTTCGCGGTGAATTGAAAAATTCGAACACAATATTCCGATATTTAATTCTTGCGATTGTAGTTTATAAATTGTCACTCACAAAAATCATTTTATGCACAAATTTACTTCTTATAGAAGACCTTATAGAAAAAATAAATTAATAAACCTTGAGCTTTGTTTTTTTTTCTACAGAACATAAAAAGAAAAATACGATTGCAAGAATTAAATATAACAAAGGTTTTTAATTTTCATTCTTTTTCTTTTTTTATATATAATAACTCTAAGGAACATAGGTGCTAGCATTTCGTCTAATATTAGAGTTAATATGTTTTTGTTTTGTTTATAAGAACACTATGAGAATGAATACACATTTATGAGCTAGTAACTTGTGCTTCCTGATTAAGATCGGAATTTACCTTGCTAGGCAACGATTGATATTCGTATAATGTTTTTTTTTTCTTCACAAAAAGAAAACAGTTTTTTTTTCTAGTATTGAACACATTCAATATATTGTTTTCGATAAATCACAAAATTGGCTCTTTTGAAATCGTCAAATGACAGAGTTGCAATTACAGAAGTTTCTTTGTTTTTTTTTCTTTTTTTCCGGCAAAAATGCGCTTTATTCCTATACCATTTGGAATATCAGTTCCGTGCCGCAATTTTTTATTTTCGTGGGACGTACTCTTATACAATTAGTGAATATACATTTATTATTAAGAGCAGGATCGTTCTCAATCTATTAATTTTTTTCGAAAGTCACTTTTTTTTTAACTAATTCGATTTTTTTTTTAGTTTTTAATTTTAAAAATAGAAAAAGAAATCGGTAGATGAGAACTTTCCCTAAAAGACAAAGCATCGAAAAGGTACACTTGTTTATTTTATTAAAATAGAAAAAAAGCAATAATATTCGAGTAGTCGACGTGAAATAGTTTTCGTTAAGTGCGCAGAAGACGGATTATCAAGTTCCTTTTCGACAGCCATGTGTACATACATACAATTTTATTTACGTCTAAATACTTGTAAATACGCAAATATTTATAGTTTATAATTACGCTACGAATATTGATATAGCATATTTTTTTTACTGATTTTTTATTTTTTTTTTCCTTTTTGTAATAAGTAGCAACTAGAAACGCATTTTTTTTTCTTTCTTTTTAAATATATTTATGTGTATAATTATATAATATATTTTCCATTATTAATAGAAAATGATTCCCAATAACGAGATTTGGTCTAGTAATTCTGTGTGTATAAATAATTACAGATACTCTAAGCGCATTTTTCAGTACAGATTCCTTTTTTATTTTTATTTATTTTTTTTTGTTTTAGGAAAAATTTTCTCTAAAAAAATATGATTACTTTCAATAACAACCTATGATTTACCAAAGTCCTATCAATTGTTTTTATTGCGCGCAAAAAACGAACAGACTTGATCCGCGAATCGATATTTATTTTATTATTTCGTAAATGTGAATAATGTATTTGTTTTTAATTTTTATTTTCTAGTGTGATACAACTACTATTTATTTACGAACACAACTCTTTCCGCTAATTACCCATATTTTTAACGTGAATTAAAAGTTTTATTTATTTTAATAAGTGTCTTTCGTACCTGAGAGTGATTCACGCTATTAATTCTTTTTTTTTGTTCCTTAAAGCTTAGAAATTCCCTAAAGTCTAGAAAATTGTTTTCTTCTCTAGAAATTTGGCAATTTTTTTTTCCAGTAGAAAGTAGAAATCTTTGAGATTTTTACAAACTGAGGATTTTTCTAAACAGAGAGGGGTTAATCAGCGGATCGAGAAGAAAAAGTGAGAGCAAGTGATAGAGTTAGAGAAATAGAGAGAAAGAGAGAGAGAGAGAGAGTCAATCAACATTTTGATAAAAAGCACGATTGCGAAATGCGAATTCGATTTTTTTGATGAGGGGGAAAAAATGAAATCGCGATTATTTTTCTGTAATTCAGAAAATAAATTTTTAAATCGTTTTTTTTTTTAAAGAATATCAACAATATTGTTACTAGTGAAAAAAGGCCGCAAACGGTATTAATCGAAATGGATTGACGGTAATATTTTTTAAAGTATCATTTTTTCGATACTTAAACGTTGCCTTAACAAAATTTACGAGTTAATATATCACCACTATAATCAACGCATTTAGCAAGAATTGTGACGCGCCTCCAATATTTTCTTTTTAACTTTTTACAATATCCTTTTTTTTTTGTTTACTATTTCGAACAGTAACATCGTATTTCATATCACAGTATTTGTCAGTATTATTTATTCATTTGTTGTTTTTTTTTCTCTTTCACTTTGGATATGGCAAATATGAAATATATCAGTAAAATTATACTAATGTAGTCTATACTCTTTGGGGCTAAATGCATATCACAGTGACATAATTTCAACATTCTCTTTTATTTTTTTAAAAAGAAAAGAAATCATTATTTTTCTTTTTTATGGGAGAGGCGCGCCCACAGTTCTTAAAAATTTATATTTATCATCATAAGTTTAGTAATGTCACAATATTTGTCTAGTTTTTTTTTTCATCGAGCGAGAATCGTGAAATAAGCGAGTAATTAATAGGACAAATTTTCATGTTCTTTTTTTTCACTATATGAATCAACAAATGCACCATAAGATTACTTTTATAATTTTTTTTTTGTTTTTTCTAGGCAGCTATTAATGCAGTCTTAATGCTATTTTTCTCCAATGCAGTTTCTTTTTCTTCTTCTTTATTTTCAATTAGAAGAATTCAAAGAAATGTACAATAAACTGATTAAGAGATACAGTCTCCTTTTTCTTTTTTTGCTTTTTTCAAATCAAAGGCATTTAAAAAGTTCGGGAAGTTTTTGATATTTTTTCATCGATGACGAGAAACAAAATTTGGCACAAATTGAAAACTTTTAAATTTATTCTTTTGAATTTATTCTTCAATTTTAAGAAACAATTGAATCACACACAAAACTTGAATACTAAACAGTAAATAAATTATTTAAAAAAATTTTATATAAATTTAAAAAAAAATTGTTAATAAGTAAGTCTAGTAGAAAAATAAAATGACTAAATATTTTTTTTCGTTTTGAAAAAAGAGGTAGTTAACAAAATATTTAAAAGACAAATTTGTCACAATCATAAAAATCGTTTTCATGTTTTCAATTTGATTAGATAACAATGAAAAATAAAAGGTGAATTTTTCTTTTCGAAAAAGGAAAATATTAGTTTCCAAAAGAAACCTATAATTATTGTACTATTTTTCCTTCTCTAATTTCGTGTTTATATTTCTATAAAGAATAAAGTGATAATCACTAATCATATATTATTAAAAAATGAAAACAATTTTGCAAAACTGAATATAATTGGTTTATAAAGAAAACCAAATTTCAAAAAGTAATTGAATAAATAAATTTTGTTAAATTAATATCGAGAATGGTTAAACGAAATTTTTTTTTTAATTTTTACGTACCCATTGTAACCGGCCAATAGATTTTTAAAAGGATGATTTTGAAAATGCCTCAATGATTTTCGGTACTTTCTGATCAAATCCACAAATTGTTAAAATATTTTTATCTACCGTCTCCTTACGGTATGAAGAATCGCACATAACGCAGTTTATTAACCTAAACAAAGGGAAACAATTTAAAAATTCAATTAATTAATTAATTAATTTACTTATATTTTAATAATAATTCTAAATTAAAGAATTTTTTTTAATTTCTAGTAAAAATGGAAAAAAATGAACGTACTTTGCGTCGGGTAGATTCATTTCTGTTCGATAAGTTTTAATGCCTTCTGCTGATGTATCATTATTCATGGAAATCATGTCAACGACATTAATAAACACATCGTACTTTTTTTTTTGAAACGTAGCCCATGCCATGGGTTTACTTAGATTAACAATGCCTGTGGGCTGATGTGACAATTTTGTGTACGCTTGAGCGAATGAATGGTTCTTGTCAAAATTAGTGACATGAATTCCGACATTTTTGTAAGTGGCAATTGTCACGTTTTTCTCACTGCGTAAAAGCGAAAGTGCCAGCAAGCAACCAACTTCCGCTGGAACCATATTACCGCAATGCCAAACACGTGATTCCTGCATTGTTTTACTCATGTCAATTGTTATCAAATATCTCATTCCAGTTGTCTCCAAATACTGAAAGAAAACAATTTTTTTTTCGTTAAAAATATATTAAAAAAACGATTAAAATCTATAAATATCTATTAAAATCTATTAAAATCTATTAAAAATCTCGTTTTCATAAAGTTGATCGATACTAAAATTAAATTTAAAAATTAAATATATTTCACTGCATAAGAATTTTAAACAAATTGTATTCGAATTCTATTTTTAGAGAATTAACTTTTTTTTATTATATTTTTCCCTTTTGCTCTGATTTCTAAATTCAGTTATTCAAAACTTGACTAAATTTGTTAAACAATCTTTTTTAAATACTAATTATTTTCTTTCTACAAGAAATAAAATTTAAAAAAATTTTAGTTTACAAACATCTGAAATTTGATTATTTCTAAAAACTACAACTCTCCAAAATTCAATTATTTTCTACGATTTTTAATTAAACTCACCTCAAAAACAAATTATTTTTAATGATTTTTCCAAAAGTTCTTTCAAGAATTGAATTATTTAAAGACAAAAATTCAATTTTTTAGAATAATTGCAACTGTAAGTGATAATGATTTTTTTACTATAATTTTTAGAAGCTAATTTTCATAAATATTCATGTTCTTTATCATTAATTTTTTTTAGAATTCCATTATTTTAAAAATTTGCAATTTAAATTCTTCAAAAGTTGATTTTTATTAATTTTAATAAACTACTTGAAAGAAATCAATTATTTCCAGAATTAAATTTAATTGGACAATTATTTAATTGAAAATATTGAAAATACATCATTGAATTTTAAAAATTTAGAATGAAAATATTCTATGAATTTACTTTTTTTCAAAAATATTTTAATATCATTTTTAGAATCCAATTTTCATTTTTCTAAATTTATGCTTGAAGATTTTTCATTAAAAATTTTTGAGAATTCAATTATTTTCAAATATTTGCATTTAAAATTCTTCAATTGTTTGAAAAATTGTAATAAAATAACTTGAAAAAATCCATTATTTTTAATTAAATTTTTTAAAATTTCAATTATTCAAAAATTTGCTAATTACAGATATATTTTCAAAAAAAATGATAATAAAGAATTTCTTATTATTAATTTTTTTTTAATATTTCAAAGGATTTTTGAAAGATAATAGTTTTTCAATTATATATAAATGAAAATTTTCCAAACAATATTTAAATTTGGTAAAATCTTTTAAAAATAATTTGAATTTGATAAAATTTGTTTAAAATAATAGAATTTTTGAAAAATATGAAAATAATGATGAAATTTTTATTTTAATTATAAATATGAACATGATTTCTCCAAAATTTTAATAATTGCCTAAAAAATTAATTTTTAAAAAATTTTAATTTACTTTGTTCCAAAAAAATTGAATCTTAAAAATTTATTATAAAATAATTTTTAATTTAGTTTTTTAAAACTGGATAATGTAATGTAATTTTTCGAAATTAATTGAATTTTTTGGAAGAAAGTACCTACAATTTTAAAAAAAGTAATTTTTTGTCGAATTGTAATTAAAATTCAAATAATTACTTTTTTCCAAAAATATTTAAATATATTTTTACATTTACATTAACTTTCATTTTTATAAATTTAAACTGTAAGTTTTTTTTATTAAAATTTTTGTGAATCCAATAATTTTTAAATTTTTTTAAAAATTGTAATAAACTTGATAAAAATAAATTTAAAGTTGTATTTTGTTGCAATATTTGAAAGAAAAGTCGACAAAATCGCATTTTTGAAAAATAGTCGAAAAATAATACCTGAGGCCTGAAAGTTGTTTACTTACCGAAAAAGACAAATTAAGAGCAGTATACAGAGTTTTGACAATCTTTTTGTTTGGTTCCGGTGGCGGTGGATGTTGTTTTTTCGCTTCTTCCCTCACTTTTCGCTTTTCATAACTCAAGGGTCTGGAAAGTAAAAAGAAAATAAGAAAAAGAAGAAAAAATAAATCGAAATAGTAATTGAAAATAGAAAAAGAATAAAATTAACTAAAATTGTAAAAAATTGTAAACAACTTACTTTCCCGAATTTTCATAATTTCGAATTGTTATTAAAATATGAGCCGGGTGAATTTTCTCTTGATCCAATTTTTCTTGATCTAACAAGATATCGACAATTTTCGACACAATTGTCGAATTTGGCTTCAGGAAACCGAGATTGTGCAATTTTTGAATATTCTCAAGGAGTGTGGTATAATTCATTGACGTCATCAATGCATTCCACATCTGGAATTTGAATTAAAATTTCCAATAATAAAAAAAAGTATTTAAACCACTTATGTTTTTGCAATCTAATTTTTATTATTATTGTTGTAGCAACAGGGTTACTGTAACTTTTTTGAAATTATTTAAAAATTATTTCCCTGATTTCCCTGACCAATTCTACTTTCTCTGACTTTTCCCTATGATTTTCCTGACCTGTATCATCCCTGAGCAATAATAAAAATTAGATTACAAAAAAATTGCAAAGCAGGGAAAAAATAATATTTCTTTAAATAATTCTTACCTCTTCGGATTTTAAAAAGTGTCCCGGTACATGTTCCAATGTGAAATTATTCACTTCCAATAGACTCGCAGCGCTAACTTCGTCCTCACAGTGCTTGAACTCCATTATCTTCTCTAAATATTTCATCACTTGGAGAGAATTTGGACGCTCTTGTAAATGTGGACTATTTGAATCGCCAAATATTTTCTTCACCTCCTTGAGGCCGTGAGTTATGTAGCAAAATGTGATATTTTGAACTGTGAAAAAGTAAATTAATTTTAAAAAATAAGAAAGAGATTCAAAAACAGAAAGACTTATCAAAACAGGGTGGTCACAAGTTTTATTTTATATTTATAATATTTATAATATACCTATTCAAAAAATTATAAAGAAATTCTTACAATTAATTTTTTTAAAATATCTTAAAACAATTTTTGAAAGATAATAGTTTATTCAATTTTGAAAAATTTGGTAAAATCTTTTTAAAATAATTGAATTTTTTAAAAATATAAATAAAAATGATCAAATTTTTGAAGCATTTTAATTATAAACAGGACCATGAATTCTCAAAAATTTTAATAAGTCTAAAAAGTAAATTTTCATAAAGTTTTATTTACTTTGTTCCAAGATAATTGAATCTTAAAAAATTAGGATAAAACAATTCTAAGAATTAGTTTTTAAAATATTTTAATGTAATTTTTCAAAAATAATTGAATTTCTTAAAAGAATTTTTCTATAATTTAAAAAGACTAATTATTTTTTTGATGAATTTTAATTAAAAACTAGCAAATGTTACGCGCGGAACGTGATATTCAATTTATTATTGTTATGCAAATTGCAAAATTTTTTATTTTCAAATATAAATTTTATAAATAATTTCATAATCAAAATTTAAAAATTTACTTAGTGAGTACAAAATTAATTAGTACTGTTCATATTTTCAAAAATTGAAATAAAATTTCACGAAAGAATTAAATTATTTTCTAAAATTTTAATAAATCCTTCGAAACAATTCAACTATTTTTATAATTACTAAAATTCTTTACAGAAATTAAATTATTTTTAATCAAATTTAAATAAAATTACACGAAAGAATTTAATTATTTTCAAAAATTTCCATAAAATTCAATTTTAACAAGAATTTAAAATTCTCTAAGAATAATTCAATTATTCTGAAAATATTTTTAAACAATTCTATTTAAAAATTAAATTACTTTCAATGCAATTTTTAAATATATTCGTAAAAAAAAATTGAAAGTATTTAATTATTTTCAAAAAATAATAAAAATCATGTGATGAATTCAATTATTTTGAATTATTTAATTTTAATAAAATTCTTTAAAGAAATTCAATTATTTTCGAAACAACTTTAATTGAATTTCTCGAAAAAATTTCATTATTTTTAAATATTTCTATAAAATTCTTCATGAAAATTTCATTATTTCTTGAAATTTTAATAAAATCTTCGAATCATTTCAATTATTTTTTATAAATAGTAAAATTGTTTCAATTCAATATTAATAAAATTCTTCTTCATAGAATTCAATTGCTGTCAAAATTTTCAATTAAAATTATTAAAGAAAATCTATTAGTTTAAAAAAATTCAAAGAAATTCTTTAAAAGATTTTAATTAGGATTTTTAAAAATTTTAATAAAATTCTTTGCGAAAATTCAGTTATTTTCCTAAATAATAAAATTCTTTGAAGGAATTCAATTATTATCAAATTTTTTAATAAAATTCTTTGCAACAATTCAATGATGAATATACTTTATTTTTGGAAATATGCAATTAAAAATACTGAAAATATTGAATTTTAAAAAATTAGAAGATAATTTTCATTAATTTTCATTTTTAAATTTACCTTTAAAGATTTTTCATTAAAATTTTTGAGAATCCAATTATTTTCAAAATTTGCAATTAAAATTCTTCAAAAGTTGATTTTCCAAAATTGTAACAAAATACTTGAAATAAATTAATTAATTTCAATTAAATTTTACAAAATTTCAACTATTAAAAAAGATGTTTATTATAGATATATTTGAAAAATTTAATTATGTTAAAAAGTGATTTAAGAACAATTTTTGAAAGATTTGTTTATAGTTGTTTTTCGCACTATAAAAATCGAAATAAGTTGCACTTTTTTTTACTAAAAATTGTGGTATTTTGTTGCAATGTTTGGAAGAAAAGTCGAAAAAGCCGCAATTTTTAAAGTCTTAATTTTCTTAATTTCCCTGACAAAAAATTTTTTTCCTGACATTTCCCTAGTTTTACTGACAAAAATTTTATTTCCCTGACTTTACCGACAAAAAATTTGTTTCCCTGACTTTACTGACATGTGGACACCCTGAAAAAGATTTTGAAAAAAGAATATTGTTTTAATAAACAAATAAACTTACCCAGTATGTTATCGGGAATATCTGGAAGCATTGTTTTGTCACTTGCCTTTAAGCATCCCACAGGTAAATGTGCCAATTTTAAAATATCTTTATGCTTCCATCCATACCTGCTGTTACATCGCGTGACACATTCAGCGAGTTCCATGTAACTTTTCGATTTATACCAATCGTCCACAGCTCGTTTCCATCCATGGCCGCAACCAATTTTCTTACTGCTGCTCTTCGTTATATTATTAACAAATTTTGTAAACAATAAAAAATGTTCGGGTGCAGCGCAAATTTTCTTCACATTCGAGTACGCTTGAAATCGCAATTTTTCACTTTTTGTTTGTCTTGCACATACAGCTAATGCAAACACAATTGTTTCGTAATTTTGAACAAGATTCTTATCTTTTTCGAATACCTGCGAGAATTAAAATTAAAAATAAATTATTAAAATCCAGTAAAACAAGAAATAAAGAGCTGTATTTGTTAAAAAAACAACTCACCGAATTGATGATTTCAATTGGTTTTAATTCCGTTTCCGAATCCGAAGCCATCTCTTCAATTGATGGTACCCGTTGAATGTTAAAATAATTATGCACAAACCAGTTGCCTGGTTGGTATTCCATATATTCTTTTCCAATATACAAGTATCTCAACATCCTCGTCTCAGGAGGTTCCCTCGAGTCTTCGGTGGGCTTTTTTGCAGTCATTTCGATCTGGACAAGAGTTGAAACCAAAAAAAAAAATAGTCAAAAATTAAATGACAGAAAAACAAATCGATCTAAACATGGACATGACCAATTTTTGATAGTTTTTCAAAATAGATGAAAAAATTGTTTACATAGAGATAATAAAAAAATTAAGAAGTAAAATAGAGAATATAAGATTCATAAACTGGTAATTTTCACGATTTTCACCGAAGGACCCAGGGGATGGTGCGGGAGGTAGTTTTTAATGGCGAGACAAATAAGGTCAGAGTGAGAGGTGAAACTATCGAATTCGACACTTTTATTAGGTGGGAAATTTAATAGCAGAGAATAATATGTCAACATCAATTCTTGTTAGTTTACAATGACAAATAATAGTGGAAAATACTCACTTTTTTCGATGTTGAGAAAAGATAATGAGACACAAAGAACGAAGAAGACTTAACAGGCAGCCATCATATGAACAACAATGTTGCCAACCCAAATAGAATTAAACCAAAAAATCCAATACAATCAAAAGGATTAAAAGTAATTTCTATTCGAAAAAAGTTCAACTCCGCTCATCCGCTTTTAAAAATTAATTAATAATTATAAGACTTTAGTGTCCTATACTTGTCATAATGTACAAATTTATTTATTTCTTGTTTTCTTATTGACAATTTTTTTTAAAGTAGCATTCACCTGAGAAAAACAAACGTCTTACAGTTTTATAACACTCTCATTGGTCGTTTATTCCCGGGAAAATATGAAATCCAGCCAATCAATGCCATTTATTGTTACCCAACTTTAACCGTAATCCACATTCACGTCAGTGGTTCTCATTTCTCAAAAGGCTCAAAAGTGAAAATCACATGCCGATAGTAAACATAACCTTAAAATACAATTCTTTTTGCTTAATTTTATTTCTTATAAAATAGTTATTTGTTTCAAACGTTTTAAAATATATACATGATATATACCATATATACAGTTTGAAAAAATTATTACTACATTAAAATGTGCATTACTGAACGATTGTTACAGAAGAATTTTATAAATTTGACAAAGGAACGTTCGTTAAAATAAAGTGTACTAAATAGAGGTAAATTAACATAAATCGCTATTTTTAGTGAATTTTAAGTTGTCTATTTTAAATTTAGCAGAGAAAGTATTTTAGAAAACTATTTAATAATATTTATGATCGTATTTTCTATAACAAATATTAAAAACAGAAATAAGTTTTTTTATATAACCTAAAATTTTTATTTTTCTTACAGAGAAGAGAACTCGATTAATTAATTAATTAATTCAAAATGTTATTTTCTTTACGAAATTTAACATTATGCCTACGAAGATGCACAATTCGCAAATATCAAACTTCCGTCAAATATTGTTTAAATGAAGGTAATTATCCCTAAAATTGTAATTATGCAAAAATTAGGCCTGTGCGGTATTGAAAATCCATAACCGGTTTAAAAAAAAACGGTTTTCGGTTTTAAAATTCAATTATTTTAAAAAAATATTAGAAATTCAATTATTTTTAATATCTGGTATTTTATATAAAATTTCGCAAAAGAATTCAATTACATATTTAAGAAAAAAATAAAAATTGGTAAAATTCATCAAAAATTCGATTAATTTCATGAATAATAAAATTTCCACAGAAATTCAATTAATTTAGAATTGCATGTTCAAAAATTTATATGAAGAATTTTATCAAAATTTTTAAAAATAATTGAATTCTTTCGGTGAATTTTAATAAAAATTTTCACAATAAATGCAATTGAAAATTGAATTCTTGCAACATATTTTATTAAAAAATTGTTAAAGAATTTAATTTCTATGAAGAATTTTGTTTGTGAAAATAATTGAATTCCGGAGAAAAATATTATTAATCATGAAAATAATTAATTTCTTGTGAAGAATTTCATTCAAATTTTTTTAAATAATTGAATTTCTCAGAATTTTTAAAACTTTTTGAAAATAATTAAATTTAATCGAGAAATTTCATTAAAAAATTGAAAATAATTGAAATTTGGCAAAAAGTTATTTTTTAAATAATTTAATTTCTGTGAAAATGTTGATTTTTAAAAAGAATTGAATTTTTGGGAAGAATTTTATTAAAATTTCTTAAATAATTGAATTGCTAATTGAAAAATTTTGTTATTTACGAAAATAATTGAATAATTCTTTCGAAGATTCTTACAAAAAATTTTTGACAATAATTGTATTCCTAGGAAAGATTTTTTATTTTACGAAAATAATTTTATTCTACGACCCATTTTATTATAATTTTTCAAATTTATAAAGCATTTTATCAAAATTTTTTTTAAATAATTGAATTCTTAAGAAAAATTTTATTATTTATAAAAATAATTGATTTCTAGTGAAGAATTTTATTCAAATTTTTTTTAAATAATTGAATTCTTATAAAAAAATGTATTATTTGTGAAAATAATTGAATTCTAGCGAAGAATTTTATTGAAAATAATTGAATTGTATGGGAAAATTTTATTAAAACTGCAAGTTTATTAACTGAATCTTGTAAAAAATTTTGTCAAAATTTTTTTAAATTATAGAATTTTTAAAAGAGTTTTATTTAAATTTTTCGAAATAATTGATTTTTTTAGAACTATTTTTTCAATTCTCTAAATTCTTTGGTGAAACTTCATTAAAAAATTAAAAATTATTTAATTGGTGCGGAGAAATATATAAAAAATTGGTATGTATTTGAATTCCTGTGAAATTTTATTAAAATTTTGTTTAAATAACGGAATTCTTTTGTAAAATTTTATTAAAATAGTAGATATTAAAAATAATGGAAATGAGGAAAACTTTTGAAAATAATTGAAGTTTTGCCAAGAATTTTATTAAATTTTTTGAAAATAATTGAATTTCAGAGAAGAAATTTTATTATTTATAAAGATAATTGAAATTTTTGACGAGAGTTTAAAAAAATGTTTAAACCCCACAGGCCTAGCAAAAAATTTCAATATAATTTTATTTTCTTCTTTTCAGAATCAATAATTACAAATAGAAAATTAGAGAATGATACGGAAAAAATATTTGAAACAGTTGTAAAAAATGATGAATTAACATCGCAGAATTGTATAGAAATATTAAAAAAACTCTCAACACATTCGACGATAAATTTTTCAACAAGTACGTCAAATGAAAAGAAATATCTTTTAATTATTTGCGACAAAATAAATAGACAAATTGAAAATATGAATTTATCAGAATCAATTGAAGTACTTAGATTGATGTGTGATTTGAAAATACCGACAAATAGTATTTTTTGTCAATCGTTGTTGAAAAAAATTCAAAGAGAAATTGGTTCTTTAACGGACCTGAATTTTATTAATGTCGAAGAATTGTGGATATTATTGAAAAAAATGAGAAAATCAACTTTAGTGATATCGATAATGAACGATTTGAAAATTACCCAAAAAAGTTTTAATAAAGAACAAAGTATTTATTCAATGTGTTCAAATTTATATCGTGCTGCAAATTCAATGCATGTAAATAAGGAACTTTTGATTTCAATAATGCAATCAATTTCCAATTATCGTGGAGAAATTCCAATTTTCAGTGCTATTAGTATTTATAATAGTTGCTTGAAATTTCCCGAAATATTAACAAATGAAAATATAGATTTTCGAAAAATTGAAAACGTTATTATTACGAATTCAAAGCAAGTGACTTATGGACACGTTTGCAAAATATTGTTAACAATAGCAAAATTAAGGTAAGATTTTTATTTTTTTTTTCTATTTGTAAATCGAAATATTAACAAACTTTTTTTTCTGTTTCCAGTGCACAGAAAAAATTACATGATCCTTATAATCCAGAATTAATCGATTCATTAATTTCTGCACAATTAACACGAAAACTATCATTTGAAAATGAAATTGAAATTCTCAGTTATCTCCAACAAATTGGACATTTGAATACAAATCTTTTGGATGATTTAATAGTAAAATGTTTGGAGGATCAATTTTTAATTATGAATTTATCGAGAGTTGATTTATTAAAATTTACGGGAGTCTTGAGTATTTGTGTTGAGACACCGCCATTATGGGATTTAATAAAAAATATTATTCTCAAGAATAAAATATGTAAAGATATCACTATTCCACTTGCTTATAATTTGACAGTTTTAAACTTTCGTCCTCAGCAATTAATTTCGGAGGCATTAAAAATAACGGAATCGAAATATTACAATTTATACGAATACACGAGAAATCAGGCACTCTTTGTCTATCAGGTGATAAAAACATTGGATAAAGATTATAATGGACCTTGGCCATCGAGAACTGTTTTAAAAGCAATTCTTCAACAAAAAAGTATTATAACTCATGCGCAAATTAATGAGGATGTTTTATGTACACTTGAAAAAGCTCTTGGAGGTTCTGAATATGTACAATCTACTTTGCTAACCACATATCGCCATTTTATCAGTTAGTACTTTTATATTCTATTATTTATTTATTTATATTTTTATTATTATATTTATTATTATTATTGATTTTATTATTATCATTTTTATTATTTATTATTATTGTTTTGATTATTATTATCATTTTAATTATCTTCTTCTACATTAATAATTAACTATATTAATCTCTGTGGTTTTTCATTCGTTCTGTTCGCAGTATGAAGTTGGTTGTTAGTTACTTTTTTGTTTCCCAACTTTTTTAATTATTTTCTTTTTCAATATTTTTTATTATTTCCATTAAAATTAATGTATTGAAAATCATTGAATTCTTGCAAAAAATTTCAGAATAATTCAATTCCTTCAAAAAATTTTATTATTCAGTAATTAAATTCTCGCAAAGAATTATTAAATTAAAATTAAAAAAATGTTTAAAACCCTAATTAAATTTCTTTGAAGAATTATTTTCAATTTTTTTTTTTTTTTTTTTTTTTTTTGAATAATTGAATTTCTTTAATAATTTTAATTGGAATTTTTTAAAGTGATTAAAATTTATTAACAATTTCTTTCAAGGAATTTCATTAAAATAATTGGAAAACAATTAAAGTAATTGAATTCTAACAAAAAATTCCTTTATTTATTGAGTATAATCAATTTACAATTAAACTTTTATTAAAATTATTCATTGAAAATTAAATTCTTTTATATAATTTTATTAGAATTTTTCTAAATAATTACATTTTTTTGGAGAATCTCTATAAAATCTTTTATAAAAAAAATGTAATTTTTCTAAAATAATTTTAAATGAAAATTTTCAAAATAAATGAATTAAAGAAACAATTTTTTTCAACTTTTTAAAATTATTGTGTCAGGTAATAATTATAATTAAATATTTGATCATTCACAAGTTTACTAAAACTGTATTTTGAAAATAACTGAATTCCTGAGAAGAATTTTATTAATTTTCGAAAGTAATTGAGTTATTTGAATGAATTTTATTAAAAATTTTAAAAAATTGAATTGTTTTGAAGGATTTATTGAAATTGTAAAAAATAATTCTATTTCTTTCGAGAAATATTATAAAAGTTTTTAAAAAAATTGAATTCATTCATGAAATTATATTAAAATTTTATTAAAAAATATTGCGAACTTTTGCAAAAAAAAATTACTTTAAAATTTTAGAAAAAAATTTGATTATTTCGAAAAATTGTATGAAAACATAAAACAATTCATTTTTCTTTTTCAATATTTTTATAATTTTAAAATTAATGTATTCAAAATCATTGAATTCTTGCAAATATTTTAGAATAATTTTACAGATTTTAGAAAAATAATTGAATTTTGAGCAAATAATTTAATTCTTACGAATAATTTTACTAATTTTAGAAAATAATTGAAATATTTCGAAAAAATTTCTATAATTATTTATTTATTCATTTTTTTATTTTTACAATTAATTGAATTTCTGTGAAGATTTTACTAATTTTTTTTATTCAAGAATTCAATTACATTTTCACAAATATAATAAATTTCCTGGAAAGAATTCAATTATTTTCAACAATTAATAAAATTCCTCACAAAAATACAATTATTTTCTAAAATTAATAAAATTCTTCACAGGAATTCAATTATTTTCAAATATTAATAAAATTCTTTCCAGGAATTCAATAAACTTTGAAAATCAATAAAATTATTTACGTAAATTTAATTATTTTCAAATATTAATAAAATTCTTTAAAGGAATAGGGTCATTTGGGGTAATAATGTAAACGGAATATCTATTTTTCACAAAAAACGTTAGTTTTTTTTTGTTAAAAGGTAAAACGGACGGATTTCTTTTGCATGAACTTGTTACTTTACTTCCCTAGAAAAATTTTATGAGGTACAAAAAAATATTGATGCACCTGAATCGCCTAAAACTGAATGTTTACATTTACCCCGAGATGTTGAAATTTTCCTAAAATTCGGGGCAAATGTAAACACCTCTGTAGTTAAGCGAGGTTTAAGAAACAAGTTATTTCAAGCATACACTGTAAAAAAAATTTTGGAAATTTTCCCAAAAAAATTGAGGAAGCAAATTCACATAAAAAGTATAAAAATTTCCCACAATTTGGAAAAATTCCTTTAAAGATTTAGGAAAATTCCTAAAAATTTGTAAATATTCCTTAAAACGTTTAGAAAAATCCCTTTCCCAACAGAATTTAGAAAAATTTCAATTCGTATCGAAAAATTTCCAAACACTCAGAAAAATTACCATTTTTTTGGGAAAAAATTTTTTCTAAACACGTTTTAGGAAAATTCCCATGCAAAAGTTTGGAAAAATTTCCGAAATTTTTTACAGTGTACTACTGTCTTAAGGGATGGAAAAACTGAAAACAAATTATTCGTAGACGTATAGTAAATCAACCAGTTGACTGATAATGTATCTTATAAAAAACAATCAACCATTACGAAATTAGTAATGTAAAAACTTGAATAACTTAAACAAATTTTAATAGATTTTCATTCAACTTGGTAAAAAGTTTTTTTTATTTTTCTGAATAAGAATTCGAGTTTTCGAATTCTCGGGGTAAATGTAAACACTTAATTATTTATTAATTAAATTGACGAAAATCAAAAATCAAAGTCAATTTTTGATAGGGCATTAATAAGGAAGAATTACATATTTTTGTTAGATTTTTTAATTTATTTTTATGTTATCTTTTAATGCAAAAACGATTAAAAATCAAAGTTTTACTGTTTCAGTTTTTTTTTTTCTCGCATTTGCATAAAAATAAATTAAAAAATCAAACTAAAATTTGTAATTCTTCCTTATTAATGCCTTAACAAAAATTGACTTTGATTTTCGTCAATTCAGTTAATAAATAATTAAGAGTTTACATTTAATTGAATAAATTACTATTTAAATGTATTTGAAACATTATGATGTCATAATAATTAAAATTCATTTAAAAAAATAAAATTTTAATTATTTTAAATAAAACGTTGAAATAAAAATGCACGCGCGCTCGCGCGCGTCCTTTTTTGCTATTATTCCATATAAAATGTCAAATTCGACCCCGTTGCGTTAGTTAAATATTTTGTCACCAGATGGTGTATCGCAGTTCTGCGGTTCCTTATAGCTTTTCAAAAATTAAATTATTCAAAAAAAATTCAATTTTAAATCTGTAAAGTTCATTTATTGTTAAAAATATAAATAATTAAAAAAGTGTATTATTCAACAATGCATTTAGAACATGCACGCGCGCTTGCGCGCGTATCTTATGCTAGTAATTAATTATTCTATATTAATAATTCCGATAATCATTTCGCAGTTTGAAGTTAGTTGTTGTTTGCTTCTTTGTTTCGTAACTTTTTTAATAATTTATTTTCAATTTTAAAATTAATGTATTGCAAATTATTGAATTGTTGCAAAGAATTTTATCAAAAAATTTGAAAATATTAGAATTGTTTCGAAGAATTTTAGATATCCGGACAAGAAGTCCAAAGTAAATGAAATCCAAAAAAGTAAAAAAAAAAAAAATAGTTTCACTTTGGACTTATTTTTTGGATTTTTTGTCCTGGTGAAAAAGTCCAAAGAAATTAAAAATTCAATGAAAAAATGGAGATGTAAAAATTTAAATGGTTGCCTTGATTGAAATTGTCCTTTTTTTGAGTTGCTCATTTCGATGATTGCGAATCGAAAGTAGGTAATCTCAACGTTTTAAATTTTTGAAAATAATTAAATTAATCGAGTAATTTATTTGGAATTATATTGAAAAAAATAATTGAATTTTTGTAAATAATTTTATCAAAATTGTTGAAAATAATTGAATTTTTCTGAAGAATTTTATTATTTATGTAAATAATTAAAATTCCGCGATTTTAACATTAACATATTTTAAATTTCGATTTTATAGCGTACAAAGGAAAAACGTGGCTTTTTCACATGTTTCATTATTTATTTTGGATTTTTTGACTTTGGACTTTTTTTCTTGGATTTTTTAGATTGGATTTCTTGTCCTGTAAGTCTTCGTGTCCTCACGAAGAATTTTGTTAAAATTTTTGAAAATTCTAATTAAATTCCTTTTGACGAATTTCTATGTATTTTTTTAAAATAATGGATTTTCTCTAATAATTTTAATTACAAATTTTGAAAATAATTGAATTTTATGAACAATTTCTTTCAAGTTTTTAAAATAATCGTGTTTGTTAATAATTGAAATTAAATATTTAATTATTGAATTTTTTTTAAGTTATAGAAAATAATTGAATTGTTTTGAAAAATTTTATAAAGAATTAAGAAAAAAATTGAATTCTTTCGTGAAATTTCTTTTGAAAATAATTGAATTTTTGCAAAGAATTTTACTATTTAAAAATATAATTAAATTTTTTCTAAAGATTTATTACAAATTTAGAAAATAATTGAATTTTTGCAAAGAATTTTACTATTTACAAATGTAATTGAATTTTTTCGGAAAGTTTATTAAAATTTTCGAAAATAATTGAATTGTTTTGAAATTTTTTATAACGAATTAAGAAAAAAATTGAATTATCTCGTGAAATGTTTAGAATATAATTGAATTTTTTCGAAAAATATTATTAAAAATAAAATTGATTTCTTTCATGAAATGTTATTTAAATTGTATTAAAAGCAATTGAATCTTTTTGCAATAAATTTTACTATTTATAAATATAATTAATTTTTTTTCAAGGATTTATTAAAATTTTACGAATTAATTGAATTTTTTCGAGAAATATTATTAAAATTTTATTAAAAATTGAATTCTTTTATGTAATGTTATTAAAATTGTATTAAAAATATTTGAATTTTTTTGCAAATAATTTTACTATTTAAAAAAATAATTGAATTGTTTCGAAGGATTTATTATAATTTCAGAAAATAATTGTATTCGTTCGTGAAATTTTATTAAAAATTAAAATAAATGGAATTCTTTCCTGAAATTTTGTTTGTAAATAATTGAATTTTTGCAAAGACTTTATATAACGGACTTATGAAAAAAATTGTATTCTTTCTTAAAAATTTTTTTGAAAATAATTTTATTTTATGCCATGATTTTGCTATTTAAAAAAAAAATTAAATTGTTTCGAAGGATTTTTTAAAATACTACAAGATAATTTTATTCGTTCGAGAAATTTTATCAAAATTTCGTTTAAAATTAATTGAATTCTTACGAAGAATGTTATATTATTTATGAAGATAATTGAATTATTGCGAAGAATTTTATTAAAATTTTCGAAATTAATTAACAAGAATAATTAATTAGTAAATTAGTTAATAATTGAATTGTTTTTAAAGTTTGAATTTGAAATTATTCAAAATTAATTTGAATATTTTGTCCACTTTTAGATCACATTGTGGTTATGAGAAAAGGTGGATTTCCCATGGCAATCAATCACAGTGATAATAAAAAAACTGTTACATACATTGATGATATAATTGTCCCCTCAGATAGTAAAATGTGAGTAATCGAAAATCTTTTTTTAAACATTTCATTACATATTTTAAAAAATTTTAATGTTTTGTTAATGTTTTTCTTTTCAGAATTGCAATTCTCTATTTTGATACTGACAATTATTTGAGAAACATAAATAAGCTAAAAACACAATTTGTTTTATACATGAAGAGCATAGAGGCATTAGGATATTCTGTTATACCATTAAATTTAAAAGAATGGACGAGTATGAGTAATAAGGATAAAATTCCATTCATAATGAATGAAATAAAATCAAGATATCCGGATGAAATTTAGGTATTTTTTTATTAACTATAATAAAAAAGAGAATATGTTCATTTATTACTTGTACATGTTTTTTTGTAATATAAATGTGTGAAAAACAAATTTTGATCATTATTATTATGATTTATTATTGTTATGCAAATTACAAAATTTTTTATTTTCAAATGTAAATTTTTTAAATAGTTTCATAATCAAAATTTTTTAAATTCACTTTTTAAGTACAATTTAATTACTACTGTTCATATTTTCAAAAATTTTAATAAAATTTCACGAAAGAATTCCATTATTTTCTAAAATTTTAATAAATTCTTCGAAACAAAAATTAAATTATTTTCAAAACAATTTTAATAGAATTTCTCAAAAGAATTTAAATTTTCAAATATTAACATAAAATGCATTTATTTTTTAAAATTTTAATGAATTCTTCGGAACAATTTAATTATTTTTATAAATAATAAAATTCTTCGCAAGAATTCAATTATTTTCAATACAATAATAAAATTCTTCTTTAAAAAATTAAATTACTTTCCAAATTTTCAATTAAAATTATTCAAGAAACTCGATTAGTTTAAAGAAAATTCAAAGGAATTCTTCAAAAGAATTTAATTTTTTCAAAAATTTTAATAAAATTTCACGAAAGAATTCAATTATTTTCTAAAATAATAAAATTATTAAATTTAACATTTAAATTTGCGCGCTACTCAGCAAACCAATGAGAGTAAAACCTTAAGGTACGAGTCGCTCTCATTGGCTTGCTAGTTTTGTCGATAAAGTAGATATTATTTGTCTTTTTTTAATTTCTGTCAACATGCGACATTCGATTTCCATGCTTCAAGAAATTAACATTGTTGACAAAGTTTTACTTTAATTTAAGTTGTGTATCGAATAAACAATTAAAATGTCTAAAGCGGGGAAAATGAAAATGATGAAAGCTATAGTTGAAAAAATAGATCATAGCTCAAAATTAAAAACAAACATATTAGCTGGACTTGCTTCGCCGAGTCCTCCTCTTGGCCCTCAACTTGGACAGGTTAGAAATCATGTGTTTTTATTTTAAAGAATATAGAAAATAATATACTTAAAATATATTCTGTTAAGATTGTAATTTATTCACTTAAAATCGAAATATGAAGATTAAATATAATTTGCAAATCAAGCTTGTCAAGCGGTCAAGCTTTACAATTTTACTATGTTAGTGAGGTTAGGTTTTTTTCCAAATATTTTATTTATATTAATGATATTAATTGAAAGTTAGAACTGTTAGTGTAAAAAATTAAAAATGTTCAATTACGTAAATTTTAAGAGAATAGAAGTAAATCTAAATTACTTCTTTAGGATTTTAGAGATAAATAATTGAATTTAAGAACTTTTGTTCTAGAGAAACATAAACATTGCGGCTTTTTGTAAAGATTTCAATGAAAAAACAAAAGATATAAAGGAAGGAATTCCCTTGCCCTGTAGAGTAAAAGTAAATTCAGATCGTACTTATGAATTGGTAATTCATCAGCCACCTGTGATATATTTTCTAAAACAAGCCGCTGGAATTCAAAAAGGAACAGGCAAACACAGTATGTATTTCTTGTTTTCGAATTATTTTTATTTACCTATATTATTTTTGTCAGTAATTTGAATAGAAATATTTTGAATTTCAGAGGAACATGTTTCTGGTAAAATAACGCTAAAACATTTGTATGAAATAGCAAAAATTAAATCTCAAGATCCTCCGCTTGCATTGATGAGTTTAGAGCAAATTTGTCAAATGATGGTGGGAATCGCAAAAAGTATTGGTATTCAAATTGTTCGTGAATTAGATGCAAAAGAATATGAAGAATTCTTGAAAGAACGAGCAAAAATTGTAGCCGAGGAGCAGCAGAAATTGCAAGAATTAAGAGAAGCCAAATTATTGAGAACTGGATAAATGTGGTAATAAAATGTAGAATAAATTATCAAAAAACATTTTTAAAGTTGTTTGTAAAAAAAATATATAAGTGTAAATAGATGCTACAAAACGTGATAGTTAATTAATGACATAATTACCTAAGGAATTAATTTTTTATTTATTTGGGGAAAAATACAATTAAAAATTTCATTTCATTTTACTTTAATCTTTTCTTTTAATTTCAATTTCGCTTTTAATTTAAAGTCTGTTTATTTTATTCAAAAAATTTCTAGTTTCTATAAAGGGTTGCCACAAATATTTAATTTTATTTTCCCCTGATTTCCAGACAAAATTTTCACTTTTTCCCTGACACTAAAGAATATTCTGATTCATTCTAAAAATTATTAGATACTCAAAAAATGTTCTTATACTTTTATTTGCAAATTTCTCTGAAAGTAAAATTATTCGAAAACATCAATAACTTCTTTTTTAAATAAATATTTAATCATTATTATTTTTCTGTAGGAATTAAAGTATTCAAAATTCAAACCTTCTTGAAATTCAACAACTTATAAGAATATTATTACAAAACATAAAGAAGGCGATCACTCCGAGTCTTCGACTCGGAGTGATCACCTTCTTCATGTTTTGTAATAATTTAAATTACCATAAAATTTCTCAAAAAAATTCAATTATTTTCATAAATAATAAATCATTTATTCAGTAATTAATTTTTAAATCAATTTTTATTTAAAAATTCCAGAAGAATTCAATTATTTAAATTAAAAAAGAAATAAATTATTGAATAATTTAATATTTTTTTTAAAATTGAATTTTCATAAAGAATTTTATCAACAAATTTTTAAATAATTGAATTCTTTTGACAAATTCTAATAAAATTTTTAAGAATATTTACATTTTTCGAGGAATTTGATTAAAATATTGTATCAAAAATAATTAAAATGTTCCCAAGAATTTTATTACAATTTTTCTAAAATAATTGAATTTCGGAGAAGAATTTTACTATTTATAAAGTTACTTGAAATTTTTACAAGATTTTTTTTTTAATTTGTGAACATAATTGAATTTCTGCAAAGAATTTTATTTATTTATTTATTTAATAATATTTAATTTAATATTATATTTATTTAATAAAGTAATATTATTACTTTTTTGAAAATAATTTAATTCCTTCAACGAATTTTATTCAAGTTTATAAAAATAACTGAATTTTTGTGAAGAATTTTATTATTTATATAAATAATTAAATTCTTGCAACGAATTTTATTCAAGTTTATAAAAACAATTGAATTTCGGTGAAGAATTTTATTATTTATAAAAATAATTGAATTCTTGAAAAGAACCTTGTTTAATTTTTTTTAAATAATTGAATTCTTGCGACGAATTTTATAAAAATCTTTTTAAATAATTGATATTTTTCGAAACATTTTATTTATGTAATTAAATTCCTCTCAAAATTTTATTACTTATGAAAATAATTAAATTCCATCGAGAAATTTCATTGAAAAATTTAAAATAATTGAATTCCTGTGAAAATATTTATTTTTTGAAAAGAATTGAATTCTTTGGAAGAATTTTATTAATTTTAATTAATTAATTTTTTTTTTATTAATTAATTTTATTATTTTTAAAGATAATTGAAATTTTGACGAGAATTTTTAAAAAAATTGTTGAACATAATTGAAATTCTGCGAAGAATTTTTATAACTTTTGAAAATAATTGAATTTCTGGAATCATTTGTAACTTATCCAAAATTAAATTTTTTAAAAGTATTTTTAACTAAAATTCTTCTATCAATCTATTATTTATGAAAATTGTAAAAATTATATTCATTAAATAATTTATAAGACATAATTTTATGATTGTTCTTGAAAAATTAAGTAATTTAAAAATTCCATTTGTTTTGAAAACGTTTTTAATTTTTAAAAATTTTAATTAAGAGATTGAGAGACAGGAAAAAAAAGTTAAAAACAAGAAATTAGTTTTAGGTTATTTATTTAAAAAACCACCAAAAATAACAAAATAGTTTACAATAATTCTCACATTTATTTTTCTTTTTTATTTACAAACAAAGACCTGAAATTACAAATAAATTATTTTGACGTTTATAAACTTGATTTCTTCCTCTTCTTTTCTTTTTAAAAATTTAAATTCTTCCGTGTTGAGTAAATTGTACCTGCTTTAGAAATTAAATAATATTTTTTTTAATTTGTTCTCTTCTTCAATTAAAAATGACTAATGTGTTAAAAATCTTCAATTCATCGTTATATTAAATAATTACTATTTATTTTTACTATCATTTTCTTATCAAAAATATAATCTGCTCTTGAGTTTGTTTCAAGTTATAAATATAATATATATAATAGTTTAACTTTTCTTTAATTAAAAATTAGTATAAAAATTGACTAGAATGAAATTCTTTTGGTATGTATTGAAAATTTGAAAAAGTAAATTTAAATTCTCCTTTATATTAATTATTATCATTAATTGAAATTGAATGAAAGTAAAGAATTTGAAAAAAATTGATTCTCTTTTTGTAAAGGAAAAAAAATCTTCCGTGATGTCCAAGTGTCCCTCGCTGCTAGAAAATGATTTCGATATCCCTCGCTGCATTAGAAAAATAATTTGCGTCCCTCGCTGCTGTAAAATAATTTCAATTTCCCTCGCTGCATTAAAAAAATAATTTTCGTCCCTCGCTGCTGTAAAATAATTTCAATTTCCCTCGCTGCATTAAAAAAATAATTTTCGTCCCTCGCTGCAATGAAAAATCTGAATCCCACGCTGCAATAAAACAATCGGTATCCCTCGCTGCAGTAAAAAAATCCCAATGTCCCTCGAAGTTCCTCGCTGCAATGAAAAATCTGAATCCCACGCTGCAATAAAACAATCGGTATCCCTCGCTGCAGTAAAAAAATCCCAATGTCCCTCGAAGTCCCTCGCTGCGGTAAAAAGTCCAAAGTGTCCCTCGATGTCCCTCGCTGCAGTAAAAAGTCCAAAACGTCCCTCGATGTCCCTCGCCGAAATAAAAATCCTCAGTGTTTCTCGAAGTCCCAAGATTATAATTTCGCTCGTTCAAATAAAAAATCCCTCGGTGTCCCTCGCAGCAGAAAAAAGTTTCCAGAGTCCCTCGTCGCCATAAAAAGAATCCATTGTCCCGCGATGTCCCTCGTCGAAATAAAAATTCCTCTTCTTTTTAACAAAAAATCATGTGTCCCTCGATGCTCCAAAATAATCCAAATGTCCCACGGTGTCCCTCGATGAAATAAAATAATATAAATGTCCCTCGTCGTAATAAAATAAACCAAAGTCCCACGTTGTCCCTCGACGCAATAAAAATAATCCAAAGTCCCACGACGCAATGAAAATGATCCAAATGTCCCACGAAGAAATAAAAATAATCCAAAGTCCCACGTTGTCCCACGACGTAATAAAAAAGATCCAAAAGTCCCACGACGTAATAGAAATAATCAAAAGTCCCACGTTGTCCCTCGACGCAATAAAAATGATCCAAATGTCCGACGTTGTCCCTCGATGCAATAAAAATGATCCAAATGTCCCACGATGTAATAAAAATAATCCAGAGTCCCACGTTGTCCAAATGTCCCACGATGTAATAAAAATAATCCAGAGTCCCACGTTGTCCAAATGTCCCACGACGTAATAAAAATAATCCAGAGTCCCACGTTGTCCCACGACGCAATCAAAAAATCCTCAGAGTCCCTCGATGCAGTATAAAAATTCCAGAATCCCTCGGAGTCCCTCGACGTAATAAAAAAATAAATCTTCCGTGTTGCAAGAAAATACACTCTCAAGAATAGTGTTTTATAAAAAGCAGAAAAATTAATCCCATTAAAAGTTCATATATCATATTAATTAATTTTTTCAAATAATAAATTCAGTAAATTGTGCAATTATTGTCCTTGCAATTAAAATTAATCACAAATTTTTTCAAAATTCACAATTGAAATTATCAAATCATTTACGGGATGAAAATTTAACAGATTTAACATAAATTCTTCAATATTTCTCCGGAAATTTGTTTACAATTATTTTAATAGTTTTATTATGTAAAAATGTCTCTTTTCTTTGACTTGGCAAAAATATTTTTTCGAGAATTTTCATTTTTATGTAAATTTTACGTTTTTATTTCTTCAGGTAATTTGAATTTATATTTACTTGACGATTTTGCAAATAAATAATTTTAAATTTCACAAGAAAAGTACTAAAAATGCATTAAAATTTTAATTGTTTTATCATAAATATTTAAATTTTCTTTCGTGCGTTCAAAAAAAAAAATTTTTTGTAAAAAATTTCGTCATGTATTTTAAATACAATTTTTTATAGTGAAAAATTATTTTCTTTCCTCATGAGTTAACATTGTATTTACTTTCATTTGAGAACTTTTTTTTAAATTTTATTTTAATTTGAAAACTTCTTTTTGAATAAAGAATTCAAAGAAAAACTTCTTTTAAATAAAGAATTCGAAGAGATATTTTTTTTGATTAAATAATTCGAAGAGAAACTTCTTTTTAGTAAATAATTCGAAGAGAAACTTCTTTTTAGTAAATAATTCGGCAGAAAAACTTCTTTTAAATAAAGAATTTGAAGAAAAACTTCTTTTGAGTAATAAATTCGAAGAGAAACTTCTTTTTAGTAAATAATTCGGCAGAAAAACTTCTTTTAAATAAAGAATTTGAAGAAAAACTTCTTTTGAGTAATAAATTCGAAGACAAACTTCTTTTTATGTAAATAATTCGGCAGAAAATCTTCTTTTAAATAAAGAATTTGAAGAAAAACTTCTTTTAAATAAAGAATTCGAAGAGATATTTTTTTTGATTAAATAATTCGAAGAGAAACTTCTTTTGAGTAATAAATTCGAAGAGAAACTTCTTTTTAGTAAATAATTCGGCAGAAAAACTTCTTTTAAATAAAGAATTTGAAGAAAAACTTCTTTTGAGTAATAAATTCGAAGACAAACTTCTTTTTATGTAAATAATTCGGCAGAAAATCTTCTTTTAAATAAAGAATTTGAAGAAAAACTTCTTTTAAATAAACAATTCGAAGAGAAACTTCTTTTTAAATAAACAATTCGAAGAAATATGATAAAT